TGGGTACATTCAGGCAAAGAGCTGCTGACGATATTGGACGTGTTGCACGATGTTGGTCATACAAACAAGGGAGGAACCTTGGGAGAGCAGCTATAGAGGGCACAGTGAGTAAACACAAGGCATCCCCCCTCCACCTCCACATCTTTTGTTTCTACAAAGCTTTTTTTCTTCTATATAACATGTCCTGCATGTGTTGGTTACATCAGAGGAATTTTAAGCAGCCAACTGTAAGCCCTTTAAGACCTCATCCCCGCCTGAGCAAGTGTACATACAGAAACACATACGCACATACACACACACTTCCCTCTCTCTGTGTGTCTTTGTCTCTCTGTCTTTGTCTCCTCAAACCTTCCTTTCTCTTAGTTGATTTATATGTGGACGTCTCTCCTTCAAAGCTAGATTACTGCTTTCAGAGTTGCCGGCGTTGACGCCTGGGAGTAATACCCCCCCCGGCAGAATGCCTCGAGAGGTTACCACATCATTCTCACCGTCTGTTTCAACTGTTTTTGCTGATTGTGTATGAGAGAAAATGGTTGTTTACATATCATGCTGTAATTGCATGCCTGTAGCACTACAAAAGCAGTCTGAAGATATCTGAGTGGATTAATAGCTTCAATTCTTTCTTTGTTTGGGGGAAAATAATCTGTCACACTGGTTTATAAAAGCTTAAATAACAGGCAAGCAATTCTTATCTCCACAGTCTGTGAGTCTATTGTGTTTACCCTGACTCTGAGTTTAGATACTTTCTTGGAAGTCACAGGAGACACAGTCAGCTTTTCGGCACGCTGAAATCTGCATAACGTTGGCCTGACACCTAGTGGATACTGTAATGATTGGTAACTGCGGGGGACTTAAAAAAAGACTCTACTCACTCCTCTATCCCAAGTGTTTTTAGTTTATTTGATTACTTGATCTGCAAAAATAGTATCAGGGTTGACATTTTGGAAGAGCTGTATGTGCTCATTTCAAGTCCAGTTTAACAGACCATCTACAACTTAAACTCATAAGTCACTTAGTTTTGGATTTGCAAGTGAGAAATGATGGTAATATTGAATTTCCACCAATCTCCAGAGCTTATTTATCATTCTACAATGGTGTTATCAAAAATCATGTGAGCTCTGTGAGTCAGCAAATAACTAATCCCCACCTTTGAGTGCCAGTGAAGAAATAAAGTCAGAACTAAGCTGTACAGAGAAAAGATGATGTAATCTCTAAGGTGAAAGCACAGCCATCTTTATCAGTTAGATTTAATTTCATGCTTGATTCTTTTGGATTTGTTTCTTTTCCACTATACTCTGAAGTCCACAACTCAAAGGCTTGGTTAGAACTATGTTCAAAATGTATTTGTTTACTCATTTATGAGAGAGATTGGGTACAAATTCAGAGATAAAAGTTGTCATTTTAAGCATTGCAGCTTAAATTCACCTCTGCAGTCCCTTATATGGTGGATAAAAAGTCATCAACACAAACAGCATTTGATGAGATATTATTCCAGCAACATGTTTTAGCATGGTAAACAAAAAACAACAAACAGTTTAACCTTTGGACAAAAAAAAAGGACTTTCACAATAAATCCTGGTGTAATGGGGTCACTGTGGCTGATCTCTGGGTGTTTGTAAAGCTTTACATTGACCTTATTAATCTCAATGTAAACAACTTTATTAACCCTTCAAAGAAACACGGACATAAATAACATCACACAGTGACAAACAGGCAACACTCCAAACATAAGAGCTAAAATATCAAATGAATACAGATATTACGCAGACAATTAAATGCAAAAACAACCTGAATAAAAACAATAAAAGGATTTATGTAATTTAAAAAATGGAAAAGGACAGTCTTCTTGAGGGATATAAAGGTCCACAACCTATCATTTGTAACATTTCATCAATTTCTTGATTGATCTTGTCACCGATACAGTCCTCATATTTTGTTATAGCTTTAAATCTCTGCAAGCAAAGTCAAGCATAGAATCAGGACTCATCAAAATTGACATGAGAAAGGACAAACCACTTTACTTTAGACCTGGCTACAGATTTTACAAAACAACTACTGAAGGAAAAACATACAAATTCGAAGAAGAAACATGCACCAAACTGAGACAAGCAGAAAAACTGCTGATTTTTTTATAGTGGATTTTTGTGCAGGATCAAATGCTGATAAACAATTTAAAAAAAGATTGTCTGCAGGATATCTTATTGGTTTTTAAAATTTCCCTAATGGGCGGTGGAATAGCACTGACCAGCACAGATACAATGGGTCTCATTTGCTTTCACATTGATTTAATAAAAAAGGCTTTAATTGAGCAAACATGGATGAAAGAGAATATTGAAAGAGAACTATCTGGGCTTTTGGAGATTAAGCCTGACCCTGGTCTTATGTAAAACCAATGCTCTTTGTTTTCTTTAGCCCATGTATCAAGCAACCTTTCAAATAAATTCTACATAACTCTATCTAGGCTTATGAATGATTACAAACTATATGTAAAATTGAATACTCTCTGAAGTCAGTGATCAAATTGATAAAGGATGGGCACAGAATTTAAGTCTACATGTGAATCTCAACGTCCATGTTGCTTTCATATTCTCTTAGTTTGACCAAGGAGAGCTGTGCGCCCTTCACACACATACAAACCAACACCACATCTCACAAACACAGCACTAATCACAGAGATCTAAATCCCCAGGGTACGGGCTCTATTAGACCATGTGTTTATGAGAAGATAATCATTTAGTGATATGAAGACGCAGCACCAGGCGGTGGGAGGCAACGGTGACGCTGCAGCATGAAAATGCTCTGCTGCAAACTCTGTGCCAAAGCCTTAACTTTTAATATGAGCTGTTTTGCCTGGAGGCGGAACATTAATGAGTCCTTTTTGTTAAGGTGAAGGAACAGCAGATAGCAGACAATGAGTTTCACTTTAGAGGATGCAGCAACAGCGTTGAAATATGAGAGCGAGGGTTATGAAACAAATACTGCAGCTCTAAGTTTTTGCCCTTCACTTACAGATCAATGAGATAATCTTAATGTCAGTGATACTGAAAGGGCAGATACTGAATTTGACATTTAGTTGTGTAATGCAGTCAGGATTGTCCTGTAGGTATAGAGGACTTATGACCTTAAAATTTCAATGACATTTCAATGACCTTTTTTGTTGTGCATTTTACTTTAAAGTAATACCCAGACAGGCAATAGCAGGTTAAAAATCTCAAGAAGTTGGTTTGAAGGGGGTCCATTTCTTTAAAAAGGCCAGAGTTGACAGAATGCACACACAAACACTAGATGGCGTTGTTTGGTTTAGACTGTGCTGGTCAAGGCAAGACAACTCTAACAGAATTCATTTGCAAACAAGAGATACAGCTGAACAAAATGAGGTTTTCACAGACCATGTGCTAAGAGAGTGGTGCAGATAGAGCAGTCTGCAACAAAGCAGCATTAAACAAGGCTGCAGGGTGAGGAGCATGTAGCTGTAAACAAAGACCCAGGGATGAGCTGTTTTAAATGTGTCACTACAGGGTGGCTCTTTGAAATGTCTGCTGAAAATAAATGAGCAGAGTGAAAGGTGATAATTGTCCAGTAAAGTGTCAGTGCATGTATACTGCGTGTCTTTGTGGGTGTGTATGTGTGTGTATACATGTGTAAGGGAGTCTTGGTCTCACATGTTGGATTATTGTAAAATCAGTCTAAAATGTTGCACTTATTCTTTTGAGAGTCTTTTTCTGCGAAAGAGGTGATATCATGCACATCTTTTGGTCATTTAAAGCCCCCATGAGGAATATTTCTAAGCTTGTTATGAAACAGACTAAAACTGATAAGCCTACTGGTGCACCCTGGCAGAGGAAAGAGGGGTGATTGCTCCCTCTGGTGCCCTCATGTCTGGAATAAAACATAGCAGTCATGCCTCTTTGAATGCTTCTGAAGGAGATAAACACCAAAAAATGATAGACCAAACGATGACTAATAATTCCTGTATAATTGTTTTCAATGCCTGACAGGACTACTCACACATGTTCAAGGCAAATCCAGCAAAGAGATTGGTCATACTGTTTTGTCTATATTAATTAGTGTTTTGGGCATTTTGTTGACAGCGTTGATGGCTACAAACTCTAAGAAACAAACTGAGCAAAGGGAGGCTATAGAGCACGAGCACCTAATGACCGAAGCAGGTGATGCTGTTGTGTAATCCACATTGAAGTAACCTCTGGTGGTCGGGGTATCTGAAGCAGCTATTTATGCTTTATTAGCTGAGCTCTGAAAACAAGCCTGGGTTCAAGATAAACATTTCCCACCATGATGACCAGAAGTACTTTGTAGTGTCTTTGTACGCTGTAATGAAAAAGTCCAGCAAGCTTTGGTTTGTGTCTGGTTTTGGGGAAAGAATAAACAGATACTGAGAAAGCTTTAAATTTTTATGAAATGTTACACAATATACATGGAAAAAGAGCATGATATGTACACTGAGACTATGAAATTCCTTCATCTGTTGCTTAAATTTAAGTAAATTAAGATTTTTTTTGTGCTTTCAAGATGAAAATTTATGTAATATCAAAATATGTAGATTGAGAAGGGAAAAACGAGTCATTTCTCTCTTTAATCAGGGCAGTAGGTTTTACCACATGCTAACTTTATCATACCTCTGACAGTTTCTACAGCAACCTCGCCTTGTTTTTTGGATCGCTGTGCTTCTATCCAACACAGACGGCAGAGTGAGTGGCCAAAAAACTGAATGTTATCAAGTGTCAGAGCTGTTTTTACTAGTAGAGTCATGCGCCAGACAGAGATAAATGATGATGGAAGGAACAGGAATGTAAGCCGTAGAGAAGAAATAGGAAGTAATGACATCAAAACAGGGGCAGATGTTAAAAAGACGGAAAAATAAAAGGAGACAACTAAGTTTAGGAGTCAGACACAAAATGAGAAAGCGCAGTCACATGTGAGTCTGCTGCCGTGTTGCCAAAGTGAGACTCTATTTTTGGAGGAGGAATGTACACAGAGGCCTCGTGGAAAGGGACCACAACAACAAACAGTGCGCAACACACTTCTACAAAGAGACAGCCCTCTGCTGAACATACAGCTACACAGCATCAATAGGAGTTAAAAGAGGAAGACGAGAGGACAGGAAAATGTCAAGGCATCAGATTTTCTGCTGAGATCCTGATAAGAATCCAAAGTGGGACCTTGAGGAAACTTATAAAGAGAGAAAAGAGGGACAGGTAAGAGATGATGACAGTCATTGAGTGCATTTGTGACCTGTTTTACTATATGTATAATGTTGGCACTGCTTTCAATAATAGTAATAATAATAATAATAATTCATCTTATTTGTACAGTGCTTTTAAAAACACTCAAAGACGCTTTACATAGTGCTTAAAACCCAAGGTAATAAAACAAAGACATAAAAACAGGAGAAATAAAATGAATAAAACAGTTAAATATTAAATGCAATTTTAAATAAGTGAGTTTTTAAAAGGGATTTGAAAGTAGTGGGGTCAGGGCAGTGTCTGATGGAGGGTGGTAGGGAGTTCCAGAGGGTGGGGGGCAGCTGTGGAGAATGCCCGCTAAGTTAAGACGACTCAAAAGTAAGAGACATCTTCTAGTGCTGATGTTGAATTTCCATCTCAAAATCCCTATTAAACCCCCAGGAAGCCCACAGTTCACATGGTGTTGCTTTAAATGCAGAGAAATACATTTATCTTTTGTATCCCCCTTTGCTCTTGAGATGCAAAAGAGGGGAGAAATTTGCAGCCAAACCTGTCGAGTTTATCTACAATGAAGGTGAAAACATTTTTGAGGCTCTGCATAAAACACTGCGACATAACAACAGTACCATTTGTTCACTGATAGGAAAATAAAGAATAAAAAGACAATGCTAAAACAGGAATAGCTGCGCAGGTGTTTCTGTCGTAATCTATCCAGACAGACAGTCTCCAAAGTAATCAGACAGGCGTACCGTGGGCCCTGTTCATAAAATGTCTGAGTGGGACTGCACTGAACGAGGCTGATGTCACTGCAGTGAAATAAAAAAAAGGAGTAGTGTGTTAAAACTGCTATTATAAAAAAGTTTGAACACTTTGTCAGGAGAGATAAAACATTCATGAGCACACATTTGCTAAGAATCAAAGTCTGAACATAACACATCTTCATTTTTTTACTCTCTTCAGCTGAAAATGCATCAACTTTGATAATCGGACTGTTGCATACAGACCAGTACATTTCCCTGTTCGGAATTTGGGTTGCACAAAAATCTTTTTTGTGATTTTGTTGGAGGACTCCAAAATTATTTGCATTTTATATTATGGCTGCATGACACAGGACTCTGTGGGACAGAAATCAGTTGACCTGGCAAGTTGGACCTGCTTGAGTTGACGAAACTCATGATCATTTTCTGTATCCCAAAGCATTCCATATGTTTTTGGCATGGAAGTTCTTGGTAAAGCAGGTAAAAACAAAAGGAATAAAATCTACTCTGCACTGTAATTTGATCTAGTTTGGACCCAGTTAGTGGTTGATAATCATGTTTAACATCAAGCCCTAAGAAGATCAAAAAATAAGAAACTATTTCATTGAAAATCTTAAATCAGTATTATTGCTTGCACAAGGTAAAGACAGATTTTTTGGCTTCAGTTGCTTTTCAGATACAGCTACAGTCTCCATCCTCAGGATGGGCCAACCAGCAGAGAGCATCTTCCACTACAAAGACCAGGAGCAGTCCTCCAGCCTGCTGCTGCAGCTGAACAAACTGAGGCGGGAGAACATCCTGACCGACGTGTCGCTGTGTTCAGATTGCACAGAGATCCCGTGTCATCGTAATGTTCTGGTCTCCAGTAGCCCGTATTTCAAGGCCATGTTCTGCAATAACTTCTTAGAGAGCCAGCAGACCAAGATTAACATAAAGGGTGTCACAGCGACCATCCTGAGCAGTGTCATTGACTATGTTTACACCGGACTCATTAGTATCAGCATGGAGATCGTGCTGCCTTTAATGCAGGCTGCGTCCATGTTACAATATGGCCGACTCTTTGAGGCCTGCTCAAGTTTCCTGCAGAATCAGATGAGTCCTGACAACTGTTTGAGCATGATAAGACTCTCTGAGATCATGAATTGTAAAAGTTTGAGAGACAAAGCAAAGGAAATGGCCATGAAGAGCTTCTCTGATGTGTCAGCATCAGAGGATCTGTGTGAGCTCTCTTTACCTGAGCTCATGGGATACCTGGAGGATGATAGTCTATGTGCAGAGGAGGAGCAGGTCTTTGAAACTTTGGTCGCTTGGATCCACCATGATCCTTTATCCAGACGAGGGGCCATCAGTGACCTTTTTAAGAAAGTCCGTCTTCGCTACATCCATCCCACCTACCTCTTTCAGTTCATAGCCAACGACCCTCTGATCCAGTCGTCCACCCTCTGCACTGAGCTCATTGAATCAGTAAGACGACTCATGTTTGCTGTCAGCACCAAGTGCATCAGTGACACGGTAGACTTCAAACCTCTGTGGGTGGCACCAAGGCGTTACTCCTACCATGATATGTTGGTGGTGGTGGGAGGGAGGAAGAACAACGAGCAGACGTCCAGAGAAGCCCTCGTCTTTGATGCGAAGACTGAAAAATGGCAGTGGCTCGCCAAGTTGCCTGTTCGTCTCTATAAGGCCTCTTACGTCGCCCTCCACAGTGTGCTATATGTCATTGGAGGCCTGACCATGAACACTAAGTTTAGCCAAATCAGTTCAACTGTTTACACCCTTTCCCTGAAGACCAACCAGTGGAGGACAGCAGAGCCGATGCTGGGACCTCGCTTTGCCCACCAGAGTGTCTCCTACCTCCACTTCATCTTTGTCCTGGGAGGCCTTGGCCCTGACAGACGACTGACAGGCAGTGTGGAAAGGTGAGATGAACCATAATTCACTTTATAAACATAATACACACATACATACAGCAAAATCAACTTATCTCTCAACATTGAAATCAGATACAACAGCATGTTCAACCAATGGGAGACCATGGCGCCAATGCCCGAGGCTGTGCTGCACCCTGCAGTGGCTGCAACAAACCAAAGGATCTATGTGTTTGGAGGAGAAGATGCCATGCAGAACCCAGTCAGATTAATACAGGTGAGATAAAGTGATTGTCAACTGTGATCTGGAGACAGAATCTGAGTCAGGATGTGAAGATATTATCCTGCCACATTTTGAGGTAGAATAACACCCCTTAGCTGAGTCCTAATTCAAAGGCTGCATCCTCTGATAAGTGCATTTAAATGCTGATTGTCTCCCAACGATGTGATGAAAGCTCTGGGATATATATCAGGCCACAAAGGATGCACCCATGTTTCCTTCACGGCCTGGGGTCAACAGCTGTCCCGTTTTTGAGGCTCCTCCAAGCACAGCCTCCTACCTTTCCTTGGCCACATATGAAGGAGCTTTTAAAATGTAGCTGCTTTTGACTCCAGACAGTGAAGGATGCTCAGGGTGAATCATTTGTGGCTAAACATATCCTGTGATTTTATGCACAAAGATTCAACTGATATGGTGGTGCCCAACCCAAATAATATACTGTTAAATACAATAAATGTACTCTGTGGAAGAGCATGCGAATGCTTAAGAGGCATATAAATGCTACTAAATAATGGTGATGGTGGTTAAGTTACGTGACATTACTCATGTTAGGTGGTGCAGCAAACAGGAAATCCTCTGTAAACCAAACCACCTAATTTCAGGTCAGTCTAAGCAGGTCATCCATGCTATAAAGGCTGGAACCTTGAAGAATTCTACTCATGGGTTTAGATTTTATGTCAGTCTATGTCATCTCATGTTAACCCATTAACTCCACATTTAGTATATACTGATGATAAAGCTGCTGGGTAAAGTGCATATCAGTATCAAATCACCCCATTCACAAGCATTCAAAACCCACTTGCTTTGCCTCCAGCTGTGGGCTTTGTGTCTTATCCATGGACTGTATTACAGTTAACTCTGTGTTTTTCCACCAGCAATAGTGCTGCCAGTAATCTGTGCTTTCTAATCCTGCTGGTACTGGGGGGGTGTACTAAAATCAAATACTAAAGTAAGCATTGGCAAAGACAAAAAATGGTACTGGAAGAAATATTAAAATCTTACAATATGATATAGCTCTGACCTAAGACCACTGCTTTTTCACTTAAGGACAGAAACTGTTCAAAATGGTCACATTTTGAATAGAAGTTTAATGGTTTCAATACCAGATGTAAATGTGGTACATGCTGCTTATTTTTATATTGTTAAATCCATTTACATTGAATCACTTTCTCAAATTTCATTACCTTGAACCCTGACCCCCTTCTTCTTCCTTTAGGTGTATCACATTGCCAGGAACATGTGGTCCACGATGGAGAACAGAACAGTGAAGAATGTGTCCGCTCCTGCTGCCATTTTGGATGAGAAAATCTACATCATTGGAGGTAGAAAACTGCATAAATGGACTATAAAGAACAGGAACCTTTCTTTTTTTTCTAGAGTTCATTTAAGTGTTTGTTGATTTCTGTTATGAATGAAGTTGTAAGGACACAGACCTACATTCTGCTTGGTCTAAACACACTGCCCCTCTCAGATGAATGTGCGTCTCTGTCACAGGATACACCAGGAGGATGATTGCATATGACACCAAGGCCAACCGGTTCATCAAGTGTGCCAACCTGAAGGAGCGGAGGATGCACCACTCTGCCACCGTCCTCGACAACAAGCTCTTTGTCACCGGTGGACGTCACATCAACGGCCATGATGTCATAGAGGACTCAGACAGTTTCGAGTGCTACGACCCAAAGACAGACACTTGGACAGCAAAGGGGACTCTCCCTTATAAACTGTTTGATCACGGCTCCCTGACTCTGACACATGTCTCACAAACATGGGCAAAATCATAGCTGTGGTCTAGTTAATATCTGAATGCAAGTGACTTGCAATTAACTTGAACAGGTTTCTTTTTTAATCAAAGGAGTTGATGCTCCTGACAAGGAGAAAAATGAATCGTGCATAGAACTGTGATTTAATTTTTCACGTAAATATAAAACAGTATTGACACTTTAACTGTGCTCATTTGTTATTCCACATCTTTCCTATGTTTTGAAAAGGCAAGACAACCTCTGAAAACACCCCGCCTGCTGCACAGCCGCTCTTTAACCTGTCTGAGTTCATGAAAGCTGTAGGTTTTATTTTGGTCCGCTCTAAATCATGAGATTTCACTTGTCAAGTTTGAATCCCAGGGCTTTGTTATGTTTGGTGAAGGTCTCAGCTGTCGTTCGAACTTGCTGTTGTTCAATGAAATTGTTTGTTAAGATTGTTTTTGTGTCAGTAGTGTTACAAAATACTTCTTTTATTGATGAAATCAAAAGAGAAAAGTATGAGTTAGTTAGCTTCAAGCAAAAATAAAACCGAGACTGGGTTTTTAAATGATACACCCCTGGTGTTCAAGGTTTTTCCTCAGTTTCTGATGGATCTTTTTTTTTCCTGTGATAAATTGCACAGATTGTTGTTCTTTGTGTTAAATTGCTGTTTACTGAATTATTTGTTGACTTTGTTTTCTGACCCCTAAGAATCAGCCTCAGATTTTGTGCCTCACCATACTCAATGTTACATTTGAAAAAACTTTTTTTATTGTCTTTTGTACTCTAACTGTACTGTTATATCTGATTTTTGCAAAAAAAAAAAATATTACTGTATGTTCAGGCTCTCTCCATACATTTTCTAAGCTATAGTGCACAGTGTTTAGAGGAATGTATGATAATAAACAAAGTAGAAATAATTTATCACATTAACAAGGGAGATGAATGTACATCATTAAATATAAAATGGTTTTGGTTTTTCATATTTTTGAATAAATATGGAGTCAGTTTTTTCCAGTTTTTATAGCTCCTGTAAGTTTTTTGTTCACATGAATTAAATAGACTGAGCTTCATAATGATGCCTCGACATGATACCCCAAAACAAACAAGATTATCAGCAACAAGAATGATTATTCCCACATCCTTTGTTTCGATTCCTAAAACTGGTTTGAGAGGGTACGTGTCAGCCCAGCCACTGAGGAGACAGCCCTGTTTTAAAATTTCCACCTAAAATGATCATAATAAACGGAATGTTACAAAAAAAAACACACACACACAACTTAAACGTTAAAGGAAAATAAAAGCAAAGGAAAAAGCATGAATGAAAAGTTACTTACAGTAGCTTTAAATACTTCATTGAGGCTGCCATCTTGAACCTTTACGTTTCTATGAAAGAAAAGAACCGGACAAACGAGAGGCATGCTGAAAATGTTATTGCGTTTATTTAGAAGACATGAAATGCACCAATGAGAGGATGAAAAGGAAGAGAATGGTTTCTGTGCGTGAAATAATCCGCACCAATACAGATTATTATGGCGGAGTTGACAAACAAAGGATTATTCTGCAACAACCATCCCTGCTTTTAATAAACTGAAAAGAGAGATGAGTAGGTGAGTGTTGTAGTCCAGTATCGGACCACAATATCTTCACTAAATATTATCATCTCTTTTACTATCAGTGCAGGATTTCTCAACAACTCTTTAAGGAACACTGAATGCAATCTGAGCACCACATGCGTCCTGAGTGGTTCATCATATGTCTGTTTGACCCTGTAAACACTTCAGTTCACACAGGACCAAGGCATGCCGAGACATAGTCCTGCCACACACACACACACACACACACACACACACACACACACACACACACACACACACACACACAGGGGGAACAGAGGATGGCACAGATAAGGTGTCCTTTTACAAAACACGGCCTTGTGTTTCATCCAGTGTGAACATGTTGATCTGGCTTCACTCCACCTGTTGCAGGTAAAATTAAAATTCAGGGGTGCTCAATGAGGTTTTTGCTGACAGACATAAATTTCTATGTCTCTAGTCACACTGAAATCACGTGTAGAGAAAAAGGAAATAGAAAATGTGTGTGCTCAAGATATAAAAGCTTCAGTTTAACACAGAGAAACATTCAATCACTTTTCACAGGACCACAGTACAGAGGGCAGGGATTTTTCCCAAAGAAATGACATTTGATGGTGTGACGTGGTGTGATAGTATTAATGTCTATAAGACATTCACAGTCTGCTTTGAAGTGAATCCTCACAGTAAAGGATCAGTCACAGCTAAAGTGATTACATAATTTCATTCATCAATGACTTTCAGTCACTAATGTCATGTGAAGTAAACATAATGTGACCGGGATGTATTACAGGACTCCATGTGCACTTCTTTGAAACCAAAAGTCACTGGGTCAAATGTTTCACAGCCAGCAAATGGAGTCCAGGGGACAGAGGGAGGAGTGGGTGAGAAAAGGTGGGGGAGTGGAAAAAACTATAGGTGATCTGATGTTATTTTGGGAAACAAACAAGAGGGTGAATGTTACACCACGTGAGGCATGTGGTCTGTTGGTTGCCATGCGAGCTGGCAGATGTGAGAGATGACTAGAGAGAGAGAAGCCGATGAGCCGTGTTTCACAACAGAATCTGAGCGAGTGATGAAACTCAACCAGGAGGAGCAGCAACAGGTGTTCGTGTGTGTATGACTGTGTGTATGACTGTGTGTATCTGTGGTGTGTGTGTGTGTGTTGCAGGTTTCTAGAGGGTTGAGCTGGACAGGACAGCTGTCTTGTCTAGTCACAACACCACAACAAAAACAGGAGTGATGGACAGATGAGATAGAGGGAGGGAGATGATCCATTGCTAACCTTTTAAATTGTTGTCATTTGATACATCATGCAACCATGGGCCTGCAAACTATTGATATAAACATGGACCAGATTAATAATTAAAAATCTGTACCTTTAAGAGCTCTTTCTGGAATATAAAGATAAAAAATAGGACATAAAAACAGGACAGAGCTCGTAGTCTGATGACCTATTGTGTAAAGCTAATATCAGCATGCTGACACACTCAATACAGCTATAGAACTGGCTGTATACCAAGTGTACAGTGCATCTGTCTCCTCCCATTGTAAAATGTGCAGCTACATACCACACAGTGGTAGCTGACATATGCAGGTGGGGCTAAAGCATGTGCAGAAGTGATCAAGCCTTAAAACCACGGGACCAATGTCACACACTTACTGTGAACCAAAACACCCATCTTACTTATTGATAAACACTGTAGAAGCAGGTTAATACAGTTCACAGCACAAACCTGTACTCACAGTTACAGATAGTTCACTTATTCTTGTTATAATTATTTGTTGAATTTTCATCACTGTTCCTTTTCTACTCTGCAAGTCCAGGTAAGACCCCAGGAGCCACTTTTGCCAACCAAGCTCTCAAGCATTTGATAACATCAAATAACTTTTAATCAAAAAAGAACACTTGCACATAATCAGCATGGCACAAACCACATGCCATGAATGTATGTTTGAGAAATATTGATTGGACTTTTATTTTCGCTTTCGGATTGACCCATGTTCCATCTGTTATAGTAGAGATAATGGGCTTCAAGACTCAAACTGCAACCAGTCACCAGTGGGAGCTCTAAACATGAATATCTGTCTAGTTTTTGGCAGAAAGAAAAAGAGAGAAGTTGATCTCATAGAGTTTAGGAAATAATGTTTTGAGCTGGTACAAAGCTGTCAAGTATCCCGTTTTGGCTGGGAAACTACCATATTTTACCTCTATTTCCCGCCGTCTTCTATATACTGTATGTATATAATAAAAAAACATGTGTGGTGTGTGTGTGTTGCCAATCTTGTATGTAAATTAGGTGTGCCAGCTCCCGATTGGCTGTTCCGGCAGCCATTTGGTGGCTCATTCTGGAAGTACTTTTTCCTCGCTTTTCGCTCAGGTTAGTTTTTTATGTTGTGACTCATTCGTGCTGTATTTTGTGTTTTTCCCTGGCCTGGCTGTGTGAATATCTTACATGAATATCTTAACAAATTCAAACCAATCTAACTCATGTCCATCCAACCATTGGTCATCTTCCACTCGTCTGGGAGTTGACCAAGACATCCCTGCCCCAGCAATATTTCCAGTCCCTTTTTAGGTATTAGTAGGCCAGATGTGATACATACTCCTTCAGTAAACTCTCACTCTCTTCTGGGATCCCTGTTTGACGTACCCAGAAAATCTCTATAGGGAGGTGACAGGAGGTATCCTAATAAGATCCCTGTACCATCTCACTTGGCTCCTTTCAGTGTCAAAGATTAATGGCTCTACCAAGAACAACCTTCAGATGTTAGAGTTCCTTGCCCTATATACCAGCCACCTTTCAAAGGAAACCAATTTTGGCCGCTTGTATCTGTGTTCTCATTTTTTCAGTCTCTATACAAACCCATGAAGGAGGACAGAATCTTGGATAGACCAGTAAATTGAAAGCTTTACCTTCAGGCTTCACTTCCAGTCCAGTAAAACACCTGCAATCCTGCTGAATCAGCACCAACCTGCCTTTCAGTCCTGTGATTTATTCTACTCATGAACAAGACCCTGAGTTTGTTCATCGAACTCTCTCACTCATGGCAAAGACTTACTCCTCACCCAGCAAGACGATCCACTATATTCTGGCAGAGAATAGCCCCAGACTCTTCAGTCCCATGTGATTTAAGATTAGTCTGGGCCAAAGTGGTGGACTCTAGATCTTTTTTTTTTTTTTGTTAACATAAGACCTTTGTACACTGCTTTGCCCTACTGCCTGTCAAATCCACATTCAGTGGGGCCCATTCTTGATGAATCACTGTTTTTAACTAAACAGATATCCTCAGAGTCTGGGGTCATTGCTTTCTTCTTAGTCAGTCATCAACTGACTGGGAACTTGCTGGGACTTTCCATGTCATCCTGTAGTTTGGCCTACTCTGAAAATAGACCTAATCAGACTCTTGGGACTCACAGCAACACATGTAGATAACTGCGCAACCTATTTACTTCACAAGATAATAATACAGTCTAAAAGTTCAACTTTTTGTGCTCACTAGTGAACAGTCTATACTGAAACCCACAAGAGGAACAAGCAACAGCGCAGCGTGGGTGCTGCTGTGAGTAATAGTCAATACATTTAGACCCTGTACAGCTGTCCAGTGTGCCTTAATAAACAGTCACGTTTCCTCTTGTTGGTATATTTTAAAATGCAGTGTGTGCAGAGCTCTTTGACCTTTTGAGTATATCAAGTTGTTGCATCAAGATATCAGACATGAAGCCACAGATGCACCTGTTACACAAGCTTCAGCAACACAGCATGGTTCAGCATGGTAATGTCAGAATGTGTTCATTGACTTCTGAAAAACTGAATACCCACTTTTACTGAGTGAGAACAACTCTCCATACCAGCTGTTTATATGTGAGTTAAATAAGTGAAATGAGAAGGAGAGACAGAGATTACCAGGATCCTTGTTAAAAAATAAATGAACATAAGTGGTTAATCTGCAGCAAAGCAAACGCATAAGCCACATCAGCAAGTCCGACCATGCTGCACACACAGGATATGATCTGACACATGCACTAGAGGAACTGAAATACCACCACGCCAGTTCTTAGAAGAAGTGCATGCTCGTTATGCAGCATGTGCTCCTGTTGACATGTTTTGCAGATTGTATAGTGTGTCATGAGTTATGAGGAGACAGAAAAGACCCCTCTCCTCCTCTGTTTAGACGTGTAACCAAAATTCACTCACATGGACACACACACACACACACACACACACATACACTTACCTGTGGCTTTTTGCCCAGGATGTGCACATAAACAAGGTGTTTCTCATACTGCAAGAAGACTTTCAGGAACTGAGCTGTAGCTCTGTCATGTGACATCAGTGATCAAAGTGTTGTTGGTGAAACATTTACACACTTCCTCATTGACCTCTTTATCCTCTTTACTGTATGCTGATGACAGATCTAATACACACTTCCTCCCTATCTTCCACAACAACAATAGACATGAAAACATTACTTTCTGATAGATACATATGAAAACACAGGGTTAACTAGCAGGAAGGAGCTTTCAAAACTGATCTGAACTTTGACCTTGATCCTAAAAGCCCCACAGATGAATGAGTAAATACTGTTTGTCATGTGTTTAATTAAGCTGATAGAAGTTGACCCAGTGACCTTAGTTACACACCATCTTTAACGGCACAGTCCAAAATAAACAAAATATTCTCATCCAGTCTTTACGGATCTGCTGGGACTTAACAGAATACAATGGAAATCCCCCTGCAGACACTTAAACACAATCCACAATGCAACCAAAAACTCTGGAGGGATCTCAACAACAGCTTCATCTATTTATAACACTAGGAGTGACTATGAATCGGGGGACTTCATGACCACATTACTGTGAGACTGAAATGTTTTAAAGCTACGGTAAAACACTTCCTGAACTTATTACTTTTATCCAAAGTAAGAATTAGCCATTAAGCACTGCAATGAGTCACAGTACTGAAACAGTTCAGAGGTTTGTAAATTGTAAAGCCCCAAATGTGATCTGTAGCTAAGTCAGAGGTAAGCAATGCCGGACCAAGTGTACAACTTCATTTCTGAAGTCCAAGTATGGATACTCTTGGTCAATATTACGTCCATATGGTGTACCTAAATGTACATTCTGCTTCAATATATAAATAAAAAAAAACATTATCATCAGTTCTTTAACTTACATGCTACACAAGTCCAGAATTGCAGCTCCAAAACTGTAGGAATGATGGCAGAAATAACCAACCATATACTAAAATCAGAAACTAGAAGCACAAACAACAAAATATTTATTAGGAACACAAATATTTAAATACATACCTCAACATGTGTCTAAGGTTAGGCAATTTTTTTGCAGGCTGTTTGTGCACAGTATAGTTTAAGACCTAAAAGACTTGACCATGGATGCTGGGGGAAGGAATAACCATCCTCCTCTGCTATAACCATCACGACCATTCAATGAACTGCTTGATCTGAGGGATCATGCTTAATGCACGAGTATGGCAACACTACTATACAGAAATGCACATACACTGTTTGATTTCTTCGGGACTGGGTTTTTGAAAAGAAATTTCATCATTTGATTTCAGAGCAAAAGTGATGGGTAACAAAAACATTCACTGAAGTGAGGTGGAGTCAAAAGTATGATATTCATCTTTCAAATTTGATGGGGTTAAACTCATATGTCTCCCCCTAAAAATAATATATCAGCATAGATACTCAAACAAAAATGTCATTGTTGGCGTGCTGCAGTTTGATTTCTCTTCCTTTTTAACACTAGGGTTGACAGGAGAGTGAAACATATAGAGACAATCGAACTTATCAGTCAATCTTAAAAATATGAAGAAATCAAATGTACAACCTGCAGCACAACAACACCTTAATGAAATTTTTTTATGTTTCATTCTCTCAGTGAAATCCTTTTTTTTTACAAGGAATCTTTGAATTGAAATCTTTTTTCTTACAGATTTTTGGGCTATTCCCTGCCTTAACTAAAAAGATGAGAAAGCAGATTAAGTCAGAACCTGGGAGGAGAGTGTAAAGACTGACATGCATGTATAGGTCATGAGGATTATAGCCTCTGTGCATTAGAGTGCATGATTTCACCAAGGGGCCTAAGTGGACCCCTCTCTTATTCTGATTTGACATATCATGTATGTCACAGTATCACAAGTAAAAATACTCACTGAGTGAAATTGCCCTTTCAGCAGGTGGAAAAACAACAGGTGTTCTCCCTTTATTTTAAATTTGGTACCCAGATGTTATCTTCAATTCAATTCAATTCAACTTTATTTATACGGCACTTTTCATCAAAAGGAAATGCAATTCAAAGTGCCTCACAGAGGCTAAAAATAACAATAATGACAAAAACCCAACCCTTCCACCCACACACACACCCCCGGATCCACACGCACACAAAGACAAACACCCACCCACCCTCACTCACTCACACACACACACACACACACACACACACACACACACACACACACACACACACACACACACACACACACACACACACACACAGTGTGAGAATTTAAGATATGTTAAAGTTGTTTTGTTAAAGAGACATGGCCTGACACTGAGACATTACATGAGGAAAGAGCTACCTTTAGGAAACACTGGAGATAAAAATAGAGAAAAAAATGGTGAAAAGAGTAAAACCTGATGGACTAAAATAAGAAAATAATAATATTAAATGAACAGATAAGTAAAAGGGGTAAAAGAAGTAAAAACCTGTGCCGGGAAATTAAGAAAAAGACTAAGAGCCTCTTCTTAAAAACATCAACAGTCTCTGCTGGAAGTTTTCTTGCTGGAACATTTACAAGGCCGACTTCATTGTTCGTTTTACCAGACATAAACATATGCATAACTCCTGTGGTAACCAGGACCTGTGATGCACTTCATCATCATATTCTGAATATTCTGAATTTCTGATCAGTGTATTGATGACGTGACATTTAATTGACTTTTTAAAGCTGATAACATAAAGACAACAGAAAACTCTCGCGTAAGAAAAACTGCCACAAATAGACTCCAAAGTCAGTCAAAAACCATTGAAAACAAACACTATATTATCACCAAAAAGACAGGAAAAATGGGACACATAACGCATGAGGACACCAAATAACTTTGAGGATACCAAAATATGTTCAAAGCTGAAGAAAAAAAAAAAAAAAAAAAAGGACTCAAAACAAACTACACTACTTATGTAATCATTTCGTGTCTCTCTGGATCTCATGGTCTTGCTTAAGGATGGGGGAAGGGGGAGTTGCATGTCGGATAATCCGTCCATGAGAATCCTGAATCCTGTAAAGTACATGTACTGCAGCAAAGAAGGACAATACTCTCCTCTTAAAATCTGAAGGACATGGCTACATTAATTCGAGTAACCAAAGAATGGGAGGGACTAAAAGCCAAAACACTGAAGTTCAGAAGCTCAGCAGCGTTTTTGATGTAGGAACTCTCCTCCCCTGATCACAGAAAAGACAGTTACATAATCATCTCAAGGATTTGTTTCACACTTTTAAACACTTTTTCTTCAGTGACGCTCCATGTTCAAACCTAAAAGAAATCATATCTTTAGCCCTCTGTCCAAAACCTGAGACACTATGTTACCTCTGCTCGTCTCTCCAAGTGGTTTTGCAACCCTTTAAGTTGATAAACAAAGCCACGTGTTGCAGGGAAGTTTCCAAAGTGGGCGGAGCTTTCATATTTCCGGGTTCTGACTTGAGCATATAAGAAGAGCTGCGCAATGTCAACAGTAGACCCAAAAACGTGTAGAGGAAGACGTTTCCAAGAAGAAGAGTACATCTGAACACAAACGGGGATTATTTGCTGAAATTTTGACATTAGTTTAACCGAACGTCTTTGAAACAGGATGCCTTTCCTCGGACAGGACTGGAGGTCTCCGGGTCAGAGTTGGGTTAAAACTGAGGAGGGATGGAAAAAGACAACAGCAGAGGACAAAAACAACAATGTGACAGTGGAGAGGTTGGTCATAAAAACCGTGTGAGAGGTCAATGTTTGTGTTACAGCAGTTTTCTTCTGAGCTTCTGAAGTGCGCCATCACTTGAAATGTAGTTTTAGACGGATGGAGGGGGGGGCAGTGGTTGACATTTTGACTTGAAGCATCTGTATAAACAAAGGCAGGGTATCAAACTGCAGGCCTGCACCTTCGTGATGTTTTTATCTCATTACCTTCAGCGTCTTTTCTGGGGCCATGTTCCTTTTCCAGACTAATCACCAAGCTATTAATAACCTCAAAACAACTGAGTGGATTAACAAACGTCATTTGAGTCCACTTCCCTGAGTCAGTACACTCATGGCCTGAGCTAATACTTGAAGCGCATTTACAACAAAGGAAGTTAAATATATCTTTGATAGCTTTGTAGCTTAGCTTTGTTTTAATGCTTGAGAGTGTTTTCTGCCCAGGAGAAAAAAGCTCATGTTGTTGAAAGAAAGAAACTTCATGTTGGCTGCTGCTTTAAAGTTTGGACTCTGCACCAAGTTTAGAAGGTGAAGTGATGCCTTTAATGAAATATGGCTCCTTGTTTGTTTTCCAGATTCTGCAAAGACAAGGAGGAGGAGGAGTGTTTCAACAAGGAGAACCTGCTTCTCTCTCTCAGCTATGACATGGCTGCCAAGAAGAGGAAGAAAGACCTCATGAACAACAACACCAAGGCCCCCTGTGAGTCTCCACAAAGCAGCTTCACTGTCTGAAATTGTTTCTGTTAATATGCAAAAGTTTACCTTTTGTTTTAATAATGTGTAAGGGGGAATAATCCCATGATAATACCCCGAAGTTGAGTTTTGAAACAAAAACTAAAGATGTCATCTCTCATGAGGACATTATGCAACATTCATAAGAGAGCTCTGCCTTGATAATAATGTTGCTTATGATTAATTTTTAGTCATTTCCAAACATTTTCTCAAAGTGTATCACATTTGAGATTTGCGTGCCTGTGCATTTGTCACAATACTTACAAGAGGCTTAATGAGAACCGGCAGCGAATGTATAACATTCTGCTCTCTCTCTCTGTCAGATTTCCACAGGGAGAAGTGGATCTACGTACACAAAGGAAGCACCAAGGAGGTAACAAACCTACTCGTTAAGATTCTCATCAACTTTTCATATCATCATTGCTAACGTAAACATGCAGAGAAAACCCTATACTCCTCACCGAGGACTGCAATCTAATACCCTGATAATTAAATTCTCACAGCGCCACGGATATTGTACACTGGGAGAGGCCTTCAACCGCTTAGATTTCTGCAGCGCCATCAAGGACACCAGGAGATTTAATTACGTTGTCAGAGTGAGTTCATTTCTTTTTTTGTTGTTGTATTTTTTTTCTTTGTGGTACATGTTTTGTTACTGGTGAGGAGAGGGTTAACTTTAAGGAGGGTGTGTAGGCTCCTGTCACGCTCTTATCAATACCCTGCAGAGTACAGATGCACTGCCAAGGAGGGTATCTCTGTGTCCGTGGTGGGGAAATAGTGTGACATCTTGCAGTAAGAGCCATTTGGCATCCTTGAATTTGATCAGACAAAGCTGTTTCTAAAATTAATTACTCGCTGCCAATTAATGTTTATAATCATGAGTATAAAACTAAAGCACCTTCCAAACTTCCCACTGTTTCCACCTTAAATTCACACGGGATACCAAATTTATCCTGAAAGTACCCTGGCTATGGGAAAGCAGCAACAGTCATTATATCATTATCAATGATTTAATTCTAGATTATCAACCGGAAATCACTTGACACAGCTTTTCTTGCCCACTTCAAAGCATTATTACACTAAACTGAACACCAGCTCTTCCACATGTGCTCCCATGTGAGCTCAGGGTTGCATGTGGTCCCGCTCTCCAGAGCTGGAGGGGGAGGCAAACTGAGGGAGACGACAGCTGTGCGGTGAGGTGCAACTGCCCGACAGGGGTTTATGAAACCAGACCTGGCGGTTGTCAGGTGATCCAGGCCTTCAAAACACTCGCACACAGACAAATATATTTATCTCTGGCAGACGCAGGCTGTCTTCTATTGTGTTCTCTCCAGCTCTCTTTTCTCATCCAGCATTTGAACTTTTCTTTTCTATTTAAATGCCATCTTGATAAATGTGATGGAACAGCACCATTCTGGTTCAGCCAGGAGGAGACAGACCAATTTGAGATTGTAGGGGATCATGTTTATGTCTGTTTTATTGCTTTAATCCTCACGTATGGAACTTATAAACAGGGGACCCGTTTTCTTACATTCAAAATATAGAGAACAAAGAAATCTCACGTCCAATGAGAAGTGTGCATTTTAAATCCTTACATTTAACTTTCCACTCATATCTGCATCCGTTTGTTTCGGTCTCTGGTGAAGTTTTGGATTGACCTTTTTAGTGTAGGCTCCAGCTCACAAGTGCAGTGAGGTGTAGAAAGCCCGCAGAACAATATGGCTATGTAACACAAGCGTCCAGTCTGCACACGGTGTCCCAGGTCACTGCTCCTCACCGCTTGTGTCTGATGGCATTTGCGGGTTCATTTAACTCCATCTCAGTTACACAGATCAGTTTCTTCCTCCACAAAGACGCAACAAGTGGCCCCTCTCTGAGGACTAATGGAGGTCATTTAAAGGAGACGGAAAGCTTAAAATGATCTTGTTTTAACAGCTCTATCACGACAAAACAAGAAGATGTTGTGCTGTTAACCGTGTTTGCGTGTCTGTGGAAAAGTATGAGCTGATGGCAACATATGAGGTGCAGTGTAGTGAACAGCAGGAGCTAAAAGTAGATACGGAAACGCACATTGTTCTGCCCGGCTGCTCTACAAAGAGAGGAACACTTGATGAGCCGCTAAAAGAAGAAGGGCAGAGGATTATGTTTCGGGAATGGAGATGGAAAGAATGGAAAAAGGGTGCCAGGAAGGGGCAAAGAAGCTTAAAACTGTACAAAATAACAGGCAGGAAGGTTGAAGATTTAGGCTTTTATAAAGAAACAACACACCAACTGTTCCTTCAGGACTTAGCTGAATACTCACTTACTTTAGTCACACTTTGTTCTTGTAAGTCGTGTTTTTCTTTAACCATTTTAATGACTTTCTTAGTATTGCTGCGTAGGTGCTCACCTTTCATAACTGACCTGCTGGCTCTGCCAATAACCTCTCCAGTTTAGCAGGAAGTCCCCCCCCCCCCCTCTTATGATGTTGATATGATGACAAGGGTCACATGCTGGGGTCAGCATTGAGCAAGAAAAGGACTTGAGTCTCTCCATGATGTCACAGCATCTGTTACATGCCAGACATGCCACCCTGGAACTCGCTGCTTGTCCGCTCGCCAACGGCAACAACCTTGCAGACTTGTACACACACACATACACACAAACACTACTCTCTCAAGTTTGCACACGCAGTCTGTCAAATGATTCAGCTAATTCACATGACAGCAGGCTCAGGAGTCAAATGATTAAAAGCTTGTTTGCAAAGGCTGACGTTGTTGACAGGCCAGGCTGCTGTCCAGCACCTTTCCAGTAGCTTCTCCTCACACAAGAGCCAAGAAAACTGTCGTGAATCTGTCGTTGCTGTTAGTGACCAAGTGGAAGGGCTCCAAGTTTTGTACTTGACAGCATTTGTTCTAGGAGTGCTTGTGCTTTTTTGTAAGAATGCAGCATAACAAACATGAAGTAATGAGGCGATGGAGCAGACTCCCAGCAGCTGACAGGATGAAATTTATGTTGTGTTTTCTTTTCTTTCTTGCTGTCTCTTTCCCTCCGCCTCCAGCTCTTGGAGCTTATCGCCAAGTCCCAGCTCCCCTCGCTCAGTGGAGTGGCGCAGAAAAACTACATGAATATTCTGGAGAGGGTGGTACAGAAAGGTGAGCCCAGTCGTTCTTTTAAAGTCACTCAGCTTGTTTGCTTCTCTGTTTCTTTCCTTTTTTTGTGTCAAATGGTTTCAAATTTCTGCTGTGAGTTTGTTCTTTTTCCACATAAACACCAAACTCTTACAGACACAAGAATACACAGCCAGGGGGCTCTTTCAGTCTCTTTAGGAAAGATGATGAGTCCACTCTATGTTTAAGTGGCCTGACAATATGGGAAATGAAAGATAAAAACACTGACAATAGAGGTAGCTTGCACTCACAGGTTGAAAAACTGGCCTCAGTCACATTTGAAGAAGACCATGAAGTGAATTTAATGCTTTAAAGAGAAAGAAGAAAACACTGACTGTCAGCAGACCTTTCTGCAAGCCACAGTGTAAACTAAATGTTCCTTCAGCTAAACACAGATTCAGCTTGTTTAGGCGGCGTTATGAAACGACTTACAAGCTTCGCAGGAGAGTTTAACTGCTCCAAAACATTAGATTTAATGATGGAGTGTGAAATGATTCATCATAAATATTCTCTGCTTGGAAGTTGGCCCAGTAGAGACTCATCTTTCTAGCTGTAAATTTAGCCCACTGCTTGGTTTGTGGTTGGATCAGTACATCGAAGTCACTGATAAACTTCTGATTTCTGTTTTAGTCCTCGATGACCAGCAGAATGTTCGTCCCATCAAGGAGCTGCTGCAGACGCTCTACGTCTCGCTGTGCGTTCTTGTCCAGGACATGGGCAAGTCTGTGCTGGTGGGGAACATCAACATGTGGGTGCACCGCATGGAGAACATCATGCAGTGGCAGCAGCAGCTGGACAACATCCAGATCAACAGGGTAAACATCCACCCCAAACGCAGACTCTGGTAAATCATAGAGCGTTTATGAAAGAAAATTTACAGTTTTCTCTGCCTCTTTTTTCCTCCAGCCCACATCTACAGGCATGACCCTGACCGACCTGCCCGCCAGTCTGCAACTAAACATCATGCAGCGTCTCTCTGATGGCCGAGACCTGGTCAGCCTGGGCCAGGTGTGCCCTGAGCTGGGCCCCCTTACCGAGGACCGGCTACTGTGGAAGAGGCTCTGCCAGTACCACTTCACAGACAGACAGGCATGTAGAGGCATATCTCCATCCAGGCATGCAGTCGCGCTGCCTTCCTCTTTGTCCCTAAACTGTGCCACTGCCTCAGCTGACCTGCAGGTTTCAGACCTGTGACGATTAAATAAGATAGCAGAACAGACAGACATGTCACCAAAGTCGCTGCACAACGAGGTCAAGCACCTCTGATAAACATGATTTGCTGCTGGAAAGTGCACTGTGTAAGCTTGAAGCATACCCTTGACAATGAAGCTTGGTGGTCTCAGTGTTAAAGCTTAAGTAGGTTAAAGTAAAGCTCCCCTTACAAGTTACAGTAGTTAAGCTGATTTATGTATTGTTTTTAATCCATCGTAAATGCGTTTCTCTCAACCCCACTGATCAACAAAATCAAAGTTTTACAAGGATTCAATCACGACCGCTCATGTTTAAATTTTGCATACTTTTTGCTATTTTTAAAAGTTCCTAAAAAACTCAAACTCTACACATTTAAAAGCTATAGAAAGTGTGAAAATCACATAAAAACAGAAAAAAAAACAGATGCATTTTTAAGAAAAGACATCTGGTTAAGACAAAAAGACACGAAAGAGGACACCAGACTAGATCACGATCATAGAATGGTGCTAAAAATGCACAAAGGTGTGCAAAACTTCCAGGGGTAGACCCCAGACCCTCTTTTTCGTGATGGTGCAAACAATTGCATACCGTTTGCCAAAATCATATAACTTAAAAATAAACTTACCTTGCAAAACATCCACCTTCAAGGTTGTCTGTAGTGGCGAGTTAAGGTCAGAGAGAAGTTCTCATGAAACCTGGCATTAAAGAAGATATTTCAAAAGTCTTTTTGTCTTCTGGAGTCATGTCCTAAAGTCCGATTTCCTCCTCTTCAGATCCGAAAGCGCCTGATGGTGTCAGATAAAGGTCACCTGGAGTGGAAGAAGATGTACTTTAAGTTGAGCCGCTGCTATCCTCACAGAGAGCAATACAGTGACACTCTGCACTTCTGCACACATTGCCACATCCTTTTCTGGCAGGTAGGGTGTGTTTTTTTATCTCCATCAAAGCGAAAGTAAAGCCAGGCTTGGAAGATAAACCAGAATAAATAATGTAATATCGATCTTCTGTTTGTTTCTCCAGGACACAAACCATCCCTGCACAGCCAACAACCCAGAAAGTTGCACCATGTCACTCTCTCCTCAAGACTTCATCAACCTCTTTAACTTCTGACCCCTCCCCTGATCCACATGAACTGACTGTACATACTGTACATAGAGATGTACAATGTTGTTTTTCTTTTATAGCACAATGGATACGTATGTCGTTGAGGTGTGATTGCAGACAGCAGGACAATTATGCAATTGAGTTTGTTTTGATAGAGTACAGAGGCCTGTGGGAGAGTTCACAGTGGAAGCGAGTGAGTGTGACGGAGAGGAAAAAAGATGTAGCAGCAAACAGTGTGTGGATGGAGGAGGGCAGAAGAGTGGAGAAAGGGAAGAGCTGTCAGAGTCAAGTCTTCTCTTAGTGATTTTGAAGATGACACAACTTTTGATGTTTTTTTAAGAATTTGGTTTTATTATATTTTATCTTTTTGTCTTTCGAAGCTTTTAATAGTTTCAACACAATAAGTAGGAAAATTGAATGTGTCATCAAAGTTTGGAACTGTGTTATCTTTTTAAAGGCCCGCACAAATGTTGAGATGCAGTGTGTTTAATGTGGGGTAAAGGTAAAGGTTTAGCAGGGGAGTAGAAAGCGAATTTCGGTAGTTACAAACCCTGGGAGATAATAAATGTAAGGACGGAGTGAGTCACTGAATTTTCCGAGTGCTACTTCTTTGATATGTTGATAGTCACACCAGAGTATGTTTTCTATCTTTCTTGTTGTTTTTTCACTTTTATAAAGATTTGATATGACTTTTTTTGAAAATCATTGTGGGTTAATTCTTTCAGCTGTGGCTGCTATCGCGACAGCACCTGAGTGCAGTATTACCAAAAAATATCAAGAGTCAGTATAACAATGGTGTGTGTGCCTTCTCATGAAACTTGAAACCGGTACAGTTTGATCCGTGTTTGTGTCTTCAGATCCTGATGCTGTTTTGTTTTTCCATCATCAGTGAATATCTCACTTATAGCAGAGTGTTACTAAGATCTGAGGCACCAAATGTGACCTTTAGCTACATGTTACTTTCTGTAGCCTCCTGCATGTTTTTTTAAACACCCATCGAAATGAGTTTACGTATTTATTTATTGAGTTAAAGGCAAGTGGCTCAGCTTGCACTGTTGGGTTCGAAGGAATAGGATTATAGGACAAAAGGTGCAATTTTGACCCCCGAGTTTCCTTGATTACTGCTCAGACAGCGAGGAATAATGTACATGCTATGCAATGCATTCTGTTTATGTTCTGTTGAATTAATAAATGAAAATAACCACAGCTCTGCCTTTGTTTGTGTGCCGTCATTCTACATAAATGTGACTTTACATGGCATGAACTGAAGCAAAACATTTCATTCAGGGAGATAAGGTCAGCGGTGACAAGGGGCTGCGCTGTCAGCTGGGCTGTCGTGCACAGTGTAGTGACGCCCTCTATTGGACAAAGAATAAACTGCAAGGGAATACTTCAAGGAAAAACAGCTGATACTCAGTGCAGTCTGGGTGTACTGGTGTCAGACGAAATAAACGATGATTTCACAGGCCCAGGATATCTGAGAATTTCACACAACTGCCAAGAATTTAGGCAGAGCCAAGATGTGAAAGGAAGGGTGAATCCCTTCAGGCAAACAAGTAAAGAATAGATACAAGGATAATAGTAAGGTGCTCAGTGGTACTTGGCCTTGCTTTTACAGCCAAAGATTCAAACAATTGTTTTTGTTGGTAAGAGAAATGAAACTGATACATGATTTAAAAAAAAAAAAAACACATGATATTTCATAATAATGAGATAATAAGCCAGAGTTAGGGCACAGTCAGTCATATTTGTGACAAACAAATCAGTCTGAAGAGATACAAAGTCATACATCTGAGCCTATATAGGAGATAATATTAACCATGACTGTTAAAAAGATTTAAACAAACTGTAAACTAAAATCGAAGAGATAAAAGGGTCAAAAAAATCTCATAACAGTTTATAACATGGTTGCAACTTTTCATCTAAATATGTCTCATCACACAGGATTACAGTAATAATTAAGGCTGGTAACTTTTTAGGCCTTTTTGGACTAATAAAGCTTTGTATTATGGAGAAACATGATCTCCATGTTGGTTGACATCTCCTGAGTGTTTAAACCACATGCAGCTCTGCATTCTTTTTCATGCTAACGCAGGCCTGCTGTATAAAAACAACTGTGTTGTTAAACAGTGAGTTCAGTCTAAAGAACTGTTGTGCACAAGTATCAAATTGACTTTTTCTCAAACAAAAAGATTTATTATTTATTTAGTTGGACAACAGATTAAGTTATAACAAAATTTTTAAAGCAATGAATTTCAGGATGACTCAACGCAGTTTTAGTCATTTAATAATGGTGTTAGATAAATATAAATATAATGTAATTATTGTCAATTTCACAAAGAAATATGTTTGGTAAGTCATTTTAATTGTGTGCATCTCCCAGAGCAGGATTTCACATACAGTACATGTAGAGCCCTGCTCCTCAGGGCCTTTAGGTAGCTGTAACAGACAAATTCAACATATGAAAGCATGGTGTGTATGACTGGCAAAGGCATGAATTATGCAGCTGTCATGGCAATAACATTCAGGCAGGCTGACAACATCACTAAGTCTGCCCATAAAGGATGTTGATCTACCTTTTTTAATGCACGCTTACATCAAAACCTCAACATGCTATCACCACCCTCTATCCAGTATAAATCCACTGGTTTTAAAGAACAATGCCCCTAAATTCCAATCAAAAAGATGCAACTACGCTATTGGCTCGAGAGCAGAAAAATTCCTTTTTTTTTTTTTTTTGTCATATAGACAAACAGTTTTTTATTCTTGTCTATTTAAAGCTGCATTTTGAGCTTCTAGCTACTAAGCAACTAAACCACTCATCATCTCTGTTCAATATCATCCACATCTCTAAACTCAACATCATGAAAGTTCTGCAAAGAGAAATAAAAAGTGCCAGTGGAATAAAAATAAGGACTTTTTGGAGCCCAATAAGTTATTTTATTAATCAATCAAATTTGACTATTTACTCACATAGTGGTGTCTATTAATCTTGATTTCTAAACATTTGTTGTGAATTTTCTGCCTTGAGAGTACAGACATATAAAAAACCATGTTTGCTTTCTCTGATGTGCTTACATCTTGTTTGTTTTTTTTACATTCATAACTATTACTGTCACCTTGCAGTCATCAAATAACCAAATAAACAAAGCTGTGCAAGCTTAGAAACCAGTTTTGTAAAGTTTTGGTCCACTGTACAGTTCTTCAAGAGTACTTGCAGGACAAATCAGAAATTTTGAGAGCAGCGAGGACTAAAAAAGTGAATAATAATTGCGTTCAGACAGAGACATTGTCTTCCAAACCCTTAAACTTTTTATACTATACTACCATGCAAACACATCAGCTACAGTTTGTGCCTCCTGAAACACATAAAAAGCACCAGAAGCATTTTTTGAAAGCGTCTCCTGCTGCAGGAGTCACTAGTATTTGACATTACAGAGGATGTACAGTAAATTAGTTCAAACATTACAAAATTAGTTGCATATTATAGTAGTACCGAACAATGTTAAGTTAAAATTATGTGCGTATACCTCCTGAATCCCTCCTCTTTTTCCCTTTTGAAATAGGCCTTCGATATGTCATGAGAGCAAAAAAAAAATGTAGGCTAGTAATGTTAAAACAAATCTTCTTCAGCGTCTCTCTTGAATTCAATCTTTTTCAGTAGTGATGCTGTTTCACAGAAACACAGGAACTGCGCCCTTGCTTTAATTTGAATGGTTGTTCATGTGTCATAGAGTACAGCAGAAGTGGTGAGAATCTCCCACCACCAAAAACACAACTCTGACAGGTCCATTCAGCTTTGGCAGCGTCACATATTGTCTCTGAGCTTTCAGTGCATGGGCTCCGGAAGATGAAAGAGGAAGACTTCCCAGACAGTACAGGAACCAACAGCAGAGGATCCCGAGTCGGCCAGAATCCCATGTCGGTTTATGAGGTGTAGCTAGGAAGAGTAGTATTCACTGTACAGCTGCAGTCCTGTGTGTGTAGACGCATCATCACTGAACATTAGTTTGATTCTGCAGTCTACAGAAGCCCTGAGCAGACATGCATCAATACATTTTATTCACTCTGTTTTGATTTAGTGATTTACAGCAGTTTTCTCTAGATTTTGACTTATTCATCTCATTCTCTAAATGTAAAAACAGAATATTTTCCTTGCAATCCAAGTATCTGAAATTATTCAGTGACTCCAGAGTAAACAAAATATATATAGATGCATGTTCACTTTGGGCTTCCGTATTAAAAGAAACATGATATGCATCTGCTTGTCTGGTAAGACGGAAGGGGAAAGGAAAGCAAAGAGAAAAGTTACCAGAGTTAGTAAATGTCAAAGAGGTATGTTCTCTCTTTCAGAGTTCTGAATAATCCATTCAATAGCATCCCAGCCCTACAGATTCACACAGAGAGACAAGAGAGTTAAAGAAAAGCCACAGGCAATATATGCAGAGAGACATCAGTGAGAATAGTAGCTTAATTTTATGTCTGATAAACTGAGCCGAGGCTGCACAGAAACTCATACAGGCAGGGAGGTCCAAGTAACACGGCATGCAAAGAAAGTAATTGTTCCACTTTACCTTCCGGGCGTTTGCTGACATTCTCCTCGCCATCATCCCCTCAAGGTAACTGCTTAGACTCACTCCCTTTACTGTGATGATGGCCTCCTGGGTCAGGACAGTACTAAGTGAAACAGAGAAGAGAGAGAGAGGGAGAGAGAGAGTGTGATGAACAAACAGTATAACACTGTGTGCCTGTAAGAGCACGGTGTCTGTCTCATTCAGGTTTTATCTCTCTGTGAGCTATTACATTATGAAAATACCTGACGCCTGCACTCTGTCCTCAGAAACACAGTCAGCTACAATGATGAGAAAGCTCTTAATTAAAGCTCTTTGTACTTACACCTCAGGGTTGTCAGGGTGAGGTCTGTAGAGAAGTCGCTCATCCACTGAGATCAGGTTGGTCAGAGTGATCTAGATAAAAAAGCGTGTTTGAGTTTTTCTTGGATTATGATACAACAAACACAGAATGCAATGTTTGAATCATAAAAAGCAGTTTTTTAAAATCATGTAACAACACATTGTCTGTCAGTTATTTCGGGGTTTTCGTGCACTGCTTTGACAATTTTTTATGAATACAGCCCTACAAGAGCTGTAGATCTTTTTATTTTTATATTTTTTCAATTGAAAGAATAAAACTAATATCAGGTAAATACACAAAATCAGGACAGGAAATACTAGTGCTACCATTTTTATAGAATGCAGATATTTGTCTGCCTAAACCACACTGGACAATTACTCTCTAGCAGATATGTTTAAAACTGGGGGCTTTTCTGGTGATGTGTTTCCACTGCAACACATGACTGAGGGGTAGATGCTCAATATATTGATTTATTCTTTGAATGTTTACATTTTATCTTTAGTTTTAAGATTGTGAAAGACACACGTCTTTTAGTGCACTGTCTTTCTGTTTAGAGATAAAACTGCATGGAAAATACCCAGGATGCACAGCTCTGACAAAAACCTTGGTTTGTCATCTGTGAAGACATTCCACTCAGAAACTTCTGCCCACATAATATAAGATGTGAAACTATGTTCCTATAGCAGAGGTGGATTATGATTTGACTCACACTTGTTGAATAAACTGTGTTGAGTTTATAATTGACAGGTTTACTTTGTATAAACTTACATTTGTTGAGCACAGCTCCATCTTTTTCTCCTCTGGGTCCACTATAGAGTGTTCCTTTACATATGTCTGTGTCTGGCTCGTCCCCAAAATCTACACATGAATCCAGAAAACAGAAGCGTGAAAAATGTGTGCATTTTATCCATCTGTTAATCCAGCTACTAAAGTAAGAAGCAGAAGTTGGCTCTGATAAAGTGATGCTTTGGACACTGACTGCTCGCACGATTCCTGGGAGGCCCCACTCTGTGCTGAGGAGTCTATGGCTGTGCAGGCGTCCCTCTTCATCCAGAGTGCGGTCCAGCACGTCCACTCCGACCACATTTGGGTTCATGGGATTTGGGTACTTCCTCATGGCAGCCTTGATCACTGTTTCCCATGGGTAACTGCATACAGAGTCATACAACATGAGGGAAAGTATTTAGAGTAAAGAGTAAAAGGAGTGTAAGAGCATATAAGAGTTAAGTACATGCAACACCCAGGATTAGTTTTCAGAAGTAGCTCTGGAGGTAGAGCGGTCGTCCAGTAACCGGAAGGTTGGCGGTTCCATTCCCCCTTATCTCGAGTCTGTTCATTGTGTCCTTGGCAAGACACTTAACCCACCTTGCTCCCAGTGTGTGTCCTCCACTGGTGTATGATTGTGAGTGTTGTGTGGTGGTGGTCGAAGAGGCCGTAGGCACAAACTGGCAGCCACGTTTCTGTCAGTGTGCCCCAGGGCAGCTATGACTACTAAAGTAGTTCACCACAACCAAGGTTTGAATGTGTGAGCGAATGAATGATACATCCAATGTAAAGCACTTTGAGGGTCTCTGATGAAGCGCCATATGAAATCTGATGCTGCATTATTATTATCATTAGAAGTGGGTGTTATAATCTGTGTATTCACTTTAGAGAACAGTGTTACTTAAGAAACTGAAAATACTTTTTGAATGGATTTTAGAAACTGAGCTTTGAAGGTGAAGGCTTGTGTTAACTGTGTAAATTTTATGTTGTTGATTGTGACTCACCATCTCCATATTGCCTACATGGAAGCAGATGAATTCACTGACATGAAATATAAGTTTGGTGTTTGAAGTATTTCCAGATTGTCTTAGTTTCAGTGAATGGTGCTGAAGGTCTTATCAACTTAGCCCAGCTCTGACAGACCAGCTCACTCTGCATCTTTTACAGGCTACTCCAAACAATAAACGCCACCCTGACTGACCTGAAAACATGCTCCGTGCTCCAAATCTTCATCTTTTAAACACAGCCTCGACTTTGGCGCTGAAAAACCTTCCTCGTCGTGATGTGAAACCGTGTTTCAGCGAACCATTGTCATATGAGGAAATAGCTCCAGTGCTGAGAGAGAGTGGGGCCTTTAGGATGGGAGCTCTCAGCCATCAATGAAGTGAGTCCACAGAGGACAGCACCGCCTCTCTCGGCATAGCAGCCTGGTGTAAAGAATGCGCAATATCCAATACCAGACAAGACAAACAGTCTGAAACCAGATAATTTCACCTTTCAATCACCAGTTCGTACAGTAAAGGACGAGTTAGGAGCCGGTGTAAGAGCGGAGCCTCAGAGTGTCAAGTCAGACAAAGTGAGATACGCAACTGGTGACTGACCTTTCAACATAAAACCCTTTTGTTGCCAGGGTAGCAACATTTCGTTTGTCAGACAGCATTCTCAGCCTTTTTGGAAAAAGCGGTCTAGAAAAATGAGTGTTTTCAATGGACAGTGGTTTTCTGGTAGAACAACAACATTGTGGAGCTGAGGCGAAACTTTCGCTGTTTAAGCTGGGAAAGAACATGTTTTCAATTCGTCAACCACGTCTCACGATAGTAACAATCACTATAGCTACTTACTGAAACTTTGCAGTTCAGGCTATTTGATCACTTTCTCTACTTACATCCACAACACATTTGAAAGAACTTACCAAAAAAAGGTATATCCCATTGAAACGCTTGTCAATTCAACGAAAACCACTCAATGAATCAGATGTGGTTTTTACCAGTCAAGCTAAATATTTGTATGCTTTTGTTTTGCTAGCAAATGCACCGCGTTTCCTGTTTTATCATGGCTATGTCTACTCCACTTGACAAAGATGCAGATGCTTCGTCCGCCTCCATTTGTGCTCATGCGCAGAGCATCTTTCCAGCATCCCAGTCAAGTGTCCCTGGAGGAGCAGAAGTTCATCAAGTTGGAGATATTCAGCAAAGATCAAGACGGAAATACAGTGACGATCCTGATTAAATAAATATATACTGAAATAAACTGTAATCACATGTTTGATGGACAAACCCTTATCATTAAACTAAAAGATTTTCTAGATCAACATGTGAACTACTAATTATTTGATAGGCTTTACATTGACGAAAGGCTTTGTTAATTTACAATAATAATAATAATAATAATAATAATAATAATAATAATAATAATAATAATAATAATAATAATGATGATGTTGTCACTATAATTCCATGATAATAATAATGATTATAATGATAATCATTATTATTATTTTTGTTATTGTTATTATTTTTGTATATGAAAAAGATCATATATAATATTTAATGATAATAATTCATGATAATAATAATAATATAATAATAATGTCACTGTAATTCCATAATAATAATAATGATCATAATCATAATAATAATCATTATTGTTGTAATTGTTATTATTTTTATATATGAAAAAATCATATAAATATATATATATAATGATAATATTTAATGACAAAAATTCATGATAATAATAATAATAATAATAATAATAATAATAATAATAATAATAATAATAAATAATACAAATAATAATTATAATAACAACTATAATTTCATAATAATAATGATTATAATCATAATAATAATAATTGCTGTTATTGTTATTATTTTTATTTATGAAAATTATCATTTATATATAATGATAATATTTAATGATAATAATCTTTGATAAAAATAATAATAGTGATAATAATAATTATTATTATTGTTATTACAATATCATTAATATTATTATTATTATTATTTGTATTTATATTTGTATTATTATCATCATCATACAATATTATTATTCTATAGCTGTAAAAGTGAAGGTATCAGCAGTAATGATTTCAGCTTCAGTAAATAACAATAAAAAAAAACATTTAGATTTGGGGGATTTTGAATTTAGATCGTTCAGTCGTGATATAAAAATGCGGTTTGAAGCATTTTGTTTTGAAAGAAACCGGAAGTGTGTGGTGTTTCATTTCGAAATTGATGGTAGTGTTGTGGAGGATCAGAGGAAGAATTCAGTGAAGCAGACGCGCTGTGGAGGCTAGTGTGCTCCCTTAACGACAAATTCATGCCATCGCCGTTAATCCGGCGACCCGTTCATTTCACTCTGGATTGTGCAAATTTAATAAATATTTAGATAACGGGTCCTGCCGAGCACGAGCCGGAATAACTCCCTCTGCGTGACCTTGCATTGAATGTCATTATAAGGGGATTTTTTTTAAAGCACCGACACGGTAAGGTAATAAGCATCTTCATCCGCACGCAGTAGAAGACGAGATAGATATTGATATTCTGTGTGTCTGTAGGTAACTGTTTAGCCATTTTAATTGAGAGAACATATTAATCTTTTATGGGCAATTGTTAGTCTGTTTTGCATATTTATGGCTGGAAAGCTTAGACGTTTTTAGTAATATCATATTGATAGCCTAAGTGGAGTGTTCGTGCAGCCAGGCTGAAGGCCGTGCTGCATGCCGCAGAATGCAAATTCGCCATTCAAACTGTGAACATCCCTGCTGCTGTAAAGAAATTAGCCCAATCCTTTCAGAAACAGAGCATATGGGGTCACGTCTTATTTCAACAGATGTAGTTTATGGCTGGTACTCTGACCAGTTTCTGCCCGAGCAGTATAGGAGGCAGATGCTGCAGCAGCGCCTGATCCGCTCTGGGCTGGAGGGAGAGGGAGTGAGGGAGGGAGAGGGAGGAGGGGGGACGCCATCCATCCTTACAGGATCATTAAATCATACTGAGGGTCTCACTGCGCTACTTATCCCCCGCGCGAGACTGGTCCCTTTTTGACCCATTTTAACGTAAAAGTGGGACACGAGGCAACCCCCCACATTTTGATGGCCACCAGGTTGGTGATCCTGGTGGTCGTGCTAATGCCAAAAATCTGCTGACACATGCGCTGTGCCGGCCGGTGCTCCCTGCCTTTGTGCGCAGTGAAGCCTATATCTCATCTGTCATGGCCTTATTGGGCCACAGACTCCTAAAGATTTTGATTAACACTGTTACCTCCAGAACAGAGGTGTTTACTCTCTTAATGATGTGAGAAGCTGAATGATTATCATCTTCAAGGTGATTTCTGAGTACCTGGAAGATGACACCACAACCACTCATACAACCTGGCTCTGAATACCAAATACTCTTGAAATCTGAGTGTTTGGAGGTCTTAATTCTTACATTTTAAATTTCAGGTCATCTGCTGCAGCCATGGAGATTGTCACACATTTAATCAACGACACCATAGAATTCTACAAATGGACCTTAACTATTGCAGGTAATATGATATGCCTTTTTTTGCTCTGAAAACGGTTATTAAACTCCCCTTTCCCCAATGTTTGCATTTGCATTGATAATGTACACATTTCCAGGAGATTTTGCTTTTGTGATTCAGTTATAAATGTATCAGAAATCTCCTTTTTATGGTCAAACTGGTTCTTCTACATTAAATTAGTACTGGACTTCACCTACCACACCAATGTCAAAGGTGAACACTGTAACCTTTAACCTTTTAAGGATGTTATGTTCTCATCCGTATCCATTATATCTAAAAGAAAATGCATGCTTCATTACACCAAGATGTCTCCACCATTTAACCTCCAGACAGCTCACCTCAGGAAAAAATCCTGGCACCTGTTAGCATCCATTCGACCTGCACTCTTCTTAAAATAAACTGCTCTGACTTTGGCAAACATTAAGACTGCTTATGTAATGCTCTGAGAACATCTGTCCCTTCTGCAGACAAGCGAGTGGAGAAATGGCCCCTGATGGACAACCCCCTGCCCACGTTGGCCATCAGCACCTCCTACCTGCTGTTCCTCTGGCTGGGACCCAAATACATGAAGAACAGAGAGCCCTTTCAGCTCCGCAAAACACTTATCGTCTACAACTTCAGCATGGTCTTCCTCAACTTCTTCATCTTTAAAGAGGTAGGTTACCACTACACACTACACTAAAATATACCTGTGTTTACCTGCATGCACTATAAAGGTGAATGTGTGAGTCTTATCCTTGCAAAATCTCACCCTATTACTGTTGATTCAGCTTGTCTCTTCTTTCTTGTTTTTTAGCTGTTTATGGCAGCGCGGGCAGCTAACTACAGCTACATTTGTCAACCTGTGGACTACTCAGATGATCCGAATGAAGTCAGGGTGAGTTTTGGGAGCAAAAGCAGCTTGAACACATAACATTGAGACATACATTTGGTATTTAACACAAGTTAGACATCACAATAATTTCAAAGAGGAGCGATATATAACTGCCAACTGACCACAAAATAACATGTTTCTCAGAGAAGTTTAACATGACAGCAGTGTAATACTGTGCCCGTAAAAGTTAAATAGCCCGCCAGACACACTTCACTCTCTAGGCCAAAGGAACACGATCAGATTTCATTCATCTGCATCCTGCCTTTGTAAACAGAAAAAGTGCGAGCTGGATAAGGCATCGTGGAAGGTGTTCAGTTTCACCTTCTTTCCTCCTGCTCCATGACATAGTTACACGCCTGACACAGTCACTGTCTCAGGTGAACCTGAAGGAAAGCTGCCCTAGAAATACTAGAAAAGAATAGATTTTTATAAAGGAGTTTCACACTCATGTAGGAATTAGTTTGATCAATAAAAATGACCACTTCTTGATATCACAATTTATAAGTCCAAAAGCTCTTCTTCTGTTCTTTCTCTTATTTCGTCTCTCTTTTGTTTCTCTCCCCTTCCTCCCCCTGTACCTGTCTGCTCCTTCCTCCTCCTCTCTTGTTCTGTCTGACATAGGTGGCAGGAGCTCTGTGGTGGTATTTCGTCTCAAAGGGCATTGAGTATCTTGACACGGTGTTTTTCATCCTGAGGAAAAAATTCAACCAGGTTACTTTCCTGCATGTCTACCACCACTGCACCATGTTCACGCTCTGGTGGATCGGCATCAAATGGGTGGCAGGAGGACAGTGTGAGTATCTCAGATTCAAAGAGAGTTTTGTTGGACCAGACATGCCAGATTTTACCAATGATGTAAAATATTGTTACACCTGCAATCAAAATAGATTCAAATGCTAATTTTGCACATTCTAGCTGATTTAGTGCAAGACAAGCAACGTGCACCAGGAGATACACACTCTTCAACATCCTGTAGGGGTAATGGTGAAAGGTTTTCACTGATCAATTTAGCATTTATCAAAAGTTTTGTCTGTCATCAGCATCTACATCACATGATTTGGTTCAAGCTATCTTACATCATTTCGTCAGCCTGATCAGAAAACATCATGGCCGCCAGTGGTTGGAAACCTGCTTCCCTTGGGGTTGGAAATCATTTATAAGTCATACTTATTTTTTATGAAACAACAATTTAAAGTCCTGAAATTTATTAGGACATTTGTCTTAACATTCAGATGAAGAGAAAATGTTCCAACTGTGTTTGTGATGTTAGTTATCAGCTTTTGAAAGATACGTATCCCCTGAGATACATTGCCAGATTAGGGGTAAAAATTTGGTCAATGTGAATTATTCAGAATGTTGTTCCAAACTGGAAAGCATGTGAATAATTAGACATTAGACAATGATCAGACCCATCCCAAGATCGGCTCTGCAAAGTGACACCAGTGCTGGAGCACATGAAGAAGTGTCTGGAGATTGAGAGTGAGAACATGTTCTCAATAGATGAAATGATAGTCCCTTACAAGGGAACAAAGGCTGGGTCTCTCCGACAGTATCTCCCGAGCAAACCTCACCACTGGGGCTTCAAGATCTTTGTTAGAGCAGGCATTTCTGGGATGGTGTATGACTTCCTGACATACACTGGAAAGAGCACATTTGGCACAGGTCAAGGTCCAGTCAAAGACCTTGGAGTTGGAGCCAGTGTTGTCATTCAACTCTGCAAAACCATCAAGAACCCATTAGATTGTGTTGTCTTCTTTGACAATTTTTTCACCTCCCTCCCACTCATTGTGCATCTGAAGGAGTCCCTTGGTTTGCGAAGCCTGGGAACCATCCGCAAGAACAGGCTTAAAGGATGCACACTTGAGGATGACCGTGGTCTGCTGAGGCAAGGAAGGGGCAGCTATGACTATTGGATGGATAATGAAGCAGAAGTGGCTGCTGTAAAATGATCTGACAACAAAGTTGTCACCTTAGCTAGCTCCTGTGCTGCAATAAGCCCTGTTAAGGAAGTCAGACGTTTCTGGTACCTGTGCCTCTTTTGGCAAATGGCTGATATAGCCATCAACGATGGATGGCTGCTGTATCGCTGAGATGCCAAAAGCATTGGTGTTCAAAAGCACAAAAAGCTAAAAAAATTCAGGCTGGAAGTTGCAGATGCCCTTATCCACAGTGGAAAGAAGAAGGGAAGGCCTTCCAAACGAGGGGAGGAGAATGTGCACAGCCCCACCAGATGCATACAAAGGCCAACAACCCCAAGACCCACGGCTGATGTCCGCCACGATCAAGTGGATCACTTCCCAGCTTTCACCGACAAGGGAAGGTGCAGGTTTTGCCCAGAAGGGCAAAAATCTATTGCACAAAATGTGGTGTTCGTCTGTGCATCATCACTGGGAAAAACCCACGCAACTGCTTCCAAGCGTTCCATAAAAAATGAAATATAGAGGGGAAATGAGGGGCATTGATCATAGAGTTCTCACCAGTATAGAAAACTTGGACCCAAGAAATTTCCCCAGTGTTCAGTTTTGTATGTATCCTTTGAGAAAATGAAATTGCTGCATTGTTTTGTGTAATGTTCAATGCACAAAAAGTTCAATATGTTCCTCATGATATTTTCCGTTGTACTTTTTTGACACTCTTTAAAGAGATTGCCTCAAAATTAGATTATTCAACTGGATTGGTAAAAATGAATAAAATCAACCTTAAAAGTCCTATGTGTAATGTACATGAACAAGCAATAGAAAATGTATAATTTATCTTCATCAAATTAAACATTAATATTTTTATTACATAGGCTCTGTTTGTACCTAAATAGGGCAACGCATCCTGGGAGATACGACTCATAAAATCAAAAATATTGAATCAATATATATTTTGCATGTGGAAATATTACTCTTAGGGCTTAAAGAGATGAGTGGTAACATTAAATTATTTTTTGTGACTTCTTTTCCACTCCTGGCTGTTTTAGGGTTAAAATAAATACTGCGTTTTCTAGTTTCCAAACTGTAATTTGTGAGATTTATTCTCCATTCTCAGGGAGCCAGTGTCCTTCATTGATTTCCAAAAAGTAATTCTCACACAGGACTTAGTCATGCAGAGCCAACATTTCCTGTTAATATCTCTCATACCTGGCCCAAGGAGAAGCAGCGTAAGGCACAAAGAGAGCTCCTCTTTCCTCTAACCCAAGGATGACCACTGAAACAGCATTTGCTGTTAAAAAAAAATGCTGATCTCACACAGAGTAGATTCATATCGAGACAAGACAAACCAGTCTCCCATATGTTAATCCAACTTTCATACCTCAATAAAAAAATAATATACAGGATCTTAACATACAGAGTTTCTTTTTACTTCACTTTGTAGGACTGCTCTTCAATGATAAAGATTTGACAATGTACACAGCACAACTCTCAAAAAGGTGCTATCAAGATCAGGAAATCAAGAAAAGGCATGCAGTGTAACAGGTTTTAGCAGGTTTCAATACGATGTGACACACCAACTATGATTCCTCAATGGCAAAATACACCCACTGAAATTAGATATTTTAAATACTGCACAGTAACTAATTTGTTTGTATTGAAAAAAAAAAACAACTGTATTTCAAGCATGTAAATTGACATGATAAAAACCGATGTCTGTGTTCTTTTTTTGTAGCATTCTTTGGTGCACACATGAATGCAGCAATCCACGTTTTGATGTATCTGTATTACGGCCTGGCCTCCTGTGGACCTAAGATCCAGAAGTATTTGTGGTGGAAGAAGTACTTGACCATCATCCAGATGGTAAGATCAGCACTACTATTGAGAAAAACTTTATTAAAGTGGTTCAGAGGGTTTATCACTCAATTAGTATATATCTGTACTGCATTATCTCAAGATGTTTTACAAATACTTTGCAGCATTTGGCCAGAAACAGACAGAAACCTTGTGCAGAACCAGACTTGCCTCATCTAGAGCTACTGTGTTGGGATTGGAAAAGGACCAGAGGGAGAGAGATGGATAGAGACCAACAACAACAACAACAGCTGATACAGGCTTATAGTTACAGTGCCAATAATAATGCTAAGATAGGTGTACTTTTTATATGAACTGTAAGATTAATGATAAAGACTGATTTATGGCAACTACAGTTAACAGGTCTGATAGGAGCCTTCGTGATAATGTGGTTAATATACACAGGAGTAGGAATGATTATATTAATTACCGCTGTTGAATTCAAGCTGGTCGGGAAATGGCTTTTAACATTGTTACAGTGATGATAGTCAAGCTGGTATTAATAGCTGCAGCAGCTGGAGTCTGGCAGGTCCACAGCAGCAAGCAGTCTGCAGCAAGGATCCTGAGGAACCTATAAGACAGGGGAGCTTAGGGAGTCCCAGAAAGATCCATGGTTTGTAACTTTAATGGGACATTAGATATAAAGTTAAACTCACAGACTGAGAGGGGAGAAAGAGGGAAAGACTGGAGCTCTGTATGCCAGTTTCCTCTAGCAGTCTAAGCCTGTGGCAACATAACTAAGAGCTGGTCCAAGCCTAAAACAGCTGTAACCATGAGCTTTACCCAGAGGGAAAATTTGAAGTCTACTCTTTAAAGTAAAGGGAGCGTCTATCTATCTGACTTGTAAATGATTCCAATAAAGAGCATTGATAAGTGAAAACTCTACCTCCATACCATACTAATTTAAAAGACTTGAGTATGACAAGAAGGCCTGTGTGTTAGTAGCATTAGTAGTAGTAGGGTCTTACAAGGCTAGTAGGGCACTGCAAGCTCTTTAAGGTGTGGTGGTTTCTCATCATAAAGAGCTGTTTAGGTGAGAAGAAGGATTTAAAATCTCATCATTGATAGGATGGGAAGCCAGGGTAGAGAAGCTTATACAGGAGGGATGCACTCTCTTTTCCTAGTTTTAGTCTAAACTTCAGTTCCAGCATTTTGGACCAGCTGAAGAGCCTTCAAATAATAACCAGGGCAGCCCGATAAAAAGGGAATTACAATAATCCAGCCTCGAGGGCACAGATGCATGGACTAATTTTTCTGCATGGTTCTGAAAAATGACATCTGTTTTTTGACTGATGCCATCTAACCTAGTACAACAAAGGTTTAATCCTTCCCCTTGTCTTTCAGTGAATCTTCAGCTGGAAACTGAGGGACTGACACAAATATAATGTTGATTTTGTGAATTTCTTTGCATCTCAGATCCAGTTCCATGTCACCATCGGCCACACTGCCCTATCCCTCTACGTCAACTGTGACTTCCCCCACTGGATGCACTACTCCCTCATCTGCTACGCCATCACCTTCATCATCCTCTTCGGCAACTTCTACTACCAGACCTACCGCCGCCAGCAGCCCAGACGTGACGCCTCCTCATCCTCCTCTAAAGCAGCCAAGTCTGTCTCAAACGGGTCCCTCAACGGGCTCAGCAAGGCCGCAAACGGAGCCGTGGTGACAGGGAGCAAAGAGGAGAAGCCTCAGGAGAACTCTGGGAGGAGGAAGAGGAAAGGAAGAGCCAAAAGAGATTAGAGGAAGAAGAGTGAAGGAGGTGAGGTAGGGCCTTGCTTTGGGTTCTAGGTTTATAGTGTTAAAATAAGAAAGACTTAACATGAGGAAAATTTAGAGGGATGGATGCGCTGAGGTGTGTTTATTTAAGCCATGATCAGAGTTGTTGTAGATAAAACGTGAGACAGATTTTTGTTCAGGCAGATCAATCTGACAGTATGAGGTGTCAACAGTCTTTGCTAAGGTGACACAAATAACCCAAAATATTAAAGTGTATGGTACAGGATATATCTTAGTATCACTTGTCTTTATTGTGGTGCCAAGTACTGTAGATCTGGTTCACAAAGTGACTTTCAGCTTGTAAAAACAAAACCTGACATTGTTTGAAACAGAGTTTATCAGGCATGCTGGGAGAGCTTCATCAAATACATTTGAGCTGCTTGAGAAAATTAAATTATCACTATTAGCACCCACTGTTTTATTGAGACAGGAATATAGATCATAACACATACAGAAACGTGTCTATTTATATAGGAGCGTAACACCTTTTCTTGTTTTCAAACTGATGATAATGTACACTTTCATATCTATTTTGTCTTTATTTAATTCAAGCTATTATTGATGTTACGTGAGAGACTTAAGTTAACAGATTCTTCAACATGAAGTTTTCTTATTTATTTATCTCAAGCTGTGGCCTCACTCGTTTTAATATTTCTTTCACCTGTTGTGGCATATTTACATTCTAAAGATGGAAAATAGATCAATATTCAGAGGTAATATGTACATAGAAACCCAAAAGTCAGATTTAAAACCTTTTTATGCTTGGCTGGGATTATTTCATCACTGTTTTATGATGGAAAAATCACCAACTGAGCTGACAGGAGGTTCAAACTGAACATTTCTATTTCTGCATACAGCTGTTACAGATTTTTTTATGTCTTTACTCGTATGTGATGCAATGCTATTTCATTAATATGCAGATAGATGATGGATTATCTCAATGTTTCCTGTTTGACAGAGAGGCTGGTGGAGTTGTGTCTTTGCAAATGTTTACCTGTTTACCTTTTTATATTCCCTCCGCTCTAATGTTGTCGTTCGTCTTTCATGCTGGTGAAAAAGTTGTGTGCCGGACAAAGAAACAGTCACCTGAGAGTTTTGTTGATGAGCAAACAGCCAGTTTTTATCAAGCTAATATAACCTTGGGCGCCTTTTTCTTTCAATTTTCAGCGAAGTATCCTTTGGTGTCTAAGTTTCAGGCTAAACACTGCGTCCTGGGCTGGCTTGAATGTAAATTCATCATGTGAAAAAGTCGCATTCAAAAGGAGAAAGGTTACGAAACAAAAGGAGCCATGTCTGTTTCATCACTCTCAAGTATACTGCTCTGCTTGTAGTATAAAGGGAATACATCAGTGATTGGCTCTATAACAACATGAATCCAGCTTTATGTCGTCCATTAATGAACGCATTTTTGATGTTATTTATGATTTTTTCTATTTATTTATTGTAAATACCAGTTTTCACCCACTATGAGTGCTTGTCAGTGTTTTTGTGTTCTTTTTTGTGTTGTACATATTACATTGTGATATTTTGTACACTGCGCATTTGGGAATGTTCCCAGCTTGTTAGCTTGGACAGTTATACGTCCACATTGCTTCTGTGTTTTTTTAAAGTATATTATCTTTGAACTCTCTTAAATCAAATTAAACTGAATGCCTCTATCAATGTGTGACCCTTTTTTTCATCATCATGTGAACTTTTGTAAAGGAATTTTTGTTTTGTCTATTTGGGCTCCCACTTTGGACCATAGGGAGCCATAAAAAAACAAAGGTAACAAGTGGCTAAGGGTTAGGTATAAAGGTGCAGCCACAGAAAATCATGGCTGAAAAGGCTGACTATTCACAGAGTTGAGGGGAAAGGAAGGTATAAAGGTGCACAAACAACAGTGGTGACAGCAGACCTAAGGGGTCTGTCAATTTAAGAATGAGGGGGGCCTCCGAGTAAATACAGTTCGTCGCTACATCTGTAAGTGCAAGTTAAAACTCTACTATGCAAAGCGAAAGGCATTTATCAACAACATCCAGAAATGCCGCCGGCTTCTCTCAAATTGCTTTTGGAAATAGTGGATGTCATGTACTCCGGGCCAAAGAGGAAAAGAACCATCCAGACTGTTATCAACGCAAAGTTCAAAAGCCAGCATCTGTGATGGTATGGGGGTGCATTAGTGCCCAAGGCAAGGGTAACTTACACATCTGTGAAGGCAACATTAAAGCTGAAAGGTACATACAGGTTTTGGAGCAACATATGCTGCCATCCAAGCAACTTTTTCATGGACGCCCCTGCTTATTTCAGCAAGGCAATGCCAAGCCACATTCTGCACGTGTTACAACAGCGTGGCTTCGTAGTAAAAGAGTGCAGGTGCTCGACTGGCCTGCCTGCAGTCCAGACCTGTCTCCCATTGAAAATGTGTTCGGCATTATGAAGCGTAAAATACGACAACGGAGACCCCGGACTGTTGAACAACTGAAGCTGTACATCAAGCAAGAGTGGGAAAGAATTCCACCTTCAAAACTTCAACAATTAGTCTCCTCAGTTTCCAAACGTTTATTGAGTGTTGTTAAAAGGAAATGTGATGTAACACAGTGGTAAACATGCCCCTGTCCCAACTACTTTGGCACGTGTTGCAGCCATGAAATTCTGAGTTAATTATTATTTGCAAAAAAAATAGAATTTATGAGTTTGAACATTAAATATCTTGTCTTTGTAGTGTATACAACTGAATATAGGTTGAAAAGGATTTGCAAATCATTGTATTCTGTTTTTATTTACATTTATCACAATTTCTCAACTTCAATATAAGTAGGGTAATAAAACAGATCCTGGTGTTAAAGGACTTTTGGTATCTTCATTGTTTCCTCACTTTTCCATCATTGGTAGAATAATGTAAAGACAGGATCTGTATTTTTCAAGTTTAAGCCCCTTTGGGAAATTAACTGTTTGGTCTGGTAATTGACATAATTTCATGTATTTTGGGCCACTGCAGGAAAAGTCATCAAGTTTCAGGCTTAAAGAATGATGTTTACGGTATTTTTAGTGCTGTTAAAAGTCAAAACGGGTCAAATTTGAGACGAACAGTCTGTAAGGGTTAAATACTGCATAACAAAATAACAATGCTGTGTTTATTCACAGAGCGTTTATTTTATCGGTGACCCGCATCAATCGGTAGGGGGAGGTGTTGCATCATAACGCGTTGGTTTCACATACCGTAAACAGTGAAGAAGAATCTGTTTAGAGCGGACTATAGATCACTGCTGGTCATCCTCTGTGTAAAACACTCCAGATTTAACTCTCTGATCAGTATTAACGTGTCTCCTCTGACGGTTTACCAGCGTTTCAAATATTCGATTCAAACCCAGGATCCCTCACTGCCGTGACAAAGGCTGCGGAAATGGCGGAAAATACAGGTGAGTGGGGTGGCTAATGCTAGCTGGGTAGTTAGCAGTGTGAATTCTGAGCGAGCCTGAACAAAATCACTCTGTAACACAAACTATCAAATAAGGCTTTGGTTCTCGGTTTGAAAGAGACACGGTCCTGATAGGATTGTTGGCTGGTTAGAGCTCTGCTCTGCTCTGGAGCTTGTCCCAGTGAACGTTTGCTCTGCCGGCTGCATGTTGTGTGAGGACACGACCAGAGGAGACTTCATCCACGACCAGAGGAGACTTTATTTACGACCAGAGGAGACTTTATTTACGACCAGAGGAGACTTTATTTACTAGAAAAACTTCAACTATTGAGACAAACCTGCAGCCTGGAGTGTCAAATTCATATCTGATAGTAAATCCTCCTTATTTATACCATCCAAAGCTGTAAGTTAACACATGTAATCTCAAGTGTATCTGCCATCTGTGTGGTCAAATGTTTACACCAATTCTACAGATTGGCTTTAGGTCGATTTTAGATCATTAAACACGTCCTTTATTTCACTGAGGACGTTAAATGGTCTGTAAGTGTAGGTGGAAATGATAAAACTGATATTTTTGAAGGAGGTCCTCATCTGTCAGGTCCTGGACTCTCACACATGTACAGTTGTAAAAAATAGTATGTGAACCCTTTGGGATTACTTGGATTTCTGCATAAACTGGGTATAAAATGTCTTCTGATCGTCATCTAACACACAAAAATAGACAAACACATTCTGCTTAAACTAATACTTCACAAAAAATACATGTTTTCATTTTTCATATTATTTTGAGTTGCTGTGGCATGACCTCAAGAGAGCAATTCACACCAAAAATTAGGCCTGGGCGATTTGGTAAAAAAAAAATGATCACGATATTTTTTCATATCGTCCGATCTCGATTATTATCACGATTTGTTTTTGAAACTGCCAGTTTTAAAGCATCTGTACTAAAAACTGAAGAAACTAGAGATTAGTTCAACATTTTATTAAACAGATCTGTCGTGTTGCCGGTGGCACCGACCGCCAACATACCTTACACATTGGCGTCATTTTTCAATGTCACTTTGGAGATACCTGAACCACCACCACACAACCGACAATAATTTTCGTTCTCAACAATAACATCTTCGGAGGATGACTCAAAGTCACTGCTGACATCTATTTTGTTCTCCTCAACTCCACGTTTAGCTTCCCATTCGGTCATTCTGTTTACTTTTCCAGCAATTTACAGAAGTGAGCAGGATCGACTCTGATTGGCTGTTGTGATGCACATTTCCGCCATGTTTGATTGAGTAAATATGCTCACAGCTGATCACCGTGATCAAACTGAAATTTATCACGATCATCAATCACAAACATATAATCGCCCAGTCCTACTAGACATCCCAGGAATATTGCTGAACTGAAACCGTTTAGTGAGGAGGGATGGTCCAAAATTCCTCCTGAACACTGAGCAGGTCTGATCTGCAACTACAGGAAATGTTTGGTCGAGGTTATTGCTGCCAAAGGAGGGTCAACCAGTTCTTAAATCCAGAGGTTCACATAGGACTGGGCGATTCACCTTCGCAATCACCTTGCACTGTGAATGTTAACATGCTGTGTTCATTTAAAAAAATATGTGCAGTATTAGTTTAAGCAGAATGTCTTTGTCTATAGTCAAATGAAGATCAGAAGACATTTTATGCCCAGTTTATGCAGAAATCCAAGTAATCTCAAAGGGTTCACATACTTTTTTCTTGCAACTGTATCTGAACAGGTGATCAGGATCCAGGGTTCAGAGCAGGAGGTTCAATGGGGCAGGGGCAAAAACATGAATCACCTTCGCAGTATTATCTTAAGTTGGGGTGTAAAATCCACACAAAACCAAAGTTTTTTTCGTAACTCGTAGACTGTTATATTAAACTTAAACTGAAGACATGGGAGCGCCAGCCCCTCCATGTGCACTGCTGTCCAGCATGTAGTCTGTCTGTTCATTTAGGCTCACAGAACCGGTCAGAGGGATCTGCTGTAGTTCACTCAGAGCATCAAAGTGACTTTGACCCTAGCATGGTTGATCATTTTGGGATTTATATGTATAGAGAAGTTATAAAAAGAGTGGTGAGCAGCATTTCTGTGGGTGGGAATGTCTGGTTGATGCCAGAAGTCATAGGAAGACAGCAAGAATGTTTCCAGCTGAAAGAAAGGCAACAGTCTCCAGAATAACCTTTCATTACAACTGGGGTAAACACAAGAGCGTCTCTGAACACACAACATGTCAAACTGTGAAGCAGATGGACTACAGCAGTAGAAGACCACGCCAGGTGACCCTTCTGTCAGCTCAGACTAGGAAACTGAGGCTACAGGTCACACAGGCTTACCAAAACTGGACTATGAAATATTGGAGAGACCTGGTCTGAAGAGTCTGACGATTTCAGGTAGTTGGTCAGAATCTCTCAGCTCAGCAGGCTCACACTGACAGGACAGGCTGACTCAGTGCTTAATCATGTCAGTAATTCCATGAATTCATTTTCAAATGGAGCCAAATTTAGTTTGTTGTGTATATGTTTCGGTGTTTTATTGCTGTTAAATGTAGATTTGGCCTGTAAGGCTGTTCACAATGAGACAGATAGTTGTCATGACATGATTTCAGCACCCATCAGTGAGATGTATTGTTAAATAGATATAAACAACCCCTTAAGACAAAGATTTTGCCTCCAAGCTTTTGATAACCAAATCACTTGAATTATTTTCTCAGCCCTTGTTTAACCCAAACATTCATAACTGCTCAAGAAAAGTAGCAACCCTCAAATCTCAGAAGCTTAAACCGACAGATATCGTTATCCCTGCTATAGCGTGACAGAACGATTACAACAGCATATTTACAAGATTGTTTTCTGTGATTTTGCAGTTATTTTACTTTTTTTTAACAGTTTTTTGCTTTTGTCTCCTCTCTCTTTTTTTTTGATCAGAACAAAATGAGACAAAACATGACAGCTCATCATCTCCAGGCATGACAGATCAGGAGAAAGAAGTGGCAGCGAGCGCTCAAGAAGCCTTCATGGTGAATCTCTCTTTTCTCTGTTATCAAACTTTAGAAGTCAGTCCAGCTGTTTGTCTGCTAACCTGGTTCATGTATGTGCATTAATCACACCCCCGTTCCCCTCTCAGGCGGGGAAATACGACGAGTCTCTGAAGCAGCTCGATGCCCTGCAGGAGCTGAACAAAGAGGACTATAAGATCGCCCTGAACAGAGCTGTGGTGGAGTTCTATAAAAGTGGTCAGACCACTACAGGGACTCTGAAGCAGACTCTGCTGACCATGAAGAACCAGGTACCTGCAGCTTTTCTCTCTATGCAGAACTTGTCATGTGTCAGAAACCTCTGTGATGACGCAAGTTCACTTCCTGTTTATCTCTCAGGTTCACACATCATCAGAGGATGTGGACGGGCTGGACGATGTGGAGAATAGTCTACTGTACTACAACCAGGCCATCATTCACTACCACATGAGACAGTACTCTGAGGCCATCTCTATAGGAGAGAGACTCTACCAGTTCCTGGAACCATTTGGTATGTCCAAGTACTTAGAGGTATACTAAGAGGAGGGAACTACATGCATTAGAGCAGTGGTTCTCAAGTCAAGTCCTCAGGGCCCACTGTCCTGCATGTTTTGGATGTGTCCCTGCACACCTGATTCAAATGATTAGCTCGTTATTAAGCCATTACAGAGCTTGATAACGAGCTGATCATTTGAATCAGGTGTGTTGGAGCAGGGAAACATCCAAAACATGTAGGACAGTGGGCCTCGAGGACTGGACTTGAGAACCACTGCATTAAAGGACTGGGGTAGGAACTGAATGCTGGCTGTCCCCTTCATGGGCCAAGGCTACGATATCTGCACAATGCTTGCAGGATTGAATTGTCAGTGACCAGTTGAAATGAAGATGCTCTGAGGCCGATATTCAGCTTGCACACTCTGCATGAAGCACTTAGTTAAGATGCGGTCTGCCGAGTTTGTTTTACCAGACTGTATCAAACTTGTCAGACTGCTCAGAGTAAACACAGCCGTCGTGTTCCTGCATTACATGTGATCAGAATTAATCTCTTCTCTCTAGGGATGCACCGATCCAATATTTGGATAAGGTATCAGCTCCGATATTGACAAATGAACTGGATCAGATATCGGATGAATGATGCCGATCCAGCAATCCGGTCCAGTCTTTTTTCTTTTAATACATGAAAGTCTTACTTCTTTTTGCTGTGTGCTAATGTGCAATTTGTTATTTCCTAATAAATGATATTGAGTAAATTTGAATCTGTGGTAATTTGTTACCTTTTTCTAAGACTGCGAATGTTAAGTCTGATGCTTTCACTCACATGGCAAGGTATACAGTTTATTCGTTCAACAGTAGTATTGGATCAGATATCGGCTGATACGTTCAGCCCAGGTATCGGTATCGGATTGGATCGGAAAAAATGGATTGGTGCATCTCTACTTCTCATGCATCAATAAATGAGTTAGATGGATTTTGTTCATGTTCGCACGTATCTGCCCTCAGTTTGGCATGCAGTCATTGTGTTGTTTGTCCTAGAAGAGAAGTTTGCTCAGGCTGTCTGCTTCCTGCTGGTGGATTTGTACCTGCTCACCTTCCAGCCAGAGAAAGCCCTGCACCTGCTGGCCGTGCTGGACAAACTGTCAGTGCAGGGCAGCAACAAGAATGGCAAAGGAGAGGTACATCACCGTGCTGCAGTTCACTCTACCTGCTCTTATTGTCAACAGAAAGAAAAGTTCGCTGTTTAACTGAGACCTTTGTGTTTCCAGAACAACTCAAACAAAGACGGAGCCAATCAGAAAGCAGAGTTCACAGCTATGATCGAGGCAGCTAAATCAAAGATGCATCAGGTGAGTTCACACCTGCTGCGTTTGTGTGTTTGTTTCCCTGTTACTAAGTTACTGACAGCTGTTTCCTCTGCAGTACAAAGTCAGAGCCTACATTCAGATGAAATCCTCCAAAGCTTGCAAGAGGGAGATCAAATCAGTCATGAACACAGCGGGGAACGTGAGTATCTCTGTGAATATTCCAACATTTTTCTTCTGCCACCATTCATCCACACAGAGCACACATTTGAAAACTTTGCAGCTGACTGGATATGCTCAGAAAGAAGCAGCAAGGAGATGTTACATGAAGCGTGTTTTCATAGACTAGAGTCTTCAGGTTGTGATCATACTGGCAATGTGGCGTTTAAATTCACATAGAGAAACACGGTTATTCAATTGGTGAGTGAAGTCTGTTCCACAGTTAATTTGTAATCAATACCATGCTAAGTTTGGACTTATTTTTGTTACACTTTTGAAGTCTCTGAACTCTCTTCTAAGCTGTCTACCTGTAGGAGCCTCCCTGGGGAGGGCTGATGCATGCTAACCAGCCACTATATGCCGCTGTTTACTGTACAGGATATCACTTACCCTCCTGTAAGAGTCTGGACTCACACGGCTATTCGACTAGTAGTTCACAGGCTGCCTTTGGTTTTTTCCTCACCCACAATAGGCTTTATATTTAGATTTTATTCAGACTCAGGAGGATGAAGCACACACTCCTCTCACTCTGCCCCTGCTACACCTCTTCACAGCAACAGATACACATACTGTGCTGTGCTGAACACTCTTATAACATTTTTCTCTTTAATACTTTGGCTGTTTTTTTATCACTCTGTTGGCAACCTTTATTGACCGTGCTGGTCTTGATGGTTTTGACAGGCAATAAACTTTGTAAAACCTCCTCCTCATGGAGCCCAGCTGCTGTAAAAACACATCACAGGTGAAAACAGAGTAAAAGTTGAGGTGTTTTACAACAAATTGCAGATGGAGGATGTAAAGAGAACAGACATGGCTACTGTTATACTTGCTGTATGAAAACAGTCTCTCGTGTCTGTGCACTCTCTTGTTTGTACACACTGCATTAGTGTACAAACGTAAAGCTGGGCTTGGTTTTCAGGATGCACCAATCGGATATCGGCTCCAATATTGACAAATTAACTGGATCGGTTATCTGATGAATGAGTGATGCCGATCCAGCGTTCCGATCCAGTCTTTTTATCTTTCAATTAATATCAAACACAGCAACTCTGTTTGCTTTATATTCTATTCTATTCTCTACTTGGTTTATCAGTGTGTATCTCCTCTCTTTGACCTGTTTTTGTTTCTTCTCCTTCAGTCTGCTCCCTCGCTCTTCCTTAAGAGTAACTTTGAGTACCTGAGAGGAAACTACCGGAAAGCAGTTAAGCTGTTGAACAGCTCCAACATCGCAGAGCATCCAGGACCCATAAAGACAGGTGAGAACACGCGGATCAGACTGTTTACATTCAGTCACGTGGATGAAAGTTTAAAATGATGTGTGCTGTCTTCTTCAGGTGAATGCGTTCGATGTATGTTCTGGAACAATCTGGGCTGCATTCACTTTGCTATGGGGAAGCATAACCTGGGTATATTCTACTTCAAGAAGGCACTGCAAGAGAATGACCACACCTGTGCACAGCTGGGAGACGGAGGCAACGGGCAATGTAGGTCACAGCAACCTCAATTCTACATCAATCAGGACATTTTTAAAAATGTGGAAAGAAACACGTTTGAATGTTTTGCAAATTCTAAAAATCAGCTGATTTCAAATTTTATGCCAGAAACTTATTTGGTTGTTCCATGTCTGTCTTCAGGAACTCGTACTGACAATTCTCTTCTTCTTCTTCTTCTTCTTCTACCTACTGAACAGCCAAAAAGTTCACAGGTATCCCCATGTGCGCTTTGCTAGCCAACAAACGCTATGAGCTGCTTTATAACTGCGGCATTCAGCTGCTGCACATCGGACGGCCTCTGGCAGCATTCGAGTGTCTGATGGAGGCGGTGCAGGTTTACCACTCAAATCCGCGGCTGTGGCTGCGACTCGCCGAGTGCTGCATCTCTGCTAACAAAGGGGTATAACTGAACTCGATATCTCAAAACACTTTTCTCTTATTAACTACTACCAGCAACCTGTTGAGCCCAGTACATTTTTCACACGGAGGTCTGAATAAATGACCTGGTGAGTGAAGACCGTCTTGACCTCGTCTCCTCTCCTCTGTATTTGTTTCAGGGCTCGGAGCAGGAGAGCAAAGGTTTACCTTGTAAAAAAGGAATTGTTCAGTCCATCGTTGGCCAAGGGTATCATCGAAAGATTGTCCTGGCGTCTCAGACAACGCAGAACAGCATCTACAGGTCAGTGTACCTGAATCTGCCTCTGAACCACACAGGAGAAATGGCGGATTCAGGTGCGTACCTTTACTATCCAGCAGAGGGCAGCAGTGCTTCATGCAGCCATCTTTAGCGAGACCAGTGGTTCTCAAGTCCGGTCCTCGAGGCCCTACTGTCCTGCATGTTTTGGATGTTTCCCTGCTCCAACACACCTGATTCAAATGACCAGCTCGTTATCAAGCTCTGCAATGGCTTAATAACGAGCTGATCATTTGAATCAGGTGTTCCTGAATGTACAGAACAGACTGACTCCTTCTTTAGCTTTTAGAGGTTATCTACCAAACAGCAGCAGGGATTCTGTCAACCTGTCTTGGAGCGTTTAATTGTTGTTCAAACCACAGCCTGACTTTTTTGTCACGGCTTTCAGAAAGAATCTGAAGATCATTTTTTTGTGGATCTGTTGATTCTGTCTTTCTACTACTTTAGCACATGAAATAACCGACAGCTTCAACTGTAGAGCCACATCATTTAATCTTTGTTCCTCCGTGTCATCTGCAAATGCACCGTGACCGTGATGGATTGGGAAAAGAAAACACACAAACGGACTCGAGAAATGTCTATTTTGTGGCACTGACATCTAGCTAGTATGAGAGGTCCCAGCTTTAATCAAAGTGTCACAGTATATCTGCAACAATCTGTTCAACACAAACTCACGGTCAGTCTAACTGATGAAAATAAAGGCCGGTTTTGGCTGATGTGTGTGTGTGTGTGTGTTCGTACAGTGAGGGTCAATCGGCAGCCATCCCAGTAGCCAGTATGGAGTTTGCAGCGATCTGTCTGAGGAACGCTCTGCTGCTGCTTCCTGAACATCAGACGCAGGACGCCAAGACAGAGAACGGCTCCAAGAGTTCCAGCCAATCAGGGAGCACGGAGAGCGGCAGTGAGAACAGCGACGCCTGCAGGTCAGAACACACTTTACAAATATACCTGTAAGCACACACTATACCACCTGAACTGTAGAAGCCGGCCCTGTTCTGTTACCTGAATTAGAAGAGATGTAACAATCTGTGTGTGTGTTGCAGTGGCAAAGGTCAGGAAGGGGATAAGTTTCTGTCTGCAGCTCCGTCATCACCTCTCAGGAAACAGGAAGTAGAAAACCTCAGGTAAGGACACACCTCCTAACCCCTCCTTTATACACCTGTAGACTGCAGCGGCCTGTGAGATCATCAGTGATGTCCCCCTTCTAACTTGCAGGTGCTCCATCCTGGCCTGTAGCGCTTACGTGGCGTTGGCACTGGGGGATAACCTGATGGCTCTGAACCACGCAGAGAAGCTGCTCCATCAGACCAAAGTGTCTGGATCACTGAAGTAAGACCTGCACCTGCTGCTTACCTTTCCTGTTTCTGCTGGTCATAACTCATCTGTCTGCTCTATCTGCAGGTTCCTTGGTCACCTATATGCTGCTGAAGCCCTCATCTCATTGGACAGGATCTCGGATGCTATCACCCACCTGAACCCAGAGAACGTGAATGACGTTTCGATGGGAGTCTTGACCAGTGAGCAGGATCAAGGTGTGTAGGAATTCACTCTTCACTCGACGTAAACAGACTTCTCATGCCATCGCATCAATGACTGTGTGTTTCTCTGCAGGGTCGGACAAAGGAGAGGAGCCTGTTGAGTCCCGTGAGTTCACTTATCTCTTCGTAAAGCTTGATCCAAGACAAACCTCGCCTGCACATGCATCAACACCGAAATCTTTGTATACAGAGCTGTAGGGAAATATAAGACCTGTAAAAGTCAGTTTGCATGAAGTTCGTTAAGTTTAGGTCTTTGAAGCAAACACTAACTGTGATCATGCTCACAAATAAAATTATGAAATTATTTCTGTCTACAAGATAAATAAAGACTATAGACAGAGTGAAAAACAATTCTAAAGCAGTTGTGCTTCTGAGTAAAATATATCAATTTCCTAAGTTTCTCTACTAAGATAAGAGACTATTTATCCCAGATGGAAAATTCAATACTAGTTACTAGATAAATAGACTGACTAAAAACCCATTCTGTTTTCATGATTATCATGTTGTCTTTTCTGTCATGTTACAGCAATCCTGATAGAAAGTTACCTTTTAAAGTGGTGTTGAATTCTGTTCAGGTGTTACCTCACAGACTGTATTATATTTTTTACCTCATTTATAGCGATATAGTACATCTCTGCTATCTTTACTGCATTACATAATTATCATAGTACTCTTAGAGTTAGTGTGTGTGTGTGAGGCACGACAAGATGCAGATTTCTCCAGTCAAGTATGAAAAGAATTAAAAAGCACATCATGGACGACGAGACCACACTCATCATCTTTACCCCAGTCTCACATTTAAGCCCCCCAGTGGAGAGGAAAGACATTCACTATTAAATGTCCAAGTTGGACACTGGTGCAGTTTCAGAAGATGAAGTCCTCAAATCAAACACACCAGTTTAGCCCAAATAAACAACGCTAACCTCCAAAAATGTACAAACTAGCCCCTCTGACGTGCTGAGGGGTACACATTTTTAAACAGATCACCCAGGCATTAGAAGGGAAGCCCCGAGGTTGCAGCCTTGCCAGGTCCCACATTCTTGTGAGAAGCATCTTAACATTTCGTGCTTTTGTGTGTGTGCAGCAGGGAAACAGACCCCCCTGTGTTACCCCAGCAGTGTGACGTCGGCTCGGGCCATGATGCTCTTCAACCTGGGCAGTGCCTACTGTCTGAGGAGCGAGTACGACAAGGCCCGCAAGTGTCTACATCAGGTAACCATGGCAACTGCCAACCACTGTGATTGCTAACAGAAACCTCTCAATAAGACTCTTTTATCTTTTATCACAAACCAACATCAGGGTTGAAATTGGCGTAATCCCCCACATACACATTTATGTCTACACAGCAAATACACGGTAGTCTACTGTCAAGTTAAATGTGTATTTATTATGTAAAGCCTCATGAACTGTCAATAACATGTGTTATGAAAACCGTGTTATGGAGCCCTACTTACCGTATTTTTTGCACTATAAGGCGCACCTGATTATTAGGCGCACCATTAATGAGCGCGTCTATTTTCATACATAAGGCACACTGGATTATAAAGCGCATTAAGACGAACAAAACAGTCAGATAAGTCAAACTTTAACTCATTCAATAACTCTGTGAGGCTACGGTAGCTGCGGTGCTCCGACAAGCCATCAGGCTGTGCGACTTTGTAGCTTACCGAGGTCATAATAAAACGTTTTGACAGATTTTTTGAGCGCTGTGTACCACATAAAATCGGTTTGAGGTCAGCAAGCACAACCAGAATTCATACATAAGGCGCACCTGATTATAAGGCGCACTGAGGATTTTTGAGAAAATTAAATGATTTTAAGTGCGCCTTATAGTGCGAAAAATACGGTAATTCCTGGCTACCAACCAGAGCCATCTAAAAATTTAATCCAAACATTGATTCAAAGACAACTTTATTTGTTATGACTTTTGACATGTACAGACAGAGAAAATAGTCTCTCTGATATCCCAGCTGACATCTTCACCTCAGTGTCAGTAAACGCAAGTAGAAGGTGCCGGAACCATTTTTTATGGATGTATTTGTGTGTGTTCATTTTTGGCATTGCTGTTGCTGTAAGGAGGTAAAAATGTTGCGAAAGGGTTTTGATCAATTAGAAACAAGTATTTAACTTGGCAAGAAAGCTGTAGAATAAATGTATTTTAACACTGTTGAATGTCAGGAGAAATCAGCTTCACTGTGTGGTTCATGAACACCAGGATTGAAATTTCGTTTTGAGCACTTGACTGGTAAAACTTTGAGAGTAGTAAAAAAAACAAACATGATTTTGAGTTTGATTCCCTTCATCGTAAAGATGCGAGACGTCTTTTCTATGCAACCCTCTGAATCGATACTCCTCACTACCTGCACGCCAAAGTTTGACAAGAGTGAGTCAGAGGAGTCGTAGCTGTTTGAATATTTTCACAGTTGATGAAATCTATATCAATTGTTTGTTTGTTTGCCCTCATCAGGCTGCATCCATGGTCAACACCAAGGAGATCCCGCCTGAAGCCATCCTGCTGGGGGTCTACTTAGAGCTGCAGAACGGTCAGAACACACACACACACATTTGACAAAATACGTTAAAACCCACAGGGACAGGACAGGATAAACACTTTGAAGCAGCTATGGTTTCAGCATTTATTAGAATCTAAAAGTCAAAGCCCTCCCTGCCCTCAGAGCCCTGACTCATGATCACATGATGCTCTGACCCTGAGCCTGTCTCTGGTCTTTATTCACTTGATCTTTATCATCCACAGGTAAATGTAACCCTCCTCCTATGTTTCCCTCCTCAGGTAACACCCAGCTGGCCCTGCAGATCATAAAGAGAAACCAGCTGCTGCCCTCGGCTATGCAGAGAGTGTCTCCAGACTCCAGGAAGAAACCTGTCCAGCCTCTTCAGACTGTCCAGCCCATCCAGCTGCCCTCCCCCTACACACAGGTCCAACGCAAATGAAACCTCCTGACAACCCTTTGTCCCTTCACATACTCACACCACAGACTCCACACACACACACCTGCCCCCCAAGGAGTGGTGGTATTTATGAAGCTGCTTCCCACAGTGTCAGCAGTCGTATAAAATACTGACTCGCTGCTGTCTGATGAGCTGCAGTGGCGTCACAGACTGAGACCTGAGCTGCTGACCTTTTCTTTCTCCAGACTGAGGAATCTGTCACATTGCTGTGTGAAAATAAATTTTATTTACTGTGTCAAACATGTGACTGACTGATGTTTCAAAAAGAAGTGGGTGAAACGACTTCAGTGAGCATGTTTTAATGGTTCGTGAGGTTAATTAATTCATCGTGATGTAAGTCATCAAGGTCACGTTTTCTTCAAGTTATTAAAGACTGAGTCAGGTGTTAATTCAGGCAGGCCACAAAGTCAAGCTCCGCCCACAACACATCAGCTCTGCCCTGTACCTTAGGGGTCTTAGCTGCTACTCTGTCTGTCTCAACTTTTGAGCCATCTGATTTGACCTGTGTTAGGTACCTGTGTCTGCCCTGTTCTGCTCCTTGAGGATTTTTGCTGCTGCTCTGTCTGCCTTGGCTTTTTATTAAAAAAAACTTTACCTTAAAAAATATGAATAATTTATGAAATAGGATGTAACTGGTATTTAACTTGAGCAGATTATTTAGGTACTCTGGCCACCATAAGAATCAAGGGGTTGGTGTGCTCTCCCTGCCTCAGGCTTTGGTAGGAAGCTCTCAGAACAGTCATACTACCAAAAATCAGGGATGTGATCGACCCCCTCACCCAAACTACCCAACACACCCTGAAAAACATTTGACATGTAGTATAAATGTAATCACATCACCTGTCATGTTTATGTTTGGTTAATGTAGTTGATAACCAGAATTTCAGAGGACGGTAGAAACTTTTAAGGTCATGCAGAATTGATCGTTTTATCCAATCAGCTCTGTGTGATAAATCAAGGTTTACTTCATCTAAAGGGTTTTATCCAATCAACTACAAGTTTGCACAGAGTGTTATGGACAAATTGTAGGTGGCTGTGGTGGTGGTGGCACGCCCTCAAAGGTAACTGTTTTACCAAGAAACAGGAAGGAGTTTATATCCCAGCCATGCATTCTTCAATCTCAGCCAAGTGCACCACACAAAGTAAGGGTCTGGGCCTGAACATATTCACTGGCAATATTTCATCCCCCCAGTGGCACAAGGAAATGTCATGCTTTACTGTTTGAGTTTAAGCTCCCAAATCATTGAACATACTGTATCTGCATTATCACTCTGAAGAGGTGTGGTCAACACAGTACAGATTATTTCTTTATAATTTTGCGTTTAAAATTTTAAAGTGCCCGAGCACAGTCCCACATTAATCTAACTTTCCCAAACTGGCTCTTCTTAAAAGGGGTCTCAGTCTAAACACATCCATCTTTGAAAAATCTCAAAAAATTACATCCTGTTCCCATGAGGCTGTAGTGTAACTGCCTCTATATAGACAGGCCTTCTGGGTTAGTTGGGACTATTTCTCTCCTTCATAGACACCAAAAATCAAAAAGGTCTGAAATGTTTCTATTCCAGAGGAAACTTTTTAATATAGACAGAGTTTGAATATGGATCACAGCAGCACTCAATGTCCTCATGTGTCCAACAGTAACACTTCAATACAAACACTTTGGACTGTACACCAAACCGGTCCATCATAAAGCTCAGTCTCGGACCAGGTCAATCCTGGTCTCTCTGGAGCTGGATCTAAATTGTAACACACGGACAGTCTTTGTTGATGGTCCAGGATTGTCTGCACACAGCTTACAAACACCACAGAGTTCACACGTCCATGATTCATTTGACTATAGTCTTACAAAAGTGCTTGTTGGCTCAAAAAATGTCTGAAGAATCCACCAAAACCTTCAGACTCAAGGCATTTTCTGACATCTTTAATTTCTGTATCTCTAAATAGTCCCGCCTGCCCAACAACTGAAGCTCGACTTGTAGTTTTTCACCTGGTGGAAAGATTTTGTTCAGAAGTGTATATTACCCACAGAGGACCAGTCAGCTTGTTGTGGAACCAGCAGAGAAGTTGGACTGTCAGCCTCTGCAGACTCTATCTGGACAGATCTCTCTTTTAAAAGGAGAGAAACATCAGAAAAACCTTTGAAAGTACATTTCTAAAGAGAGCTGGCACCCAATCTGGGAGTAATGCGTTGGTTGGCACTTGTTCAAATGAGTTAAATTACTTGGTAGAACTGACTTGAAGAGGTTAATGGCATGGCTTCAACGCTGGAACAAAGCAACTGAACTGACCAGGACCCGCTGTGGGTAATGGACTTACTATCTATATGTAGCTCATACAACCAACCTTACAAAAACAACAGAGAAATGTTTCTTAGTAGAGAACTGAAGAGGATTCAGTCTAGGACTGTCATGACAGACGGTGATCTCCACATGCTTGCTGTGGTCATAAAATAAAAAAAACAATAGTTTTGAAAATGAAACGACACAATCATGAAAATAAGGAAAGGTCAGATGACTTCAATTCAAAAACTTTACCAATAAACACGATTAACTTTCAGTCATCATTGGGGTTCACATTCATGATTTACCTCAGAAAACAAATATCTGTCAGGCTTTTATTAGGAGGTTTATTTTTGTCCTCCTTGTTTCTTGCTTTGTAAAACGATACTTTTATCTTGAATTGTACAAAGTTTTTAGATAGATCTTAAGTGACTGAATTAAATCAGCTGGAAGAACAGTTCAAAATCTCATTATTTTTAGATTCACATTCACTCTGTAGTGTGCGGTAACCAACATGAAAGGGTCACCACTCTGAACTGCTGATTTTCAGTACTGATTCAGGCTAAAAACACTGAGATTTGTCACTGCTGAACAAAACCTCGTTTGCTTTAAACTTCTGGTTTGGTTAAATACTGACCTTAACTACAGCTTCAATCACATAAAGATTTCTGTCTCTGTAGAGATAAATAAAAGGAGGATTGAGATGCAGAGACAGATTTACGAGGATCAGTTTGTTAAATCACTCTGTTAGACCGAGGTCACTATGATCCACTGACATGCAAAAGAAAACAGTGTTTTTAGCCAGTTTCAGGCGTCTTATCAGCGTTTGATGGCTTGTGATTTTTTTTTTTAAATGTCCTCAAGTTGAAGAAAACTACATGTGGCGCTACAGTGTGCGACCCCTATTTCACTTACAGTTCAGTGTAAAGCAGAAAGTGCTTTGTTATTATCAGGGATTGGCAGTTTTAAAATCAATATGGGTTTTAGATTGTGCCCTTCGTACAACCTTTCATAGCTTCTTCTCAGCATTATCAAAACTACAGCCTCAAACAACTGTGAGTCATTGTACCCGTGAAGACCTCAAACCCTGTGAAAAGAAGTCTTCGTCTTATTGCACTAACACCAACACTCCTCTGATTGGCTCTGACCCTCACATGTAGACAGAACGGCAGTTAAATCAGACACCGTGTGGCGCTCAAGAGTTAGACTGAACACTGCAGAGCTTCAATTCCAAAGGGTCTCACAGGACAAGATTAAATGTGAATAAAACACAGAAGGAGAGATCCTCTTCCCTTTCTTCAGAAACACTGTGCCATCCTCAGGGGGTCCTGGCCCCCAGATTATGTACCTCCCAAGTCCCCCTCTGTCTGTTCGTCTGTTCCAGCAGGAGGTTGAAGCTGTAATAAACCTTTAAACTGTTAGTCTCCCAAAGGTTTACCTTTAGAGTTAACAGATCTAAATCGGCCTATGATAAGCTTAGGTCTAACCGATGATCCCCTCGAACATCTAAAACCACTAACAGACCACCTGCAGGAGGTCTCAGAATCCTCCTCAGCTCTTCCAGTCCCAGGGGACGCACAGGTCCCCATCCTGCATGACAGAGAAGAAGTGGGACACGCAAAGATGGAGGCCCTGCAGGAGGGGGGATGGCTGCTCCAGCAGCCTCTGACAGCACTGGATCATCTGAGAGGAGGAGACGCTGGGCTCCTTTGACAGACTCCTCAGAGACAGAGTTTGAAGACACAGCTGCAGCTTGGACTCCTCTTCGGCCTGCAGTCTGAGGGAGAGACAGAAAGAGAGAGGGAAAGATTTTTAAAAACCAGCTTGAATTGCCGTTCCTGGACAACGAACTTCATTTAGTGAATTTCTTGAGTTGATTATAAAAAAAAATTCCTTTGTGAAGAAATATTTCCACAAATACAATAAACACACCATACTTCAAACACATTCAATTACTCCAGCTGTATTGACTTTGATCACTGTTAAAAAACCCACACATATCAGACAGCTGGTGTGTCTGAATGATTGAGATGTGGTGTGCATGTATAGAACAACCCCATAGTCCAAGACCAGAGTCTGCATGCTCTTAATTCTTGATATGAGACAGGTTGAATGGTCTTCCTTGTCCTCCCAGAGGCTAAAGCATTGGCAGCTATTCATTCATAAAGCAGTTCTCGGTCTCGGACCCTCCTACCTTCTCTCCCTCATCAGTGAAAGGAGCTCTGGGTCCTATCAACTCTGTTCCCTGGATGCGCTCTTGTTGTCCGTCCCAAGATTTAGCACTTATCTGGGCAAAAGGGCGTTTATGTTTGCTGCCTCTATAACTTGGAACAAACTAAAAAAAGACACTGAAACTCAAAGACTTAGTCTCTTTGAACAAAAAAAAAAAAGGTTAATGACTTGGAGGTGAACTCAACCATCTGCAGATGTTCCCTCTGAGTGACCATGGGGCTTTGGGATTGCATGGGTGTGTAATGTTTATATTGTGATCGACTAAGCCGGTTTTGATTGTGATTCCTTTCCTGACATTATGAATGGCTGAAAATGTGTCTGTCAATGTCTTGGTAACTGTACTGCTGCCTGTCTTGGCCAGGACACACCTATCAAAGAGGTTTTTGATCTCAGTGTGTTTTTTCCTGGTTAGATCAAGGTGAATTTAAAATTTGCTAACTTCTGTTGCAATATGTGGGACTCACTGTTTGCGGCGTTGTGTGCGCTGCCTGGCTTCAGGAGCGTGGCTCTGTAGGAAAGCCTGCAGCTTGGGAGGGTCACAGTTGGTGGGAATGAGGAAGTGTCCCATTTCATGTAGACTGGGGCTCGAGCGGTCACTGTGAACAGTACAAAAATAAATAATGTGTGACTTCATGCAGCAATGGGTCATAAATTTTGTGTCCACAGTTTGTGGTGTTCAGACTGGGGGGACAACATACTTCTCCAGCAGCATGGTGAGGCCCTGCAGGCTGCGGGGGTGCAGAAGGAGGCGTCCTGACAACAGGTTCTTGTGGAAGATGCTCAGGGTACTGTAGTGCTCTGCAATGGGCTGAACTGGTCCCAGTCTCTCCTTGTGAACCACCTGGGCTCCTCCTAGTAGTAGGCTGATCCGCTCCTTCAGCCAGTCTGTCTGCTGCTGTAGGCTGCGGTAACCAGGCAGCTGCTCGAACAGCTGAGGAGGAGGAGGAGGAGTCAGAATTATTGGGAGGAGCCCAGAGAACAGGGAACAGCAGGAGACGTAAAGCTCTCCTTACCTTGATCCACTGGTGATGGACGTCCATGGTTCCCAACATGACATGTCCTGATGCGTTCATCCCCGACTGGTCAGTAAACACAACTGTGTGTCCTACATGGAGAGACAGACGAATTTTAAGGGAAAATTCAGATGTTTTTCAAATATTGGGAACAGATAGGACAACAGTTGGAGAAAGGGATGTTGGATGTGTTGGTGCTGTGATCAGACAGACTGAGTTTACAGATGATAGATCAGTGTACAAGTGCAGACAAGATGCCTGTCCTCATCCCTACCTTGTAGGTTGATCAGGGCTTCAGGGTTCTGCTGAGAGAGCCGGCTCAGACTCTGTAGCTGGCTGCACCTGTGGGCTACTCCCCAGTTACGCTGCCACCTGCGACACATCATCATTATTATCATCATCATCATCACCATCATAAAATGAAAGCTCAACAGACCTGCATGACAGTAGCATCTCTGATAATGAACTCTAGTTTATCCTGCAGAGAGGTACATTGCAAGGGAAATACTTCAGGATCTACATTTGAGCTGTCCAACAGGTGAATGGACATGTTGAGGTAGACTGAAGGTGTAACTAGCTGCTCCCACAGCTCTTCCTCAGGCTGCATTAACATAGCTACATGAGTATTTTCTACTGTATATTTTTATGTTGATTCCTCACTTACATCAAGATCAATTCTTTATTATTTAATGTTGTTGCCACCCAAGATATCGTTGCCTTGATCCCTGTTGTTCAGCATCATTATCAGCACCACATGCAGTGCTGCTGCTTTAAGTGAGGAACCAGTGCCTGTTTACACCACTTTGCACTTCCCCAGTTTATGTTAAGTGGTCTAATTGTATACGTTTTCAAGTAAGTTTGGAAGGTTAGCTGTGAAACTGTTGAGATGCTAACCTGGAGATCAATTTCATCATGAACTACCATTTGACGCCCAAACTGCTGCAGTGTGTCTGTGAAGTGTGGAGTGTACCTGATGTCAGACAGGTGAAATCTGTGGCACAGCTCCTCCTTCAGTCTCTTCAGCTCCTCTCTGCGGGGGAGACTGGCGTTGTATTTCTTTGTGGCCTCTGGCTCGTTGTTTCTCAGCCACAAGCTGGAGAGAAAACAGAAAGACTCTGTAAGACAAATCTGCAGTATGGTTAAATATACTATGACTATGGTATGCAGATTTGGTTAACTACCCCCTCTAACACCACAGCTCTCTGCTTCATGACTCCAGTGGCTGTTTTTCTCTCTAGTCTCGTCCTGATTGTAAAGGTCATGGTGTAATTTCCTCATTTTCCCTATGGTCTGTTAATTCAAGGTGCTAGTGTGATTGCACAGTCCCATTACAGAAAAATTGATATGAATAGACATCTTAATGCATGCAAGGTTGATCTTAAACATGAGACGCTGCTCTCTCAGCGCTCTGCAGGTTATCTGACTCAAGGGGGTAGAGTGATGATGATAATAATGAACTGTGTTTCTGACCTACCTAGAGTGGGCTCCACCCTTTGTGCCTGCTGCAGCTCCTGCTCGGGGTCTCTGAAGCCGGTGAAGCTGTAGTAGCTCTTGTCCCATCTGATGGGTCTATAAAAAGGGATACCTGTCCCAGGTACACCTTTAGACGTCTCTGCACTCCCCTTCAGTCCCTTCATGTGCTCCATAGGCAAGCTGCAGGACTTCAACACGTTCATCACTGTGCTCAACACATCGTTGGTTTGCAGAGTGAAACTCACTGAGCGAAACCCTGAGAGCCAAGATGGAAGTTTACATTCACAATCACATCCATGAATAGTGTTTCACACATCATGACTATCATTATTAAAGCAGGCGGTACCTGTGGAGAGGAGGTCCTGCTGCTCGTCACTGCCTTCCTTGGTGTCTCTCACATAAAACGTGAGTTTCATGGGCTGCAGAGAGCGAGAGCCAGGCTTCTGCAGGTTATCCAGGTAACCATTCAGCCTTTTCAGAGAGTTCTCATTCACCTCCTGCAGAACGTTAAAAATGGGGGGAAGTGAGTCACCCAGTTGATATTTTCTTCTACTGTGTTGATGTGAAAATGTTGATACAACTATCAGAGCAGAGCCACAGACTAGCGCCACAAATCCACCTGGTAACATTCATGTCACACTATTTAAAAACAAACCAGACTATAAGAATATCATTTCCCCTAAATACACCGAGTGTGCAGTAAGAATGTTGTTTGAATCGTGTTTTTGTAATTAAGAGATGAAAACAGTCTAATCATCAAATCCTCACACTATCTTTTCTGTCTTGTCTTCCCTCAAAGTAAATACAGGAAAAAATAACTGCCTACTTTGATTTACCACCTTGTAATTTTGAATGGCTCTTTGTCCAAAGAAACCAAGGGCAAAAGATTGAAACACCACAGGTCTAATTTACACTGATTCCACATAACAAGTACTAAATTGTTTAAATAGTCCAACAAATTGCATGTTTTGCAGGCAACCAACTAACTGTGTAATTGGCACGTTAGGGTAGAAACACCTCATATTCACAAATGGAAATGTACATTTGGAAAACACAATCCTCTCAGTGTGCTCTGTTAATAGATCAGCGTGGGGTGTTAATGAGTTTTCCATGTTCTCTTCTTCAGACTGTGTGACGATAATCAAATCCAAGTAGGAATCATACTGAGTGCATCATTTCTAAATATGCTTCACTGCTACAGTCCAGTCACTTAATATGGAAAATAACCACCTATTTATCTGTGTATTTGATCAGATGAATAAGTGAGGAGACATAGGAGATGTACCCGTTCTCTGGGATGCTGACCGAAGAAGTCTGGATGAACAGCAAAATAAAACGGTCTGAGAGCGTTGACAGCTTCTGCTCCAGACAGAGATCTGTGAGGGACTAAATGTGCCGCCACATGTTTCCTCTCCAGCCTGCAGCGAAAGAAAGATACGGATGTTAATTATTAATTGATGACGTGAGGCAGACAGAGATAAGGACAGGTGTCACTACAGTCAGCAATGGAGAAACTGTAATCCAACTGTTTAACTTCCACTCTACACGGTGTTCTTACTATCAGGACCACAACATTAACAGAACACAATCTGACTCTTACTGACGTTGTTACTGATGTCCAACTGTTATTGGCAGCTATTATCCACACAACAAGGTTAATTTGAGAGCACTGAGGAGAAGCCGAGGGTTGGGAACCCCTGCTTTAGTGGCATAAGGACACCAAAGAAAAGAAAAAAAAAACTGAGAAAACAGAGAGAGATGGACGGGTGCAAGTCCACAAAACACTAGACACTGTGAAATGTTCATAAAAGCAGATTTTGGTCATTTGAATATGATTTACAGCCTATATTTAGTTTTTAACAGTGCAAGGATGATCTGTCCAATGTTGAAATGGAAAAGTTTATAAATATATTTTATCCAAACGTTCTTTACTTTATTTACGATTATATTATAAAATGACTATGCTTCTGTAAATCTTTTTTTGTCTGTTTGTTTGAAATCCACAGATGAGGAGAACTATCACTTACTCTTCAGATAAAACCCACGATTATAGCAGACTCACCTGATGGAGTATCTCAGGAGGCAGTTCACAGACATCTCTGCTGCTGGTTTTTATCAGATGAGCTTTAAATCCTGAGTCAGTCCATCACACCAGACCTGAAATTAATGGGTACAGATGAAAGCTACACTGATTTATTCTAACAGTCTCTAATCCTCACTGTCAAGCGCTAATAAGGAGGAAATCCACCTTGACATCCAGTCAGCAGTCTCACAGCTAAATACCCAATGAATAGGTCAATACTTTATGCGGCTTATGATTTAAATAAACCAGCTGGGTTATAACCTACACAACTGAACAAATACCAAAGTACTTTAAGAAACATTATATTTCAGAATAAAGCATACATATCACATGGAAGCTCTCCTTAGTTGTGTTTGCTAACTTTGTGTGACTTTAACTCAATGACAGAAACAAACATGGCTGCCTGCCGTTAGCGCCTGTAACGGCTGTAACGTACGCAGTGTTTAATAGCACTGACAGACAGAGCCGTTAGTGTTCAAGTAAAACCAGCTCCAAATACCTCACAGGAAACCTCGATTATTAATTCCAGCTCTGTCGGCAGCTGTTCAGCTGATCGTCCGCCCTCATCTAGCTGTTAGCTTGGTTGTTTACCGCCCCGCCTCCTCCTCCTCCTCTTAGGTGGTGTAATGACTCTACGTTTAGGTGAAATGTCGCCACCTGCTGGACTGACGTGAGGACTAGTCGGCGTTATAGCTTTTTCTTCTTCCTTTGATTTGTTTGGAGGCTGGCAACTAACTTAAAGGCCCATTATCGCCATCTACCGGACTGGAGTATGAATCAGTCTGGTGAAACGAACTCAAATAGACGGGTTCCTGCTCCACCTTCTTTATATCCAACCTGTTTGTGAATATTATAAAGGTGTCTTCCAGAGTCGTTCATGTCTCAGTGTTCTTGCCATGTTTTTTTGTACCTGTTTCTAAATTATCAATCCCCCCTCCTCTTTACTTTATGACATATCCATGCTTATTGGCTTAAATTTAAGTGCTTGCTTGGCCTGAATGTCAACATCCTCATTTTCCTCAACACCTACAGGAGCAGGAACCAGTGGCGGATTTAGGGGGTGGCTACTTGGGCTCAAGCCCCAGATGACGTGATGACGTCTGAAGCCTTGCTGCCTGGCTGTACCACGTGACTGATTCAAGAAACAGTTGGCAGGCGTTTGCGAGTTTGGCAGAAGATTTAACAGGCAGTGAAATGCAATGGAGCCCCCCCCACCCCACCCCTCAATCCATAGACTCGAGACTTGTTGAAAAGTTGTTTTTAAATAAAAATAAGTGAAATGTTTATGTTTTATATGTTGTCCCCATAACAAAAGTACGAAAAACAAACTAAGTAACACAGGCTCATTTACATCACAACCCTCTCCATAATTAATGACCTCTTCCCCTTTCAACCCTGCTACTGTGTTGTAAAGACAGACACTATATTTATAGGCCAGGTACACCCCACGCGCTGTTTTTTGCTAACATAACTTGATACAAATGACTTCATTTCTTCATTTTATACATGAAGACATGCTTTGAGAATGCAAATATTATCCTGTTAACTATGAAAAAAGAGCACAGCTTTTCAAACACTCCAGACTTGAACATGGAAGTTATGCCAGGACTGAATCCATTCTTTGCTTACATCAGGATTGCCCATGTGCAGGACCCTGGGAAACAGTAGTGAGAAGCTCCGGTACTGTCAGATCTTCAGGCAGGACAAATATTACAAAGTCTAATTGTTATGAAAATCTCATTTTATTTTCTTGTTACTCATAGGATCTTCATGATGCAGACTCCTTGGACATTCCAGTAGGCATCCTCTGCTTTGAAGAAAGTGGGACCCAAAATCATCAAATGATATAATCGTTTAATGTTACGTAATTTCTATTTTATGTTTATTGTGGCTGTTGTTACATCATGTTTTTCGCTAATGTCAATAAAATTTAATGACAACTTTTGGTGTAATACATTTTTGAGTTGGCATAACTTAAAATTTTAAGTTTAATGAAAGCCAAATACAGCTAAACGCACGTGAGAAAACTAGTTATTGTCACTTAAAATAGTGAGTTGAATTGGTATGAATTTTAATACAGATTATGATTACAAATAACTTTTCTTTCAGTGTATTCAACTCAAATAATCTATTGTATTCCCTTTGGTATTTGTGTTGATTTCACTTAATTACTTAATTGACGCACTCATTACTTAAATCATTTAAGTGCAATCACTTGCCTCAAAATTTTTCAGTAGAATTAACTAATCCAGGTTTACAGTGTAGTAGGATGACCTTGCAATGATGTGACCATTGTGCAATGTTTATTCATTTGTTTGTTTCTTTTTCATTCTGTTGATCTATTTCTCAGAAAAGGTTTCAAAAGACAGCAAACAGCAAAAAGAGCCAAAAAGTTTTGTTTCTGCTTCAAAGCAAACCATGCCTCTGAACGTATTTCAAAATGTGTGAAATGTGGGTTACAGAAGAAAATGAATATGAAGCACATGTGACTCCTATCTCCTCCAGAGGTTGGCTGGCAGCCTCTCCGTGCAGCGCGTACTGTCTGATGGTGTAGGCCGTGTTTGGTATCAGGTTCTCCAGCAGGACGTTTGTAACGTCACCCCCAACGCTTACCTGCAGAGAGAGAAAGAGAGAAAGAAGAGGAATAGATGGAGAGAGACAGAGAGAGAGGGAAAAGCAGGTGAGGTGGTCCAGGGTTACTCAGTTCATTTTAAAGAGATTGATGTTTCTCTGATTGGATTGAACTAAAGTTTGTGTCACATTGTAAGTGCTACTTAGAGCTCAGGTTAAGATTTAAGCTGTAACTGATCCAAACATTAGAACTAAGAATCTGTTCACCCAACAACAATAACGCTCTCGTGACCAAATGGACAACATTCCTTGAGGCCATGTCTTAAAATCTGATGGAAAGCCTGAGGAATGGGGACCGTTAAAGCTGCACATTAAAGCCTTTGGTTTTGTTGTTGGGTGTCCAAATACTTATGGCCATGTGGTGTTCATGGCACACTTCAATCAAATAATCACTGCTTCAATCAGAGGTCCTCATTCCCACTTGTAAATGTTTCCAGGAAAAACCACCTCATATACAATTAGACATTTACCTTTGCTGTGTAATTGCACGTGTAGATTCACACCACAGAGCAGAATAGCATCTGCTCAGTTTATATCGTTCTGATGACTTAACACCATAAGCTAATCTTTTCTTGCAGTCCTGCATAAATTTTAGTCGGTCAGCCTGTAAGTTAGTTCACTTTAGGATTGTTATAGGATATTGATATCGGATATCAATCCGAGGAGTAGAAGTGATGTCAGCTGTTTGACAGTATTTTCCGTCAAAGTCCAAAAAAAGATGTTGCAGAAGAGTGCAAAACTTCTCATGCACAAGTTAGTGCCAATATGGGATCAATTTTGAAAGCTCAAATATCGGTATCATACCGGAAGTAAAAAAGGTTTATCAAGACAGTTAGTTAGTTAATTTGTTTGTTGGTGAGTTTGACTTGCATACACTTAGAGTGTTGGTCACTTCTGTCACCTTCCTTGTTTGTAAGTGAGTTGGTCAAATTGTAAGTTCATTGGTTTATAAAAAGAGGTAAAGAGTTAATTAGTTAGTGAGTTAGTGATTCACTTATTTAGTTGTATAACTGTAAACACAAGGCTTGCTTTATAGGTATGAATGAACATGAAATAAATTCATTATTTTAAGTATGTGCTTAAATTTGAAAGAAATAAGCAATCAACACCAGATTACTTCTTACAAGGCAAACTTTCTCAGCTTTGTCTCCAAAAAACTATCATCAGCTTAATCAACGGGTCAAAACAGCTTCTTCTTGGTTTGTTTGTCATTTACTGGAGGAGACATAGCAGGATTTCTGAATTATTGATAAATAAATAGGTAGATGTGTGCAGGTAGATGTGTGCAGGATTCTTAAAATGCTATACTGATCGAAAACACATTCACACAGGTCATATTTAAAGATGCAGTTACTTACCTCCCTCTCCAGCTGGGGCTCTGTAGCGTTGATGGATTTGTACAGCAGCATGTAGCCTGTGGCATCGTCAGCCTTCTCCCATCTTACCCTCATGGTGGTTGAAGTCTCATCGTAAACAACCATGTTTGTCGCAGCTGACAGCAGCATTGAGGGGACAAAACACACTGCAAGGTCAGGGAGCGGCTAAATCAAAATCTTTTTCTGATTTAAGAGTGTATTTACACCAAATCAGCTGTTTGGATTTTAAAAATGGAAATCCTGATAGTACCTGAAAGATTTGAAGGATGAACAAAAGCAGATTATTTAGAACAAATGTCTGAATGTGTGAGTCATGAAGGATGTTTTCTTATTTTTTGGAGGAGGCTTTGGCAAAAGAAAATGGGATAATGATACAAACAGGTGTGTGGTGTTAAAGTCATATTTCAAAAATCTGGATTTCTCAAAAATGTCGTAAAGTTTTGGCTTTTGACGTGCAGAGTTTTTGGTATCACATGTCTCATGAAGGCTTCTGGTTTTTAAATATTTTCTTAGGGTTTTTATACATGTGGGTTTGATTGAATAGAGAACACTGAGGATTTGTATGGGCTCATACACCAATTTATAGTTTGTTTTCAGCAACAAACTGAAAGTAAAAAATAGTGTTATCCAAGTAGTTTTGGTCTTTTTTTTTTACCCCTTTGATGGTTTTAACATCATTTCTTTGACAGCTCTGCATTCTTGTATCATAAATAATTCCTTTCAAACAGCTGGCTTAAACTGCTAAACAAATCAACCTAATTTGTCAGGCTCAAACTTAAAATTTAGATATTTTCAAAACCCAAACTCAGAGACGCAAACAGTAAGGGCTGTATAAAGTCTAAATTAGAGACAAATTTATCTTAAATATTTCTTAGAACTAGACCGGTGTTTTTTTTTCTTTTTTGAATTTTAACATGTTTTAACCCCAACCTGATGTTATTGTGACATCTGTCAGCTGATTCATAGTGGTTTGCTCTTCCTGCTCTGAAGCTTCTGAGGAAGAATGCAGACTGTTTCTGATCAAAGTACGACCAAAGAATCTCTTTGGACTAGTTATACATTTACATGTAGGGAAGTGATCAAATAAGCAAGAGCAGAAAACTGTACCTCCAAAAAGTCTAGTTATGTATCTGCATATAAATGTGGTGACACAAAAAGAGGCCTATTTTTCTTTTTTCTTTTTTTTTGTGATTGTGGTTTTTGCCATAATTGAGCAGTCCTACTGAATTTCCAGGAATCTTGCATCCACGTTAACACCAATAGGTGTGGTCTGGAGTAAGGAGGGCACACCGCTATTGTGGGGATGCAGGAAATGTCTGCACCTTAAAACCTGGACTTACGTCTAAAGTCAGTGGCTCAGTGCTTACCTGATACTTACGGGTGCACTAAGACCGTAAGATGGGAAGTAATACTCTCACTTATGATAAAATATGGCGATTTTTAGAGATATTTTTGTCTGCTGCTTTCCATATGGGGCACATCTCGGGATGCCAGATGACAAGGACACCATTATTACAATTTCCTGACACACCTACTTCAACTCAACCCCAGACAGATGAAAACTACAACCTGAGTGGCCACTCCAGCTCTCTATCACCTCATGCATGCCCTTGAATACGTGTAGAAATAACACACTCTCTCAAACACAACTAAGCTTGTTTTTGTAATTTTTTTCACAATCCCCAACATTACATTTAGTGCCACTGACCATGTCACCTTCATTAAGCAGTGACGCAAAATACAGCCATGTAATCCAGCTGCAAGAATCAGTAGTACTATGAACAACGACGAGCTTCATCAAACCTCTGTGTATGGATCAAGCGCCAAGTCACTTTGCAAAACATGGTTTGATGCCCAAACTGACTTTATACTGTGTGTGTTGGACCATTTGAGTCTGAGCATGTGTATCAGACTGCAGTGTGCTTCAAGAGGAACCATGATCTAACTCAGTGTTAGTTTAGAAAAAGCCACAGTCATCTAGTGGTTGCTGATGTCATCTAAGTATACGACAACAAAAGACTCAGTTTCAGTTTCACCCATTGCACACACTTGTATTAGCTCACAGCACTGCATCATGGGTCATAGTTTGAATGAAGCAGTTTTTCGGCTAAGACTCGATGTTGAATATACTTTATTCTAAAGGACAATGCATCAGATTTGCACTATGAATAAACAATAAGTGAATGTTACATCACTGTGTATGTAACAGGAAAGTGAGCAGAGTAAAACATGGATTTCTACAGAAAAAAAAGGAGAAAAATGAAGAAGTGCAAAGAAAACAGACTTACAGGTGGTCTCTGTGCCATTCAAAGGCTCGCTGCTCATCTCACCAACCACTGAGTAAACACTGACCACATACTCGGTCAGAGGAGTCAGGCCCTCCAGACCTGTTGTAGTCTCAAAGCCACCAACCAGCAACTGGAAAGAGTAATGACAGATTATTATTTAACAACAGGGGACAATACTAACACTTTTATAGATTTAAAGCCTTATTCTAAAGCCTAAGCCTCCACTCCACTGTGTTCTTTGTATGCAAACTGCAGAAAATCCAGTTTGTTTTTGACCTCAGACCTCAGAAGGCGTAGAATCAGCCGCTCCAGGGAGAAAACGTGGGACATCAACACTACCAACCAAAGTGCTTTTGGGCAGACACTGCCGCCACATTACTGCCAGTATAAGATGTAAGAGCCAGTTGACAAGGCAGAGACATGTCATCCATTTTTTAAATAAAAAAGTCAGTGGTTCAGGTTGTGAGTTCTGCTACTGATGGCTCAAACAGAGGATGAGTTGGATTAACAGAAGCTGGAGCTCACCTCCTGAACGGGTCCTCCGGTCACAGCCACATAGGTGACTCGATACTCATCGACATGGCCGCTGGGTGCTGTCCAGGTGGCGCGGAAGGAGTGATGGGTCACCTCTGAGGTCACCAGGTTGGTTGGTGCCTTCACTTCTTCTCCTACTTGAAAGAAAAAAACACGAGCTAGAATGAGATCTGACATGTTGAGTATTTCATACCCTGAACCCTGCCGCCACAAATCTGCCCTCGTCATGTTTTTCTCCTGTGTGCTGTTAATCATATTTGTATTTCCTCTTAAAGATGATTTACAGGCAAAACAATTTCAAAGTCAACGTTTCCATCAGATGCTCCGATCTGTGCTCAAACCTCCCTGATGGTCAGAAATTATACAGATTTTCAGGCAGGAGCAAGTCAAATTTATTGGGTTACATTTTGTTTGCAAGAGCAGAATTGATTGTTAAAATTTGACCTCTTCGCTTTTAGGAAAGGATTTCAAAGGCATAACTTGTACTTTCTCCTTGTAAATCATTTTAAGCTTTATCTTTCAAAAACCAACTGAGAGGCTGCAGTATTGTTTTTAAATTTATGCTTGTCAATCTCAAATTCTTGGAAAGGTTTTAAGGAATTCCAGGACAGTTAGACTTCAGTTGTAATCTGACCTCCATCATGTTGACTACAGGAAAGATGTCAATATGACTCAGCTGTATTCAAAGAAAAATATGGAATTACATCTGAAAGAAGCAGCAACAGAGCTAAATTTGGGAAGCAAATATGAAACAATTTATCCAAACAATAAAAGTTTAATATTCCAGGAAAAGATTTATGAAATAATATTAAATCTGCAACATTTTCATTCAACCAGGATCATTTTTATCAGAGAGATTAATCATTTTTATACAATAAGTTATAATTTCTGCTCTTCTCAGTCTGATATCAGAGGTAAAGGTGTGATGATTGGACATGAGCTTCCCCTCTTACCTGGACCTTTGATGCTGTTACACAGGTTGACAGTGAGGTCTTCAACAATGTCCACCAGGAACTGGAAGTCCTTGATGTTGTACATGTGAATTTCATCGGGGTCTGTGGCGATAGCCCTCAACTCATTCTCATCAGCATCCTTCACACCTGGGAGCAAAAAATACCATCAGTAAAGAAGTCTATACCGTTGATATCTAGTTAGAAAGGTTCTACCTTCCAAATCACACTTTTCAAGGCTCGAATGATTTACAATAAACATGCATTTATCAAATCATGTATATTTCGGACAAAAGTAAATTGAGTACATTGTTTACCCTTTCCAAAAGCCCAACAACAATTATGGATGGATTAACTTATTTTCAAGCCTTTCTGTGTCATTTTCTGTGCAAAATGTGCCTGATGAGATTATACTAATTAATCAACATTTATAACTGCCCAAAAGAGAGGAAAAATTTTACACTTTTGAAATTCAGTATCATGTTCCTTCATTATTAGAGTAATGTGAGAGTTTTCATGTCATTGGGCTTTAACAAAAAAGACCTGGACTGCTGGTTTGACGATAATACATCAAATTTGCTCACCAATGGCGTACAGCTCAATGCCAGCGTCCCTCAGGCTCTTAGACTTCAAGATGATTTCATCCTGGGACTTTCCATCAGTGATCAGGACACCAATTTTGCGGGCGTTTTCTCTCAGTCCTACTTCTGGTTTGAAGTTGTTCTGCAGGATGTAACTCAGGGCCAAACCTGTATGACAGGAGGTCAGTTTATAACAGTATTCAGACTGCAAATCCTTCCAGTTTATTTATTTATTCTTTTTTTTGTGTAATTCTAACTTAAACCTGACTAATCTGAGGCTACAAACAAACACCAAACATGACTCACATTTATTGCACTATTGCGTTTAATTTAAAAACATCCCAGGACAGCGTATATATGTGCAATTAATAAGTCTTTTCTGCTAATGCTCTGAGAGTTTCTGTATGTGATAACTTACGATATTACTTTTTGTTGTTACTTTTTGAGAAATAGCCACTTTGGCCAATGAGCTAAAATGGTACACATAACATATCATTTCAACTCCATGTGCATCAAACAAAGTGCTCTACAATCACCTGTCATGGTGTTGCCTCCTTTGTATGGCAGACTAGCGATAGAGTCCAGCAGGGACTCCATGGTCGGGTGGGCATTCAGGTGCCACTCAGTCTTGGGGTCGCCACTGTACTGAGCCAGACCTGAGGAAAGCACAAAATAAAGGTAAAAAAAAAACAATAGTAATCCTGTATTTACTGTGTTTCATGGGTGTATGTGTGAAAAAAGTTGTCTTAGCCTTCATCTACTGCACTTCAAGCACAGAGTTCGAGTATGAGTCTCTCGTGTGTCACAATTGGATGAAATGTAAAAAAAAGAAAAAAAAAAGAAAAAACTTCAGTGAATTAAGCTACTTTTTTTCTACATTTGCGCCCTTATGTTTTATAAAACGTGAAACAATAGTTGACTTTCTCATCAGCTATTTTCAGACAAAGTTATGTATAAATGTAGTCAAATATTTAATCATTTTATTGTATTGAATTATGATCACACAACAGCACAAAGACTGCATAGGTTTTTCTCATTTCCAACTGTGTAGTTTGAGCAGTAAAATACCTATCTGGACTCTGTCAGGGCCGATGATAAACGCGCTGACTATGCGAAAGATGAAGTTGCGGATGGTCTTGAAGTTGAGGCGGCCGATACTCCAGGAGCCATCGACCAGCAGCACGATGTCGGCCTTAGCTGGAGTCCAACACTGAGTGTCTGCAGGGAGACAACAAGGAGGTAAGAAGAGAGACACACCACTGAACGCCATTCTGAGTATCTGTGAAGTTTTATATGAGAAATATGAGACAAATGTTTGTGGAGAAGGGTGAAAAAAGTAAGAAGAAATGTAGTGGATACATCAGAGGAGAAAGGAGAAGAAGATTACATCAAAAAAATGTCACAATCACAACTGATTTATTCTGTTTATACAGCAGAATGTTTTACAGAGTATTAGGTAACACAAATAATTCCCACTCCTAACACATTGTGTAACAGCTGTCATTTCTGGATTGGTTTTAATGTCCAGCAGAGAGTCAGCCCTGTGGTCTTCTTCAAGGCAGCAGGTCTGCCTCTGTGATATACAAGGCCCGCTATCCCACAAAGTTACTGCACATTCCTGGGTACCTGTAGGGATGAAAATCTACTCTTCCTCTTTTCTAGGACAACACAAACGGGCCAGTGCTGAGTGTTTACCCGTTGGTAAACAGCATGCTCATGTCCCTCCAACATTCATTAATAAAAACAGATGTTATAAACTCAGGCAGCTTTAAAAGGCATCTAATACTCTGCCGACCACTGCTGGAGCGATGTCTCTGAGTACGAGTCTCAACAAATAAATATCTGGCTCTGACTTTGTGACTGTGGGGGTGAGTTTACCAGTGTGCTGCGTAAACCAACAACAGTTTCGATTGATTTTTGTTTTTCTAGAATCACATTGGTTATGTCTCAATTCACAGGCTGCATGCACTGCCCTGACATGGACTTGAGTACCCTGGGTGAGATGGTTCGGCTTTTGTGAATTGGGACGGTCTACCCTTCGGAGGACTTCCTGGTTGAGTCCAAAAGACACAAAACAATAGATACATGTAAGCACAGATCATTTCCACAAAATTCATCCAATGATTGGATGATTTGTATCAAGGAGTATGAGGGGCATATTGAGAATCTTTTAAAAGACTTTGAGATTAAAGTCGTGAATTTACGAGTTACCTGTTATTTCAAAAGAGACATGTTAAAATTAGGGCCATGAAGCATTTAAAGGAACTGTGCTTCAGTATAGGTTTCACAAACAAGGAGATACTTCATCCTTTGGCACATCAGCATTAGCCTGGCTGGGCCATCCTGTTGCGTCAATCACTTGACGTTCCTTCCCACAACAGTCTGGACTTCGGCCCATTGGGAGCGTGTATTCCCGATCAGAAAATAACCGGGCCAATCAGAGACCGTGCTTCCACTGTTACCCGGAAAACAGGGAAAGGCAGCCCCTGATTGGTCCATGTGTAGATGGTGACGTCTAACACATGCTGCGGGACTTTTCAAAGCGCCGTTCATTCAGAACGCCGTTAATTCTGCAGTTGACTTTGCAAAGTCGGCAGAAATCGTCTATATCCGACGTCTTCTGCGGTTTCTTTACAGTGGTGTGAGGGTTTTCATTATGGCCTGATTTTAATTGTGTGTTTGTTTTCCTTTGACAGGTACTGCGGCCCTGAGCGGCAGCGGTCCCCAGGTGGTGGTTCCTATTTTCACATTTGGTTCACGGGTGTAGTGTAGTTGTTAGATCCTTTCCCCTTTTTGTTACAGCTGTTGTGGTAAGCCCAAGCCCTGTCCTGTTTTCTTTCTTTGACAGGCTCTCATACCACTGTTGAGTTGTTTCTGCTTATTTTAATGATTTTGACTAATGAATTTTTTAAACTTTTTTGAAATCACTGTCTCTTGTCCTTGTCTTTCCGTTCCACCAGGAGAAAGGACGTAGGGAGGAAACTTTGCCAGGTGCTGCCTGTTTTTTCATTTTTTTTTCTTTTTTGAAACTGGAGAAATGGAGTCTGCGGTAAAACTGGATGGTTTTAGGTAAGGACTCTTGCTTGTGGAATAAAAGACGACTACATCTGTGTGAGGATGGAGGGATTCCAGGTTATTTAAGCTTTACAGCCTCACATGGAAAGCAGCTAATGATTGATGTAAGTGCATCATTTTCTTTTCTTCTTTTTCACAAGACAGAATTTTTTGTGCAGTTTTTTGTCTTTAAAGTTAGACATGAATGTATGGCTCATTTAAGGCCCCAAATTGTTGGATTGTTTTCATGTATTTTTGGCAAAGGGCCAAAATTAGTCAATTTTTTGTATAAAAAACTTGATTTTCTCTATACTTGTTGTGTTTTCATCAATTTGAGGCCAGATTTTTCGGTTCTAGACAAGTCTAAGCTATTTTGTCTCTTAACTAGTTACACCCACGGTTTTCACCACTTCACAACTGCTTCTGGTTGGAAGAAAAAGCTCCTATCAACAAATTAAAACCAGATATTTGAAGTCGAGACTGTTTTTTTCTCTACAGGACATCTTGCAAATTCCTGAAAGAAACTGGAATTATTTGGATGGAAAAAAAGGTCAAACAGAAGCTGAAAAGGCAAATCAGTTTAAACAAAACAATTCACAGACCCATTGGCTTTCTTTGTAAGATGTTTTTATTGAGGCTAAATATTTAAAGCTTAATATTAGAGGCAGAGAGAATGCAGAGATAAGAGGAGAAAGTGACAAATATGAGGGATCACAGGCAGGAGGAGGAGCAGCTTTACCTTGACTCTGGGCCTGAGAGGAGTACAGTAGCAGTGCCAGGAGGGCAGCCGCAGCCAGAGACAGCCTGCTCTTCATCTTCAGCTTCCTCTGGCTCAACAGCACATGAATGAAACTGCGAAGGACACCAAAAAGGCGGTTTTAATCAAGATTAGCAGCAGCAGCCCTACACCAGCCCAAGGGTTTCACAAGACCTTTGAGCAACTCTATCAGAAATATCAGAGCTCTATCAAAGCAAACCTTTTACAACTGCATTAATTATTCTGTTCTACAGCTCACTTTTATCATTTTAATTAATAACCAGAATCAGTAATTGATTTAAAGGCACAAAACGCAGCTTTCAGGACAGGAATTTTACAAGAAGAATATGCGCACATCAAAACTTCTCTCCACTCAGCCAAAAACCATTACAGAGCAGATACTATGAGAAAGGGTAAAATAATTCCATAATTTAATTTCAACGCCTATAAACAAACAAAGTGTACTAAATTCAGCCGATGTAAACCGCAAAACGTCCGCTTTAGAAATTAAAATCCCTGCAGATGACATATCACCGGTATACAGGAGATGCAATATTTCCACAGTCCACATTTATCGACGTTAAAATCCTGGTGCCGTGCGCAATTACGCACAGAACTCCAAAGAGGTAGTCCACAGGTATCTGGATATATTCCGGTGCAAATTGGATGGAATATGACAAAGATCACAAAGGTTTGCAATGTGGAGATACACATAGTTTTAAGAAATGCAATAAAAAATGCAGTCTATGTGATATTAATGCCTGGAACAGAGTTAATGTTTGCCACACTGCAAAAATAAAAAAAACATCATGCAGGACTGACCTAAAGGGGAGACGGTTGAATTTCTTTGGTGTGGTTCAAGATTGAAAAATAAAAAACAGGTTTAAGTCTCTTCGTTGACCTCCAACCTGAGAAAAGGGAGTATGAGGTGGTCCGGTGTTGGAGACGGAGAGCTCCGCGGGTTTTTGTTTCCCAGACGCGCCGGCGAGCCTCTTTCCAAGTGGGGAGAGTCTCCACACAATCTGCTACTTAACCGGGGGCTGCTCCCAGCCCTGTCTGCCCCGCCGTGAGCTCTTATGACATCCAGAGCCAAAAAATGACGTGTCTCTGAGCGAACACGAACACACACACTCGGAAAAAATATTACACTGCTAGTAAATTAAACCCCAAGACAGAGATTCCTTCTAACGCATCATTCAGGAACGACACAGAGGTTTCTGGAGACTTGAGAAGGATTAAATGGAGCAGAAACAGTTGTCATGAAGATTCAGATAAATCAAAGGAAAACGGTCCTGCTACAAACCTTTTTCAGTGTTTTACACAGATGGTTAGATAGGGAAAAGAGGATGTTACAGCTTTGACATTCCTTGATTTTTACATTCATACATGACCCCAAATTTCTCCAACAGATCCAGATTATTAAATTTACTTAAAAATCTGGATCCCCCACATTTGATATGGAGCATCCAGAAGAAGTCGTAGAAGGCAAGAATGGTCCTCACTGGCACAACCCCAAATCTATCAGGGATGTGATGCAGTTTGAAGTGTTGAGAATTTTGGTGGTTTGCAAACAATTTCAATTTTGTAGTCAGGCCTAGTTGAAAACTAAGGCAAAATTTTATTTGATGGCACTAAATGAACCTCAGTTTTTAAAGAGATTACCACACCATCTAGTGGTGATACTGGGGAACACCAAGACCCTGAAGTTTCCAGGTCTGAGGTCAAAACATGTAGATGTCTACCTCGCATGAAACACTAATAAATGTTAAAGGGTTTGTACAATTAGTAATTATATTCCTATGTGGAAAAACGTCAAATGCTCTGTTTATGTACACCCCAAATCAGGTTCTTATCAAGCTGATTTGTAAATTTAAGTTTTAGAGCAAAGTGATAACTGAGCAGATTATGAATGTGTCCAGTTTTATCTACTTCTGAGACAGACAGAAATAATAAATGTTATTGAGTAATTGATTATAATTTTGGCCTTGTATACACTTAACATATTTTCACTAAGGGTTTTGGTAAACCAAGCCCACTGCTGTGTATAGAGGTTGTATACAGGGGACTCTCCATTATAAATTAAACCAAGTTTGCACGCACAGAGACACAGAAAAAATATAGCCCAGAGTCAGCAAGGTGAGGAAAACATTTTTGAATAATAGGGCTAAGTTCAGCCTTCATCTAGGACTCTGTTATGCCTTTATAGACCTAGGCTGCTATAGGCTAAGACTGCTAAAGGTCTAGAATGCTTGAGGCTCATACTATGGGCTCAGACAGCGAGGCACTTACATTGTTATAGGGTCAAACTGGTATAGGCTTAGACTGCTGGCTCATACTACTACAGTATGGGCTCAGAGGCTCAGACTGCAGTCCCTGAGCTTTCTTGTTTAGTAGGTTCTTTGGGTTGTTGCTACAGAGGGCCTGCTGCTGTGGATGTGCCTGCCAATAACTGCTACATCTTTTATATCAGTCTCATAATTCTTATTTCTGATATAAAGCCTATGTTATTTTTATTCATTTAGCCTTACCATTATAATCACTCTTACAATGGTTCTCCAGAACAGCTTGACTGAATATTTTCATTTCTGCCCCTATCATTACCAAAATGCTCCTATTACACCTGTTAACTTTAATTGCCATTGATTAAATGAAGTGCAGTCTATTAATATCACTATGCTGTTCTTGTTCATAGTGCTCAGTTTCAGCAGATGTCTGTCTAATGTGAGTCTGATTCTGCTCGAGGTTTCTGCCTGTTCAAGGAAGTTCTTGCTCTCCTCTCTTCTTTTCTGCTATGTCTTGATATATTAGTTGTGAATTGGTGCTGTTTGAATTAAAATTGATTGATCGAGATTAAGAGCAGAGTATAAATGTTTAAAGTGGATCATGTGACTACCAACAGATAAGGAAACTTGAGGAAAGGAAACTTGAACAAACAAGGAGGTGTGCACAGTTTTTATGAACACTGAAGGACAAATTCAGATCTTGGCAACGTTGAGGCAGTTTGAAGAAACAGTTCACAGAGATATACCTGATGTATTAAACATGTATGCTGGTTTTTGTAAAGGCAGTAATAACATACAGAAGTTTCGCATACTACAGGTCCTCTAACTCATGGACACGAACAGATATTATCTGTTTATGAGGTAAAGGGTGGACTTTAGGAGCACTGTTAAATCAACAGGAGTAAGGATTTCCTCTGATAACTCCACATAACTTCAGGTCTCCCTTAGGGTTCCACCTGAAGTCATAATAATAACAAAACCTTAAAATAACAGTATGTCCTTATCTATGGAAAATACTGCTTTGCACACTGCTGACCTGTTTCTGTAGGAGGTAAATAAAACACAAAATGACACCCAGACTCAGTGAGGAGCTGTTTCCAAAGATAAAAAGTTTGTGGATATTCACCTTTTTTTTTAAACAAACTGATGAACAGTCAATGCAGATAAACATGTTGCATTCAAACACTGGAAATATTGAAAGTTCTGGTCCCAAGTGATAAAAAAATCAATTATTTGTAAAAGCTCAGGGTCAGGGTCTTGAAAATCAGATAAAATTCACATAACATCTCAAGCACAAAGAAAATTCATGTTATGTATTGAAGGTGTCTAAATTTTTGTAGTGCAGAACATATTTTCAGTCATGTATGAAAATCATGTCACTCTTCGAGTTTTGAGACCACAACAGCACAGAGCTGACCCCGGACATACCCTAAAACAGCTCTGAACGGCTTTGTGATTATAACTGATACATGAATCCCTTCAGCGCTCCCCTCAGTGGGTCACATGTGCTCTGGATGGCTCTGCAGGCAGGAGATCATCTCCTGGACCGGCCTTCCCTCAAAACAGATCTGATACACAGCTGTGAACAGAGGAAACCTGCAGAGAGGGGGACAGAGTCAGACACCACAGAAGAAGAAGATGCAGGGCAGATATTAGAGCAAAAAGCCCCTCCCACTTTGAAAGTCTAAACCATATCATGTATTCAGATGGGGATTTTATGTATTTCAAACATCTATTTTTTTTGCCTTTTTTGTCGACCCAGTGACCTCCTGTATTTATTTAAGTTACTTTGTCCAGCACTGAACTTGGGTTTTAGAAAGTGCTCTGTAAATAACTTTCATTATCATTGAGCAGCAACTGTTTAACACATATAGGACCCAAAGCTAGCTAAATGAACCCCTAAAAAGTGCATGCACATGCTGTTGCATTACAGTGATTGCTGGACATCAGCTGGTAGTAAAAATTATCTCTGAATAACTTCACACCATATTATTGACACTAATTTCACATTTTGAATGTGCTCTCCTGCATATTTCTTAATGTGTAACAGTGTTATCCTTTAAAATAATCAAAATAAAGTCTGTATTTGACAGAATCAACATTCTGAAGCTTTTCTTACTGCTGGTTCAAGGTGCAATATTTACACTCCTGTAGCCTCTTTTCATAAAGAGCTGCTATTGCATATCAATAACGCAACAGCATTGCAACAAAATTTGCCAGCATTAAACCATTCCACTTCCACTTTCAACCCCCAAGAGTGTAGAATTTGTATGTTTTTTCATACTGCATTGCAATAGTGGTTAAGATGAGATAAGGACAACCTTCATTTGTCACACGGTGGCGAAATTTAAGCCCAAGAAGCACAAAGCAACTCTGCCTGACAACTCCTGAGGCGTATTAAATCTCAAAACTATGGTGGGAGTCACCTTGGCGAGGTCAGAAAAAAAGGCATGACAGGATCACTGTGAGGGGGTGGAGCGAGCAGGGCGAAACACTGCTGTGTGTGTGTGCATGTTTGACCATGTGCATGCATCACTGTGTTTACCTGAAATTGGGACCTGTTATCACTCCAATGTAAAAGTACACATGCATGATGACAGCCAAGCTTCTCTACAGCGCTGTTGCAAAATATTTTGTTGTGGCTGAAAATCCACTAAGGTAATCTAAAACTTTCTATTAGTTGTTAAAACTATAAATTATGTGAAGAAATAGGACCCAGGTTTTAAAAATACTAGTTACATATCCTGTGACCTTTAAAGTTTATTTACCAGAGTTTCAAAGAATTTTCTGAAGTGTAAAAATGAGTGCATTAATGATTAGAAATGATCCACTCAGTGTGAAAACACTCAGATGAGGAGTTAATAAAAAACAGATGAATTTACTGACTTTTCCAGCAGGCCTCTCTGTTTGAGGATGTGATAAACCTCCGCTGAGGTGGCGGGACCCTGCAGCTTCTGACCATTCAGCATCTCTTTCTCCAGCTGCTCAATGCTCTGAGAGCAGGAGGGAAAAACACACAAAAAGCTGTTTTAGAAATGTTTTAAAGAGTTTCACGTGTCACTGCAGAAAGGTTTACAATAACCAGCACCAACCTTCCCAGTTTTAGAGAAAGCCTCGGCAACACGTCTGTTTCTGCCGCCGTAGCACGTAGTGATGAGATCAGCCACACCGCAGCTCTCTAGGAAGGTCGCGGTGGAGACAGATTCGTTCTTGGAGAAGAGTTTGGCAAAGGCAATCATCTCCATTAGCCCCAGACGGATCACAGCAGCTTTAGTGTTATCTCCGCTCTGCAGCCCATCACAGAAACCTGCACCAACTGCAACGATGTTCTGACACCAACACAGAGAGGAAAACGAAGGTGGTCTGAATGATTTATGGATTCATTTGAGTTCAACAAGACTATCTTTGCTGTAAGCTCACTATGTTAAAGGAGGGAAGCCGTCGCTGTTTTGGTCTGTTGACCAATCAGAGGCTGAGAGTTCAGCCAGATACAGTCGTCACAGCCTGCCCTCAGCACACAAACACAGAAGACTGTGAGCACCTATTGTTTTGTCCACCTGTGTCCTAATCAGACTAATGTTGCATTTTTCTCAGCTTGTTAACCTTTTTGTGTTTTTTTTTTTTTATCCTAGTCCTTCTCTGCCATACCTTCAGAGCTCCACACAGCTCCACAGTGTCTGCATCATCCACCACAGTGATCCTGAAGTTTGGAGTCTGCAGCAGCTCTTTGAACAGCAGCCCGTTCTCCAGAATCCTGCTGCCTGCACACCCAGAGGAGATGATATTTTACTGTCGATCATGATAAAGAATGTTAATTTTTTTACATGTTTTTAAACTTTTACTGATTTTAAAAGTGTATGAAGTGATTTCTGTGACTTTTTATTTTGTTAGAGAACTTTGTAATGTAAACCATTGTTAACAAAGGTGTGTATAGATCCTACTTACCAATGGTGGTTTCACAGAACTTCTCAGCCGCCACCTCATTGGCGATGTTCGCTCCCATCAGGACGCTGACGTCAATCCCCATCTTCTCCCTGATGATGTCAGAGATCAGTTTCAGACCATCAGGACCCTCGTCTATACCCTGAGAGAGACACACAGAGACGAACAGAGACACAGACAGTCAGAAAGTGAGAACATGTGACTGCAGGAAGGATGGTTCTTCCTCTTCTACTACAGAGCCATAGTGTTGTTATCCCTTCAGAATGTGGTTTGTCATTGTCCTGCTGAAATGTGAAGGTCTTCCCTGAAAAAGTCATTGTCTGGTTGGCATCAGATGTAAAAAATATCCTTCTTTATGTGAATAATAAGGAGCTTTACAACTCAGACTGCTTGAGTCAGTGTGTAGCAGTTTTAACACATTTCTACCTTGATGAGCGTGATTCCTCGAGCTTTGGCGGAAACGCAGCCCGACATCTCGTCACACAGTTTTCTGATGAACTGATGAGGAACCACAAAGACCAGGAGATCTGCTCCCTCTGCAGCATCACAAAGACGAGGGACGGCAACCTGAGGAGAACAAAAAAGGAGAGAGACCAATCTAAACTGAGTATGTAGAGGGTTTGATGTGGGATTGGATGTGAGGATTCTAAGCAGTCATCTGTGTGGTGAAAGACTAAAATGAACAGTTTCAAACTGCGACAGCTCAGGGTGAAGAAAACCTGTTTTAATTTTAAGTTTTTCCTGTTGTTGCTGCTTAAAACACCATAATCATTGTGAAAGTTCTACAGATATTAACAGACTTATATTTCACAAAAACAGAATATTTTCACTCACCACGTTCTCTGGCAGTTTGTACCCAGGCAGGTATTTGACGTTTTCATGCTCCGTGTTGATGATGTCAGTGAGCTTCCTGCCATTAATGTTCTCCTCGTACACCCACATCTTCACCGTGGAGGAGAAATGCTGCAGCACTGTGGCGTTCCTCCCGATGATCCGGGCAATGGCTGAGCCCCTGAAATCACATAGAAGGCCAGGAGGTCAAAATCCATTCACTCACAGCGGCTGAAAACTGCACCACAAGGGGGTGCTGTCACATCCAGGATCAATTACATGGGAGGATAACCAACTAGTTAGGTAAATCGACCAAATATGCAAGACAACGTAGAAACCAGACAACTATTTAGTCAGGAACTGAAGACTTAAGTGGTTTAGAGGTCTGATCAAAGTTTAACTATCCACTCTGCACCAGGGTGTGTTTCTGTGTGTCAGAGGGAAAAAAAGGAAGGGGGTATCTCTAATTTTACTTTTCCTCCTTCTTTTTAAAAATCATGTAGTGCCGTTGCTGTCGCACATTTTTGAGTGACCTTTTAATGTGGCCGGGCTAAGGTACACCTGTGCAAAAATCATGCTGTCTAATCAGCATCTTGATTTGCCACACCTGTGAGGTGGATGGATTATCTTGGCAAAGGAAAGGTGCTCGCTAACAGAGATCTAGACAAATTTGTGAACAATATATGTTAGAATAGGCCTTTTCTGTACATAGAAAAGTCTAAACTCATGAAAAATGGGAGCAAAAACAAAAGTGTTGCGTTTATATTTTTGTTCAGTGTACATTGTGATATTATGTCACATCTAGTAATCTCATTTCATATCATGCTAGTTCATGTTTCATATCATGTTTTGCTTCTTCGTGTCATGCTCTATCATTTCTTCATACTTTTATATTAATAATTGTTACAGCATGTAACAGATCATGTCTCAACTGTCATGTTGGTACCTTAGTCAGGGTGGAGGGAATTATGAACAGCTACAAATACCAGTCAGTGTTGACACAAAACCTTCGGCCTTCTGCTAGAAAGCTGAAGATGAAGAGGACCTTCATCTTTCAGCACGACAATGACCCAAAGCACACATCTAAATCAACAAAAACATGACTTCACCAAAATAAGATGGAGACTTTGGAATGGCCCAGCCAAAGTCCAGACCTGAATCCCATCGAACATTGTGGGGTGATCTGAAGAGGGCTGTGCATAGGAGATGCTTTCGCATTCTGTCAGATTTGAAGCGGTTTTGCAAAGAGGAGTGGGCAAATATCACCACATCAAGATGTGCCACGCTGATAGACTCCTACCAAAAAAGACTGAGTGCTGTAATAAAAGCCAAAGGTGCTGCAACAAAGGGGTGTGTAGACTTTTTATATCCACTGTAGCAATCATGTGTTATCCTGTCATAGAATGTGGTGGTCTATCGATTTGCATATTTGTCATATCATGTTGTATCTGTGACTCCAAGCTGATGCAATTTCTATCATTTCTATAACAACAATAAATTATTGTAACCATGCAACCATGAGGGATGAGAAACACCATGTGACTGAGGGTTTCAATATTTTTCTTTATTTGGTTTACTGCCCACCCTGTTTCCAGCACTGTGGGGTGACTGAGAAACTCTATGAACTGCTTTCTTTTGTTCAACAGCCCCAGAAACTACAAACCTCTCTGATCTTCTTAAATCAAACCTTTAAAAGTAGATTGAATTCATTCTGAAAATTGGGAGACTATCATCTTTTCATTTTTTGATCTTATGTCCTGCAGAGCAGTCTGACCCTCTCATGTATCAGTCCATCATGTATCTGCATCCTCCTCCTCCTCCTCCTCCTCTTTATCATCAGCAGCAGCCTACTCACCAGTTTCCAGAGCCGACGATACACACTTTGAGAGGAGCAGCCATCTATGAGTGTGTGTGACTGTTACCTGTGACTCTGACACACACACACACATATATACACAGTCTGTATTCACACACATACACACACACTGACTCACACTGCTCCACAGGGACGGACGGAGCAGGGACACGATGATCCCGAGCAGCGCGCGTCTGCTGTTGATGACGTCAGCGCGCTTCGTACGATACGCCTCTAGGGAGTTGTAGTTTTCATAAAGGGTTGACGTAACCGGTTTAGATTACATAAAAGGCTGACTTTATGAATTATGGATTATTTTTCTGTTGGACTGAATTCTTTCTTTATTTCTTTCTTTACAAATGAGATTGTGTTTTAAAAATTAAGACCTCCATACGATATAAACCGCTTTTCTCACCATGTTAAAAGAGGGGACAGTTAGATTCAGGTTCACATGACACTACTTTGATCACATTGTTAATCTCTGCAGAGAAAGAGATTAGCACGTTTAACTCTTTATTAGCTTCATATATTCATAATAGATTACAACAGTCTGCTAAAAACATGGGTTGGTGCAGTTATGTTGGTGTTATTTTTGTGATAATCAGCCTGCATGAAACAGAAAGTATCCCTATGTTCTCAACTATGATTTAAAGTGTTAACCATTTTTAATGCAGGTCCAAATGCATGAATGAAAAAAAAAAACAATCTAAACCACACAAAGCTAAAAAAATATAAAATTAAATCAACACAAAATATAATATGATGTGTTTTTCATCCATAAGTATCATAGAAATGACATTCAGAAATCCTTCAGTCCCCTGGCTCTGAAAAACCAACATATTTTAAGTTTTATGTGCATGTAGTATCAGCACTTTAAAGCAATTGTTTTATGGTTTGACAGTCTGTCAGGAATTTATTGTCGTATTGCTTGTTCACATCAGATCCTCTGTACTGCATGTGTTGAATGTCTATCCCTTTGAGTCATTATGTATAACTCTCTCTTGCAATACGACCTGTTTTGCCCACAAGATATAAATTTGTTCACAAGGAGAAATAACATGTTTGCAGAATAAATTATCTGGCTGCAATAAAGTAATATGTCATGTTCACATGGCATTTATCATGTGGTATAAGGTCACAATAATGTGCATACATGATAATGTCTTGTATGCTCAAGTCACTTGTAATGATAGCTGTAATGCATAAGAAAATGACCTACAGGAAACAACTTGTTTTCTAGTGCACACAAGTTGTTGTGCGCAAGATTAAAACTAGTATAAACTCTGAATGGTTATCTTGCAAGTACAACATGGTTTTATGTAATTACGTATACATAGACTTTTTGTACAAACACATTTTATCACATTTAAGGCTAATTGAGATCAAAATTTCTGACCATACTGTATACACTGTGTGTGTGTGTGTGTGTGTGTGTGTGTGTGTGTGTGTGTGTGTGTGTGTGTGTGTGTGTGTGTGTGTGTGTGTGTGAGTTCTGCTGAAGGGGGAGTATCCCAGGCAGAGGGGGAGTGACCAACCCGGGATTTCCAAAACAAAAAACGCAGTAACGTCAGAGAGAGAGAGAGAGAGAGAGAGAGAGAGAGAGAGAGAGAGCTCCGCAGTAAAACAGCAGGAATATCCCTCCTGTGTGTCACAGAGTCAGAGCTGACTGGAGAAGACTAGCTCCCTCCTGATCGGTACATCACTTCAAAAACACCTGAAAACCCTCCTCCTCCTCTTCCTCCTCCTCCTCCTTTTGTTTACGGCTTAGGAGCCTCCTCTCCCCCTCTCCTATCTCTCCTCACTGAGCTGCAGGATGAACTGGTCCTCTCGGCAGGAGAAGCCCGCTTGGAGCTCCTTCAGGAGACAGCAGCAGCAGCAGCAAGTCGACGCGGCTGCTCCGGAATGCAGGGGAGGTTCCGGGACCGGGACCAGGGACAGCGACACTCGGCCGGCCCCCGAGCATAACAACACGGCCCGCAGCAAGCGACACCTGGAGGGGGTCCTGAAGAAGTACACCAACCTGTTCAAGGGCTGGCAGAGCAGGTAGGTACCTGAGGGGGGATTATTGCTCGTCTGTGTGTGGATTTACAGATTATATGCGCTTTTAAAATGATTATTGTAATCGTATTATATAATATCCCTGTTGGATCCAAACCGCTTCTTGTGTCCCACTCTCTCTCTGTGACACCCAGAGCGTTTAAATCTTCTCAGATATAAAGGAACAGCGTTCACGACATGTTTTGCACTTTACTAAGTTGCACAGTCCTTTAAAAAACTTCCACACCTCTGTGTCACATTGGCCCACCCAATTTATTATTGAAGCTAGATTTTAGTTAGAGGAAATTTCTAAAAATACCATGCCAGTGCTATGATCACTTTGTGCTTATTTAACAAACACATTATTTAACAAAGCATTTTCTCCCCATAAAAATGTCATAAAACCCTTACTTCAATCTCCCAATTCTTTCAAACTTCTTTCATTTTTAGCTGAAAAACCTTGCATTAGCATCCATTTGTCTTTATGTGGAGGTAAAGAAGTCACGAAAGATGAAAAATGCCCGGATAATAACTCTCTATCCAACTTGAGTGACAGTTTTGGATAACATTTTAGTTGTTTATTGATGGTTATCTAAGGTCACACTGTGGGACAGATCTATATGCAGATTTGAAGCATGATGAGGTGGTCTTCATCCCTTTGAGTGTGCATTCATACATTCAAAGATTTTCTGCTCAGACTGAATGAATGAAGTGGAGCTCAGTTGTGTTCAGAGAGAAACTGTGGGGGTGGGAGTCCCACAAACACTGAATGAGTCATCCAGGATCAGGAAAGCCCTGCACTCCTCTCCTGCATTTCAATACTTACTTCCCCTCTCCTTCATCTCCTTTTCTCACTCCTTCACTGCCCCCCCACCCCCATCTTTTACTGTCCAAGTGGATCGATGGTAAAAGCATCCGAACGTGTAATGAGATCCGTGATCACACTTTGACAGTGTGTGGTGTGCTTACTTCCTCTCACACACATTCTCTCACACACTCTCAGAGCTGTTTTTGGCTCTGAAATACTGGAAAGATTAGTGTGTGTGTGTGTGTGTGTGTGTGTGTGTGTGTGTGTGTGTGTGTGTGTGTGTGTGTGTGTGTGTGTGTGTGTGTGTGTGTGTGTTTGCATCAGCAGGTTATGTGTCCTCTCTCTGGAGGATGAAATGAATATCTATGTGCTGTTCAGAGTCTTGATGTGTGTGTTCAGCCTGAGGACAGATCGGATGACGCAGGTTGGTATTTGAATCACACTGATTGTTTTTTGTTGTTCTTCTCACCCTGTCGGGTTGTCAGACTGTCAGAGGGAATTATGTTGTTAGTCCGTGGCTGACAGAGGATATAAACAGAGATTAATCATGAGAGGTGATGCTGCTGAAGATAACTGTGGTGTCAAAAAGTTCTCAGACATTTTGCTCAGACTGTTATGTCATTGTTTGTTCCTTCTATCCCAGACTCAGATATGATTGCACAGACTTTCTTATCTTCTGGAAGAAGTGGAAAAATGTCAGTGAAAACTTCACAGTCTTTTCTCTCTGAAAGTTGCAGAAGGGGTGATAGAGTGTTCAGTCAAACCTCAGCATGTTAACAATAATTTAATTATGTGCTCCTCCCCCAGTTTTCCAATTCTTATAATGTAGAAATACATGTGTGTTCTGTCTAAGATTCAGCAATCAGGATGATGTTTTATGTTCAAAACAATGCAAAACCACCTGCTAAATGTGTTGCACTAAGTTAAGACAGTCAAGCAGGTTTGCACGTCTCCACAATGGGCCAATGTACGCCAGGAGCAAAACACAACAACTGACACAAATCACAAAGACATGAACTTTTAAGACTTTCTACAGGACATTACCCAATTATATGGACGGCTAAAGCCGGGTTTATACCTTTGCCTAAAAAACGCACTTGCTGTTGGTTGGAATAGCTATGTAGAAACCTATGCATATGGCTGGATGTGCAACACCTCCAAAGAAGAACTACACATTCAACAATAGCAGAATTTAAGCCCTATGACTGATGCTTGAACTCCAACAAAACACCCTCAGATCCACTGAACAATCAAGCAGAGAAAGCTGGTATATCCAGCTGCAAGCTGGAAGGACTGAAGGAAGTTGAACTGCCATATATGGTTGGATAGAGAAACAAACAGGATGATGTCATGTCTGTGGACAATTTGTTGTAAAATGCCACTTTTGGTTTGCAGACACGTTCTTATCAGACTGCATTAACTGCATTAGAGATTATATATTGTACTGGTTCAATTACACAGAGTGTGCCATCCTTGTTGTTGTGTATATTTTAAACTGCTGCCTTGAGAAATGAAGCAGCCACTGTAATGTTTGTAAGCCATGGGTGATTTTTGGAGGAGGCACGCTTTGTACGATCATGGTTTGAACCCAGCCTGCAGGGCTGTAGCTGGGTCCTTCTTAGAAAGTGTATTGGGACTGAAAACTGGTGATATGACCAACATAGTAATTGTACTGCCAACTATTGTTTTGGAGGAGTATTTCGATGCACAAGTCTTCATGATGGCATGGGCAACAATGATGAACTTACTGTGTAGAGACAATGCAGAAGTAAAATCCAGAGCAGTGATTGAAAAAAGGAAAGAGCTGTCTAGTATGGCTCTGTTTGACTTTCTAGGAAATCTCTAAAAATACTTCCTTTGATCACTGATTCCACAGCACTAATTCCCTGTGGACAACAATGTAGCAAGTCCATCAGTTTTTGTCAGTTTAACTGGGAAGCAAATTCAACACCAAGAGGCCGATCAGCACCATGGACAGCTCTGCAGCCTCACAGTATAATGTATTGTCTGCAGCCTCACACTCAGTTACTGCATGTGTATATCTTTTGTTTGTTTGTTTGTTTGTTTGTTTTTAAGTCTTTTGGTAATGGTTAAAATGACATGACATTTGTACGTCGTGACACTGATGAAACTGCCACATTAAAACAAGTGAGATTCCTGTAGACATTCTGGCTTTGACAGCCACCTCCACACTCTGCCAACCCCTCCTCTCGATCAGCTGTAACTGTCGGGCTGTAAATCCACAGCAGCATGGAGGCTGAAGACAGGGTGAATAAATGTCTGTTACTGAGTGATTTCTTTCTCATGCTTTCTCTCAAACAGAATTAAGTTTGCTCTCATTCCTGATGACATCTTGAATTCAGAAAATCACTTTGCTATCAAGAAATAACTTGAACTTATAACTTAGACCACCTCTTCTCAGTACAGTTATTTTCTCCCAGTGTGCTAGCTTTAATTATTTCCTGGTTAACCCATATGTGATCTTTTGATGAATTGTGGTGATTCAAGTGCAATGGAATTAATGACTTTCAGCACAGATTCCTTTTTTGAACTGAACTGTATCATCAGCAACGGAAAAAGTGACTGTTTTTTTAATCTATTAGAGGAGTGAAATTCCCTCATACAAATACATGTATGAAAAACACTGTCATTGCTCGGTTAATGACATCTTCAACATGGTGTTTCGCTATTAATAATAGATTACTAGATTACACCGAGGCTTTGCTCCAACTTACTGTTCATCCATCTGTGGAGAGTCTCAGTTCCTCTGTCTCTCAGAGGCTTCATTCTGGCTTTCTTCAGCAGCATGAACCTGAAACAGAACCTGATGTTCTTGTGATGTTCTCCTCATTAACGGATCTCCGGTTTCCTAAAATAACATCATGATGCAGAGTAGCAAAAGGTCAAAGGTCAAGCTTTGTCAGGTCTCAGGAAGAGAATAAAACTACTTTAAATATGTTTGTTTAATGAATTCAGGGAAGTCAGGAGATATAGGAAGTATGCATCTGTTTATACAGAGAAAGAAATCCTCCTCAGACTATCGCTGATGTGTGATGGGATATCTGACAGTGGATTTGGTTTCTTTTGTCTCGCTCTATACAGACTGATAACTCTAAACCGTAAATGAACACCCCTCATATCTAAATCCAGACCCCAGAGATCAGATTCTAAATGTTTAGAGCAAATCTGCACCACCAATTCATGACAGCTGCTACAATAAGAACTGGACCAAGAGGGAACATCACTGAGAGTTTTATCATTCTTTCATCATCACTCCCCTATACAAGACTGTATGCTCTCATGCATTTCATATCGTTTTGGTTATTTGCACATTTACATTCATGAATAATAATGTTTATAAATTTGAAGGTATTTTAATCAACAGTCGATCACATGCTGGCTGACAATCTTAGTCTAAACCCAGACTAAATGTACAAAAATAAATCAGATAGCACTGGTTGTTGTCTTTGTTTAATGCAAAAAGCTATTCAAGTACCTTTGTCTTGTTATTGTTCAGATTTGACTCTAATGGTCGGGGGTTTTTAATCCCTTTATTTCTCTCTCCTTTAGATATTTCGTTCTGGATCCCGAGGCTGGTCAGCTTCAGTATTATCTGAATGACGTCAGTAAAACCCAGAGAGATCCTCGAGGGTGCCTGCCTCTCCTTGGAGCCATGGTTGTCTCCAGCGATGACTCTCAATACATGTTCACTATTAAATCTACAGCTGGAAATACATACAAACTCAGAGGTGAGAGGGCACACCTTAAAGTTGTTCTCCTCAGTGTGGTGTTTTCATACTGATCATAAGTTTGCTGTTGTTTTTGTGCGTCACACGACATAGATTTATCCCTTAAACTAGAATTTGCGCAACAGATGAATGAAATTGCTGAGGACCAATTGAAGGCAACAGTAGGCTCACAATACAGTTCACAACTAAGCAAGGTGGTTCACTCCATTTCTCAAAAGGAAAACACAGGCAGCATAAACCAGTGTAGTCAGACCCCACAGGACACATTCATAACCCCTATTCTGTAAGATCTGACCCACTCCCACTCATCTGCTGAGACTGAGCTGGGTTTAGAGAGAGGGAGATGGAGAAAGAGAGAGATATGATATCATATATTATACTGAATTGTATCATCAGTTTTGTATTGCAATGCATTTTATTGTATTACACTTCATTGTGTCATATTGTATTGTATCACATCACAATGTATTGTATCATATTGATTTAAATGTATCATATTGTGCTGTGCTATATTATATTATATTGTATAACATAACATTATACCATGTTGTATTATATCATATTTTATCCAACCTAATCAAACAAGGATTGATTTTGGACAGAACAGAGGGCCTAGGTGTCTGCTCTGAGCCCACTTTTTGGTCCAGACTGACCATAGGGGAACAACAGCAGTAGCAAATACTGAACAGATATGTTGATTGTAAAAGGAAAAAAAAAAAAAAGAAGAAAACTGTTCTCTCATTTGACCTTAAATAACCAATCAATAACTATGCGGCTAGGTTTATAACTATAAATAAGTGATCATTTTTTCATCCCCAGCAGGAATAAAAGGATTTAAAATCAATCCTGATAAAAGTCTTAAACGTAACAGTGTTGCATAACAAAAGAGAAGTGTGCATGTGTGTGTTATTTCCTGTCTCAGGGACTTGCAGTAGACACACAAACACGCACACACAGACACATATATAGGCACGCACACTCAGACTCTGTGTGGTCTTCTCCCTGTCAGCTCCGGACGCTCAGCAGCAGGAATTATGGATGACTCAGCTACAACTGTGCTCTAGATGTCACTCTGACAGCAAGGTAAACGCACACACACACACACACACACACACACACACACACACACACACACACACACACACACACACACACACACACACACACACACACACACACCTCTGTTGTTTATGATATCCTCAGTCCTGCCTTATAGGTCTACAGTTTAATTAACAGTTTTCCTTCAAACTGGCAATATGTATCTGAAGTTTGGACACTTTATCAGTCATTTTTCTCCTGCAAACTTTATCTTCTGTTTACTAATTATTTACTACTAATTTACTTTCTTAATCTTTGTACAAAAATGATTCAGTATGTTTACAAGTGATGCACAATATATATATATTTTAGGCAATAATAACCTGCTCCAGAGGGCTGTTGCGCTGTAGCAGAATTCAGAAATCACAGATGAAAAAGCCAGGTTTGATCAGTTCATCCTAGCTCAACCAACTGCATGTATGTCATGCCAGGGTAAGGTGGAGTGGCTATGTCAAGTAAGAAACAAAGAGCTCAGATTCTTTGGCTGGTGTTTGTTTTTGCTTCTACAAGAACTCTCCAGAGCATCAGTTATGTCTTTTTCATCTGGAGGTTTGATCCATGAACCTGTTGTCCACATGCTGAGGTTGGCTCTACCCAGTGGTGTATGAATGGGATTAGTCAAAAACTGATGGTCTCTATTAGTACAGTATCAGCCTCTGCCACCAGTGTGTGAATGTGGTGTGAAAGAGTGAATATTGCATGTGATATAAAGAGCTTAGAGTGGACTGAGAGATAGAAACACAGTCCATGAGTCCATTTTTTCCTTCTCTGGCTTGTCAAACTTAGAATCCTCTCTCTGGACTAACCACAGAAGTCCATCTGTCCATAAGTGGTCAAATTTCAGTCCCTGAGGTCGTCTGTGACTGTGTGCAGAGAGCACATCATACAGAGCAGGCAGGGATGCATCTGAAGAGCAGAGAGTCAGGATACTGTTCAGATACAACGTTAGCAGCTGAAATCTTCCAACTGACAGTGAAGTATCTGCAGATTCATTGGTTTTGTCCTTCATTGCCTTGCCTTTGGGTCGTCTCTGAAAAACTGCCTGCAGCTATCACATGTCAGTCGTATGGCAGCACTATGGCACTGTCAACACTTCTTCATTGCAAGATCTGCTGTGCTAAAACTGAAAGATTTCTTTTTCCTCCTCTCTAAACTCTGTTAGCACGAGGGCAAATTTCAATCTTTAATCCTTTGCAGGCTTGTTGAAAGGGCTGTCAGGGTGAGGGAATTTCCTCCACCATGGCTCAACTCTGAGGTGTGTGCTGTGATTGCACTTTTTCTATGAATGGTTGATTATCGTTGTTACTCTTTATCACATTAACATGAACGTTAATTTGATTTGTTTTCATAGAACATTAATCTTCTGATGCAGTTTTCTTTAACATAATCATCTTGCATTACATGACTCCAGAGCAGGAATGATGCGCTATGGCAGAATTAGACTTGGGCTCTAAAAATAGACACTAGCAGCTGTTTGGGAACAGGAATAATTGATTCTTGCTGATCTGATCTGTAAATAGAATTTGATGTCCCATCACCAGGAGCATCTACACTGAGGTAGCCTACCTGAGATAGTAGAAGGAAACTAAACCCTGCATTGACATGGTAAGGTGGATCACAGATAAATCTTTTTGGATATGATGTGTTTGGATTTAATCTGTTACTGGATTTGGAACATGGAGACCCTCTGTGTTACAGCAGGAGGAGGGCAGACCATCAGACTTTTAACAGGTTTTAGTGTTAGTCTTCCAGTAACACTCTGAGTTGACTGTCGGCTCCTTCACCAAAGAAAACATCACCATCTCTTCATCCAGATACTGCGTAACAGCACCTGCAAGGGTTCATGTCTCTCATTGTTAGAGTTTTAACTCGAGCAAAGGCTTATCTACCACAGGCACAGGCATGAGCTGCTAGGCTCTGAGCTGGGGGGTTGAAGTATGATACAGAGATGTCTTCAGTTGATGAAAATAATCTCTGGATACAGACCAAGGAACTCAGGTTTACTCAATCAGGACCAGATTATGATAAAACACAGGTGGGATATATACAGGGACGAAGATTACATGTGAACAGAAACTTTTTAAATAATTATTATTATTATTCTAATAATTGATCAGAATAAACCATGCAATAAATGAGTGAGTAAATGATGTGAAGCAGAGAAGAGATAAATGATGTAGATGTACAGCAGCCGTGTTTAAAAAGGCCATGTTTTTTCTGTGAGACTCCTCGTTACATAAGGTGTTTTATACTTTGAGACCACTCTAGACTCTAAATTCTTCTTCTGTGGTTAAATTTTCTCTATTGATCCCCTTCTCCTGTCTGTCTGTTTATTGAATTATACCTCCACAGAAAAGTGCTCAGGCAGCTGGACAGGTTTGGTTTCTGGACTTAATGGACCCAGACTACATTTCAGCCCTCTCCATGTTTGAGCTCATCTCCTTTATTCTGCTGGGCTCCTCTGAATTTATTCACTTTCATTCCTCAGACAGCTGAATGAACCTTCAGAGATATCAGAAGAACAAAAAGCCTCCTGTCATGTTGTTCCTTTGTGGAGCTCAGTCAGTGTAGTTTCTGACGTAGAGGAGGAGAGAGTGATTTATTTATGATCTGAATGGCTTCAAAGTTAGATCTGAACTGAGACTGACGTCAGTTAGGTTCGTCAGACTCCAAACAAACAGTGCATTCATTAAAGATGCTGCGGGTGGGCCAAACACTTTGGAGTAGATTTTAAGTTAGGGAGAAACACTCAGTGGAGCTGCACATTTTATTGAATTATGTTCCTTTAAAAGCCTGATTTTACAGTCTTAGGTCTGGTGCTCAGGTGGTGCATTGCAGAATAGATCGAACTCAACTCAACTCTAGGTTAAAAGTTTTTTTTAGTGGGATGGGGGTAACTTCAATCATGTTAACTCTGTAGGAGAAACATCAAATTCAGGAGAAGTCTCTAATTTGAAGTCATAGAGGACGCACTCACCAAGAGAGGGCTGTAAGCAGGTATAACACAAAGAACTGAACATTAGTCACCCTCAGTCTACTCCTGCTCAGTGTCAAATTCACAAGGTGTAATGCATTTATTCAGCACAGTGTTAGTTCAGGCATGCCATGAAGTTAAGCTCTGCATGCTGATCTCCAGTCCAGCCTGTAACAGCTGACAGCTGAGCTGATTATCTTCTACACATTTAATTGGCTGATGGTTGTTTTATTTAAACAGCTTCAGCCTGCCTGTTTTTTCCTGCTTCTTCTGCAAACCGCTTCACAACCACCCTACACCCCAGCTCCTCCTTTTTACGCTGTGTCCAATTTTACTGATGTCATATGGTCAGTCTTTGCCGCTGCTCTGTGGACCCCATACTACCAAATACAACCCACTGCATGAAAATAAATACTTGTCTCAAACCTGCCTGTGGTCCCGTCTGGCATGCTTTTAACAGAATGTTAAATCTTTAGACATATTTACTCTTAAACAACCTTTGTGCAGGTCCATCAGATCTGCAGGAGGAACCACTTGTCTACACTGAAAGCACCCTGTCACTGATTTTTTTTTTCCAAACATCTTAACTTCACATGCCATGAATAAATTTATTTATCCTGACTTATTTATAGTATGAAATTACATAATAATGAAGTCATTTATGACTCATCAGCATGGGGATTTTATGTAACAGCACTCAGGGTGAGTAAAAACAGTTTTTGGCACACAGTGAATATGTCTGACAGTCATTTTACACAGCTGAGAGTTGGTACAAGGGTACAAACAATTTATATCCATCTAACTGACATCATTAATTCAGAGGAAGCCTTTTTTTTGTTTGTATTTGCATGTATTGTGTGCATAAATTCAAACTCACTGAGCTCAGACAGCTCCAAAACTTTCCCTTAGAGATTTTGTTTCATTTTAAAATGTGCCATTATGATCAACAGGGATTTTGTGTGAGAATTGATTTGCAAAAGAAAACTTTGAGCAACAGAGCCAGTAACCCTTCTTTTATTATGATACAGTAGATTGCACAGGAAATAAAAAATATTACATCACAGGCTTTTAAATATCTATTTACACCCTATATTTCACATTCTCCGTGTTAAACCTTAAATTAGTCACTGAAAAAATAAAAGCCCCACAATTTCCAGAATGCACAAAGTAGTTAAAGTGTTGTTTTGTTAAATAAAGGATTAAAAAGATTCATGGCTGTTATACTCTGTGGCTCGCTATCTGCCCCCTAGTGGAAGATCAGTGTACTGCATTCATCTGGACCTACTATAGACTATATAAAACAAAGGACAGAGCAACAGCCAGCATGTAGAGCCAGAACATTCAGAACTCCCCCTGCTCTCTGGCTGTGGTATAACAAACCCTGCCTCATCCATGTTAAAAGATGGGACATCACTGAAGAGAAAACCCTTTATATTACTGGTTATTATTATTACTGGTGTGAGGATGAGTCTCATCATCTCCAGAATCACAGTCAGACATGTTGGACACATCCACTGAAAGTCCACTGTTCCTGTCTCTGTTTGAGAGGAAACAAAGGCTGTTTGTACAAACCTGTCAGGTAAAGTTCGGCATGTTAATTTGAAGATGCACCACTTCAGAAAAAGTTATCGTGCATCATCTGGTCTGATTGTGGAAACAGACAGAGGGAGGATAGTGGGTCTGATTTCCTCTCCCTGTAGAAACTGAGATTATCTTTGTTGCACAGCAATGAGAGGACAAGGAGAGCTTGTAAAGCGCATGAATATTTTTACTGAGAGAGGATGTGAGTTAGCTGGCTTCAGAGTCAGAGTCTGACGCCCTCAGGAATCCTGCTCCCTCTCAGACTGTCCTGAGATTACACATGAGGAGACAGAGGGGGAGTTGGACCAAGTTTACAATTGTTTTAACAAACAGAACTCAGAAAACCGCTCAGTTGATAACAAGAAGCCCTGAACAGACATACATGCGGACATTAATTCTTTTTTTTTTTTCTGCAATGAGTCACAATCTTACAGTGTTAGTTAGCAGATGCTTTTGTTCAAAGTTATGTATGAACTTAGGAACAAAAGCAGAGATCTAAACAGAAGAAAACAACCCAAGGAAGTTTAATTTAGTTATTTTCTGGAGCTCGTCAGATGACCAGAGTATGTATGTGTTTTGTTCTGTATTTGGTTTTCTAGCCTTTATTCAGATGATGGGTCAGTGAGTTGAGCTGAAAACTTGGTCTCACTTTTCTGTTTGAGCCTTAAAGAGATATTTTCATCTGCATGCTGCTCTCTGGATGGACAGTCTTTGGGTCAAAGGTCACGTCAGCTGGGATGTGCAGAGAGATAAGCTGAGTCTGCAGATTTTCAGAAGGAGCTGTTTCTTCCTTGGGTCCTGAGAATTCAGACAAAAAGCTGTGGTGTTAAGAAACTAACATTCAGAAAATTGAATTAAAGTTCCCATCCTTTTATAAAAGTCCTCTTGAGCCCTCTTCCGGCTATAAATCTTGCTAAAAGAAGAGGGAGGGGTCATATTAAAGCCAACTCCATCTTGTTTTCATACCTCTCAAACAGATTTGATTTCAAATTAAAATATTAGTTTTACAGGCTCTGGATGATTCTGGATTTGTCTAATACCTTCATGTATGTAGTAGCTTCTTCCTGACTGTCCTCATGCCATGACTTCTGCTGAGTTGGTTTCATGTCTGGTATACCTGCAGGCGGACTGTTGTGGTTCAGTGGCAAATGGTAGACTGCCCACTACTCAGAGATGCGGTAATCATAGCATTTAGTATGTGCAGAAAACAGATATATGATAACTGAAGCGTGATCTTTGGCTCCTGAGATAGTGGATCTGTCTGAATCGGCGTCGGATGTGGACCATCAACTGACCAGTTTTCCTAATAGTGTGGATGTGAGACACTTACTGTGGCCTCTGAAAGCTGCAGTTCCCAGAAACAAAAAGATTTTACCAAAAACACACTGACTAGTTCATGCTGAGCGAGGACAGCTAAAGACAGAGTTGAAGTGTGTTGTAAGTTAGTGTGTGTCTGCTCACACTGCGTCTATTTTAGCTCCTCTCTGACAATCAGACGATGACTCACCTCCTCTGAGTCTGACATGGGAGTGAAGACTGATTTCCACACATGAGATTGTTTGAGTGAATGTGTTTGTTAAAACATACAAAAAATATACAGTTATGGAGATCTCCATGTCTGCAGATTTCCATGTCTGCAGCTAAGGGCAGATTGATTATGGTAAAAATTATTATCACTGATTTATTCTATATCATCTGCATCACATGCACTTACTGAATATAAACCTAATTAAGACAAAGACCTTTCACAGTGAAAAAAAAAATCACATAGACAGGAACCTTTCACAGCATCAATTCTTCACTTTAGACAGTGCATTTAAATGATAACACACCAGTGGTTTGCAAACCTGACCTCTAATTGTCTTCAGTTTGAGAAGAGCCAAAAGGTTGTCAGATAGTGGTCTGATTGAAGAGGCCTTTGTGGGAAGACCTTGAGATGCTTAATTTTTCGGCCATAGGCTAGAACAAGATGGAGGGTGTGGTTAAAACTGTGAGCATGTTTGTTCACAACCTGTACAAAGCCAACTGAGTCCAACAAGAACATAAAAGATACTGGGGTTATTATTATAGGTATGAAGTCTCCTACAATAATGGTCTTGATCAAAATTAGACATGAACTCAGAGTACAGGCCAAGAGGGCAGTAAACTGCAACAAATAATGCTGATTGAGTAGATCTAGCTGCCGGGTGAGAAAATTTTTTCCAAAAAAGCCATAATTCAGTTTTGATCTGGGGTTCATTTGAAAACTACTCCTCACCTCCAGTCTCATGTCCTAAGTTTCCTATCGAACACCCATCCTACATTAGGAGCCAGACCGCTCTCCAACAGCATGAAACAGACAACTTGATTACAACGTGATGTCAGAAACCAGAGTTACAGAGGGGATCTGTAGGTACAGTGTGCCAACTGGGATAGCCTTGCAGCCTTGATAAGTCAGGGCAGAATATCTGTGGACAGGTTCATTGCAGAGCTACAGTATGTCATGCATTTGGTAAAGCTTGTCCTCCATCAGAAGGCATCGTATCCTTCGAATGCAAGACAGCCAAGCATGCAGCTACTGTGGACTTTCCTGTGGCTGGTCTGGCTGAAACTTGAATCTTGGGTGGGGCAGCTTGTGTGGACTTACACCTGAACCTCCAGTCATGTACATGCAGCAGTCTTCTCAGGGCTAGGCAAGTTCCCAGGGTTTCATCACACACACCTTGACCCAGATGCTACTCCTGTGATGTATGGTTGTCGGAAAGTTTCCGTCTTCACCTTGGACAGGCCAAAGTACAGACTTCATGACCCAGAGAGAGGAGAGGTCATTATAGCTGCCACAGACCCCAAGGTATGGATAAATAGTCATGTTTACATAGTCATGTGACCTAAATGAGACTATAAAACACCAGCATTACTCCATTCCCACCCCTGGGAATGTGGGCATCATGACAAGAGCCTACACAAGGTTATGGAGAGATGAAGGGCGACAAATGTGAAGAGACAAGATCCAGTTCAAAGTTAACACAGGGAGATTTATTGGGCATATCATCATAGCAGAAGGGCAGAGAAAGCTCTAGTTGATATGCCACCCCAGAGGACAGACGGGCACTACGCCAAACAGACCACTGACTGGAATGACAAAATTCCTTGAGGTTCTGTAATGGCAACAAGCCGCTGATGCTACAAGCAGACTCTTCAAAAAACAGTAAGCAGCATGTCTTTTACAAGAAGATCAGCCTGTATGCTTTGCATCGCTCACTGAGCCTGAGAAGAGATTTGCTCAGATAGAAAAGGAGCTGCAGGCCTTAGCCTTTGCAGCTAAAATATTTCATCAGTACATCTATGGCAGAACAGTCAAAGTCCAAAGGGATCACCAGCCTCAGGAGATCATTGTGCAGAAGCTGCTGAGCAAAGCACCAGCACCTGCAAGGAATTCTGCTGCAACTGCAGAGGTTTGATCTTAACATTACATACACACTTCGCAAGGGCATGTACTATGCAGACACACTGGAAAGGACAGAGGAAAACCCCTATAGTGAAAAGTTTATCAAACTGTGGAAGCTACAGACACACAGTATGTTGCAAGGATTCTGTAAAAGACATATGACAGGGCAGCTAAAGGATGTCGCTTGGATGGGAACTTACACAGATAATAATGTTCTGATGATTGCAGACAAAACACATAATTCCACAGAGCTTCAGAACCAAAAATACACACTTATGTATTTTTATCATCTTTACCATTTCCTTGAAGTAATAATCAATGTATCAATCATTTTGCACTGCAGACATGGTAGTTCTTCTGCTTTAGCGTCTCGGTCTGATTGCATTTCCATGAAGAAATGATTATAAATGTTCTTCCTTGAGTTGTGTCAACCCGCAGCGGTCCGTAATGGACTGGCCTGAAGTCTCAATACAAACAAGCAGCTGCTGGAAGAGAGTAGGTGAGTTGTATTGAGTTGCTTTCCAAAAGAAACCAGGCAAAGTTAAAAATATGTTTGGTGGGTAGTGCTATGGCTGGGACCCTCTATGTACTGTTGATGAAGTTAGGTGCTGTTCTGAGCATTATTTGTGGCTATAGAGTGGCGTTTTGGTCGGGGTTTGTGTGTGGCTCCTCAGACTGCTGTGTATTGCTATCGTGCGGTCATTACTCAAGTTGTTGTAACTGGAGAAGCAAGCAGTCGGCAACACTCATCTCTCGAGGGGGTGTCTAACCCGGTGTTACGGTGTGTTTGATCCTAAATTAATTTTATGCCGGAATATCCCTTTAAGGCCAAGGCAAAACAAAGTCTTCTGCCAACCTGGAATGTCACACGATATGGAGGTGTGAGTGACCAGCAGACGCAGCCACAACAACAGAAAGTTAGAGCTGACTGGTCAGTTATACCTTATCTCAGTACCCAGAGTAATATACCAGAGTGGGAATGAGGAAGAACCAGGAGAGTGTATTCAACGCACATCTTTACTTGAAGACAGCAGGTAGTCAACAGCAACAGGTTTACACCATGACATGGCATAAGAGGCCATGTTGATATGTTGGCCAACCGTAAACTAACATAGCAACTGCATTTGCATAATCATACCACCAGGTGGAAAACTAACCACTTTAACACACCCAGATGTACTGAACCTGCATGACAAGACAGCCTACATAGTTATTTGAAAAAGACTGTCTTTACCAGGCATGGAATTCAAAAAGACAACCATGTTTTACTCAGAGTTGTACACATATCCATCCAGAATGTCTTCACTTTTAGAAACACACACAAAGATGGAAGTAATTGGCTTCCGTGTTTCCACACGGCTTCAAGCTATCATGACTGATGTGAGCTTATGTTTTAGTGTGATACAGATGAATGTCACATACCGCTAAGCTTGGAAGTCATTTACTCTGTAACCCTCTGCTCTTGCTTTTCTCTTTGTTTTACAAACACACACTTTCCTCCTCCTGCTCCTCTCCCTGCTCTCCTCTCCTCCTGCTTCCTCCTGCTCCCTTTCCTGCTCTCCTCTCGCCACCTGTGGCTCCCTGATAGTTTGATCTGCTGTAGCCCAGTACGTTGAAGATACAGCACTTGCAGCATTTGCAACTCATTCACACTCCAAAACTCTTTTTTCCAGCTTGTGATGAGGTTCTTCTTCATCCAGAGTTGATCTTGCTCTAAGAAGAAGAGACCAAGGCTGGAGCTGTCCCCGGATGGCTCATAATTAATCCAGTCCTGTGTCAGTGTTGAAATGGGTCACAGCCTGTACTCAATAAACCAATGTCAACAGGCGGGGGGAAATGGTGCTGGACTCCTTTCAAGTAGATTGATTAGATGTATGAACAGGTTGTTTTAAAAAAATAAGTCACCTCCTTAGAGGGTTAACCAATCAGAATTACATAGTTAACAAGACTGAGTAATAAATGGAAACAGTAGATAATAAATACATGTGAAAAAATGTGTGTGCAGGTGTCAAGTCCTGCGGAAGAGCAGCAGAAGAATCTGGTTAACTGTGTGGAGACTCTGACCCCACGAAGAGGACCACTGTCTGCTCTGGATGAGGTAAAACAACGTTAGATTTACACTCAATGCCTAACTAACCAATGACAAACACACGTGGATAATAAATCCTCCAAATGTCACATTGACCTGGTAACTGTAAGCTGATGTAAGGTTAGTTGAGGTTCATGCATTCTCTCTATGTTGGGTCTTTTTTTGATTAAGAATATTGCACCAATCTCTGCATCCGTTGATTTTGCAGATAATTTTTGCACAGTGTTTAACTCTTAGGGTCAGTGTTGTGTGATGTTGAAGATCTTTGATATTGCCCCTGACCATCTTCTACTTACACTGCTTCTGCTCAGGTTCTTGAATGGTTATTCTATATACACAACATACACCATAAAAATCAATTATCAGGCAAAAAAGCTGTGTGAGTTTATCCAATTTTTTCGTACTCTGATAGTAGCCTTTATCTGGCAAAGAAAAGAGGGTTTTGCTGTTTACTTGTGATTACCTGAGTAATTGGGTTACTCCAGTGTACATGCAAACACACTGTTCTCCTGTCAACCGTGTGTTACTTCATCATAAATTAAAAAACAGTGAGAAATAATCTCTTACTTTGAAGACACTCTTCCATCCAGATTTTCTGGTTTTCTGATTGAAACTTGCAGAAAGTGTGTAAATCAGCATCAAGTGTTAAGTAAGGCAGGAACTCTGGATGCTAGGTGATGTAGGCTGCTGCTGTATGTGAGCCACTGGTTTCCTCTAATTCAGAAAGGTCAGCAGGGTCTGAGAGCAGGAGCTCTCAGGGTTCATGAGCTCACAGCTTACACACTTGGACCATCAGGCACACCAGGTAGTCAGGTCCCCAGGTCTGGTTGCTTTTTGTCTCTCTGAAGCTTGCAGAGTCAAACAGCTGATCAGTGTGCTCAGGCGGGAGAGTGTGACTGTGCTTTGTCTGAGAAAATGAATGAGTTTCTGTCTGGAAAGTGCTTACAAATGTGGAGTGTACATGGACCCTGAGAACAGTGCTTTAGTTATAGCTTGTTAAATTGGTTTGAATTCAGCAGTAGGGCTGCAATAAACTGTAGCCTAGCCTCTGTTCGATTGCTGAACAATCTCTTTGCCGAAATAAAGGAACCTCTTCTTCTTTCTCTCCTGTAATTGAAGGACCTCCTCCTCTTCAAAGCCACCTCTGCAGCCACTCTGAGCTGTCTGGGAGGCTGCCTCTCTATGCTGCAGCACAATGTTGTCCAGGCCCTCAACCAGAACCAGAACCAGAACCACATTGGTACTCCCAGCTTGAGCCACAGTCCAGCTAGGGTGGACCCATCAGCTCCCACAGAGAGAGTTAAATCCAGAAGTGTGAATACTGTGGAGCCTGGAGGTCTCAGGGCCCGCAGTCAGAGCCCAACACCGAGCTTCAGTGAGAGTCCGAAACACAACCTGATCAACCATGTCCAGAACAAGAGTCCAGGACGACCACCTGCAGGTGAGTCAGTACAACACAATATAATACAATAAATACAACATGATTTGACACAACCAATGAAATTAAAAAAAGAGTAAAACAATGAAAAAAAAACAGCAATAATCTAATAATTGTGTGTATAGTTTGAAGTTGAAGTCCAGTGTTTGTTCTTCTATTAAGTTCACCAAAGTAATCCTTAAGGGTAATGTCTCCTGGCCAGTGGAATTATTTACTCGGGTTATTTGAACGAATTTGCACCAAAGTTAACCTAGAACATCAGACGGGTTAGCCCAGATCATAACTTCTTAGTAACATCAATGATTTGTGCAAGTACTGATACTGAACTGATCTGGTTTTCATGAGGACTGAAGTCAAACCCTCTAATGCAGGAATCACAGAAGCCTTCCCTTTGCTCTGCAAATGCTTTTTAAAAAAAGGATTTTTTAAATAAAATTGCTGAAAAAGCTTTAGGGTGATTCTTCTGATGGTGACACTTTTCATTATTTCCTTCTTTTAGACATTTCCTTAGGATGGTCCAGAGGTCTTTCAGAGAAGACAGTGAGAAATGGAGTTCCTATTTCATCTCAGACCAAAAAGGATGCAGACCCGGTATCTGAGGTAATCCAAATAACAACTTTAAACCCTCACCCTGAATGATATGATGGGAACAGACAGCCTGGCCGCAGCCATCATGTTAAACAACAACAAGACCATTAGCTACTGAAAAGTGTCTCGTATATTGCAAATCCAAAAGTCGTTACACTTTATTGCAAAAAGTGATCTAGGGTTACAAAAGCAGAAATGTTAGATGCTCTGGGTGTGAGGGGAACTTGCTGGTAACCCCTCAACAGGTCTGGTTTTTGTGAGGAAAGCAGCTGCACCTATGCTATCTATACAGTCTTTCATGTGAGACAGTCAGTGCAAAAGCGAGGTGTGCCGTCTGACTTTGGTGCAAGCAGGCACAGGGAATCCCCAGTAGAGGAGCTATTGCTAGGTATGGCTCAGGTTTTTCTCGAATATATCTGCGACCTGATTGGTCAGCCATGTGAAGGTACTTATGTTCAGGACTCAGATGATCTTATGAGTTACTGGTTGTCATGCCAGTAAACGAGGAATCACAAGATCAACATGAGTCCATCTGATGGGAAAAGATTAAAATGGGATTACAACTGCTGAGAGTGACGAATCTTTGCTTTCCTGCAGAATATGAAACAGTGGATCATGTGACCTGTGTGTGTGTGTAGGCACCCTGTCCTGTGTGTGCTTGCCTGCAGCTGAGAATAAAAAGTCATGGGATGATCAAGGGATTAGAAAGAGGGATGAGACCTACACAAATACACACATACACAATCTGCTTGCACACTCACACGTATGATCAGAGCTATGGAAAACTTTTCCACATATTGACCGAAACCCCAATAAATTAATCCAACCTCAAAACAGACTGAGACACGTAAAGAGCAAATAGAAAATGTTGGAACAGTATTAAATTAACCAATATCTGTGCATCATGCTGATAATGTCGATATCAGCAGCTGAAGTCCAGCAGCAAGATCAGTTGTATAGTAATTAAATGAATGCGTGCGTGCATGTGTGTGTGTGTGAATGGGGTACCTGACGTAGTAGTAGTAAGGAGTAGCCCTAACTATGGAGCCAGGTTTAGAGAGGTAGAAAAGGTTGTGCCTACTGCAGTTCTGGGACTGGAGGATTATCCCAGTGGAGAGAGGATGGAGGCCCTGCCTCCCACACAACTTTTTAGAAATTTCTCCATGTTGAGAGTTAGTGTGCACGGCTTATAATAATGAGCACAGTCGTAAAATGCCAGGAGACGATGTTTGCTTCATTTACTTCTTGTGTAAAAAGATGCTGAAGTGAAAGCCTGTGTATCACATGTGCAGAGTTCAGTATGAGGACGGGGGAGCAGCTGCACTCAGACTATAACAAAGAAATGAGGAGGGATCTAATGTAGTTCAATGTGTGTGTGTGTGTGTGTGTGTGTGTGTGTGTGTGTGTGTGTGTGTGTGTGTGTGTGTGTGTGTGTGTGTGTGTGTGTGTGTGTGTGTGTATATATGTGTATGTGTGTGTGCCTGTGTAGGGGGCGGGGCCTGTGGATAGTGGATTGCCAGCATCACTGTTAATCCGTCTGTCAGCAGCGAAGCAGGGAGTACTCTCCTCTCTCCTCTCTTCCTCTTCTTCTCGTCTCTACTTTCTGTCTCATCTTCCCCATTGATGCCTCTCGACTCCTCTTTCCTCCTCTCTCTCTCTCTCTCTCTCTCTCTTTCTATGACTTTGCCTCCCTCCTTTCCTCGCTCTCCTCTCCTCTCAGTGTTAGTCTAGATGTGAGTCGGAGTCTCCCCTCTCGTTGATATGAAGTCCAGCAGGACTCCAAACAAGTCAGCCTTGGTTTCCCTGCAGACCAGCATTGTCAGTGTGAGTGTGAGTGTTTATATCACTTTATTGTGCTGTATTAAGACTGCTGACTTATTAGGCTGACTGCTGTGAAAAAATATGCTTGTTTTTACATTAAAATGGGTCAGATTTTCCTGCGTGTTTCTAATCTGAGAGTGTGTTTGTGCAGTACGCTGTGTGTCTCAATGTGTGTGTGTGTGTGTGTGTGTAAGTTTGAGCATGCATAAGTGTGTGTCTAAATGATTGAGACTGTATGTAATTTGCAGAGAAGAAAAAGGAGCAAACTGACCTGACATTTGCAACTTTTATCAACATTCACAAGCTTAAGATGTGATGGTGTGTTGTATGAATGTATATCTGTGCTACCTGAGAGTAAATCAGAACTGCAGTGAGTAACTTTCTTCATGCTGTGAAAAACTCAGCAATAAGTTCTTCATTTCTTGTCATAATAACAGAGAAAAACTGAAAATCCTTGTATTTAGACCGCAGCCAACAGACATGTGAAATTTCTGCTTCAGTGATTTGATGATTTGACTATTGAAATGGCCAATAGCGAACGGTATGATGATTTACGAGTTGATAAATGGCTGAGTGTTTGTGACAACAGGTTTCAGGGAATTTTACTTGTTAAGTTTAGCTGTTACTGTGAAATGTTTAACTCTGTCTTATGTGACCTTAGTGTAAACCTGTCAATGAATTATTCAAGAAGTTTTCTTGTTTTCACCAGAACTCGAGAGTCTATGGGGGTCATCTGTGGCCTTCTGAGTCTAAAAAGTCCAGGTCAGAAAGAGTTTTCAATGCACCAAAGTTCATCTCTTATCAGGAAGCCCTTACTCATCACAGCTTGATAGATGGTCACTTTGTCTTCATGCAGGAGGGCTCTGTGAAGATCACAGAATATAGTGGAAGTAGCTTAAGTGTGGATTTACAATTTTATTTTTAGGGCTTGAGCACAGAGTGATGTGAAGGCCCTATTGAAATCTTTAGTGTTATTTTCCTCCAGAATAATTCCTCATTTCAGAGCCTTAACACACCTGAAAACTCTGGGATTGTTTGCAATTCAATCCCTTACAGAGGATGCAGCATCGATGTCAAAGTTTGGCATTTCTGGATCATGTTTCTATCTGGTCTCCTCTTTTCATGGTTCAGTTTTAACCTTATTTGTGGATGCAGTGATGAACTGTGTTCACAGACAATGGTTTTTAAGTGATTTTGAGCTTGTGCAGTGATTTCCACCACAAAGTCTTGTCTCTTTTTATGCAGCGCTGCCTAAGGGCCTGAAGATCAGCATCATCCAGTCTTGGTTTTGGTCTTTGTTCCTTCAGTACAGAGATTTCTCCAGATTCTCTGAATCTTTTAATGATATTGTGTTCTATAGATGATGACATCCACTCATTCTTTCACATTTGACACTCAGGTGCTTTTTTCTGAAACTGTTGATCTGTAAGTTCATGCAGTCTCTCACAGAGAGTCTCAGCCTCTCTAAATGTCCTTTTTATATCCAATCATGTTACTAAACTGTTGAAAATTCCCCTTATTAGTTGGAGATGTTCCTCCAGCTTTTTTTTTTACACAACTTTGCAATAAAAAAGTTGTGTATTGCAAATTGCAATACCCAACTTTTTACCTGTTTGGTTGTTCAACTATAAAAACTTTTTACAAACATGTTGCCGGCATCACATTTAGCCCACATGGTAAAATCCTTTACAGAATGATGTGGGTTTTTACTGCAGTGTCACCGGACGGGTCAAAGGTCACAGGTACTACATGTTAGTTTTGTGTCTTGCAGAGATTTCTCTGAATCTTTGATGATTTTACAGACTGTAGATGATCAATTCTCTAAATTCCTGCAGTTGTACGTTGAGAAACATATTTAAACTGCTGGACTATTTGCTCACGCAGTTGTTGACAAACCTCATCCCATTCACCCATGGATAATCCAAACAGGTATTTTTGGAGCAGTTCCCAGTTTTAGACTTTTGTTGATCCTGTCCAAACTTTTTAGGAATGTGTTACAGCATCGAATTCAAAACGAGTGATTATTTGCAAAAAAAAAAAAAAAAACAATCAAGTTTATCAATTTGAACATTGAATATCTTGTCTTTATAATGTATTTGATTTAATATAGATGGTAAAGGATTTGAAAATCATTGTATTCTCTTTTCATTTGCATTTTCCACAACATCCCAGCTTCACTGAATTGGGGTTGTACTTATTTCTTGTTTGATCACTGCCCTAAATGAAAGACCAGCTGGTGTCTGAAGAAGCAAAATCTCCATCTATCTCTACATATTTTTTACCCCCCTCACCCTCTCCCATAGGGACACCAACAGAGTCAGAGCAGCAGTCCAGAGAACACAGACCACAGTGAGGAGACCACAGATACAGATGACAACGAGGAGGAAGAGATTGGAGTTCAGGAGGAGCAGAGGAGCATCATCACTCACCTTCTGTCTCAGCTCAAAATGGGCATGGACCTCACACGGGTAAGAGTCCAGTCCTAAAAACATTTGTCTGACAGCAGGAACCCGCTTTGTTCATCCACCACCCCCTCCTCTGTTGGGTTTGGACATCAGCAGTCAGCTGAGTCTCGCTGACACAGTCGTTCTGATTCTTTCAGACCACTGAGCCCTGATTATTGCTGGGCCACTGATCTGGATCACAGAGACCCTGACTACAGGAGAGTCTTAGTTTTCACAACACCACATAAAACCTCAGAGTATGAAGTGTGTAACATGGCTGTAGTGCCCTCTTGGTCTAAATCCGTTCTCACAAACACATTTAGTATTTTATTTCAGATCTAAACATAGGAAATTGTCCCTCCATCTACCGATCCTTGTCCTCTGTGTTCTCATTGACAGGAGGGGGAGCTGCAGGGCAGAAACAGGGTCGATGTTTTGACTTGGCCCTCCACCAGGACAACAAATTGACTGGGGGGGGTCATCATATGGTTGGTCAGATTACATAACAGGGTCCACTTTATGTAATCAGACGGAAAATAAAGAAACAATAATGCAGTATGACCCACTCTATCATACCTCATGACTCTAAAGCAGGGCATTCCACAGTATGAGAAAGTAAGCCCTTCTGTAAGCTAACATAATTATTTATTTTTATCATGACTGGATCTGTGTTTGAATTCACAGAGGTCTGGACTTCTGTCATTTTTCCAAAAAAGACAGAAAAAAATTGCTACCAACCAAAATAAATAGTGTAAGATGGCTCTCATTTTGAAAGGCTCATAGAGGAATATTACAAAGTCATGGCTCCCTCAGACACGCTATCAGGAATTTTCTTGGATTTTAAAGGGCAGTGCGCCAGAAAAGAAGCTGCCAAACCTGCCTACAAAGAAAAAAAGTCAAAAGTTCATGGGAGTGCGTCTTTTTTCCTTTACAGGCAAGAGTGTCCCTGCCTACAAATGTGTGCAAGAAAATAAATATAACACACACTTGTGTTCATACTCAGTTCTGTTACTATCTGGATGTTATCTGCAGGAGTTATGTCAGAGGGGCAACACAGTGATAACAGATCCTGAAGTCCTCCTCTCTTGTTCTTCTCCTGTCTGCCCTCCTGCAGGTGGTGCTCCCCACCTTCATCCTGGAGAAACGTTCCCTGCTGGAGATGTATGCTAACTTCATGGCTCACCCTGACATGTTCCTGTCTATCACTTCTGGCTGCACGGCGGAGGAGCGGATTATCCGTTTTGTGGAGTATTACCTGACCGCTTTCCACGAGGGCAGGAAGGGGGCTGTGGCTAAGAAGCCATACAACCCAATTTTGGGGGAGAACTTCCACTGCTCGTGGTACGTCCCCCGTGGCCAAGTTAGACCCCTCAGGACCACAAAATGTACTGGTCCAAACCCAGCCCCCACAGCTAAGTGTTCGAACCACGGGTCCCCTGAGAGGGGGGTGGACAGATCCTGCAGGAAAAACTCAGACTGTTATCATGTGCGGTTTGTGGCGGAGCAGGTTTCCCATCATCCACCTGTGTCAGGATTCTACTGTGAGTGTAAGGAGAAGAGGATGTGTGTGAACACACACGTCTGGACCAAGAGCAAGTTTATGGGCATGTCTGTGGGTGTATCCATGGTTGGAGAAGGTAAGACAACATACAGATTCAGACACACAATCATCATGAGGCATCGTCACACAAAGCACAGCCTGTTAGACTTTTATAAGCCAAAGACAAACACTCAAAATTCAGTCCTATTTCCTCTGACTAATCTATGAGAGCACAGCTTGCACTCGCTCTGCTACCTTTATGGGCCACAAGATAAACCTAGTCACTGTGAGAACCTTTACACAGCTGTTCATGCCTGCAGGTTTGCCTTTACTCTGACTGTGATCCAAAGTGAGCATCATTTCCACTCACTGCATACACCCTCAGCTCTGTGTGCAGTCAGCGCAGTAACTGAGATAACACGGAGCGTCATTTCATATTATAGAGCTGTCTTACTGCCCCAGTGCCAACAGGTTCACAAAGAGACTTCACAGAGATCTGAGAGTAACCAAAAAAATAATGAAAAATGTTTATGAAGATGTTTTAGTGAAGTACTTGGACTTGAGGCAATGATCAGAGCTGTGAAAGAGTGTGTTCTGGAAGTCTCATCATATTGTGCATATGGTGTTGTATCATGCCATATTGTACTGAATGATATGGTGTGTACCCCATCATATCCAAATGTCTATCGTATTACACAGTTTATAATTATATCATATGGTAAGGCTAAGAACGATATAGTTTTGATTGGTTTCATAGTGTATCCTAAAGTGACATATTTCTTTGATTTAGTCTTATTGTCATAATTAAATTTAATCATAATTAATCCTATTCCTTCACTCCATATTGTAAAGTATCACTCTAAACTGAACTGCATCTTGCCTGAATTGATCCAACAGTGCTAGTAATGTTTGGTATCAGGCTATACCAAATCATATCTTTCACTCACACGGTTCATATCATGTTATAATTTTGTTTCCATTGAGTTGTGCTTTGTATCAAATAAGTCATATCTTTAAGTACTGAACTGTACTGTATTGTTTCCTTTCATATCCTAACCCATCCCTTTCTCTCGAATAGTATTTTATCACACCCTGTCATACCGGATTGTAGAGATTGTACCATATCATATTCCATCAAACAGCATTCTATCCAGGAGCATAACATTGTATAACATCATAACATAGAGTATCTTATCTTTTCTTATCATGTCTAGTCTTATCTTATCCTATTCAGTATCATATTGTATCCTTTCATATTGCCTCATATCATAGCCTCTTAAACCTTATCCAATCATATTACTCTTCTAGCATAGGTTCTCATATCCCTGAGTACAAAAAATATATCAAATAAGGATTATTTATTATCAGGAGAAGAATCATGTTTGCTTTCAGGGCTGCACGCTGTGTGGCTGCGAGAAAGTTCTGTTCCTGTAGTACATTTATTCATTTAATTAGGTGGTATGTCCTCTAACTGAAACTAAACAATGATTGTCCAGTCCTGATTGTTCAGCGCATAACAGCCAGCAGCTCTTGACTTAATACAGTAATAAATGATGCTGGCGTACATGAAGCCCCTCCCCCAGACTGTCCTCTCATCCTCTGATAGTAGAAAGCAGAGGTGTGATCACATGACTCTATGTGAGGTGTAACAGCTGGTGTTCCTACATGTTTAATTTCCCACCTGCTCTAAGAAAGAGGATTAACATCTCGTTACCATGGAAATCACATCTGTGGTTCACTGACCGGACACACAGGAAACACACTGGGACATCAAACACAGCAGACAAAAGCCTGAAAAGAGACTGAAGTGAACCAGGTGCAGGTGTACGGTGTTAAAACTTGCAGGTTATTTTGTAGAAATAACCATGCCTGTTGAAATCTTATTGGCCAATACAGCAGCCAGCTCGAAAGTCTTAACCGTGATTGGATATTTGCATTGTCTGAGATGGGATATATGAAGCAAATATATGTACTTCTACAAATGTAGTGCAGCCTGAGACAACAGCACAAACTGCAGCATTGTAGACAGATGTGAAATACACATCACCTGACCCACTTTATCTGTGGGGCAGATATGACAGGCTGCTGAAAAACAGTCCCACAAAGTCAGGAAAACAGTCCCAGCCTACTGTACTGCAGCTGTGGCTTTGTGTCTTACTCATGTGAACACACACATGGTCAACTTAATGCATTTACACACGTTTCCTCTTACACAGGTGGAAACACACACACATTAAAGGCAGTGATGACATTGCTGACTGTGCATAATTCAAATAAAAGGGGGCGATCTCTGCTTGTGGGTCTTGAATGTGTGTGCAGGTCAGTGGCTATGTATGTGTGCATGTGTGTGCACGTGTTTGTGTGTGTCTCGGGGGAACAGATGTGATTGTTAACAGGACAGCTGTCTCTTATATAAGCAGTAGGGAGGGAGAAGAGAGCAGGACAGGAGCCTAGGAGGGACAAAAAGCAAACAGAATAACAATAAATCTGCATAGTTCCAGCTGTAGGGTGACATCGACCTTCTCAGAGTCTAATCAAACTATAAAACCTACATTAAAAAGCCACCAGACTGCAGCTCAAGATTTTTGGAGACATGTCGCTGTGAAAATTGTTGCCTTCTTTCTTATCAGTCTTCATTTAAAACAAAGAACAGAGCACCCACAGATGATCGTCCCTGTTTCCGTCCCTGTCTGTTCTGCAGGTGTTCTGTATTTGTTGGAGCACGATGAGGAGTACGTCTTCACTCTGCCGTGTGCCTACGCCCGCTCCATCCTCACTGTGCCATGGGTGGAGCTTGGAGGAAAAGTCACAATAAACTGTGCCAAGAGCGGGTACTCTGCCACTGTGACATTCCACACCAAACCCTTCTATGGAGGGAAAGTTCACAGGTGAGATCAGATCATAGTGGATATTACCTAAATCAGACTATCATCCATCTCTGAACTGTATTTGTTCTTTGGTACAGACCTGTATTAGCTTAAATTTGGTCAATAAATGAAGGAATGTTGCCTGAGAAATTTGTCGAACCATATTCATCCAATTATACTGTATGTCAGTTTTTTTCCTCTTAATAGATCTGAAAAAGTCTGGATTTCTTATATTTGAGGTTTGATGATTACACCTTCCAGGTTTCACACTGCTATGCCAAATAATATTGTTGTTTCCAATATCAGCTCTAAATGATCCAATGTAGCAACTTATTGTCAAATCCACTCTCTCTATATGAGACCAGCAGTTTTTTGGTGATGAACTCCTGAGTGTTTCCAAGACATCCAGGAGCATTTTTCTTTCTCACAGAGTAGATCAGTGTATTTTAGAGACCATCTAGATCCAACCCTCAAAAACAAAGCTATTCTGAGCGGATTTATGGATTAACTTCTATAATATCATGTCATTTCTGTTGTTAGCTGGCTATGCTCAGTGAGGGTTTCTAACCCCTTGATTGGTTGACTATCTGCAACCAGCTGACCTGAACAGGTCCAGCAAGAAGAGACTGTAGTTGAAGACAGACGTCACAGTCTGCTCTCAGTGTAGAGATAGTAAGATAGAATGGTTTTAAAAGAATTCACTCTATAGTCCAATTGAAAATAAATGTATTGGTAAAGGATCATAGACTAAGTATTTGAAAATAATGATAACAGAGAAGGTTAAAATGGAAAATTAACCTCTTGTGTAAAAGAATCACCAGTGTAGAGATGCTAAATTCTTCTCCTCTCCTCTAGAGGCTGTCTCCTGCAGCGAGTCACTTCCCATAGATCTCTGTGTTTTTGAACCACCTTTAAAAAAGGGATAATTGATGTTGTGTTAAAAAAAAGGCAGATGGTAATGCTACATGGCTTATTGAACGATAGTGGGGGCAGTCGTAAGTTTTTGTGCTGGTTTAAAAAGGTAAAAGAGATGAAAAGCAGCAGCAGATGAAAACAATGTAACCAGCTAGTTAGACTTATTAGTAAAGGTTGTGGAGCAACATGTCAATCCAGCTGGGTCTGGCCTCTTTGTTTGACTGCTTATGTTGTTTTTGCATCTGGTTTCCATGAATATCACAGTAATGCCATCAGCCATTGGGCATTTGGCCACAATGACTGAGGTGAAAATAAGAAATCATGTCAGATTTGACTGTGAGGAGGGGGCGCTGTAACCACAACCAAGGTTGGATTGGACAGCCTCAGCTCCACCTCTTTGTCTGCTGGTTTGCACCAGCATTGTTTACATATTGACCTTCATCTTTGGGTTGAAAACACCTCTAGAAACCAGTGGCTGACCTCACTAAGACTAATGACGGGTTCAAACAATCTTGAGCAGAGACCATTGTTGAAATGTGTCCTGTTACCTCTCATCGTCATCTCTGTTAGTCCCTCTCTATACTGAAGAGTTGTGTTTGTGTTATTCCAGAGTGACTGCGGAGGTGAAACAGAACCAGACAGGAAATGTGGTGTGTAAGGCGCAGGGGGAGTGGAACGGCGTGCTGGAGTTCACATACAGCAGCGGAGAAAACAAAGTAATCGACACAGCGAAACTGCCAATCATCAGAAAGAAAATGAGACCGCTAGAGAAACAAGGCCCATATGAGTCACGGTGAGTGTGTTGCAGTCTTGGTTTTGGTCCTTGTTCCTTTTGTTCAGAGATTGTACAGAGACATTAGTTGCAGATGTTCTTCTGGCTGTTTCTTTTTTTTTTTTAGTGTTACACAACTTTTGACCTGTTTGGTTGATGTGAAGCATGAAATTATCTGTTTACAAGGAATAATGGTTACAACTGTGGTAACAACATTTTGCGTGTGTGTTTACAGGCGTCTCTGGCAGCATGTGACAGCATCTATTAAAGCAGGAAACATGGACGCAGCCACAGAACACAAACACTTCCTGGAAGAGAGACAGCGTAGTGAGAGCAAGCAGAGAGCCACCAACAAGACCCTCTGGCACCCCAAATACTTTATCAAAGAGGTCAGACTAAAACACACAAACACCACCCCCACAGATCAGTTCTTTGTGTTGGTAAAAGACTATTTATGAACCGTGTATATTGTGTATTCAGGATATTTGCAGCCATTTACTCACCCTAACATCATAACAGTTTCAGGATGATCTCTATTGTTATTTCACAACTCCTTAAATGATCACATCAGAAACGTAAGGCAGAAACTAACAACTAGTTTGACAGACGCCAAACACTGATGATAGAAATTATTAGCTGACTAATCAGTAGTTAGCTGTCACTGTAACTGATAGAAAACTCACATAGTGTGGATGTTTCTTTCAACACTCACACATTACTATTCTACTTCATTTTATGTTTTTATTTTGGTCCTCTTGGTCCCTTTTATTTTATTTTATAGGGTTCTTGTATTGCCTGGGTTTCTTACGAAAAGTGAAACAGGCCTACAATTCAGAGGCCTGTTTTTAACTGAGCTTTTGTTTTTATGTGTTTTTATTTTCATGTGTCGATGTTCTGTGCTTGCAACTGTTGTCTAAGCACTTTGTAAACTTCTGTTTTTAAAGGTGCCATACAAATAAAATTATTATTATTATTATTATTATTATTATTACCGTTATACTTCCACAATACACAATGTCCACTTTAAAAACTCCACCTGCAGCCCTTCCTCAGCCGTGTTGAGGGTAAAATGCTCCCAGACATTAAAGGTTTCAGGACATGATAGTGTTGACTAAAAAATGTCACCTAATTTATTTTACATCCTTCATCTCACAATTATAAATGTGCTGCACTGAGTTACAAAGAAAGCTACACAGGGAGCTTTGGGCCACAGCCTATAACCGAAATAGTTGATTGTAACAAAAGATCATCTATGACAAGGAAAATATCCTGTTAAAGTTTGGGGTTTTGGGGGTATATGATTACATTTCAGAGGGGAGGGAGGCGCCCCTGGGGTTGGGACACCCTGAATCTGCACCTGCCACCTGTCTGATGTGATCATCCAAAACTAAGACCAACAGCAGCCAGCTAAGAAAAACAGCAATATGAGAAGGTTTTATATTTAATATTGGACACTGGTCTCAATCATGAGCCTACATTAAAAGAATAGACCTATAAGGCCTCTGTCTTTCGCTCTCCCACACCACCTGCAGAATAAACACTATTCCTAACACATGCAGGGAGCAGAGCAAGCGTGGATGGTGGTCTTATATGGATGAATTCGGACTAGTCTGTGGTTCTGCTTAAAAAGATTTTATTCTTTTTGATTCATTTTATTTATTGTTTCTGTGCACAGGGTGAAGGCTGGGTGTACCACAACCCTGTGTGGAAAGCTCACTGACAGCAGCGGAGGGAGGAGATATCCACACCAGGGAGACAGTGGACGTGATCAGGAGGCCAGCCAGAGATGATGCCATCAAAAGGAGACAGACAGAAGCAGACATTTTGAGACTCTGTGCCAGAACAAGAAATGCCAAAGACAAGCAGGGGACAATGAGGGAACTCAGACTGGTGTCCACGAAGATTCATACTGGTTCACCTGGTTGGTTGAGACTAATCATAAAGGTTTCAGGAAGAAGAAGAAGCAGAATATCAGATCTAGACTCGCTCTTGTAAACAGCTGCTGAAGCCCACTTCTCTGCACAATGTACAGCGATGGTCACAACAATTTGCACAATTCACTGTACAGTATTCACAGAAATGCGCATGTGTGAGCAGTGTGTCTGTTTGTGTGAGTGGATAAATCATTTCACATACATGTTTCAGAGTCAGGTGAAGTTAAAGCTGCAGCACTATGAACTGTTCATCCATTGGGGCGTAAGTCTCAGTTTGACTGTAAACAGTCAGTTACACAGCAGCTTCACTCTAGCCTCCTTCATCAGCAGGAACCTGAAACAGAAACTGATGTTCTTGTGATGTTCTCCTCATTTACGGGTCTCCACTTTCCTGAAATAACATGATGATGCAGATTAGTTAAGAGTCTAGCTTTGTCAGGTCTGTCCTCAATAGGAGAAGAAAACTACTTGCTTGTTGAATGGGGGTCAAATCCATCGTTTCTGAAGCATTCAGGGAAGTCAGGAAATCTTAACTCTTGTTGTTTTTAGTGATTCGGCATCAGTCAGGTCTGAGTGTAAATGTTTGATCTGAAACAGATTGTAAGCTGACCATCATGCAGGTATGTGTTTATAGCTGATATTCTTATCCAAAACCTGGTTAAATGAAAAATTAAATCAGAAATTAAAGGGATATTTCAGCATTTTTGAAGTGGGACTGTATGGGTTACATTTCCCTAGAAAGTGTTAAGCCACAATGAATGCCATTGAGCTCTGCCCCTTTAAAAAGACACTGCAGGACAAACTGGCACACAAGCTTGGCTACAGTTTCCTGCCCACAGTGCTGACTCTGCCATGTAATTTAGCTGATTTTGAGACTCTGACCAAAGTTCTCATCTCAATTCAAGTGTAAGCTCTTTTAAAAAACTGTCCAGCTCTTTTCTTTGCCATAAGACAGACCATGTCTTTTTACTGTGAAACACTCATACATGCTCTCCTGCCTGCAGGCTGATCAGATAATCAGGTCACCTCTTTGTTGTGATTTTTGATATTTCGTTTTTTTCATAATATTAATTACCCAAAGCCTTGGAACAGCCTTTGGACACAGTAATGTGTGTTGAAGTTGTTCTTTCAGCTTCAGCAGCCACTACAGTGTATCATGATAAGGTTAACAGATCCTGTGGACTGTGGGTTGTATCATTATGCTGTTATTATCAATGAGAGCTGAACTGTAACTCTGAAGATGCTCTTCCATTTAGCTTTCCTGGTTTTCTGATTGAACTCCTGAATGTTGAAGAAAGTCAGTGAGAAACAGTGTTTAGCATTCAGGACAGGTAGCGGACTGCAGCCTCATGTGAACTGCTGCTGTATTTGGAGTCTCCCTCCTGACAGACAACAGTTTTCATTCATTATTTAGTTTGGCTGTATTTTTGGCTCTTGGAAGCCTAAAGGCACCAGACATCTGATCAAACTGCATGTAATAAAAGCACGTCTGTGTGTTGGGTCTGCAAATAGTGCAAAAAAAAAAAGATCTTTCTGATATAGAGTGAAGTGCTGAAAGATTTCTCTGTACAGCATGCACTGAAACTGGGGTGGGTGTATGGGTCAGGCTCTCTAAATTGGCTTAGCTTGTGCTCTGGCTCCCCCTGCAGTTTCTCATTGAAGGGGCAGAGATGACCAACATCCACTGTGGCTAAAACAATCACTGGTGACATATAACATGTAAAACCTCACTTCAAAAACCCTGGAATATCCCTTTAAGATAACTGCTGTTTAAAAGGCCTGCAGACAATGAAATACATCAGTTTCACCTCCAATTGGTTCTGTCAAAACAAAACTCAATCACTTTAAAACTGTTACATCCAGAATTACAGACGTCTCCTGATTTATAACTTTTCCATGCACTGTTCTTTAACTTGCTGCATCACACCAGATAAAGACAGTGTAAAAGTTGATGTGTGAATGTGTGAATGCCTGATTTGTGATGAGTACTCTGTAGATACCTGTGAAATTGCTGATTTGATGCTAAAAGAAGCTGCCCTGAAGTATAAAGATCAGGAGTATTTTAATCTACAGCTTTCCACCTCTGAATCTATCTTTCCTGTATCATCAGTCTTATGTATAAGCAATATTAATACTGAGGAAATTTTATAGTCTATTAAAGGAGGTTCCACTGCAGACAGACTCATCTGTACCAAACCTATTTTTCTTTGGTACATTTCCATCAATAATGGCCCGGTGGATGATTCTGCAGCATTATGGGACACACCCCGACCATGTGACCTTGAAGTGATCTAACCTATGCAACGTGTGACTGTAGTTGGTCTGAAGGAGGGGCTGAAAGAGCTCTGTATTTCTTTAAAATAAAGATGTCCAATTAAGGGTGCTGTCGCCTAGTCATTGTATAACTCAAATAACCTCTGTAAGGAAGACATCAAGCATGTATATAATGGTTAATTTTTATCAGGCTGAACACGGCCAGTATGGTGAGCTTGCTCATTGATATCCTGAGGAAATAGAAAAGGCGTGAGGAAACAGCAATAACAAAACACAGGAGTAAAGATGGAGGCCTAGTAAGCAGCTGCAAAATTAGAATAGTCTTGGCTGATTTTAATGCAGTGCTGCCTGAGTCTTGGTTTTGGTCCTTGTCCCTTTTGTTCAGAGATTTCTCCAGATTCTCTGAATCTTTTAATGATTTTATGTTTTGGAGATGATGAAATCCACTCATTCTGTCACATTTGACACTCAAGAAGATGGTTCTGAAACTTTTGAACTATTAGCTCACAGTCTCTCAGAGTGGTGAACCCCTCGCCATTTTCCTTCTGAGAGACTCAGCCTCTCTGTCTTTTTATACAACAACTTTTACATAACTTTCGACCTGGTTGGTTGTTCCCTCATAACAACTTTTGGCCTTTCTGGTTCCTCTGCAACTACTTTCTAGAAACATGTTGCTCATCAGTGTTATCTGACAGCCATCTCCAATCACACGATCTGAAGTTAGAGAGTGTATATCTAAGTGTGTGTGTGTGTGTGTGTGTGTGTGTGTGTGTGTGTGTGTGTGTGTGTGTGTGTGTGTGTGTGTGTGTGTGTGTGTGAGAGAGAGAGAGAGAGAGAGAGAGAGTCAGTGCTGTTGGTTTGTGTCACATTGTTTTGTGTGTATGTGAATAGGCCTTAGTGTTGGTTCAGGGATTAGCATATTAGCATGATAATGGTGTGTGAGTGCTGGAAGGCCTTCTGTCACTCTGCAGCTCTGCTCCTCTGTATGCTTTGCTACGGCTCAACTCGCCTCTCCTCCTCTGCCACCATCGCTTTCTTCTCTTTCTTCCTCTTCATTGTCCTCCTCCTCCTCATCGTCTTCCACTTGGACATGGAGGATAACCACACCTTCCTGTATTTTGCTTACGGCAGTAACCTGCTGAAGGAGCGGCTCCAGCTCAGGAACCCGTCTGCCACAGTCTTCTGCGTTGCCCAACTGAAGGTACAGAAAAACACCTGAAAACACCTGGGGCAGGTGTTCAGAAGTGATCTGATTATTTAAGGTAATCCAGTTTATTTCCATCCTGTTCAAACCTCCAGTTTGAGTTGTCAAAAACTTTTGAGCCGAATACATTTCCAAACATCAGGACTCTGATCTAGCAGAGGCTGGATTCAAACTGGATTTAAAGTGGATTCAAACTGGATTACAGAAACTACCTTGAAGAAAACTTGGAGGTAGTTCAAATATAAGAAATTTGAAATTGTGTCCATACTGTAAATATTTTTTTTTTCCATTTTGTTCTCACATTGTCTTGTCTTTACAGTAAGATAGTGTATTAGAACAGGAGTGTATTCAGACCGTTTGGGGGACTGGAGCAGAAAAATTAAAAGGGCACCTGCTGTATGGGCCACCAAAGCACAGAAAGTTGTGATCAATGAAAATCTGTCTCCAACAGCATTTTGATATACAGGATTTTGTTACAGCAGCTGCTGCTTCAAAACTCTTTTTCAAAAACAAATAGGTGATGTTTCTGACCCAAAGTCCAGTTTTTATACAATTTACAAACTAAACATCTACTACAGGTCAGGTAAATAAGGCTTAATAACCAAAGTTTAAACATTTAATCACACTCAGTCCATTACAAGGGCATTCAGAAGGCAAATTTTTATGTTCATCCTTTTGAACATTTTCATGTATTATCCATGAAAAGGACACCAGAGAGAGCATTTTATTAGGTTTCATATATTTCAGGAGTATCCAAGAGAGCCCTCCCCCTGAGCACACACTGAATGAGTTTGACTGTCATACATTAGCCCACAAAAATTTCCCTAAACCTAAAAAGACTAAAATCAATTTGCTTGAAATGTTTTTGTCTAAAATTTTAACTTATTTGACATATTTGACGATTTTTGATTGTTGTTTTTTATGTTTCATAGTTTTTGTGTTTCATGAAATATTTCGGACAGGAATGCAATTGGTGTACAGTGAAATGTGTTTCGTTGACCTTCAGGGCCATACTATACACATCGGATGTGATGATGTTTCAGTCAGTCAGTATTTGGGGCTCCCTGTGGACAGAGCAGTCCCATTGAGATCTCTGGCGCTGGTTCTTTTGATTAACCAGACTACCTGGACCGTGAATGTTCTGCCATTTAAAACCTGAACACACGTGATCCTGTCTTCTTTCCTCAGGACTATAAACTAGTGTTCGGGAACTATAAAGGCCTGGCCAGTGAGCGCTGGCAAGGGGGCGTGGCCACCATTGAACACAGTCCTGGAGACGAGGTGTGGGGTGTTGTATGGAGGATGAACACATCTGATCTTGAGTCTCTTGACAGGTGAAGTTTGAATCAGTTCAGTCCTGGATTTCTGTAGAAGTGTTTGTGTGTATGTGCATGTGTGTGTTGATTTATGTGCGTTTGTATTTTGTGCACACAGTCAGGAGAACGTAACATTGGGAGCCTACAGTCCTGCACAGCTCGCAGTAAAGGCCAAAGGTCAGGACCTCAGTTGCAGAACCTACATCATGAACAGCTGTGTGTACGCTCCTCCATCACCTCAGTACCTGCAGGTGAGACACCTGGGCTTAGAAGTCGTGTTTTTGTCATTCACTACTTTAGTTTTGAGTTGACTCAAGTTGACCAACTCTACAGCACTCACTGTCTTATTGATGCTAATGTTGGCTGCAGCAACTACTGCTGTGGTTCATTTTTTAGGTCTGAACACCACCGACCAACCAAGTATCAGCAGGTTCTGGGGTCTGTATGGTGAACAAAGCAGGCAGGTCTAGGGTTTGGTATCATTACAGTTTCATCAACTCTGAATCCCATTTTGGTCCTGGTTATCCAGACTGGTTCTTAACAGTCTGTGATTCCTGTGACAATGTTTTATAAAAAGATGTAAAGGGTTCATGAAATTGTAATCAACAAAACTTACCTGCCTGTGATGTTGGGACATAACTGTGACAAGGATTTCTCTGCCTTTCTAGATTATACATGACTCTCCTATAGGGACAGATCAACAAGGGAAAACCCAAACCCAAACTATTTTAGTGATAACAGGAAAATATCTCAAAAGAAAAAAATCTCATGTCCTGTTGTCCTCTGTATCAATGAAAATGTGAGCCCAGCTGTGTCTACTAACAGAGTTTGAGGAGATGCCCATTTAGTTGCTATGGCTACTTAGCTGTAAACTGGACTCCACACCATATTGAACACAGTGCAGACTCTCAGATTCACAGAAAAACTTTGTCATTTTAGGTGCTGCTTTAGGTGCAGGTGTCTGTGTTGGTCTAAGGTGACCTCCAAAAGGCCTCTCTCTTTGAGGTGAAACATGTCTGCCTTATGTTGTTGTTTTGAATCAGGAAAACAACAGAGGCAGGAATGAGGAGTGAAGCGTACTGCCCATTCACTCTTTACTATTCTCTGAGAGAAGCATCTGGAATGACTCACTCTGTCACACGCACACACGCACGCACGCACGCACACACACCTGACTGTGTTTTCAGCAGGTCACTACAAACACACTCCCTCTGTCAGGTTTCACACACCTCAACACCAGACTGTTCTTTCACATGTGAGAGCTCCGAACATGCCTAACAGACAAACAGCAGCTCAAAGCTCTATAGTCTGCAGGAGTTCACTGTATTGTTCCCACACACTCTGACAGGGGCTCCATGATTCAGGGGTACAGGAGCTGTATTCATCCTGGTCAAAGTTGCGTTCAGTGCACACTGAAGTGTTTACCCTGACGACGTTCATACAGCAGTCTGAATGTGGAACAGAAAGGTTGATGAAAAATGCTGCTCAGATGCTTTCAGACTTATTGTGTGATGATGACTTTTTAAAACGCAACCAGCTCTGGGAGGGAATTTTTTGAGGAGAGAGAAAAACACAAATGTACAGCAGAGATTTTGTTCCAATACACCACAATGAAACATCAACCAAGCAATCTTTATTCCAGTTTATAACCCTCAGTGTGTAGTCTGTAGTCTCAGTCTGTAGACAGTGCTGTTAGATTAAAGAGTTACAGCGCCCTCTATTGGAAAAATTACTGAAAGAATTTTATTAGCTTTTTGAACAATGATCAAACAAAGTCATTCACGTTTACAGTTTCGGTCCATATCAACAATAAATGTAATTCTCAGCAGTGTCTTGATTTGTGAATTCAATGTGACAAAAAACGTATCTTTACGTTTACTTACCTGATGCATCCATAGCCTACCAGTCCACAACCCAGACCACAAACCTGATGCAGTCACACTTAATTCAGTCATTTATTCACAGTCCTCAGAGCCATAAAAGCTATCTGTGTCTACATGTACCTCTGATAGTGTAAACCACCTGCAAACAAACAAAAGTCTCAACAATAAGCTGCACAACCATGATAGTCTAAAGAATTGTGAGCTTCTTACCTGATCTCCAAGGGTTACCTCAACTTCAAGTAGTGTCTTACGACAGACTAAAGCACACATGCCACCTACTGGGCTAACATTTGTATTACATCAAGATAAATACTGGTCTGTGGAGTGCTCTGAAATTGTGCCCTGCTGTTGATCAAAATAAGAGACCAGACTCTGGACACTAATGTTTTTACCACAGTGTCAACAGGCAGAGGTGAAGTGATAAATAATGTTGTTCATTATCTCTTTGCAGGTGATCATGATGGGAGCAGAGCAGAATGGGCTGCCAAAAGATTACCAAGAAAAGCTGAGAGCCATAACAACCAACATGTACAAAGGTCCTCTTCCTATGATGGCTGAGCTGGATCGGGTGAGGAGAGCCAAGGAGAGGGACCTGCAGGATTACCAAGACTTTGGTTCCAGCAAGAACCAGGTCCACTTCCTTTTATAGCAGAGTCCCTGCAGCACCGCACTAAGCACTGGAACCTAGAACTGTAAATTGAACATGAGAGCTGACAGTCAAGATGATGGTCAGAATCACTCTCTGACACAGGAACTGCAACAAGCCTTTATGATTAAGGATAAGGAAATATTTCATTTCAGTCTCATTTCCTGCTCACCATCATATTGTAAATGGTTTAACAGTTTCCCCTTTAAATAAGTGGACCTTAAACATCCAGGGACACTGGCATCTGTATTAATAATTTTGTATTATAACTTCATATGACAAAAGCAGCCGTAGCAGTTTCCTGGTTAAAACAAATTAGTAACTACAGGGTTAATGTCACAGGCATGGAAGTTAAAATATTATAAATATTTCTTGAAATCAGTGAATTTCATGTCTTCAAAACATTAACAATGATTTCTGGAATGTAATATTTGTAATATTATTTATCATTCACCACATTCACTGTGACACTATTTGAGATGTAAATTAAAGACACGAATAACAACAAAAATGTCACTTCCTTTTATTAAAAAAAAAATGCCTGTAAACAGCATGACAGATCTACAGATCTACTCAGTCCTGAAATGATCTCACAGCTTCAGTGATGTTCCTGTTTTCATCAAAGTTTACTTTCTCTCTGATATTCGAGAGCTTTTATACACAAGATGGGGACAGGGAGAGAAAACAGCCAAGAGACTGACAAATATACCTTTTTAAAGGGATAGTTCTGTGTATTTGCACCCACATTAGTGATTGGTGTGAGCTCATTAAATTAATCTAAATAACTGCAGATCCTGTCTGCAGAGGTTGGTGGCTTAGCTTCCATGTTTCTCAGCTGTTGTTTTTTTTAACAAAGAAGCTGATCTGACCAGGTCCTCCAGTGGGTAAAACATTCACCAAATTCCTCTCACAATCACACTTCATAAAAACAAGCTATCTTTTCAGGCTGTTAATCATTTTCCCTCATCAAGAGGTGCTTTAGTCCTCTGGCTTAAAAGCTAAAGTTAGCTAGACTGATTATAACATAGGATCTTGTTCAACAAGGATGTGTGGGTCTTATGATGGTTAGTGAGTGGGCTGACAATCAATAATTATAACTTAGAATCAATGATCAGGTAACAGGTAGCCGAACACTCCTTCCTCCTTAATATCTGATTAAAGCTTAAAGATTAAACATCAAAAAAGTGAATAACTGTTAGTGGGATGATTACGATCTGAAATAAAAATAGTGATTTCTGATGATGACAAGAAATATTTTTGAGTATTCTTCACTTACACAAATCCTAAGAGCAGTCAGGTGTAGAGTTTGTTTGTAGTCTTTACTGTGGTAAAAGATAACATACCACAGGACCATAACAAACCTGCTGACACCTTTACCCAAGGTAAGCAACAGCATGTTTAACAGACTCAGAGGGTCTCAGATGACTAAATCCACGGTTGATCTTTTCTGCATGCCATGAGTACTCACACACGGTCACCATGAGGGACCTCTTGTTTTATGTGTCTAGTTAAGTTTTTGTTGAAACATTTGAAGGTCCGCTGTTCCTCATCATGTTTGGGCGTTTGTGGCTCCAGCTGTCCCTCTCCTCAGGACATCACACAGGGCCACAACTCTGCAGAAGAGTCTGGTTTATGGAAACTGTGCACAGAGCTGGCATCCTTCAGAGTTTTTGAATTCCACCAAACACGTCCGCCCCCTCTTCTTTTCCCCAACATCGTGCTCTTCCACAGAATCTTTCGTACTACACATTTTGTTTTCCAGGCCTCTCTCTCTACCACCCAAGTGGAGCCTCACAGACAGAGGGACATATCTGGGACAGAAAATTGTCTGGTCTGTGGGGATCCGGGAAAAACAGACTCTCTTGTGCTGTGCAGCTGCAGCTCTGCTTCACAGCATCACCAGACCTCCAGCCGTGGAGAGCAGAGGATCGTACACTCCAGCTTCCATCAGGCTCCTGCTGCACAGACCTACAGGGCCTAATTCAGTGTCAGAGGTTTCCTGTCTGCTGTTGATCCTAATCATTTATAAATCCATCCTGACAGCCAGCTCAATACTGAGGAAGACTGGTACTTCATTTCCAATGTCCTCTACAGCCCTTGGATATTTCAGGTCAGGCCCCAAGGGTGAGAGTGCACCACTGGAATGCAAGGAACTATTGTTACTCTTTCAGCCAAAATAATGTTGGGTTTTTTTCAGCAAATTTAAGTTGAATGTTGAAGTTTTTTTTTCCTGTTTATAGTGATTTTCAGGGTCTATGTTTAAACTAACTCATCCAAGGGCTTTTATGCAATCAACTCCAAATTTGTGTGTTATGGACAGATTGAAGATTAAAAGTTGCTTTGAGCTTTAAGCCTCGTCAGTGATGTGGCTATGGCAAGCCCTCAAAGATAGCTGTTTCGCCATGAAACAGGAAGTAGTTTTTATGACAGCCATGCATGCTCCAATCTCTGCCAAATGCACCACACGTGATAAGGGTCCAAGCCTGAACACATTTATATGGTAATATTTCATCTCAGTCACAGCGCCACCCAGTGGTGAAGGAAATATCATGCTTAACTCTATCAGTTGTGACTCTAAGACCATTGAACATATCATCATTTTTGCTCAAGATTATCTTGACATGTTGGTCTTTACGTGTGCCAAAAACTGTGACTTTTTACCTGAGGGCCTGGTCAGCACAGAGTGACAAACTTTGAGTTCTATATGATTCTATATACAGCACAGGCCAAAAGTTTGGACACACCCTCTCATTCAATGTCTTTTCTTAATTTTTTTATATGACTATTTACATTGTAGATTATCACTGAAGGCATGAAAACTATGAATGAACACGTGTGGAACTTTGTACTTATAAAAAAAGTGTGAAATAACTGAAAACATGTTTTATATTCTAGTTTCTTTAAAGTAGCCACCCTTTGCTCTTGATGACAGAAGTACTTCAGTCACAAAGTAACCCTGACAAGGCACACCTGTGAAGTAAAAACCATTTCAGGTGACTACCTCATGAAGCTCATTGAGAGAACAGCAAAAGTTTGCAGCACTATCAAAAAAGCAAAAGGTGGATACTTTAAGGAATCTAAAATATAAAACATGTTTTCAGTTATTTCACACTTTTTTCTTAAGCACATGATTCCACATGTGTTCATTCATAGTTTTGATGCTTTCACTGATAATCTACAATTTAAATAGTTAAATAGTAATGAGAAGAAAGGAAATGCATTGAATGAGAAGGTGTGTCCAAACTTTTGGCCTGTACTGTACACTCTTGCATGAAATGTCACACTGTTCTGAGGCCACTATCAAAGCAAAACCCCAGCAGAGCCACAAACGAATTACCGTCATACAGAATCTTTTCACAAACACAGTTCACCACTGCCTCCATAAATTAGTACAGGTCAAAAACCTTATTGCAAAAATGGACAACGAGAGAGCACATGCCTCTGCTGCTCTGCGTACAGCATCCTCTGGGTCCTCCTGAGAAAGTTTCAGTTGAACCTCCGCCCCCTGTTGTTGGTGCCCCTTCTCCTCTGCACAGTAATAACCCAACAGTTTTTATCTGTCCGGATGTTTTTGTCCTAAATGGATCAAACAGCAGGAGCAGTCATCATTCTGCATGAAGAGTCCTTCAGGAGAGATTAAGAAACCCAGACTGACTGGATTCCTTCAGGGTCGGTTCTTAAAGCGCTCATTCAGTCCAGCAGACTCTGCATACAGTGCAGCCTTTAACCTTTGACCCCTAATGAGCAGAGTTTTATTTCTTTACAGTGCAGCAGCATTAACTCATATTGTGCCTGTTCATTCAGTCTGTGAATCAGGAGGCAAGCTGCAGAGACAGCGGCCCCAAACAAGCCCTGACAAACATGCTCTGTGGTATGTGAGAACTCAATAATAGTTAAGTGGGACACAGCGAGACGCCACCCGTTGGACATTACAAAAGCAGCTCCATCTGAGAGTCACAGTGACCTGCACAGCCCAGCTTTGGTTTATCTGGAACAGTTTCTTTAGCTGGGAGAAGTTTCTGTGAAAACAGTTCACAGGGAGGTCTGGTTATCCATAAAGACATCTTACCACAGAGACACAGTCCAGGACAATAGGAGAGGCCTCCAGAGTCAGCATGATCAATAAAGTCTATGAACTGAAGGAACAAAGATGAGAAGGAAATATTTTATGTCTGAGGTTTGGATGATTGAATGGAACTGAAATGAAATCTCAGGTATAAATAGTGGGTCATGAAGAGAATGTAGGGATTGATGGTCCTTGGACCTGGGGACAAGCTCAACACACCCCAGCTTCCTGTAAATAAACTGAACAGAGCCTATAGCTCCTTAAGTGACTGGTCTTACAAGGCTGGTGATGAACTTTCTCTGCTCACTCAGACTTTCTACTTTGGGGGGGTGAAGTCTGTCTTTTAAAGCTTGAGCAAAATGATATCAAGAGGAGTGGGACAGCATGTTGAGACCTCCCACACAACACCAGTAGCACAATGTCATATTGCTCTCCTGAGACATTTTATTTCATCCCACTGTCTACATGATTCTGAAATCAGAGAAAAATAAATACATTTTTTCTTGCTTTCTTAAAAGAGACGGATAGCCAAATTTTTAAAACTGAGAGAAACGTAAATCTCAATTTTGGAGCCCCCTCTGGACAAAGCAGTCTGTGCTCATCTTGTCCTCTACTACTTGTATAAATAGTGTCTTCCATCCTGCTGACTTTTGACAGTCAAATTCATCATTAAATTTCAATATTTAATGTAGAAATTGAAAAAAGGGCTTCTCTTTTAGCTGCTTGGCTTACCTACCCTTTCGCATCAGTTTCAGGTTTTAAAAATTATAGAAGAAGCCCCGATCCTGCCACAGATTGTCTTGTTTGCTTTTGTACATCATGACAAGGTATCAAAATGAATTTCAGTCTATTTCACCAACATTCACAACTCCAGACAGGAGCTTAAAGTTAAAACAGTACAGTTTTAAAATGTTAAATATGCATTCATTATCTTGAAAGGGTCCATTAAAAGCAGAATAGTTAGTTCCAGATGTATTTCTTAGGAGCTTATGATAATGCAAGTAAGCATTGTACTTACTTTTTGTGCTGCAGTGTGAATAAAAAAAAAACAATTAGATAGTGAAATAAATCTGATCCAAGCCCATAATGGATAAAATCCTTAGTATCTTGCTATATCTTGGTGTATTTCTTTTTAATACTTTTAAACTTCATCACAGCGTCAATTTAGCCTATTCTGCACTTCAGATTTACTGTCAGTTTTTTTTCCCACATTGTGGCTCATTATCTCATGTTTCACATCATAATGCCATCTATGGGAATTTCATCATGCCGAGTCTACAGGTATGCATGATAGGCTCAAAAAGTCTGCCAGAGACCCCTCATGCACTTGACGATTTGACAGTTATGGACTCGACAGGGACAGTGAATGTGGACATACTTAGTAAATACTTAGTAAACTACATACTTGGTAAATTCCCATATTTGCCACTGATAATAAAGGGTTCACGTAAATACTTTACACATCATGTTGTATTCCCAACGTACTGAAGCTCAGATCCTTTAGATTATCTTCTTGTCTGATAAAAACAACCCAGTGGGACTGAACTAGGCCTGCTCTGCATCCTGACTCTTTCCACATCCTGATGTACACCGGATCATGCTCAGAGGAGTGAGGGTTCATCCTTGAAAAGTATTTCTGGGTCATCTGGAGGAAACAACTCAGTAAGTGTTTACATCATAGAAAGTGTAAATAAAAATGTAGCCGTATTTGTTTTTTAGTAAACCAACAGTGAAGTAAACTGCAAAAACATCACTAAAAAGTACCACCCTGCAGGACTGAGGTGAACTGTTCCTCGTTTATCTATCTGTCTGTCCACCTGTTGCCTAGTACCAAGATAACCTGATAGGAGGGCAGATGTTTTACAATGTTTATGCTTTCAAAACACGTCCTTGCCTCTTGACCCTTTTTATAGAGTCCTTTTAAAACCAGCTAAAATACTAGATCTGAGGTGTTCCTGATGATCTATATGCATTTTTGTTGACAGTGAAGTATTAACATAAGCTAGACATCAACATATGTTCAGGACATGCTGACATGCTGACGTGCTGACGTTGCAGTTGTTTGTGTGTCAAGAGGACACGATCATCTTTCACCTGAAGCACACTGACCCTGAATGTTTACAACCTGAGAGTGTCGGCATGGATCAGGGTCTGCATGGAGCTCGACATACATGTTACAGGTCACCTGAAGTCATGGTAAGGATTCACGGCAAGGCTACCAGCTCCAGTTAACCAGATCTCAGATCAAAAGACAAGTATATTTCAGCCCCCATAAACGTTTGGAAACTATTTATTACATCCCCAGACAAGCATCCAGATGTTTGTGGTGAATCTCACTTTCAGTGTATGTAAAAAAATAAAGGCTTCACTCCACCTTTTGGACCAGATGAGTGCCAATTTCTGAACAAGTAATACAGAGGCTTCTCTTTGGCTCACTGCAGCATTTGAATATGGGGATTACCATTTTCATAGAGACCAGAAAGCCATTTCAAGGACAAATGGGAGGTGTCATCAAGACTTAGTCAGCCTTTACTCGGTTGAGAGTAGTGCATCGACACTACCAAATTTTTAACAGAAAACTGATGTTGTTTTAGAAAAAAAATAAAATAAAAATACATATTCAATTTAAATTATATGCAACCAACATGAACCAAACACATGAAAATTTGAACAGAGAGTTGAGCATGTGATGAAGACCAGTTCTTTGCTCTTTTTTTATCATTGTGATGTTTTGTCTTTTGTGTTTGTCCACCTGAGTCTGTCTTTTGGTTCTAACCATAGACTGTATAGAGAATGGATGTCATCTGCCTTCTCACTGGGTGAAGCCTCCGCAAGAATAGCACCCCCTGGTGATGGGCTGCAGTATAGGTCATAAACCCCGCCTCCTCCAGCAATCCTAATGGAGTTGTGGACAAACTTTAGAAATAATTACATTTTTCTTCCCCCGTGGTTGTGATGTTGACATGTAGTTATTGTAAGACTGGTTTGCATTAAGCCATCAGCTCCATTTTTAAAAGTTATTAGGGGGTTCATGTTTGCTATGATTGACAACTGATACAGCCTATAGACATATAGGCAGGGGCGTCCATGAAAAAGACGTTGCTTGGTTGGCAGCATATGTTGCTCCAAAACCTGTATGTATCTTTCAGCTTTAATGTTGCCTTCACAGATGTGTAAGTTACCTATGCCTTGGGCACTAATGCACCCCCATACCATCACAGATACTGGCTTTTGAACTTTGCGTCGATAACAGTCGGGATGGTTCTTTTCCTCTTTGGCCCAGAGGACACGACGTCCAATATTTCCAAAAACAATTTGAAATGTGGACTCTTCAGACCACAGAACACTTTTCCACTTTGCATCAGTCCATCTTAGATGAGCTCGGGCCCAGAGAAGCCGGTGGCATTTCTGGATAAATGGCTTTAACTTTGCATAGTGGAGTTTTAACTTGCACTTACAGATGTAACAACGAACTGTATTTACTGACAGTGGTTTTCTGAAGTGTTCCTGAGCCCATGTGGTGAAATCCTTTACACATTGATGTCGGTTTTTGATACAGTGCCGCCCGAGGGATTGAAGGTCTCGGGCATTCAAGGTTGGTTTCCGGCCGTGCCGCTTACATGCAGTGATTTCTCCAGATTCTCTGAACCTTTTGATGATACTATGGACCGTAGATGTTGAAATCCCTAAATTCCTTGCAATTGTACTTTGAGAAACGTTGTTCTTAAACTGTTTGACTTTTTGCTCATGCAGTTGTTCACAAAGTGGTGAACCTCGCCCCATCCTTGCTTGTGAATGACTGAGAATTTTTGGAGAAGCTGCTTTTCTACCCAATCATGGCACCCACCTGTTCCCAATCAGCCTGCTCACCTGTGGGATGTTCCAAATAGGGGGATGTTCCCAACTTCTTTGTCACGTGTTGCAGCCATGAAATTCTGAGTTAATTATTATTAGCCAAAAAAAAAGTTTATCAGTTTGAACATTAAATATCTTGTCTTTTTTGTAGTGTATTCAATTGAATATAGGTTGAAAAGGATTTACAAATCATTGTATTCTGTTTTTATTTACATTTATTACAATTTCCCAACTTCAGTGGAACTGGGTTTTGTATTTCTCCCAACCCATTGTCAGATAATTTATTTATTATTGCAAACAGGTCTTAGTTGTGCTTGAAGGCAGAATAAATTTCTGTTTTTAAATTGAAGTTTTCTTACTTAATTCTTGTATCATACCTTTTTGATAAATCTAATAAAAGAAAAAGTGTCTGTAAGGACAATGAATTTGTTTTACTGTTGTATCTGGATTGATACCAGCACCCATTTTAGCGCCTCTCCAGTCAAAAAGAGTGTGTGGTTATTTTATTTAAAGGACTACATCTCCCAATAAGGTTTACCCGCCCTTTAAAGCAATAGGCACATGGGAGAGGTAGTCATTTATTACCTCTGTACAGTGAAAAGACCCTCCTCCTCCTCAGTGTGACCACATTTCAATCACAGGCTCCTCATAAAGCACGCAGCACGCACGCAGACGAACATCCTCCTACACCGCGCGCACCGACTTCGATATTGTTCCTGCGACTCTCTAAGGTTCGGCTGTTTTCAAACACTGTGGAGACATTCTTGGGGCGCAAATATGGGAAAGGATGTCAGACCCAACTGGGACAACCCCATGCAGTTCGTGCTGGCGTGCGTGTCGTACGCAGTGGGTCTGGGGAACGTGTGGAGGTTTCCGTACCTCTGTCAGAGTCACGGCGGAGGTAAGGAGCGCTTATGTAACGGGCATGAATGAAACGGAGATCATTCTCCTCCAACAAAAAGTCTCATTAGCAATTTAAATAGACGGAGCACGTTCAAGGGCTGCAGCCTCACGTGAGATTTTCAGATCAGATCCACGAAGGATTTAACTCGTGGAAAGCTCAATATTGAACCTTTTTCTTAAGAATAAATGCACCTTTATTTCATGAATGGAAAAACACGTGATCCAAGAAAAATAACAACATTGAATACCATAATATTCAAACAGTCACAATTGGACACAGAAAACACAGTTTTTTAATCTGTGAAGTGTTAAAATATCAAAGATGTGAAAAAAATAGTGGGTTTCTTTTTCTTTAAATAAGACATTTTGGCTTGAAATTGAAGATATTTCAGATGGTTAATTTTTTTCATGTTTTTCACAAACTTAGGGGTCCCAGAGTCCTGCTGTGCCTTGTCTTCTAAATGTTATAGCTGACAGCATGGTTGCATTCATCTTGAGGTATCTAGAGATCACATCCTTGCAGGAAACATTTCCTAATTCTCTCAAACTCTGACTACTTTCCTGTACACCAGGTTTATGGTGTGTTCCCGTTACATTTCTGTTCAGTATATTTCCACCTGTTTATGACTGGTTAAACGATCCCTGAGTCATGCAGGTGTGCGGTCTCTGTGGGTGTATTTCCAAGTGGATTCTTATCATTCAGTGAGTTGTTGTTGTAGTCTGCCTGTTAGTCGACTGCCCACTGTTGAAACCAGCAGGTCATAAACTGGGGCTCAACCAGGGAGCGGTAGCACCATGGTCTTGTAAAAATATGAACTTCAAATGGAGTCTTGAGGGTGAAACAAAGGATGGAGGATTTATCCATTGCACTGACTTTCTGCTCAGAGTTTGGAGAAGCGGCACTTATGCCTTGGTCACCTCAGTTTGGCTGTTAACAGAGTTATCAAAATATACAGCTTCCAGAGTCATAAAACTAAACAACACTGTAGATATGATAATGCAATAAAAACACAGACCATAATGCAATAATGTTACAATAATATGATAACAAGGTTTCTTTAATGTTGCGTCTTTTTTGAATTTAGATTACAGTATTTTTGTGACATGTTTGAATAGCTGCTGTAAACATCAGCTGAAAAAGGCCATTACAAAGAAAAAATGAGAAGATATTGAAGAAATCAAGTACTGAGATTTCTTCACAGCTCTAGAAGTAAAAGAGTGATACTTTCAAGGATTTAACTCAAACTATCTCTAGATGGTGGACATATGACGAAATAAATCTTATAAGTTCATAGCTCTTTATGAAGAACATTGATTCAAAGTGTGGAGAGATGTTTTTTAAGGTGCATTTTCCTTCTCCTCACTTCTCTGTCTCTGCTGTGTACGTCTGTGGAAAAAAAAACTGATTTTTAAATGTGGAAAACCAGCAATACGAAACTTGGAAATCAAGAAACAAATGCACCATAATATCAGAGAGGATAGTTAAACAACAAGTAAACTCATGAAAAAAAAAACTTTTGGAACACAGTGGTGTATTCTAATAAACTGTAGCTGTAACACATTGGGACTCAGTTAGTCCTGCTTCTGTGAGGGAGCATCCGACAAAGGAAAGTGTTTTTATCCTGGACTTTATCCTTACTTTGAATGGTACATCTATGAGCTGCAAACTAATTTAAAACCCTGATAAACAGTCAAGTGTGCAGTGGCAGAGTCAGGGGGTGGCCAGGGGGGCCCAAGATCTGATCATCCACCCTGAAATCCTTAACCCTGATTGACCAGTGGCCTGTCAAAGGTGGCATTAGATTGAATTTATAACTATCTGATCTGTGTTTATCAGGCTGCTAAAAGCTTCTTTGCATTTCAAAGTTAAACCTGTCAGTAGTTTGAACCGTACATGGTGCCTTTGGACAAATATCCTCTTTTTGTCTCTCGAAAGAATTCAGGTGAAGAAATCTAAATGTTGTCACCTGGTTGAGCTACAAAGATGTTTACACAAGCATAAATTTAAAAAAATCTTGTAGATTAGAAGTTTTAGATCAGATTAGATGTTGGCTTTGAGCTGAGAGCTGGTAACAAGCCAGGTGGTCCTACAGCATCCATGGTTTCCAAATAAAATGTCAATTTTTTAATTGGTCAGACCACAGGACCCAATTCCTGTTCCTCTCAGTCCATCATAAGAGAAGTCTCAGGAATTTCTTAATTATGATATCCTGTATGTATAAAATTAGAATAGCTTCTTAAGTGATTTAAGCCCATGCAGTGATCTCCACTCCTGTCTGATTTTAATGCAGTGCTGCCTGAGGATCAGGACAATCCAGTCTTGGTTTCAGGAAAATTTTCTGAAAACTGTTGAACTATAAGCTCACACAGTCTCACACAGAGTGGTGAACCTCTTCCCATCTTTCCGTCTGAAAGACTCTTATATTTCTTAATGAAATTTTTTGTTTAGGTTTTTTGCAAACCATCAAAATCAGGTTTGGAATTAGGACTACAGATAAAAAATAAGAAACATTACAGCCGAATACTGTGTCTATGTAGTTGTGCTGCATGTTAAAGTAGATAAAGAAGTTTTTGTGGCTTGCAATACAAACATAAATGAAGTAAATAACCAATCAAAGAAGGAAAAAACGCGAGGACAGTCACTGAATTTCACAGTAATGAGATGACATTATAGCTGTATTAAACTCTTCTCCGTTTCTCCACTGTTGCTGTTTACTGTCGTGACTGTTTGGTCATTTATATCCAACATTGTTGAAACTCTGCTGTGATCACACTTTGTTCAGTGTTGCCAAACCAGGATAACAGGCTGAGAATATCTAAGCACAGGCTCCCTTCTTCCCTTCACAGTTTCAGGAGAGTAAATTTGGCTGAATAGGAGATTTTTTTGTTGTTATTGTTGAATGTGTGGTCACAGAACAACAAGCAAACATCTCCTCTGTGCTGATGGCAGGGGAGGGGTGACTTACCTGCAAGTGAAATCATGTGATCTGCTGTCTAAAGGTTGGTTTGGGACAACTACATGGACATTATCGTGGTTCACTAACTCAGTGAACAGACCTGGTCTCACTGCTTCCCTCTCTTCCAGCAGTTTGAACAAAAAAAAAATGAAATTAAAAAAAAAAGACCCCATGCTTGAAAATGTGAGTCTAAAGGTTCTCCTCTTGACTCCTTTTAGGATTGGATGGATGTTTTTTTTTATTATTCGGTTCTGTCCTGCCTACAGAGACTCCGTGCTTTTTCTCTGACAGGATCAACTCTCTAGTGGAGCATGGAGTCAAAAGTTTGAATTATTAACCTTAATCTGCAGCAAAGTTTGCATATTATGAGGACACTGTTTCCTGTAACCTCGCCTCAGTGCTTTAATGCAGTGTGCAGAAAAGCAGCTCTGAATATGGGTTGTGGGGAATTGTTTAAACTTGAATGCTAAACTATGTTTTAAAAAGTGCAGCTCCTGTCAGTAGTTTCATCCTCATGTCTTAATTTGACGTACAAAAACAACCAAGACCATCAGCTAGATCTTACAGCTGTCACCAGGACTACAACAGTCAGTCAGCGGTTATTGATCAGTTAACAATCAAGTCTAATAATAACATTATTATCTGTATCAATAAATTGTCAGTAAAAGTTTGCATGTTTTTAATGCTGTGAGCTTGATCAGAAGTAAATCAGTCATCTGACATTAATACAACCTAAAAACACATGGCTGAATGTGGATTTAAGAGGCTTAGTTTAAGGTTGAAAAAGTAATGTCACAGTGTCACAAATACAAGACAGGTACTTTTGTATGACATGATGTTGTTGTATTTATAATATCAGCTCCAGAAATTAAATGCAATGACAGTGAAATCTGTTGTAAAATCCAATTGTTTAATGAGACCAGCAGCTCTCAGGCTGTTTACTCTGTGTGTTTCTGCAACATCGAAGCTTTTCTGTCCTACAGAGAAGTTCAGTGCATTTTCAGAGACAATCAAGATCCATTGAAAATGAAACATGATAATTGCTGTTTTGATTTGCATCACACATAATTAGGCTACTAAAGATCTCTTTAAAACCACTCTCCCTGCTCTGCTCTCTCCTCCTGCCTCCTCTTGCCCCTCTCCCTGCTTTCCTCCCCCTGTTCTCCTCTCCCCGCTCTCCTCTCTCCACCTGTTGCTCCAATACTTCATTTTTTCTTTTCAGTCAGCTGTTTTAGTAATCAGTGACTAGCTATTTGGACAGTGGATTGTGGCATTCCTACCTGTCAAACTTAGACATGATTTTTGTTTTTCTTTTCTTGTTTTCATCCATGTTTACGCCCATATGTCTTCCTTCAGGTGGATTCCTTATCCCGTACCTGATTATGCTGGTCCTGGAAGGGATTCCTTTATTTTACCTGGAGCTCGCCATTGGTCAGAAAATGAGTCTGGGCAGCATTGGGGCGTGGACTGCTATCAGCCCATATTTAGGAGGAGTGGGTGAGTAATCTGAAGATCAGAGCTAAAGCTTTGTATGGAGACTCAGGAGGGACAAAATTATTGTTTTCAAGGTGTCACGGTGTTAAGGGGTCCATGAAAAATATAAAGATATTAAAAAGAGACCTACTATGCTTTCCATACTGCAGTACAGATAATGTCAGAGTGTTGGGGTGAGAGTTGTTTTCGTTAGACTCCAGAAAACAGCAGGAAGTTTGGATGTTTTCTGGAAACAACAGCCACATCGTAGCTGTTTATGCTCGCCACTTCACTGATGACTCCTTAGGAAACGAAGACCAGGAGGAGGTGGATTTGAGTCTCAGCTGTTTCTGACACCTGGAGTTGAAGAGAAAGGCCTTCGTGCAGCTCAGAGACACAAGCTGGAAGACACATCACACCAGCACAGAATAGAGCTATGGATGTGTGAAAAGAAACACCTTCAAACTGTGTCTAACTTTCTATCTGTGTAAAAGCAGCAAAACAAACGGGTTACAGACAGAGGCTGAATAGAGCTAAATGAGGGTTTTTCACATGCTAGGCTACAAGTTGTCCCAGACTGCCAAATGAGAGGAGGAAATGAGCATACTACATCCTCCTGAGGCAGTATCACTTCACTGGGATCAGGAATTGACTCTACGATGAAGACTAGGGCCTCTGTACATGAGGCTGAGATTGATCTTTTTTATGGCCCTGCTTTACTCCTTGGTCATGGTGATGAAATTTTATACCCAGACTTATTTCTACTTGGATGACAGTTTTTCTGATATGATTTGTTATAACATGTAACTGAGTGAAGTGCTTCAGTTTGTGACACATTACTATCCGCACCATTAGACAAGCCACAACTCAAAGTCCTGGAATTTGGTTTGTGTGTCTTTGAGCTTTGATATGCTGTGGACTCAGAAGCTTAACTTCTAATTAATTATATTTTGTTTTTATTTATCCTTCAATATTTCTCTTATTTCAGGTCTTGCTAGTGTTGTGACCTCCCTGTATCTGTGTCTATATTACAACATCATCAATGCATGGAGCTTCTGGTACCTCTTTCATTCATTCCAAGTGAGCTGCCTGTCAATAACCCACCATTTTATCGAAATAGATCTCATTATATCAGGTTTAAGGCATCACACCTGTTTCTTTCTCACCTCTTTCAGTCAGTTCTACCATGGGCCGAGTGTCCAGTCAATGCTAACCTGACCGGACCCATAGAGGAGTGTGAGAGAGCAACTCCCACCCAGTACTTCTTCTACAGAGAGACTCTGGATATTTCCTCTAATATCGAGGTGAATGGAGGAGTCCATATGGGCCAAGCTCTCTGCCTCCTGCTCGCCTGGATTATTACCTACCTGTTCATCGTTCGGGGGGTCAAGTCCACAGGAAAGGTGAGACAACCACTGGTCTGAGAGGCCAAACACTCTGCACATGAGTCTAGTCCTTTAATATACTTGGTTTTTTTTTTAGATAATTTAAAATCACACATTTTATCCATTATAGTGAGTATGTGAACAAATGGGGATCAAAAAGTGCTGAAATAAGGATTATTACAGACCCTAGTATAATATAAATAAGGAGTTTTTTGAACTGCAGTTCATGCAAAAACGTCGAGATCATGTGGAGCTATAGACAAATGGTGGTTAAAATTCACAATAAACCATGAAAGCTGAAGTCTTTGGCTTCAAACTGGTATGAAGCAGGCAAACACAGACTCTTTTCTGCATCAGCTTATTAAAGATGACATGTCCTCTCACTGCTACAGTCTGAACATGAGGATTGCTTTTTTCCCAGCTGTTTTAAACCACTGTAACACGATATTATTCTTGTGCTCGTTGGAGATAGTTATGACATGATGTTAGATTCATGTCTCATCACATAACAGGGAGTTTCCCTGATGCACAGATACAGAGTCCAATCTGCTGAAACTTTATGTTTAAAACTACATTGTCTTCCTGAAAACATCTGTTTGTAATTACTGCATTTGATCAAAGTCATAAAAGCTTTTAAGTTGTTAAAAGTCTTTTCACAGTTGTGAAACTTGTGCTCAGTATTTTGTTGTCAGCTCATCACTTTCCAACTGGATTTGTATGTTTATCGTCTGTTTTAATCTACTCTGTACTGTCTCTTGAAAGGTTGGCTTTTCTCTGTTATTATACACTGGTGCTCTTATTAAGTTTGAATTCAGTTTGAATCCCTGGAACATCCAACCAGTAGGTGATATTCAGCATGGGGGCTAGTTTTCCAGTCATGACCTCCATGAAGGCTGGTATCATGTCCTCACATGTTGCTCCTCTGGTTTTCCTCCTCTCCCTTAAATCTTCCCCTATCCAAGCAGAATGGGAAGACAAAAAAAAAGGTTTCATCATGGCTGAGAAATTGTATAAGAACTCTGGAGTGCAAGGCAGTTGTGCCCACACTTCATGCAGAGTTAAAGACCAGTGCTGCTTTCAGCTTGAGTTATAATTGACATCTGAAAGGTTACCAAACTGGTGTATTTAGGGCACAATGTCCAGGTCTAAGGCTGCTACCAGCATGGTTTTTATTCTTGTATTTCTATAGTTTTTTTTTTTTGGTTTTCTGTGTTCATAACTGAGTAAAAGGAATTATGAGGCATACAGAGAACTTAAAAATGGATCCAATGATGATTCATGCAATATAAGCAACTGCATTATTCCTTCAAGAAATAATGGATGTGTAGAACAGTATATAACATACAGAAAAAGTGGATGGAGTTGTGCTGTTGTTCTTTACACAAGTGTCACAAGGGGTCAAATTATGGTTCGCCAGAGACATTACAAACATCTGTGTGCAGTTATCTGGATTTCACTCTTAAGAGTATTAATCCAGCACAGGAACTATTATAAATTTAATTGACTTGTTTACCGAACCAGGCGGAAGTGGTCTGAATTTAGACCAACCATCACCCTTCATCGGTTCTCCCCTAAGGTTAAAATTTGACCCTGACTTCCTTGTTTGGCTTTTTCCACAGGTGGTGTACTTCACTGCCACATTTCCTTACCTAGTCCTTTTCATCTACCTGATCAGAGGTGTCACTCTTCATGGTGCCATCAACGGTGTTGTTTACATGTTTACTCCAAAGGTAAGATGGAGATTTATCAGCCTGAGTTAAACTGTACAATACTCAGGTGTTTTGGCTGAGGAGTTTCCATTACGATGAATTGCTCAGATTTGATACTTAATCCATTTGTATTTTTTTGTATGTGTGTGTCTGCTTTTAGATGGAGCAGCTCGCCAACCCCACCACGTGGATTAATGCTGCCACTCAGATCTTTTTCTCCTTGGGATTGGGCTTCGGGTCGCTCATAGCTTTCGCTAGTTACAACCAGTACAATAACAACTTTGAGAGGCAGGCCATTGTTGTCTCTCTCATCAACAGCAGCACCTCCATCTTTGCCAGTATCGTCACTTTCTCCATTTATGGATTTAAGGCAACGGTCAACTACGAGAACTGTCTGGAAAGGTAAGTGTTATGTTAATTTACTAGTGGTGTATATTTTCTTTTTCTTTCTTCACGAGGCACATTTATGCTCAAAGTTAATCCAGTGACAAAAGCAGATTTAAACATACATGTTGAGGTAGCAGGGCCACCAAGACGGCAGCTTCTGCCACTGGAAACTCATTAAATCTGCTGCAGCGGCTGTTTTAAACAAACTGGAGGATGTTTTTTCATTATAACAGGAAAAAAGATCTGCACATACAGCATTAAGTTGAGGTGGTTCTTGATCCTCGCTTGTAAGAAGCTGCTCTACAGCTGAGACCCACTGTTTGACAGGCATTTTAGGCCATCAGACATGAAAATATGAATCATTCATTTAACCCTTTAGTAAATCTACATTCAGCATTCAGTGGAGTAATAGTCCCGAAGTCTAATAATATATCATTGCACACCATGACAAATGCCCATTGCACTGCGACTATCAACAGTCTGACGCTCCTGATGTCCTGACCTTAAATAATCCTTAAATGAGCATTTTAAGAGTATTTTTTTTTGTACTTCTGTACAAAGCCCTGACAAATCCCAAATTCAGACTCATTACAAATAAGCATCCTAATGTCATTATTTCAACTCCTCTCAGGTAGTGTGCTTTAAAGTCTTGTCTACCTGCAGTTAAACTCTTGTTTTATGTTGTGTTGTGTAGCAGCCCTGAGGGATGGTTAAAAGAGGCCATTTAGCTAAAGGCTTGAACTTGATCATTATTTTTACTACTTTTTGTTAATGATTCATTTACTCTAGAGTCCAAAGAGCTGGGTCAGTGGGGCAGTTTTTCCTTTAGCCCATGACTCGACCTGTGTCAGGAAGCCAAGGGAGGTGGACTTAGCCCCCATCTCACTTTGAGCTGTTTCTTAGACCATGCTGGACATAACTAGTCCTATGTAAACGGACTGTAAACCGTTCCATAGATCTTGTGTTTGTAAATGAAACAGACACATATAAGAAACACCTTTGATTATTATAATAATATTTATTATTATTATAGATTATCAGTAGTAAAAACAACCAAAGCTGCTATTATTCTGTTATAATGTCCATTTTTTCCTTTCATCTTTCAGCATTCGTGTGAAGCTGCTGAACGCCTTCAGTCTGTCAGAGGACACCATCAGCATGGAAACCGTCTTAGATTGGATAGAGAAGCTGAACACGACATACCCAGAGCAGTTTGCTGAGCTTGGACTCGAGGCCGTTCCCTGTGACCTAAACAAGGAACTGGACACAGTGAGTGAGAATAGTGAGACAGTTTGGCACTACTTCTATCCACAGTTATCAATATAATGAGAACACTTGTTTTCACTCTTAAAACATTTGTACCTCACTGGATATTACACAGTGGCACAGGCAGGACACAAAGGAACCAACAGTATACCTTCAACCTTTACGCGCTAGAGTCCCAGGTGTGCATACAATGTTGTCTTTTTGAGCGAGGAAGCCTTAGAGTGAGAAGGAGAGACAGATCTATTCATGTTTTTTTGTTTTGTTTGTTTGTTTGTTTTTTGCATTTTTTGGCTTGTTTCAACTCCACTCAGCTCATCATATGCACGTGAACAGAAATGCCCCCAACAGGATGACCGTCCTGTGAAATTAGACTCAATAGCTGAGGACAAATAGCAGTTACAATAGCCAGCAGAGGTGGTTCGATATTCTGTCCTTAAATCACACTCAGATGGTTCAGAATATCTCTAATTTTCTGAGACTTTCTTATGAATGTAATATGCCCAAGTTTATAACTGTTAATAAAGCTCTACCACACTATTGTACTGTGTGGCCCAAATAACATCAAACAAAAAGGTTAAGTTTCTATGTTGATGAAATGTTTATATATTCTGTTGTATGTTATGTTTCAGCTGGACATCAGTGACATGTATGTCTCCACACAGTTTAGCTTCCCTGTTTTATTAAAGCATCGAATATCGGCATCTAAAAATGGACATTAGTGTGCAAAACGCGGCACATTCACTACCTGGTCCTTTTCGGTGAATCAGTGTTCAGGTCCTAAACTCCTTTCTGTCTGTGTTTTCTGTTCCAATCCTAACTATTCATCTCTCTTTCCTCTGTTTTAGGCTGTGGAGGGCACCGGTCTGGCCTTCATTGTTTACAGCGAGGCCATTAAAAACATGCCTCTTCCTCAGTTCTGGTCTGTGCTTTACTTCATTATGCTCCTGCTGCTGGGGATGGGCAGCATGCTGGGCAACGTCACTGCCATCATCACCCCGCTGCGAGACTTCAAGATCTTCTCCCGCATGAGCAACGAGTTATTCAATGGTAAGATGGCAGAGGTTGCTGTGAGGAGTGCCCATCAGTAATGACTAATCCCATTTAACCTAAAAATGAGGGGTTTTGTTAATATTTCCGCTCCTCTTCTCATATGAACATACTGTTTTCAAGTTGTTCATCAGACTGTAAACAGTGTAGCACATGACAAAGTTAGTCTTGACTGGAAGTCATGTATTGCTTAACAATTAATGCATGACAGTACCCAAAAGTTGCCTATCCGGATTTTTGGTGGCTATTACTGTTGTTGGACGTCAGTCATTTGTGAGATTGAGAGTTCATCACAAAGTGTCTACTGCTAAGAGGTAAATATACAGGTTGACTACTTCTGATAACAAACTATCAGTTACTGAGTGATGTTTTTTGCAGGTTTGGTGTGTTTGTTTTGTCTGCTGCTTGGTTTCGGCTTCACCACACCATCAGGGAACTACTGGTTCACAATGTTCAATGACTACGGAGCAACTTTCTCTCTGCTCTTCATCGTCCTCATCGAGGTCATCACTGTCAGTTACATCTATGGGATTAAAAGGTTTGTGTGTCACCCAAACAAAACCATACGCAATCATAGATTTATGGAGAATGTAAGACTGGCATCATTCTTGATAATTCAATCTTTTTTCCTCATGTCAGGTTTGAAAAAGACATTGAAGACATGCTTGGCCATCGTCCTAACTGGTACTGGAAGATCATGTGGGTTGTTGTCAGTCCCGTTCTCCTTATCGCGCTCTTCATTTTCTACATCGTAAACTACATCCAGGGAGGGACCCCCACCTATCAGGCCTGGGACAAAGACCTGGTAAGCTGTGGCTTTATATCTTTATAGACTGGGACAGTATTTACTTTCAGATGCCCTGTGTAACCTTTAAAACTTGTGTAAAACTTGTTAAAAACAGTTTGTTTCACTTGTTTGACTCTCCTTTTATGTAGATGACATTCTGACTCACATGTCTAATCCAGTATAACCCCAACCAAAAGCTGGAGATTACAAGGGGGATTCAGCAAATTAATGACAAATGTTACCGTATAACTCACTCAGAGAGGGGTTAAGGAGGCTTTGAGATACTTAAGAATTTTCACTACAGTATTTACACAAAGCTTTCTGCTTTCTAACGGGACTGACTCTCTTTTTGGGACCAGCCTCTACCGGACATGAGAGGAACTTGATATTTTTACACTTTCTTAATGGCTCCGTTTGTCTACGCTAGTGGTTGCAGCTGGATTTAGAGTGGTTGATAGCATGAATATAAGTATCACTGATAAAGGAAAAAACAGAACTGTTTACTCTGACCTGAACCTTCTTCATATTTCAGCAGTGAAGGATGATAAACACAGGAGGTGAATCAGCTGACGAGTTCTTTACAAGGCTGTGTTCAGATGTAACTTTTCCTTAACCCTCAAACATAAAGCTCAGTTATGAGCTCCCAGCAACATAAAGAACAAAAGGGGGCAAAGAGCATTACATCTGTGTCAACATTACTCAACACAAGTTCTCCCAGGATTTACAAGTACAGTGAACTGACCCGAGGTACAGGAAGATTTCATTGAACATGAAAACTTTATGTAGATTTTATTGTTAAAAAAACTTCCTCTTTTAAGTGCTGATGCTCATGCTAATGGCTTACCGCTGCAATCAAAACACCTCAAAAGGTGAATGACACCCAACACTGTTGCAATTAATATACTAGTATCCAAAGTGAGGTATTTTACTGTCAGGGTATTTTACACAGAAGATGGTGCTCCAAGAATGAGCAACAGAAAAACCTCAGGCTTTTTATGTTTGCTGATGAAACGGAAAAGAGCTGTGACCCTCCTACTTCATGAATTTTCGATCCACATAAACTCATCACCCATTATCTACCTATCTAGAGGTCTTTGCTGCTGCTCTCCCTGCCTCGGCCTTTTTGATGTGCACAAGAAACAGAGGGGAGGTGCCACCCCTCCCCCCAGTTGACTTGGCATCTCACACATGCATGTGGAAGGGCAGGGAGCACCCAGAACAGGGACTAAACATAACATGATGCAATAACTGCTTCTCTTTGATGAAAGTGGTCTGTCTGAAAAACATTTTTCACCCACAACATGGCCAAATTTATGGTTGGCCTGAAGCCTTTGTAGTATTTGCCACCCTACTCAAGAGTGGGGGTGACGGCTTTCATGACATTGTTTTACATGTAGGCTGAGATGCAAGATACTAAACAGACATCATTTCATCAACAAGTACCAAAAACTTCTGTGTCTGAAATGTACATCAGTTTGATGACTTAATCTGTGACTTGTGACTTCTGTGACACCGTGCTTGTTGTTTCCTCAGGGTAAGGCAGTGGTGACAGAGTATCCCGTCTTTGGTCAGCTCTTCATCGCACTGTTGTTGGTGTCGTCGGTAAGCTGTGTCCCTCTCACGGCCCTGTATGCATACTGCAAGAAAAAACAACGGAAACAGCCTAATCAGAGGAAGCGTACGATCAGCACAGTATCTGCTTAATGACACTGACTGACTCCTGAACTTCACCTGCCTTCACATCTCCGCCTAACCCTCCTCCAACTTCATCCATCACAAGGACACATCATCAGCAGTCGTGGGACTTCTTTACACTCCTTTAAAAACTAACTGGGTATTTCTCCTAAAGGTTTTGGTAAACACGTTTTAAAAAATGTTTCAGTATTAACTTCTAAGCTGCACACTGAAAGAGCTAAAGCTGGTTACAGAGACCACCCCCCCCACACACACACACACGTACACACACACACTCACTCAGCTAAAATGTGAAAGAAAATCTTTTTAAACTCTGAACTGGACCTTATCTGTGCATGCTGTGATAAATCACCAGGTGGTTTAAGTGGTTTGTAATTTCTTGAGTAGACTGATTTAGACTGCAGCAGTAAAACAGGTTAGACAGGTAGGGTATACACCATCACCTTAGAGGGTCTAGTGCATTTGTAGACAGTGATGTCTCAGCTATTTGTGTTTGAAAACCCTCGTCCTCTGTATCAAACATCTCTCTCTCTGCAGGGATCCCCCCTGAAACACAGTCTGAGCCTGTCAGGGACAAAAACAGGAACTTTGATGGCACACTTTGGTCTGTCAAGGACTATGTTGCAGACATCACAGACAGTTAACCTGCTGCAGGATGAAATAATCTGCTGATGTATTTTTAAAAGTTTTTATACTTTTTCATTTATACCCTTAATATCTGCATAAAAGGGCTCAAACTGAATAAAACTAGAATTGTCATTTACGGTGACACATTTTTAGCAAATATGTAGTAAATGTAATCAGCAGATATTTTCAGCAGTTATAGTTGTGATTAAATATTTCATGTGATGTTAGTTTGTGGTCAGTGGTCATGAATTGATTTATGTATGTAGATGTGCAGTTTACTCAGTGAGTAATGAAATGTAGAGAATATGTTTGTAATAGCTTTTTTTCATATCTAGAGTCTTTCATATTGAACCTTAAATACCGTTAGCCTTGTCGCTGAGGTGAGCTCATTAAGGGTCAAATTAAGATTATTTGTAGGCAAACAAAATCCAAAAAAATAAGACCAGAGTCCATCAGCAGGATTACAAACAGTCCAGCACTAAAACCATCAGCCAAAGCTTTTTTGTAGTGTACCTTTTCAGAAATGTGGGGAGTTTACGCCACACGGACCAAATTTTTAGTTTGTTTTTGTATTTAAAGGTGGAAATATTTGACCATAGTGCTGAAATGAAATCAGACGTTTTAGAGACAAATCATGGTGTAGCATTTTGAAGGATTCTGCTAATGTTGGACTAGTTTGTATTGAGCTGTGATAAACAGTTGATGCCTTTTCTCTTTGTTATATGAATGTATAATTGATCACTTTGTCCTAAATATGAAATATTTTTTGATAACTACTTTTATATCAGTTTGAAAGGAGCTGTGATTCATTCTCATCAGAGATGGATGTCAGAGAAAATTCTTCTGTGCCAAGTTAAAGTTTTGATACTGACATGTTCACCTCCTTGATGAATGTAAAATGTGTAAATACTGTAGATATGTTCTTCATCTAATGATTGAATGATTGGAGCAATGAAATACAATTTAATGTCTGTATTATCAGCTTCATTACATGTTCGAAAACTGCCTTGAAAACAACATTAATGTTAAATCAAGTGCCACAAACATGTTTCATGTCATGAGTGGAAATCTGGTGTTTTGTTTTTAGCTTTTATTTTCACAGTGATGATTTTTTATTAAAGAAAATGTTGCTGTTCATAAAAAGATGTGTGATCTGTTTCGTGTGTGTGCAGATGTGAAGACAAAAGACAAAACTGAACAAAGTATATTTATTATGCTGGTTTTGAATAAGTTTTGTTAGCTGTGTTTTTGGAATAGAATTTTACCACAAAAGCCAAGAAATTTTCCCAACCAGACTTGGTTTCTGTCAGATTTTATTCAGGGTCTTCAGGAACTAAAGACTGGGATATACACAGTAGTCTAGAAGGGATCCTACAGGTACTGCAGTGCCCAGCACAAACCTCTCCCACAGCTTCATTTATGTTGCTGCAGGTAGAAGTGGGGGATTTGCAGCTCCTTCAGTGGAGTGCCATATCTTTTCAAATCCTCTAGATATATGTTTATGCTCACAGGTTTTAAACCACAGAGCTACCCTCTGACCTCTGATAGTCTTTAGTTTGAGAGGAGCCATTGAATCAAGAACAGCTCACAACAGATCAGAGGAATCCTCAATGATTTGGTCAACCTGAGAGGGACCAGTGTTCATGAAGGAGCTCTTAACTGAGTTCTGATAAAACGCAGATTTAGAGCAGATTTTCTTAAACATAGCTACAGCACTGTCAGGCAGGAGCCTAATGAGCAGGTTTTTAGTGGATGTAGTGTATTCTGATAGGACAAATTTGAAGGTTGTCAGAGAGTGGTCTGATAGAGAAGGACTTAGTGGGAAGACCTTTAGATCCTTGATTTCATGACCATAGGCTAAAACAGTGGCTCTCAATCCAGTCCTCGAGCCCCTACTGTCCTGCATGTTTTGGATGTTTCCCTGCTCCAACACACCTGATTCAAATGATCAGCTCGTTAGTAAGCTCTGTAATGGCTTAATAACGAGCTGATCATTTGAATCAGGTGTGTTGGAGCAGGGAAACATCCAAAACATGCAGGACAGTGGGGGCTCAAGGACTGGACTTGAGAACCACTGGGCTAGAACAAGATGGAGGGTGTGATTAAAACTGTGAGCATGTTTGTTCACAACCTGTACAAATAAAGCCAACTGAGTCCAACAAGGACATCAAAGCTATGCTGAGGTTATTATTTTCATCATCATCCACATGGATATTAAAGTCTCCTTCAATAATGATCTTGTCTGTGCTGAAGACTGAATTAGACTTGAGCTCTGAAAATTCAAAAGAGAAATTCAGAGTATGGGCTAGGAGGGCGGTAAACTACAACACAAACCACAGCGATTCAGAAATCTGAGGAAATAAGACCACAGTGGCTTATTATGGGCTTAACACTATTTAACATCAGCATGGCATCACAGATATGGCGTATCCACCTCATTTTCAGCAAGGAAAAGGCGACAGCTAATATTTAACTTGTCCTCAACTCTGATTGGTGTCAGCCTGTCTATCTGCATATTTATGTGTACATACTTTATTAAAACTACAGTTACAGCTGAGCTTAGGATTGGGCAGTTTAAAAGGAGTTTTTGTCCTTATCTGAGTTTACAGACTCAAGAAGACAATTCATTTAGTGACTGGAGTAAGTCGGCCTTCACTGCACCAGGTGATGATGCGCCTCCTTTCTGCTGATTTCTGCTTAGCCGTCTCAAACCAAAATGATAAATAAACACGCTGACAAGTGACTAAAAGGTTGTACATCAAATGACAACAAAACTGACAACTTAATACCTTTGTTCAACTGTTTTGACAGATTTCTTTTTCACATCCTGTCTTCTGTTGAGGTTTCATTCGCTGCCAGGCTTGCTATCTATGCTGTCAAAACCTGGTCCAGGTCAAAGCCTGATGTGGGAATTATGGAGTCTGGTTCCTCAAACTGGGCTAAGAGCCAATCAGGTAGGTACTTTCTAAGGCAGCCTTTTTTTTCTAATGACACAGTGCATCTAATATCATTTAGGGTAATTTACTGATTTGAGAGAAATTCTACAACATCTGTCAGATTTGACCTGCAGGGGCTTACCCAGCATGCCTCTCTCCTCCTGTTCTCTGAGGCTAATCTGAAGTGGCATCTTAATCTTGTTCCTAGTCACAGCAAACATGCCAGGAAAACACTGAGGTAATACCAGAGGTAAAACCCTTTACATGAGACTAAACGTGTATGGATATTACACTAACCAGTGTGCACCCTGAGGTTTATGCAAGTACAGGATTACATGAGGATTTACAGTGAAATGTAAATAACACCACTTTTAGTGTGTACTTATTCAAATCATGGAAAACTACCAAAAAGTGCAGGGACAGGAGTTAAGTGTCAGAAAATCTGCCTGATAATTGACTCCAGATTATACTTTCATGTACCTTTGTCAAGTTTTTTAAAGTAGGAATATCTCACTTCAAAGACTTGATATGTTTTTGGTGTGTAGTTGATATTGATTGTGTTGTCTTAAATTGAGACATTTTTCTGGACATATCAGGTCAAAGCGACTTAAACTAAGTCAAGCCAGACTTTTCATGGGACAGAAATTGTCTAGTGTTTCCCGACTGCTCTCAGCTGACTCTCTTACGATGTGTCAGACACGCAGAACTAAACAGAAAGCACAAATACAGGATCATATAAATGATACGGACTGGATAGAACTGGTGCTCACCTGGAACCAGGTCTCTTTGAGAAAAGGGAGGGACATTGTACAAAAGCATGGGCTCCCTGCAAAGGTCTTCCCTAAGGATTCCATATCTGTACTGACGGCCCATGCATTACATTATTTTTGTGCCTTGTTAACTCAGTCTAACACCTCTACCCCAGGTCATCCTGGCCATTTTTCAATCTCTGCTCCATTTTCTACCACAGGTTCTCTTTACAATGTGATAACTGGTCCTCACAGCTCAGCAGATTGAGAAAAAATCAGACACCTGTTTTCTACATTTTATTCTTCCCTCTATAAAGTGCAAAGGGAAATAAAATGTCAAAGGTGCCATAAAACAACAGTAACATAAAGAGCCGAGCAGAGATAAAAACAAGGCTCAGAGACCATAAATAGATGATAAAATAATAAATGGAAAAACCTAAGAGCAGTTTCCTTTCAGACCAAGGCTGTTCAAAGTACTTCTGACATGTCTCTTTATCTAATCTGATAAATAATTTAGCTGTTAACATAACACATACACAGATTACTACAATAAACAGAGCTCATTGTTTCAGCGAGATGAGAAGCAGACGCAGAGAAGAAATGAAATAACCTTACATAAGGGGCTGAAGTTCCTGCTCAGATATAGAGGAATTATGTAGGTAATGTTTACCACCTGTAACCTGCTGTAATGACGACTGAGAGGAAGATTTCACCTTTATCTTTTTTCCTCTGCTTCTTCAGATGTGACACCGCAGTTACTGTCTGACTACCTGCCATAAATCCCACCTTTGTGCATATCAGGCTTCAGTTTTTATTGACATTGACTCACACAGGTATCAGATCACCTGTGTGGAGGAAACAGAGCCATTCAGTTTAAAGGTGATCCGCTTTTTATGAACCACAAGACACATTTTCAACGAGCACAACAGGTGATCTCCTGAAGTTCTTCAGCTACAAATTACACTTACGTCACCTAATAACACCCAAACACAAACACCCTCCTATGAACACCAATCCTCTTTGAATTCCTGACCTGATGAAAGCAGTGTTTGTTTTTCTGATCACTGTATTTTCTGGTCACAGATTCAAATCTACTGCAGCTCAGGATTTGTGTTTTGTGATAAAGAATCAATCATCAGCTACTAAGTGCCTTGCCATAAAAATAGATAATGCAGATTTATAACAACGATAATGTTCTCAAGACACAAGGAAAAAAAGTGGACTGTGCATCATAGTCACCGGTAAAACAAACAGATCACAACTCAGACTCTCTGGCTCTTCTCCAATTTAGCTACTGAGATCTCAAGCCAATGTGCCATCCATGGTTTCAGTCATGAGGACTACAAAGACCCCGCTTCAAGGTAGTGGAAGTCCTGAAAACACAGGAGAAGATTCTCTTGCCAGCTCCATCCTGTTCACATTGTATACATCAAACTTCAAATACAGCATTGAGTTCAGCCACATCCAGAAATACTCAGATGACAATGCTATCGCAGCATGTATCAGAAAACGGACAAATGGACAAGTCACAAAAACTGCCTCCTACTCAACACCTCAAAGAATCAAAGTATCATAGACTGACGCAGATCAAAACCCCCTCTTCAGACATTGAACATCTGGATAATAAGTTGGACTGGTCTAAGAATATAGACTACATCTACAGAAAGGGACAGAGCCGCCTCTTTTGCCTGAGAAGACACCGATCAATAGACATCTGTATCAAGATGCTGCAGATGTTTTATCAGTCTGTGGTGGCAAGTGTTCTGTTCTACGCTGCAGTCTGCTGGGGAGGAAGCATCAAACACAAAGACGCAAGACGTCTCAACAAACTGGTGAAAAAGGCTGGCTCTGTGGTTGGATTCATGTTGGACTTATGTGGTGGAGAGATCTACAATGAGAAAGGTGGAGGATATTCTAAAGAACATGGATCACCCACTTCACAACACCTTGATGGACCAAAGGGCCAATGGTGGTGGACGGCTCCTCTCTCTTCGCTGCAGAACAGAAAGATTCAGAAGATCTTTTGTACCAACAGCCATCAGGCTTTGTAACTCTTCTATAAATAGTAGATAACTTTTAGAGACATGACAAATGAGACTACAGACAACTGAATTGCCCTTTGGGGATATAATAATAAAGTTCTTCTGAAAAGGTTTATTTAATTTCTAAAATTTGTCCACTGCTTCATTCATCTTGCTGATGACCTATACTGCAACCAGTCACCAGGAGGTGTTGTTTTCACAGAGGCTTCGCTCAGCGAGGAGGCAGATGATGTCTGTTCTATGTACAGTCTATGGTCAGTACACTGTAAACATAAAATCAGTAGATTTTATGTTTTTGTCTGAGATCCCAAATTTTACTAAACTAAACTTTAAACAATTTATCTGAACCCCACAGTTGTGACAAATTTGCTCACTGTTTACCACTGTTGTCGCCTGCAACAGCAAACCTGAACCCGGTGAACCTGGGGCCTATTCTACGAAGCAGGATTACTGCTTAGCGAGGTAACTTTGAGGGTAAGTTTGGGGTTTCCTGTTCTACGACGCGGGTTCACTTCTTAGTGAGGCGAGTCTCCGTGGCAACGTACGCTGAACTGCTAACGTGCTCCACGGCAGGTTAGGTTCCAGATTGAACTCACCGTGTATAAAAACCCCGCCCACTGACCAATGAGCTCTCGAACAAAAATGGCTTGTCCGTTCTCGGAGGATCCTATAGACGTCGGTGCTCCCATTGTCTGAGGAGCACTCCGACACATGAGAGTAGGTTGAACTTGCTTTTCGTAGAATAGGCCCCTGGTAAGCTGTGTGTTTGTGGTGACTTGCCCTCAGGTCAATATTTCTGGATTTTTTTACTATGTAGGATCTTTGGATATTTTCATTGATATGTTTTCATTTTTTACTAAATATTCGTGAGCACATGAGAGCTGAGGAATATACTGAATTACAGCTGTTATCTTGTCCCGTTTATAACTCTAACAAAGCAGGAACGTCTTGTCACAGTGACAGAAATAGGCAGATGAACTCTCCTTAAATTACATAACATGTTTTCAAACTCTCAGTTCAGCAGAAGCCTCCCTGACCGTAAAAAGGATGGTTAATGATTGTGGTCAGGCAGACAATAGAACCCTTCTTAAAGATCCCAAAAGACTGCTGTCTGATCTGATGACCAGTGGGGTACTTTTTCCACTAAGTAATAGTTGATTGTGTTTTGGTGGGGTACCAAGTAACCTTTAATGTTGTTGTTTTCCACTAGAGGGTCACCTTAGGTCTTGGTCAAGCTAAGTCAAATTTAATCCATGCATGGACATCCAGAGAGTACCCTATCATCTGTTACAAGGAGTACTTAAGAGAGCACCACATCAGTTTTAGTTGTTTAAGGGGCAACTTGAAGAGCACTTCATCAGTTTGAATCATTCAGGAGGAAACAAAAGAGGGCTTTCTATTACATCTTACTCATTGGAGGGGCTTCGAAAGGGGCACTTTGTCACTATGAATCAAAAACAAGAGCAGATAGGATGGCACTTCAGTACTTTTCTATCCATCTGAGGGGCACATTTAGGGCACTTTATCCCATTTTCTCCATCAATGGGGCACTTGATCCTGTTTTCTTCAACCAGAGGGGAACCTTTGAAGCACATTATCCTGATTTTCTGACAGAGCAGCACCTGTAAGGCACTTTATCCCATTTGGTTCCCAACAGAGGGGCACCTTTAGGGAACTTTATCCCATTTGGTTCCCAACAGAGGGGCACCTTTAGGGAACTTTATCCCATTTGGTTCCCAACAGAGGGGCACCTTCAGGGAACTTTATCCCATTTGGTTCCCAACAGAGGGGCACCTTTAGGGAACTTTATCCTTTTTTTCTCCAACAAAGGGTAACCTTTAAGGCACATAATCTGGGATTTTTCCAACAGAAGGGCACCGTTAGGGCACTTAATATTTTTTTCCCATCATAAGGGCACATTTAGGGAACTTAATTCTGTTTTTTTTAAACGGATGGGAACCTTTAGGGCACTTTTGCAGTTTCTTTTCAATCCTGGGGTCACATGTTAGGCCAGTTGCTTCTAAAATTCAAAAGGAAATGTCAGATTCTATATATTTACAATTAAGTCTTTATTCAGAAGGCAAACTGCATCTCAGTGATGGGATGAACATGTTAGTTCTAGATTGTTAAATAGTTCTTGGAAAATTCAAACCATAGGAGAGTTTCTTCAACTGTCTAATTCTTTTACTGTCACAGATTCACCTTTGAGTCAGTCTGCTGCTCTGTGGCTCCAGTCTGATGGTAAATTATAAGAGGGATGGGAGATGATGGTGGGACATGTTGATGTGGTGAAAAGAAAGATAGTTCTGTAGACCTTTTCTTTCAGTAATATATTTTATTAGACTTAGTTTTAGTTTCATATTTAATGTCAGGTTCATTTCGATTAAGGCAGAGTTATCCTCTTTAATCAGCGGTACAGGCCTCAATCTGTTCATACGAGGGTTTACCAGCAGAAAGACACATGAACCAAACCTTACAGAGACAAAAGGTAGTGATGCATTTGGTCGCTCCTTCTTAAACTGCAAACAAGATGTGACTGGCAGCAAAAAACAATGAACCAAAAAGATCAACTTAACCACAACATTGTTAACATTCGTATCCAAGAAGTACCGAAGATATGTTAACAGGCTCAAAAAGAAGAAGTGAACATCATTTAACAGCAGTCATTTCCATCATATAATACTGATGAAGAAAACATCCCACAAAGCCCAACAACCTTGTTTAAAACATGTAAAAGAGCAAATGCACTTTATGTAAAAAACCCCACAATGCTACTCGAATGCAGGAATGAATCTGGTTTAATGACCAGGTTAAAACTTCTGAATGAGGGTTCTTTAGACCCAGCTTTATGAACTACCGTGAATGCCGGACAAACTGTTTGACCACACACTGGTGTTTTCCTTTAGACCAAGCGCTGGAATTCCTGTACTTTCAACCATGGATGTTGTTTTCACACATTTCGGGGTCTTACTGACAAACAGGACAAAAAAGTTTCTGAATGTCTGCAGCTGATTGTTTCATCCTGCAGCAGGTAAACTGTCTGTAATGTCTGCATCATATTCCTTAAAAGATCAAAGTGTGCCACAAAAAATTCTTGTTTTTGTGCCTCATAAGCTCAGACAGGATCCCTGCAGAGAGGAGTTTTTTGTCATAGAGGAGGAGTTTTTCACCTCAAACAGCTGATACATCACCGTCTACAAACAAAGCAGACTATGCTGAAAAAAACATTGTAGTCCCACTGAACACAGGAGTTAGTGCTCTATGGCTACCCTCTCTGCTTAGTTTTGGTCTTGCTGTTTGACTTTGTAGTTTCAGTGTTTTGTTAGGCTATATCCTAACATTCGTGTAACAACCAGTGACGGTAAATTTACCCTCTTAGGCAGCTGTAGACACAGAGAGTGGCATAGATCTTTGATTTGAAACACCTCCCACAGTTTAGGAGTTGCTGCTGAAACTGTCAGTGAGTTGTTATTTTGTGGCCCTCTTGTTTCAAGCAGTTAGCTCTGATCTTTGTGAGAGATAAACATCTATCAATGAGGGCAGCAGTAGAGCAGCAACTCCCATGTCCTGTGAGGTTAAACTCCTGTTTTCCTGTGAGTTGTGCATTGGCTGTCTCTAGTTGAGGAAAGCGTCTTCCTCTTTAACAAAAAGCTCTCTCCCTACACGGCTCGTCTCTGTAATGTTCTCAGACACTCAGGCCTGGTTACACTTCTGCATTCAATCTACACTGCAGCATACAACATAGATTCATGTAGCCCTGAACCTTAAGCAGAAACTTGCATACGTAACCTGGCGTGCGCCTTCTCAAAAATGTAAACGCACGTCAAAACACACGCCCTGTGATTGGTCCATTGGGTGGCATTATATTTCCTTTACAACATTTCAGGTGTTGCCGTACATCAGCCACAAACTCTGTCTCCTTCGGCGTCTCCTCTTTTCTCCTCTTTGCGATAACAACTGCGTAACATATCAACTCCACAGTAAGACACTTGGGTTAAGTTGCCATGGTTTCCTGTACATAAACATGCAGAGAATTTGGCAGGGACCCCTGACTGGCACTATGGCGAGAAATTTAGTGTTTAGTACAGCAGAGCAACATGGACACACCAATGCAATAATATGCAGAACTTGGAAAGGCGTGGGTCACTACAGCAAAGCTGGAACCTAAGAGTATACACCAGGCTGTAACAGGTTTAGGCTGAGAACAATGTTGCTAAGACGCAACATTTGACCAACGCTGTAGGCTTACATGAACATAGTAATAATTCAAGTGTGGATGAGCAAAGGTGACTTTACTCGCACCAACTACACTGGCTCTTTATCTGCATAGAGTCAGACTGCGCTGCACTGCCATCCAGGCCATCTGCTTAATATTTCAGCATTCTTTTTACGTCATCACCTGCCTCCTGGGACTCTCCCCATCAATCAGGGTAAACTCCAAGCTGTGACAGATGTGTGAATCAAATTTCTGGGAAAGACTGTCTTTAAATATCGGAAAATTGCCGGGCTTGCATGTGAGAAAGAGAGCTTTCAGACTTTTCAGGCAGAAAATCTTTTCCAAAACTCACTTTGACTTTTCGCAAACAAGGCTGCCATTACAGCTTGTTTCACAGCTGAGGAAACACACTGGATCAATTCAGAAACTTTTCCTTCCTACGATGAAGACCCAAATATATGTTAGAAAACCGGGCCAAGGTGTTTAAATACCTGAATTCCCCCAAAACAAACAACAAAGACTAATCATGTGCACCTATCAGCGGGTTAGCGTGAGACATTTAGGACGGTGAGGATGTCCAATGGTAGACTGGCTCTGATTTGAACTGTGGAAAAAGAAGGAGATTCCTCTGAGCTTTATGGACCCTTACTGGTCTTGACATACGGACAGAGTCCACCTCGGACCAGTTGATCTGTACATAATAACAAAAAAAAGAGCAAAAATAAAGAAGGCAGATGAAGAGTTCATACAGTAATTCATTTACAGCTGAGCTGTGAGACCACAGCAGCTGATCTGATCCCTCAGCGTCTATAAGGGAACCAAAGTGGGACAAACCCCAGTCCCCCCCTGACATCTGTGACATCCAGTAAGAACTAAGTCCACTGGTTCCAGTAATACCAGCAGACAGATGGACAGTCTTGTCGACCTGAAAACACTGCAGTGTGGACAGCAGCCGACCTCCGCACCCTCAGTCTCTCTCTGCTCCGGCGTGGTGCAGGAGGCCGTCCCTAGTAACCCGCCATACCCCCACCCCCCCACCCCATCCTCCTCCTCCTCTTCCTCCTCTCATGCCTCAGTCAGTACAGGCTCCAGCCTTGATGGTGATGATGATGATGCTGGGAGGGGTAGAGTGATGAAGAGGCGGCGAGCTCTCCAGGGCCAAGCTGCTTTCCACACACACACATTCAGTCCAGCTTCTCCTTCTGGACCAGCTTTGGCGCATCAACAAAGTCCAGACCATTAAAGAGGATCAGCCCGCCTGTCACCACACTCGCTGTTCCCCAGAACAAGACATAAGCCAGAGTCTCTGTCCATGTGTCACCTGTAGGGGGCAGCAGACATAGAGTCAGTGAAGGTAATCCAAACCCTAAAGCCTAAACTCTCCTGTTTCTCTGTTTTAATGCTCCAGTTTCAACCTGATCTGTGCAGTTTGTCTTACCAGCCATGAGCAGGCAGATGATGCACATGGAGAACGCCACCACCATGATTATTGGCAGCTTGAAAAAAGACAGAACAAAAAGGTCATGAGCTGCTGGAAGGAGTCTGAGTAAAATCATTAATCCGTCTCTCTGATCTGATTTTACCGTGAGGAACTTCCAGTCTTTGGGGTCTCTCAGTGGAGTCGTCCAATCACCTTCTTCCACAGCATAGTTCCCCAGGAAGATATCGATGGAGTCCTGCATCAAACACACTGTTTGACTCTGCTGTAATTCTGATCTGTACTTCACCAAGTCTTTTAATACCAACTCTACATACTGAATCAGACTCAAGCTGTCTGGAAGCGTCAAGTCTTATATGTGGTCCTTTTCAAAAGCCACAAAATCACTCAAATTCTTTCCACATATTTCTGAAAAGTTCTAGAAAATTTCAGGACAGTCTGCCGCCAAGGTTTTCCAAGGCTTTTACCAACATGTCTCTAATGGCTTAAATGATTAAATCCTATTTTTAATCAACAACAGTGCAAAGACAATGTATGAAATGTTAAAACTTAAATATATTGTTTTATGAAACACACATTTTATTTGATAGAAAACCATGAGGGCGAGTACTGCGTGAGGTCGGACTATCCGTGGAGGGTCATGTGCTCCTCAGAACGACAAACAATGTCTAAACATTTATTTTGTAGGGCTAGTGTCCAGGCGTTTTGACTCACCAGAGTCTTTGTCAGAACATAGTGAACTAATTACAGACACCTGTTTAAGTGCATAAAAGGTAAGTCATGTGACATCTTTGAAGATGAGTGGGCCAAAATTCCTCCACAGCGCTGTAAGAGACTCATTGCGAGTTATCACAAACGCAGTTGTTGCTGCTAAGGGTGGCCCAGCCAGTTATTAGGTTTAGGGGGCAATCACTTTTTCACACAGGGCCATGTCGGTGTGGATTTTTCTTCTCCCTTAATAATAAAAACCTTCATTTAAAAACTGCATTTTGTGTTCACTTGTGCGAAAAAATAAGAAATCAGGAAGGGGGCAAAGACTTTTTTCACACCACTGTCGACTGCATATGACAGATCAAAAATGGCGAGGCTCACCTGTCTGAAACCGTCAGAGAAGTTGTTCTTGTAATATCTGATCATGGAGTTCCAGCCGTCCATCAGCAGACCCCACTGAGTCCTCTTCCCTGTCCTGACCAATCAGGAACATCTTAGTTAGGAGTCAGTAGGATCTGAATTGTCACTTGACTCTCCTGCTGCAGCTGAATTTTCAAACTTCCAAGAGCACATTTTTGTTCATTAGAGAAGTGAACTCTTGTCTTTTAGCTTTAACTTGGTTTCAGACACTTTCAGACTTTTTACTCTGTCGCTGAGTTTAGAGTTAGTGTGTGTGTGCTTTATTTGTGGGGTCGCACCTGGTGAAGTCGGTCTTTAAGGCTCCAGTTCCTGCGTACTGTTTGGCACAGGCGTCAGCGTTATCTGCCCACGCTGTATGTCAAAAGACACACACACACACACACACACACACACACACACACACACACACACACACACACACACACACACACACACACACACAGGTCAAAATCACTCACCTTTAAAGTGAGTCTGCTTATCAAGTTTAGAGGTATATCTCACCATTCTTGTACATCTTCTCAAAGTCTGCCTGCTCTTCAACCAGCTGACCCATGTGGAGGACTCCCATTCTCTGCAGGCGCACACAGACATAACAGGTGTACACATTACAGGTGGATCCTTTGCTTTCTTCCTGCTCAGTTTGAACACCAGAGGGCACCGTCAGCCTGATCAAACATCAGGAGGACAGTCTTTAGACACGTAACGGACAAATAACCAGCGTAAATCATTTCAATTATTTTTGTTTTTGTTTGTTTTGTTTAAAATATCCATTTGTTTTACAGTGTTTGACTAGGAGAATGAAATGACTTGGAAAAAAATTAAAATTATGAAGTATTTTTAGGCTTTGAACTGAATGTACATTATTTTTCACTTCATCCTGACTGTGTACACATGCCAGACATCACCAGTTTTGTTGAGACAAGCAGCGGACCAACCTCAGCGTCAGAGGTGACGTATGAACCAAAAAGGGTTTTTGCACCAGACTTTTAATCGAAGGACATTTTGAAGTCATTTTTTTGCTTTATAACTCAGCTATGTTAAAACTTGATTCTGATTAGTCCAAATAAACTACAGTACAAAAAGCAAAGTTCTGAGATATTCATGCAGTAGTCCTGTCAGCCTTGTCCCACATGACCGTCAATAAAATTCTTCAAGATGCTGTGACTGAGTTGATCATCTTTGTGATGGCATTTTCAAGATTAATTCATTTGATGATTGTCTGTTTGAATCCCCAGTGGTCCACTCATGCAAACATCACATTCAGATTAACACAAATGATAAATTATTAAAAGCTCAAGACCAGACAAAAACAAGCCAACAAAACCACCCGAAATAATCTTATAGTGCTACTTACACTGAGCTGAGACTGCAGCGAGCGTCGGGCCAGTAGACTCTGGATAACGTTGGTTCGATCCAAACAGTCCATGCAGTTACTGCGAAATGTCCCCTCCTGACTCAACAACACTGTGCCGTCTGCATCCACCAAGAAGTACCTGACCACAGACGCACACGTTTAATCGTAGAGTTACTTCTGAAGTACACAAATTTATATCACCTGCACTCACACATAAACCACAAGCTGACTGACCCAAACTCATCCTGCATGTCTGCCACCATGTCAAGGAGGAGCTGTAATCGGTGCCACCTCATCCGACTGCATTCCTTATGGAAGTCAAAGGCAATATACCTGCAAGAAGGACGAGCATTTCACAAATTCAGAGTGATCCTTATAAGAGAGCGGAAATGCACGGAACAGCAGGTGGGGATCTTACTTGATCATGCCGTTCCCCAGACTGCTCACCATCTTATCGAATGCGAGCTCCAGAGGCTTCTCTGAGCCTTTCTGGTTGATCTGCCAACAAAAAACACATGTGGGTATTTTATGACTGTGACTCCTGACCCATCTTTTGTCTGATTTCGGTCCTCTGTTGAGCCGGACCTCTCAAACCGCCGGAAACCCGGAACTTCTGTGAACCTGCTCCATCCTCTCCTAGGACCAGCCTCACCTACGTAAGCAAACCTCCAGAGTTCCAAACAGGGCTGATGCTGTCTCATGCATTCACGATTCAAAAATCACTTATTCAAGTGATCCTAAATCCATCCAAATCTACATCCAAATTTATCTTGACACCAAAATATGTAGGTTAATATGTTAGAGCACATTCACTCACTATCATTAACTTTAGTAATCCTAGCCTGACTCAGAATCTTTGATTCATCGGTTATTGTTTATCTCTACTACCTTATCCTCATTTATTGAATGTATGTTGTAACTTTATCTATAAACAGATCATTTATTTTTCTAAGTTCTTGTCCGTTAGTGTTCTTCTGGAAGTGGAGTCCCTGAAATGAGAATTTTGGCTGAAGATATGAGATTGATTAATTAAAGTTTGACTCAATGTTTGATTTCTGAATTGAACTTTTTAATCAATTTCTTTTTCCCACTTTTAAAAGTGGGTGGTGCCTTTATCCACAAGTGCATAGATGTCATCATTTAAGATAAAATACTTATGATAGAATATTCCATCTCAATATATCAAGTATTAACTGTAAGATGTTAAATATCAATTCAAATTTCTTCACTGACCTATTTAAAAACGTTGAGGCACACAGCTCTACAGCATTTTGAAAATCCTTTATCTGATATCCACTTGGACCCAGAGACAGTGTTACACAGAGGTGCAAAAATTACATTGAAGAATCTAAAAGTTTCACACTTTTTTGTAAGCTGCACAACTTTTTACCTGCTTCTTGGTCATTTCAGTGTCCTGAATACAAATGTCTATAATGTCTATGAACAGTCAATAAATAAAGAAAAGTGTGTCTAAAGCTGTGTCTAAATCTGTGGGCAGCACTGTCCGTCCACGTGTCTTACCAGATTAAGAATGACTTGTCTTCCGTAGAGGATGATCTGCGAGTCAAAGTGTCTCTGGAATCCATCCAACTACCAGAGGAAACAGAGGACAAAGAAAAGACAGCATGAGAAAAATGAAGATAAACACACAGTGTCTGTTGTCGGAGCACGTTTCACTCACATGGTTGATGGTTTTGCTGATCTGTGGTTTTGGTTTGTATTTGAGGTTGGGTCTCTGGGACCAGTAGAAAGGGATGGAGCCTCTGGTCTGAAATGGAAGAAAAAATGGCACGTGACAGTTTAATCGACAAATTCTCAATCTTCAAACTCAATCTTTAGTCTTTTTTGTCTGTGGACAGCCCCCAGAAAGCATTTAAAGGTGGCACTGATCGGCGTAAGTGCTGCACACACACAGAGGGTCACAGTTTCTGACCGTGGAGACACAACAGACTGAAGAGGTTTTATATATTTTTAGTAAACTGATCTGTGTGCACAACCTGAAGTTTTTGGACTGTTTTAATGTTTATTTGGATCAACAAAAACAGATTGGACACAGAGACGTGTGTATTGATCTTACCGACTGTAAACATAATGGCCCTCATTTATCAATCTGAAAAAACTGAGAACTGAGCGCAGATATGAGCGCAGGATTCATAGTACGATAGGACACACGTGAGATTTATGAAAGGGTTCGTATCTGACCAATCCGTATGATCAGGTCTTGATAAATGCGGCGGCTGAAATTGATCGTCATAAACATGTTTATGCCCTTAAATATTCTTGGTTCAGAAGCCTCGCCCACTGAGGTCAAACGTGAAAGAGGAGAAATATTAGAAAGATTCAAAACTTTTCCGGGCTGAAAGTGGATATCCTCACGTCTGTGGTGGAAACTAACAAGGATTTTCTCTTTGGAAGCATCAAAACTGGTATAAAAGCAGTCCAGAAAACTCCTGTCTGGAGCAGGATTATGGTGGTGGTGAACAGCACTGCCGCGGAATAGCGGCCAATGACTGAAGTTTGAATAAATCATTAATCAATAAGTTGCTCATGATGATAAATTAAAATCTCATACATGCCTCATATTTGTTTATTGCCATGACAAAGAGTACGTTGCTCCTATTATTAAAAGTATTTAGTTTTAATTTGTTGTGTCTTTGTAATGTAGAGCAGACTCTCCTCATTATTGTTCTCCGGGCATCGGGTCCTCACGTTGCACCGGCACAGCCAACAGCACTCCATTCGCCAGTGTAACATTGTGCAAAACTGTACTGGCACAAATGATGTCCCACACCTTTTCATGAGTGTACAACAACGTCCCCGCCGGGCCAAGATAGAGACACCTGCCGTTTTTAGGAGTCAAACGCAGCACTCCACAGTGGCTCATGTGCGTGTGTGTGCAATGTTAAAACGGTGCTCCTGCTCTGTGGCAGAGTTATCAAATAGGCGTACTCATTAAGGACGTAACAAATTTATTTTATTTTATTTTATTTACGTCTTAATCTTTAATGAAATCTGGCTGATTGTGCTTAATGACAGGTTTGATTTTTGTTTATCAATTATTTTGAGACAGACGTTTGCTGCACCGCAAATCTGCACTAACTCGAACTTGCGTACACAATGTCACCCCTGTCGTGAGATTTGGAGGTAGTGTACGCTCTTGTGCAGATTGATAAATGTCGATCCTCATGTCACAATTTACATACACAAAGTGTACATAAGTTTTCTGCGGTACACAAGCTTGATAAATGAGGGCCAATGTGTGCAGTTCAGTTTGGTTCAGTAAACTTAGGCCGGGTCCAGAACCAGTCCTCAGGATGGGTTTTGCTACCTTTTTTTGATGGGATTTCTCGTTGTCCCAAACCTTGGGCCATCTCAAGATGGTTACCACCAACTCTGGGGTGGTTCGCCTCAAAGCGGTCCAAAAATCCTCTCTTTAAAAAAAATGCTTTTGGCATGATGATGTCAGTCCAGAAAAGTGTTGAAATTTTTTAATGTGATCTTTGGACTCCACAGAGTCTCTGCTGCAGCCTCTCTGTGCTTACTCACCTGTACAAATGAAGCTTTGGCACCGTTGAACTGAACGATCTGCTCCGTCTCGACATAATTAGCAGCATGGCCCTCTGTGTCGATGCCTGCACACAGAAACACACAAAACACACTGCTAAAGAAGGAATGACAACAAAGATGAGAAAATAATCAAAATACCTTTAAATCAACATGCTGTACGATGGATATTATGATTTACATGTTTAGTCCTCCTGTGCAGCAAAAACAAAAATCATTTCATCCTGTCACAAATCAGCTGCAGATATATTTCAATATGTAAAAAAAAAAAAACAGAGGAGGAGCTGAAATCAGGTGTGTAACAGAGACGTGTTGGAGGAAAGCAAAGATGAATGAGGGGTTGAGGGGAGATCATTTTTACCTCTGACGTAGTATCTGACTCCAGCTCTGAAGCAGCTCCTCCTGGAGATAATACTCCACTCAAACAGTTTCCCATTGATGCAGCTCAACCTGAGAGCAATGACTGACCAGCGGGAGAGTTAAGAGACCAACAAGGCCGATGTGGAAAGTTATACACACACACACGCACACACACACTATAGAAAGAGCTGGAAGTCTACTTTTAAATATGTGTAATTCTGACTCTGAACACTGGGGGGAGCCTGACTCCTGATGTCATGGACTCATGCTTGAGCTTTGTGTGGGTCTGTTGCAGGAAAAACAAACGAAATGGCAGGTAAAGGATACAGCCGTGGATGACAGGAAACACAAACTTGTGTAGCTGTAAGAGGAGAGCAGAATCAGAACATTCAGTGTCTATGATCCTTCTGAGTAAAACTTCAAGTTTAATCTGCAACCCTGAATCTCTGAGTTCATGAGATGCCTCAACAGTCCATAGATACTAACATCTACAGTAGGTGCTGTTTTCAGGCTTGAGACACATCCTCACCACAGCCACCTTGGAGAGTGGCTCTCTGACATCTGATCTTGTGTTAGAGCTGAGTCACTAAGTTGAAGTCAGCACAAACTCCTGCTAGATAGTTGGTCCATGAGCTCTGATCTGTCCAAAATCTCAATCTGCTCTGTTTGAGAAATGTTTATCTCTCTGTTGGCACTGTTAGCCAAGAGGGTCCTCTTTAAAGTTATTATTACATGAAGCCCAGTTCCAGTGAAGATGGGACGTTGTGTAGAATGTGAATAAAAACAGAATACAAAGATTTTTAGTTCTTTTCTGCCTATATTCAACTGAATACACTACAAAGATATTCAGTGTTCAAACTGATGAACTTCGCTGTTTTTTTGTAAATATTCACTCATTTTGAATTTGATGCTGCAACATGTTCCTAAGAAGTTGGTTCAGGATCAACAAAAGACTGAAAACTGAGGACTGCTCCAAAAACACCAGTTTGGATCCTTTCACAGGTGAACAGGTTCATTGAAAGCAGGTGAGGGTCATGATTGGGTATAAAAGGAGCATCCCCGAAAGACTCAGTCCTTTACAAGCAAGGATGGGACCAGGTTCACTACTTTGTCAGCAACTGTGTGAGCAAATAATCCAACAGTTTACAAACAAGGTTTCTCAACTTACAAGTGTAGGAATTTGGAGATTTGATCATCTACAGTCCATAAAATCATCAAAAGATTCAGAGAATCAGAGAAATCTCTGCACGTAAGCAGCAGAGCCAAAACCAACACTTCAGTACCCGTGACCTTTGACCCCTCAGGAGGTACTGCATTAAAAACCTGCAGTGATTTTACAGTAAAAATTTACCAAAAAAATGAATCAAGGTCATCAGTTAGTACATCAAACGACGAGCCAAACAGGTTTGAAACTTTTGTAATTTAGAGTACCAGTTATGTAAAAACATCCACAACAAGTCAAAGGAAAGGAAAAAGAGCAGTAATCCAGTCTGACCTCTGGCTGCGTCATGAACTCTCTCAGCAGGTAACCGTTCCAGACAAAACGCTGATCCGCCTGAATGAGGACAAAAATGCACATTTTATAGACATAATAAACAATACAGTACACAGACAGGCATATGTGTGTGATCTACAGCTGGAGAGGAATGATAGAAACATTCCTGGAAAACTCTGAAATCAAAAAGAAATAATACACACCAAAGTTAAAAAAGTTTTGAAATATTTCTAGTTTTTATTTTTATTTTGTGTTTGTTTTTTTTCAGTTTAGTCTGGATTTGTTTTTATAGCAGGACTAAATAAAACACCATTTTATTTTTCCTATTTTCCCTGTCAGAGACAGGTGTTGCATTTGAATTGCCTAGTGTTGCATCACATATGTAATAACATGAAACCCTCGCAGTGTCATTGCTGAGACTGGGCCACCCCAGTCAAAAGAATCTGGACACACCCCTGCTTGTTAGCACACTGAATGTGTTATTTTGGCTCTGAAAATGGGGCATCCATGCTGAATAGAGGGCTCTGCTGATGGATTAGATGGACTACAGTGACACACAGAGACTCAACTCACAGGTAAAAGATGTGTAACTGTTTTTTTCTTTTACTCATTTAATTTTACAGCCTGCAAATTCACAAAGTTTGTCACAAACTGAACTGTTACTCTGTGCATAATCACATGTATCAAAAAGTGCATTGAATGAGTGCTGGTGAACCACAGAGAAACTTGTCTGTGTGAGGTTTATCACCTACCCTCTCCAGGAGACTCATCTCCTGAAACTCTGGGCTGGTGTTGGCGAGTCGCTGCAAAGTGTGAGTCAGGTCATAGTCTGTGGCGAAGTAGAAACCATCTGTGTGAAGCACGCTGTTGATCATGGACAGAAACGTCTTGTTGTCCTGCATCTGAAATGAGACATTCAACACTTTCAGTCGTCTGTTTTGCAATTTAACATCTTCAGCTCACAAACTGTTTAATGGATCCTCTTTATCAAACAGTGTGCTACTGTGCTTGTTATTAAATGTGTGTTATTCCTGAGGCTACTGGAGTCTGTTCAACAAATCTTCTTTGTGAATCATGAAAACTTTGGCCTTAAGAACATTTTTTTCTCTCTTTTTTTTAAAACCTAAACCTAATTACTTTTCTTTGAGAAAAACACATGACAGTAAAACAACAACAATCCATCAAACCAAAAAGCCTAACGTACACTCACAAGTATGTGCGAGTCTTTCCACATCATAAATATCCTCTACAATGTCCAGCCAGTTTTTCAAAAGTACACGAAACCACTTCCTTGATTGCCTTCTTCGCTGCTGCAAGTAAAACCTGAACCAAGTATCAATCTTCACATGAACGTTTTCCTTTGTCAGGTTACTGAGATCTAAAACTGAACATCTTTTTGGTACTTCTAAACCAAAAAATGTTTTTAGTTCTATCTCAACATCTTCTCATGACTTTTCCAAAAAGTACGGGTGTGATCTGCATTTTCTTCACCACACAGTCTCCAGCAAGTCTGTACTGTTAAAACTTTGGTCTACCAATGCATCTCGGTTCCAAATTTTGACTATCTGTCTCATGAAATATCGGCAACAAAGTCCATGAGAGGTTTAATTCTGGCCACAATAAGCCCTCCTCCAGCCTGTCACATAGCCCTAGTGGTTCTTTCTTGTACCCGAGTTGGAGCTTTTCTGCCTGAAAGCCATATCTCAAGAGGTTAAAACACAAAGAACTGGTTTAAACTGATACACTGGCTCCAAACCAGGTTTGGAAAAAAAAAAACCAAAACAAAACAAAACAATCACCTGTCAGTTAGTAAAGGTCAGTGATCATCTTGGCACTGTGACATAAAAACAGGTGACCTCTCACCTGGTTGTCGGTCAGATGAAGTATTGTCTTCTTGTAGGAGATGATGTCAAACTCCACAGCCTTCCACACAGCGTGTCCCAGCAGGTCTCCCACCTTCTTCTTCTTCACAATGACCACAAGGTACATACCTGACACAACACAGGTGATATCAGTAAGAGCACCAGAGCACATCTCCTGTTTCAATGAACGGATGTTACTCTTTGAACCTACCCGCCACCATACGTATTGTCCCCATAAGTCCACATATCGACTGGCTGTCAGCAGAGGCGGGGACATCTCTCCTGACTTGGAATGACAGGGTGTTGAAAGGACAAACAGTATTATTATTATTATTAATAATGATAAAAATAGTAAATTTTATTTATAAGCAACTTTATAATCACTCAATCAACAGAACAGAGAAACAAGAAGATAAACGCAAACACACCATGAAATTGGACAGAGTAATTACAAAGAGTGGGCTATTCTGAACAAGTGGGTTTTGAATCTGGATTTGAAGAGAGGGAGAGAGTCAATGTTCTAGATGTCTGTAGGAGTGAGTTCAAGAGTTAGGGAGCAGAGCTGCTGAATGCTCTCCTACCCATGGTGCTTATTTGAGAACTATCTGCTCTCTGGACTGTTAGACATAAAGACAAGATACTCTCATGAAAATCAGACAAACTCTAACTCTAACAGTGATTTGCCCTTTCTTTTGTTATCGATGGCATCTGTGTTGGTTTTTCTGTAGAGTGACTTTTATCTGGTCATCATTTCTAGGCTATATCTGACTGAAGCAGACAGCTGGTGATCGCTCTTTTTGGGATGGAAGAAGATGATCACCTATTTTCCTGGAGGTATACTTTAATTACAAGAGAAATTTAGAGACAGTACTAGAACGAAAGTGCTAACCAAAATAATATTCCAGTGAGGGTACATGACAGAACAGTCCTGTCTTGGATAACCTGCTGAGTTGGATGATATTTACCCTGGTTTGAAGCTAATGTATAATTATCTACCTGTCATTTAACACCTCTGCACTCCCATCAGGTGTATTCAGGCTGTTTACATTAAATTAATTCAGCTCTGCGTGGCCTATACTCATACCCTGTATCTGATCAGACCATCCTCATCATCTGTCCTAAACTTACCTGTGAGTGTCATCTCAGTAGACACTCTATCAATGGACAGCACTTCCTCACTGCCATCATCACCGGCCTCAATGTAAAACTTTTCAGGTGTAGTACGCCTGCAGGTATATATATAAAAAGATAGAGACGGAGAGAGAGAGATTACATAATATCATTAAAACATCCAGAGAATCAGGAAAAATCTCTGTACAAAAGGGACAAGGACCAAAACCAAGACTGCATAGTCCTGATCTTCAGGCCTTCGGGGGGCACTGCATTAAAAACAGACAGCTCAGGAGTGGAAATCCCTGCATGGACTCATAATCATTTCCAAAAAACATTGTCTGTTAATACAGTTCATCACTGCATCCACAAATGAGTTCAAACTGAATCCTGACAAGAGGAAACCAGGTAGAAACCAGATCCAGAAACTTTTTAGGAGCTGAGACCATTTCAGGTGGTCCTAGAGGAGGAGAAGCTCAACACGTTGAAGCAACATTGGCACTACACTTTGGTGATTTGGTTTGATTGCAGAGGTTATTGATTAATTTACTGATTTTATTCTCTCACTGAAGCTCTGAGTGAAGGAGTCTGAGGACTGGTGTTGGTGGATGTTTAAGCTGTTTTATTTCCAATACTGGTAGTTTCATCTTCAGTGTAAACATAGGTGAGATGAAGTAGATGTTAATGAGTGTTAATGTGTCGAAACTCACAACAGCTGGATTTAGTTTAACCAAAACAAACATGGCGGCTTTGCTTCACTTTTCTGATCCGTAGCTTCACTTTGGGCTCATTTAATTGTCAGAGATTAATTAATCCCCCCCCAACCACCACCACACCCCCTTAAGTCCTAAATAACGGTGTGTCTCTGTGATCAGGTCTACCATGAGCTGGTTTTAACCGGACGAACTCCGGGCTGTGCTCAGACTATCTAACTGACGGAATTAGCTCAGCAAACGTTAGCACACAAGCCTGAAGTCCTCGCACACACTCCTCACTCCTCGTCTCTCGATAAATTCACATAAAAAACAACATAATTTCCTCTAAAATACACATTCATGTCACTTACAAGTTAAAAGTCTCATACGTGCTCGCCATCTTTCCTCACGTCCGACCTCAGTGACGTGTCAACGACACACCGAGTGCTTGCGTCATCAGACTGCGTCGCAAAAAGACGCTAGAGGGCGCCGCTGCTCCGTCAGAGACCTAAACAACGTCCGGATGAACGATTTAATAAACAGAAATGCAGATATTTGGAAAGATAGTCCAAATGAAGCACCGTGTAGAAATTGGTTTAACATCTTGTTTTATTCAGTGAAAAAGTTGTTGATGAATGCCATTATGTTTTGTTATTGATTTAAACAGTGACTGTGTAAAATTCGGAATATCTGTGGGAAGGGGTATCTCTGCTCTGACTGTATAAAGTTGTGAGCTTTGTTGATTACATTGGTAGACTTTGTTGAACACTTGGTGAAGAAAGTCAGAGACACTCAAAAGTTTAAAGGGATTTACAGCTGAAAAGCATCTGCCTTGCTTTAAGAACATCTGTCTTTAAATTGAGCTTATGGTTTATGAGAAAAATACAACCTTGAAAAGTCAGACACTATATATATATATATATATATATATATATATATATATATATATATATATATAGTAAAGAAGTGATTACACAAACTATAACACAGTTAGTCATGTATGCATACACAGGTACCTCTAAATGTATTATTTCGAAACATTTATCAAGGAATTATAAAGGGACGAGCTAATCCTACAAACATATTAAAGACTGATGGGAGAAAAACTTAATGATAGAATAACCAATCAGCAGTGGAAAACATGTGAAATTACCTTCTATGTATTGGCATAAAATTGTTCTAAAAAATCTTGCACAATAGTGAATTTCCCCCCAAATGAAAAAATATTTCCCCTTCAACCTTCCATGCTGGAGAAATACCAAGAGTGTGGGCAGATAAATACCACATCTGGTGTCCAAAAACACAACTGTTTTGGTTTAATATTTTGAGTATCATACACTAGATTCCTGAGCTGTCATTTCTATTATTGTTTGGGTATATTTGTCTTGGTAATCTACCTGAAGTACTGACAAGAATAATAGATATCTCCTGAAAATATTTATTGTTGCCGGAAAAAAAAATCACTTTTGAATGTTAACAGGTTAAGGATTGGTTAAAACCATTAAAGAGATTTGTATTTAATTTAAAGGGATTAAAGAGGAGGAAACACTGACTTTACAGAGTGGTTAGAACACAAACTGTAGTTTTCAGGAAAGAGGGAGTATTTGGTCTGTCCCACTTTACCTTATCACTTACAATGTCTTAAATTAGAAAGTGAAACATCCGTATATTATCTGGATACATCTGCTCTGCTTTACTTATTGACTGTAATTCGTCTTTCGCTTCATAAGGTGGCGGTGTTGTGGTTTCTGTGTGAAACACACGACACCTTTGGTCGAAGAAGACACGCTGCTGCACGTGTGCTCACATTGCGTCTGTCCGCTGAAGAAGAGGGAGACACAGAGGGACAGAGGAGACAACAAAGTTTGATTTAACGACTCAAACCTGAAAACATGAGACCAGGTACTGTAGAAATATTCTTTTCGTCTTTTTATTTGATCTTGAATTGTGTTTTGCGTTACCCGCCTGCTGTCTGTTTAAACATTAAAAGTGTTTTGGTGTGTCGGCCTACTTCGCCATGCTGCACACTGAACCTCGTGGTAAACTCGCATTTTAAAAGAAAACGCGGTCTAATAACGCATTTTACACGCATGCTCTTGAAAATTATTATGTTGAACACATTATTAGTGTTGAGTCGGTGTTGTAGTGATGCTAGCTGTTAGCTTACCATTCAGTAGCACGCGGTGCGCACAACACACACGTGGTACCTGATCACTCCACAGACCGCGAGTCTAACAGGAAAACGGATAACACGTCTCTTTACTTACATTACCTCTTATCTAATTAAACTTCCAAAGATTCCCAGAAACACTCAGGAGAGGGTTACGTTAGCTCTGTTTTCCTGCCACGAGGCTAATGCTGGGAAAACTATACGAGCTTGTGTTAGCATTGAGGTTAGTCGGGTGTTACGATTAAGTATGTTCTCCTCGACTATAAATCAAAACCAGGTTTACATAGAAATATCAATAATCAGTGTCAGCAGTGCAACCCATGAGCCGAGGTGACAGTATATTGCTCCAGCGATTCTTCATCCCATCACCAGCAGTTTTGACTTCAAACATTTTAATATGGCTTGGCCTGTAAATAACGTGTTGGACAATATAATTGTGCATCACAGAAGGGAAAGAGGACAAAGTAAAGTGAACAAAATAATGTAAAAGTTTAAGAAAAGTCGTCTAATGAAGGTGTACCTGATCTAATATCATAGTTATGCGAATATAAAAAGTCTACACACCCCTGTTCAGCTGCCAGGTTTTTGTCATGTAAAAAAAATTAAATCTAGATAAATAATTTCACAACTTCTTCCACCTTTTAATGTGACCTATAACCTGAACAACACAATTGAAAAACAAACACAAATCTTTCAGGGAGGTGAAGTAAAAATAAACAACTGAGATCATGTGGTTGAATAGTGTGCACACCCTTTAATAACTGGGGATGAGGCTGTGTTCAGATTTAACCAATAACACTCAAACTCAGGTTAAATTGGAGTCAGCACACACCTGTCACCAATTAAAGTGCCTCTGATCAACCCCAAATAAAGTTCAGATGTTCTAGTAGGCTTTTCCTGGCATTTTTGGCACTTTCTGGGCGCCATTGCAAAAGGTATATTTGGCGCAAAATTAACACTGCTCATCACCAAAAGAACACCATACCCACAGTGAAGTATGGTCGTGGCAGCATCATGCTTTGGGGCTGTTTTTCTTCAGCTGGAACCGGTGCCTTAGTCAGGGTGGAGGGAATTATGAACAGTTCGAAATACCAGTCAGTGTTGGCACAAAACCTTTGGCCTTCTGCTAGAAAGCTGAAGACGAATCTTTCATCTTTCAGCATGACAGTGACCCAAAGCATACATCTAAATCAACAAAAGAATGGCTTCACCGGAATAAGATTGATACTTTGTAATGGCCCAGCTAGAGTCCAGACCTGAATCCCATCAAACATTTGTGGGGCGATCTGAAGAGGGCTGTGCATAGGAGATGCCCTCGCAATCTGTCGGATTTGGAGCGGTTTTGCAAAGAAAAGTGGGCAAATATTGCCACATCAAGATGTGCCACGCTGATAGACTCCTACCCAAAAAGACTGAGTGCTGTAATATTAATTCGTTTAAGAGTGTGCATGTTTATGCAACCAGGTTATTTTAACTGTTCTATTTTTTATTTTTCCCCTTAATGTTTCTGTTTGTTTTTCAATTGCATTGTACAGGTTTTATATATTGAAAGAGAACTCTCCACCTCGTAAGAGTCAAATGCACTACATTTCTAAAGCTGTTGATGTTGAAAATATTGCTTTTCGTTGCAATCATTTCTATCTTTGGCATGCTGATAGTCAGCAGGTGTTTTGATACTTGATAGTGGATAATGTTTAGTGGATGGAGGGTTGTGCATACAGTTATTCCTCCTCCTGCTAGCTTGGATAGTCACCTAAATACTTTGTCTGGGAGATAAGAAACCTTTCATCCCACAGGGGAGAAATTTGCAAGTAATTCAGTAAGTTTATTCACTCATTCTTACAAACAGAAGAGAACTGTTTCCTTGCAGTTTTTATTGTGCAGTCTTGACAGAAGCCATGCAGGGGTATGTCCACACGTAGTGACAAGTTTGGCACAACCAGAGTAGTGACGGACACGGTGGCCATGGTATATGTGTACACTTCACCAGTAGCAGCTCAGATCAACAAGAAAGTTTGGGAGCACCAGGAAGTTACTGCTCCACTAAGATTAACGGAGGACCCCTGTATCTACAACACACTAAGCAACAGCTTTAAGGGCCATGAGCCCTACCATCAAACGTGACGAATAAGAAATAATGAAAACCTACAGTGAAATGATTATGCAGCTCCATAACTCAGTGTCAGCAGGTTGGCATTCACATGCTGTTACTCTGCACCTGATCAAATAAATGATTATTTAGAGTCGCTGTTTTAAAACCACTTGAATTATGTGCATTGAGGAGAGAACCCAAATGCATGGATCACCTTTATGTGAAATTGTGATCTCTGCTGCCCCCTGCTGTTAGTTTAAAAGACCCTCTGCTAGTTTTTTTTTTGCCAAACTCACATTTCCATTGTTAGCTGACCTGGTGCTTCTGTTTTTGTGTTACAGGGTTTAGTCCTCGTGGAGACCGAGGAGGAAGAGGTGGAGGATTCAGAGGAAGAGGAGGAGGAGGATTTGGTGACAGGGGTCGAGGAGGATTCAGAGGAGGAAGAGGTGAGAACTGAGGTGGTGATTGATACATGCTTAAATATCATCAGTATCACCGATTTTTCTCACCCAAAATAAAATTTGAAATTTTGCAGGAGGAGGGTTTAAATCTCCTGATGGGGGAGGATTTCGGGGCCGGGGAGGCGGCAGAGGCGCCCCTAGAGGAAGAGGAGGGCCGAGGGGAGGACGAGGAGGCTTCGGAGCAGGGAGAAAGGTCCTGGTGGAGCCACACAGACATGAAGGTGTTCATTAGCATTTACTGGTTTCTTTTGGGAGTTTCTGTTTCAGTGGAGGTAATACTAATGCAGACGTGTGTGTGTGTGTGTGTGTTTTTAAGGTGTGTTTATCTGCAGAGGGAAGGAGGATGCTCTGGTGACAAAGAACATGGTGGTGGGAGAGTCAGTGTATGGAGAAAAGAGGATGAGTGTGGAGGTAAGAGGCTCCACTATTCCACATTTATACTGTTATAACTTTTAGTTTAAATGAAAAAGTGTCTGTGCTAGTCTCTGGATAAATTTTATTGCATTGCCTGCAACCTGGCAGTGAATCCTACTTAGTATTTGCTACTTTGTTATCACTTTAATTCACCCAAACTCGCAGAAATATTTTAAGATTAAAAGAACTTTATTTATCCCAGAAGGGAAATTCAGTTAGGAGGCTGGTAAGAAATGTGCAGGAAGAGTCAAGATGGGTATGAGTCACTTAGCTCATCCTGAAAATTTTTCAAGAGTTAAGTGTCTTCACAAAAACAGCTCAAGACTCCCGATTAGAAAAGTTAGAAAAAATAATTAACTGTAAATCCTCAAATAAAGGCCAGGTCTTGGATTTGCTTTTACTTCCTCAGGTACCAGGCCTTTATGAGAGACAGGCTTTTATATCAAATCCTCTCTGAGAATTATAACTGTTTATATTTACTCAAACTGAGGATCTCAATTTACTAACTCCAACCAAAAAGACATGACATTATTGACAAAGCAACAAAGAGGTTAATGCTGCTGTGCAACAGGCATGTTAGCATCAATATAAATGGTTGTGTTTAGACTGTGAGGTGTTCAGGGTTAGGTCAGTAAAACACAAACGAGGCAAAAGTGAATATGTTATCATGATGTGCTGGAATGTCAAGTACATAAGAAAGCTTGTAGTAAAAAAATCTAAATTCATAAAATAGTTTGGAGGAAAACAATAAAAGTGAAGACTTGATAGCTGTAATGATAAGGAGTCAGATCATTAGAGTTTCAATAGTGGTGTTAGTATCAATGAAAATGAACAATCCTTGTCCGGAGTCCTGACTTTGTTCAATGACCTTTTTTCTTTCTCTGTCATCAGGAGGGAGAAACAAAGACTGAATACAGAGCCTGGAATCCGTTCAGGTCGAAACTTGCTGCAGCCATTCTGGGAGGAATCGACCAGATCCACATCAAGCCAGGGGCAAAGGTCATGTACCTGGGAGCTGCTTCAGGAACCACAGTGTCCCATGTGTCGGACATCGTTGGACCAGTCAGTACTGCACACACTCACTGCTCCCTAAAGGGTTAAACAGTCTTGATTCAGTGGTAGAAGTTTGAGAAAGTGTGGCCTCTAAAACCCATTTATTGTTAGGAAAGGTTACATTTGAAAGCCAACCATGAGCATAAAATCCCAGTAATTTCCTTGTATAATTTAACTTATACATACTCCAGGTGTCTTGCCCAAGGACACTTTAACATGTGGACAGCACAACCTCCAACATTTTAGGTTGAGAGATGACTGACTACCAACTGAGCCACAGCTGCCCCTTAGATGTCAGTAATGAGAGAGAATTGATACAGTATTTTAAAAAATGTAAAATCTCAATACAAATATGTTCAGCACATTACAAATAAGTAGCCACTCAAAAAACTGATGTATTAAAGTTGGTTTGCTTTTTAAGCGATACATCCAAAGTGAATGCCAAGACATGATTGTCCACTTTTTTCTTTAATCTTCCAAATTTGGCTGAGCCATTAATAACAAATGTGAAAACACATGAACATACACATTTTTTTTCTTCACTTTACACAGACTTCAAATAATTTAGACCTCAAAAGCTGTTAAAGTTTTCAGGTTTGTTATGCAAGGCCTGACTTTTTGTACTGCAGAGAACAGTAAAGCTGAACCTGAGTGAGCTCTCATAAGGTAACGCAGTAACCTCTGTGTGTGTGTGTTACAGGAGGGGCTGGTCTATGCCGTGGAGTTTTCTCATCGGTCAGGTCGTGATCTCCTCAACGTGGCCAAGAAACGCACAAACATCATCCCCATCATCGAAGATGCACGACACCCTCACAAATACCGCATGCTGGTTGGTAAGTAGTCCGCAGAGTCAAGGGGGTTCAGGTGTTTGTTTGATACCTGTCTGATCTAAACACCTGAAAATAATTCCGTTAATTAATATTTGAGGAGTATATCATATACACTGACTGATTCGTGATCTGTGTGTCTAACCCCTCAGGTATGGTGGATGTGATCTTTGCTGATGTGGCTCAGCCTGATCAGACCAGAATCGTAGCTCTGAATGCTCACAACTTCCTCAAGAACGGTGGACACTTTGTCATCTCCATTAAGGTACCACCAAAACCCAACCCTAGACCACACCTGTAAGCTTTTCCTTACTTCACCTGTAGTCCAACAGCCTCTGTGTTTTACCTTTGTCTGCCTTAAGGCTAACTGCATAGACTCGACGGCAGCTCCTGAGGCAGTGTTTGCGTCAGAGGTGAAGAAGATGAGTGCTGAGAACATGAAGCCCCAGGAGCAGCTCACACTGGAGCCGTACGAGAGAGACCACGCCGTAGTGGTCGGGATCTACAGGTACACACATGCAGTATAATCTGATACGAACTTCTTTTTTCCAGTGACACACATGAACTGCTGCTTATCCAGGAGCAAGTGGGCATGTCAGGCTGGTATCACATCAGACCAGTTTAGGCCAGATATAGATCCTGATTTGACAACCCAGTGATAGGGGGGTACAGACTGATTCAGGGCACATTGACTATTTTCTGATTCTGACCAAGTCAGAACCGAACAGTTTCTGGTTGATTTGATGGAATATCTACAGCAACAGATGAGATGAGCAACTGGGACGCTTCACCAAGCAGGTCCAAAACCTACAACCATGACGGCAAACATAAACCTATCTGGCCTTGCAGGACTTATTTATCTGTAAGGGAGGAAAGATGGTTTAATTGATTCATGGAATCTATCGAGTAGTGATAGTCATTACAATAAAATTTATGATTTTCTTTCATGAAACATCTTAGTCCTTCTTGCTGCCAGTTAATCTTCAGCCTCTCACGCTACAGCTCTGGATCAGACTTTCGCCAATCTTTCACTTGAGCACTTAAACACTGCATCCCGAAAAGTTGTAATTTAGATGTCCCAGCGTGCCGTTATGCATCACATTTTGTCCATGTGAAAGTGGAGGAGGCATGGCTTGTTAACACACAGCCGGAGCTCCCCGTACTCACACGCACACGTACACACATTGTCTAATGTGAGCTGGGTGTACTATGCTATTTACGGCAACTATGTGCTCGTTTTACATCAGCAGGTCTGCAGGTTTATTTATTTTTTAAGCTGAGAGTTAAAGCAATTGAAAACGTCATTTAGCAGACGCTTTTATCCAAAGCCACGTTCATTCGAGAGAACAACTGGGCATGGTCAGAAGGGGAAAAGGGTGTCAGTGTTGAAGCCCATTTCAAAATAAAAACACATTTTAGTGCTTGAACTAGTATCAGCTTGTTTGGTTGCAGGGAATATGAATCACTTTGTTCAAACTGTGGAGTGGAAGTCATCTAAAGCTCCGGAAATACTTGCAGTGTTTAAGTTTTTTTTGTTCTTGTTGTAATGTATGGTCATGAGTTTAATTAGTATGTAAAGTGGATTAGATCCTGTAAATTAAATTGATGTTTAATCTCCTGGAAGCTTCTTATTGAACTCCTCGGAGCTGAGGCACAGCAGGGATCAAGAGTTTGGAGTTAGTGCAAACTTACGTCAGTTTAACTGGTCTCTTCACCCTCCGTACATGTTGGAATAAAGTTCCTGTAAATGTGAGTTCTGCCTTCAGACTGCTCAAAACTTTATCTTGTACTTAACTGTATAGTTTTTAAGGCTTAACCCCAGCTTTTCCCCACCATCAGTACGCAGTAAAAATAATGAGCGCTTTAAAGTCTACACTTCACCCGCTCACAGTCTGCAAGTTGCAAGATGCCAGAAGTCTATTGCTATCAACCAAGATCTGCAGATTATTTTACTCAACTTGAAGCAACAAAGTTAATCAGAGCTTTGGTGAACTGCTTGGTGATCATCAAGGGGACAATTCAGTTCTATACAATTTGATGTACCCTTCGTTTCAACCATAACCTGGAATACTCCCTCAGAGCTCAGCTGATCGCTCCGCGTCTTGAAAATCAGAGCTCCGTTATTGTCAAATAATGACGTCTCTGTTCTTCATGCATGCCCTATGGAGTGATCAGCTGCAAGGAACTTTCTCTGTTAAGCATGAGCTGATCAAAGATCGTGATTCTGTTAAAATACAAAAGATAATTTCTCTTTTGCTTGAACTTTGTTGTTTTACATGACATATATTTGTAATGAGTCTAATATTTAAGTATAATATTTATGCTTAATATTTATATTTGTAATAAGTAAGACAGAATATCCACTTACCAGATGGACTTCTGCACACAGCCCAAAACTGTGATAGTGTGAACCCACAACTATCCCCAAAACAAATAAAAAGAGATGAGAGTTTGTAGATGTAATCCAGCCTTACCAAAGTCCCTGTTTAGCTTGATCCTATTATCACGTTCTTATGCCTCTAAAAGTTAGCAGAGTTTAGTGTCAGACCTTTCCAGGACACCTTTCTTTGTTCTCAGCTGTACACTGTAGACTCCACCTTTCTCACCAGGAAAGGTTTTGGTTGTTATTTCCATAAGAACCCTGTATTGCACTCAGATCCATGATGACCACAATTAGCCCTTTTCCACCAAGCTAGTTACAGTGCTAATTCAGAGCCATGCCTAATTTGGGACCAGTTCTTTGTTTTTCCATGACCAAAGTCCTGGCTCCGAGACAGAAAAACTGTTCCAGAGAGGCACCAACTCCTCGCTGGGCTACAAGAAAGAACCACTTACCTGAGAGTCTGGAGGCAGTGTTATTTAGCCCCACCAATTGTTTTGTTATGGTTTAAAGTTTTAAAGACCCACTCTGATGAAAATCATGTTTTTCATGTTGCATACATGTTCATATGGCATTTTTCTGATGCTACAGGACATATGAGAAAACTAAGAGCAAAATTGCATTTTTGAGTAAATCTACATCCAAATTGCTGTGAACTTCTCACAGACCCAAACTGCAGGTTCAGATGCTGTGGGATTTCCTACATCACTACTGCAAGCTCTGCCCCCATAGCCCCGCTCTGCAGGGCAGACTATGAGAAGTAGGGAGGACGATTGCAGAACAAGTGTGTACGGTAGCGAATTGCAATACTAGTAAGAAAGCTAATTATGATATTAACTTTCACCATGCCCCCAAAGACAGTGTCCGAGAGCTGAACAGCTCCTATGTTACCTGCCACTTCTGCTGCATACTGTTAGGCTGTAAGCTAGGATGAAGAGGAGGGTGCAGAGCATTGAAACATTGCAAGGAGTCAGTGAGTAAGCCTTTAAGCTTGACCTCCTTTATTGCATCTTTTCCTCAACTTGGTGTGACAGTGTGCTTGACTTCTCTTTCCTTGGAGCCACTTCAATAGACTTTCTAATTTTTTCAGGTCCATTTACACTTCTTCAAACCTAAGAAACCAAGTAATGAATATCTTTAGTTAAGTCCACTCAGAAAAATAGAGCAGTATACTTGTAGCACATTCTGCATCTCTGCAAATGGTTGCATTCACCAGAACCTCCTCTCTGACCTCTGGGTCGACCTTTGCAACAAATGGTTGGTCTTTCTATGACTTTGGCCAATCTTCTGCTTTTTTCAGAAGGATCTCTTGTCCCTTTTGATCATTGCTGGCTTTCCATAGAGTCTTCTGCAGATAGTCCTCTGGAAGCCTCACCAGCAGGATTTACACTGAACATTGTTGAGTTTAGCTTATGAAAAATGGAGCAAAAACTTCAGTGTTATATTTTTGTTCAGTGTAGCTTAGACCCTGTGTGCCTCCACTGAGAGAATTCTGTGTCCTCATGAATGATATGTGTAAATTTCTTTGCTTTCAACATTCGATAGCACTGTCATACGATCAGTACAAAAGACTGATGGGTGTCAATTCAAGCTGCAGTTCCTTTTGTAAACATCTGGTCCACCCATTCAGTTTGAGGATGGGAGTGTGTTTCAGTGGGGAGGCTCTTGGTTTTCTGTTTTCCATGAATCCTGAGTTAACTTAATTAGAAGTGTTCTCCATCTTCAAGTATGACACAGTCCCACACCTTAACTCACATGTGTAAGAAAAGTGACAAGTGTGCACTCAAGAGTTGATCCATGCCCTTTGGCTTGATTAATTGGTTTACCTCAAGTTTTAACACATGATCCAGATTTGATAGCCAGTGTGACCTCTGCTATGAGAGGGGTTGAGGTATTTGGTCATTTCATCCCTCTTTCTTTTTGCAAATCGGCAGCATTAGTTTAGTGGAAAAGTGAATGGTGAGGGGAAAAAAACAGAAGTCCAAGTCTTGTGTGAGGAGGCTCTTAAATTGTTGTTTTGTATTATAAGATATCTGAATGTGCACACCATTGTAACCAGGAAGGGGGTGTTCCTAGGTGAGGATTTGGCTCCTACAAGGTGCACCACAGGAAGCCCAGAAAGCCATCAAGTTGTGGTGACACTTCAACTTGATGGTGCATTGCTGTGATGTCTGCTGTTAGAGCCAATGTTTTTGGTCGTAACCCTGTGAGAACAACAAACAGGGAGTAGGGTCCTGGTTCCATCAGACCATTGTTGCAATTGATTGTCCAGGGAAGTACCTTTTTGAAACTCGGGATCTTCTTTTTGCGATGATACACCCTGTAATGTGGTGAATTCCAAACTCCATCCATCCATTGCCATGCACATCCCTCAAAGTGACACAGGTGTATTTTCTACAGCACTGTGGTCTTCCAGGTGAGGAAAGAGCTGTACTGCTTTATCTAAGTGAAACAGCTCCATCTGGTGGTCCTGTGGAGGGTCAAATCTCCATACATACGTACATACATACAGTACAGTACAGCACATCTGACCTGAGCGGAGTGACATAAAGATGGCCTGAGTCGATCTGTGTTTCATCAGCTGCTTCTCACACCTCAGCTGCTGGTGTTAAAAGTCATGATTTGGTGCAAATTGGCACGACATTACAAACCTGTTGTAGGTTTTCATCTGCAGCTCAAAATTGATGTACAACGCTGTACAATTTTAATGATCCCTCAGATTTAAAAATGTGGTTCCCTGAATATGAAGACAGTCTACAGTTCAGGTTTTTTTTTTTTTTTTACAAGACATACACTCCTGTTAAAACAAAATTCTGCATTCCAACTCTACAAACATTTGCCAACATCTCCAAAAGAACTTGTCTAATAACTAAGATACAGAACACAAATAGGAAAATTCAAGTTTTATGCTCTAATTTCATCAAGACAGGGAGGGTTTCCTTCATGCAATGTCAGTCTGTATTTATTAAACATGGTTGAGACCACATTGAGGATTGTTGTTTTTACAACTCACCAGATAACCTGACCTCTACACTCTTTCCTCCAGGAAAGCTCTTTGTCAATAACTGTTTCCATAGAAACAACAAATAAACTTATCATACAGCTCAGGTAGTCGTGCAGTACATCCCCCCATTTCCAGTGGACTGACCCTCCAGTTTGTCATCCCCATGCTGATTGGCTATCTTGGCCCAGCTGATTAGCAGGAGTCCAGGTGTTTTTTTTTTTTTTTAAACTTCAGGGCATTAGTAAATACAGCAATCCAGTGTTGCACGCATAGCAAAGTTGCATCCCTTGCCTATACCTCTTGCTCAATTTATGAAGCTGAACAAGAATGTATGTCATCTTGCATCTTCACTTTTACTTTGTGTGTTATTAAGTTGGGAAAGTATACTAAATCCTGATTTTATCCCTCTATAACTACCTTTTAAGAACTGAAAGAATCACAATCAGGACACTTGAAGACCAGTTTGAAGAGTTATGGTGACAGGTTGACCCACATAACCAGACCCCTCTGGACCCCACACCAAACATGGTATCTGCTCTGTTTCATGTTATTCCTTTTTTCTTTCTCTCCTTAGACCTCCACCCAAAGCAAAGAATTGAGACTGTAGAGATGCAGGGACACGGACATCTATCCACAGGCACCACCTTCTTTGTTGTCAGACTTCCACCACTGCACCCCCACCTGACCTACAGCTCAAAAAATGCTGAAACTGTCTATCTTACTGCAAATCACTCAAAGAAGATTTTTTCAAGTGCATGGAGTTGCCATACAGACTGGATAAACCGTTCAACTTGGAGTGAAGTTTTCTTGGGTCAATACTCTTATTATTTTGGTTCCTTTAACCATCTGTGATGTCAACTTGTTTTTTTTTTTTAAATAGAATGTGTTTTTCTGCCCTCCAGCTTTTATACTTGTGCTCCTACTATAGACATGCCAAGTGTTCAATCACCACACACCAGATGGTAAGAATAGTTATATATGTGTTGGGGCTGATGTACAGTTAAGATACTTGGTTGATTATTGACTCAAGCCTAAGATTTGGTGGTGAGCTGGGAAACCTTTACCCTGTTTATCAATGATGTTTTCACTGACTAGTAGGATCATACTAGTATTGTAACTTTTTGTGTTTTATGAAGAATTGTTGTAATTTACAACATTTTTTTAAGTTTGTTTTCTGACAAGATGGACAGCTTTGTTTTAATAAAATGATTATTATTGTTAGTTTATAGTGTTTTTCTTTGACTTTCTGCTCTGAACAGTGTTAATACTTAAGTTCATGACAGTTATGTTATGCGTTTATTTTGTGGACTGAGTGAAATATGAACAAAAAGAGGATCCAAAACATCCAAAACACTGAACAAAATTGACTGGGGAAAAAAAAGAGGCAGGAAAGGGTGAAGAATTGAAAATAGATATTAAAAAAAGTGTTATTGAAACCTGAAAACTTTGATCCAAATATTTCTCACTGGATCTCATTTTTAACGTATTATCCACCACAATCATTTTCTCTCATTTAGACCAACATGGAGTCGCAATTTTAAGATCTCATGAAAATAACTTTTTCGTCATTAATAGTCTTTCATGTTCTTTATTCTGTTAATAAACACAGATATTTAGGACCCGTTAAATTAGTCCCAGAGGAGCAGATCCGGCTCCTGGTTCAGTGACAGGTAGGAACAATCCGGTATTAGACTATGTTGGCTTCCAAAGTTATGAACCGTTATTTCAATTTGGATATTAGGCACGCAAACTTTAATTTTGCTACAGTTTTCGACGACTTTTCCGGCCGTTATTTGATTTCTAGTCCACTTTGGAGGAGTTTATACTGTGACTGTCCGTGGTGGATTTGTTTTGGCAGCCATTTTGTGGGAACTGTGGCGGGAGCGCGCGGGGCCGTACTTGCCTGGTGTCGGGAGCGCGCTCTCAATGCAGCCCCTCTCTGACCGATATTACCATCACGGAGGGGCTGGCAGCACACCGCTAGCTGTAGCGCTGCCTCTGATAATAATCCGAATTTCTCTAAGCGTCTGCCTCTGCTGTCCAGCGGCCCCCAGGCCGGCCGTTACCCACCAAACCGCCTGCAGTGAGCGGACTGTCTTCCTCCAGATTCAATGGCAGTGTTTTATTAGACAGCTAGCATGCTAGCTAACTGCTAGCTAGCTAATGTTAGCTTCTTGCCTCTTAAATTAATGTAAAAAGCTGACGGTTGAGCTAATCTGTCTCGCCCGCTCTCTCTTGAGGAGCTGGGTGCTCTCCGGTCTTTCTGAGAACTTAGAACGATCCGGTGAGACCCGTTTTCTGGAGGGAAGGAGGACTGAGCTCGGGGGTCGGCGGCGGTTGAGGTTGAGGCGGCGGGCTGCCCTCCTCCCCTCAGGCTCGGCTCTCTGCTGCGCCGGGGATCGGTCCCGATCCACCACCCGCTCCCTGAGCCCCGGAGAATCAGGCATTTTTGCTGGACTTAGACCTGACCGGGATTGTTCTGTATCGGCTAACCTCCTAAAAGACGATTCATCTGGATCTGTGGTGTGGGAGAGGGGCGGCTGACCCGGGGGAGGGGGCTCGGTTCGTGTGGACGGGGGACACAGACTGAACATGGCTGCTCCGCGGGACTCGGTTCGACACACCGCCTGAGGTAAGAACCGCCGGTCCGGCTCCTCTGTTTTCAGGTTTAAATGTGTGTATTTGAGATGTGTGTCTAAGTGTGTGTGTGTGCATTTGTGTATGTGTGTGTGTGTGTGTGTGTGTGTGCGAGGGGCTGGACAGGCAGGCAGTGCAGCCTGCGTTGTCCTCCCGGCCCCGTATCCCTCCCATATCCCTCTGTCCTCCGGCCCCGTGTCCCCGCTCCCCCGCTGATGGTGATCCAGACAGAGGAAGGCCGAGCTCGGTCGGTGAAAAAGGTGTGTAACGGTCCCTGCCGGACCATGCACCGTGCTGTGAGGCCGTGAGGCAGTGCATGTACAGTAACGGAGCCGTGCATGCACCGTGATGATGGACTCCTGAGGTTTGAGCGGTATAATGTCCGCCAGGTGTGCCGCACTCCGCCCTGTCCTCCTGCCTCACCCTGAGCCTGAGCCTTCTCTAACGGTGTGAAGCTGCCCATAAACAGGCTCATGATTGATGCCATCAGTGTGTGTGTATCCGGGCAAGTTTTAGCACCGGGCTCCAGCCCTCCCTCTGGTTCTCTCCGTTTGCTTCCTGAACCGGAGGGAGGGCTGGAGATGGATGGATGGGCTGTTACACGATGCAAACGTGTTGATATACATCCTCAAGTGGAGAGCAGGTAGCTTACAGTTTCCTTATATGATGCCTTTTATGTGTGAAAGCAGCCTGCAACCCCCGACTGTCCTCTGCACATCTGCAGCATTTCATCTGCTGTGGCAGCTAACGCTAGCTGTTGGCTTAGCCACCGCAGCAGCAGCAGCAGCCCCAGCCCCTACCCTGCCCTGGAGTACAGGGACACAGGCTCTGCTGCTTGGGGAAAGGACTGTCTCTGTCTCTGCAAAAGGGACAAGTCTGTTATGAACAGCTGCAGGAACCGTGACTTGACACCCCCTCTCTGTCTGTTTGGGTCTCTGTGGTCCAGATTGTGTTCAGAGGATGGGGCCTGAGATTGTAGGTGGCTATAACAAGGAGATCTGTCACAGATTGTGATTTGTCACACCTTGCTCGGGTTCCCATTACCTTTTCTCCTAAAATGGACCCTTATTCTTGAAGTACTTTAGCTTTTCTTCATTTTTCATTCATCCTTTGTCCTCTCACCCCACAACCTGCTCTACTGGCTCAGTGCTGTGCACAGTTGTTTTGTTTGCTCAGTCATTTACCTCTGTAATATCATTAATGCCATTTATCAGCCAAACTGAAGCGTTTGGAAAGAGCCAAACGCACGTTTTCTGAGGTAGAGGTGCGAGAGAGACCAGTGAGGATGGACCTGCTCAGAATGAGAGGATCCAGTGGGAAGAGATGAAGAATAGTAGCTGTTTGATTAAGCTAAAACCAGTGTCAAAATACGGCAATATTAAGGACACAAGCATGGCTGCATTTAAAATTTTATGCATGGACATGCAGATTTCTTTAGTTTTACAGTGAAAAGTGTGAGTGTGTTTGAGCTGACCGCTCATCATGTTCATCATGGAGGCCGCTGATCTGAACCTGCTGCTCAGCTCCACTCAGACTTTAGTGTGAAAAACACCTGTGACCAGCAGGAGGAACTGACCCTGTCCACGACACTGTCAGCGAGAAGCAACCGCTCAGCATCAGCACCACCCGAGCCTGTATGACTGCTGTACGATATATACGATCTGCAGCTGTGCAGCACAGTCAAAGATTACAACACAAAGAGGCACGCATGAGGATATCCATTACTTCCTCTTCAATAGATAAACATGTTAAGTCAGATCCTGTGAACTGGATCTCAGACTGGGAGCACTGGGAGGTGGCTGTAGGAGTGTCAGACCCTCAGACAAAGCTCCATCCCTCTGATACATGTTAGGAACATGTTTGGCATTGACTCTGGAGGGGTTTTCTACTCTGTGTGTTTTGGCCACAAACAGCTAATAGGGCTGTTCTCAGACTGACGGCAGAGATGTGGCAACAAGTTCAGACTGTGTGAGTTTGTGTGTGTGTGTGTGTGTATGAATGTGCACTCTTTAGCATCAACCTCTCAAAGAGAGTTGACCATGAATTCCAATGTCTCACTTTCATCGCTCTTGTCCTGTTGACTCTGTGCTGCAAACTTAACGTGGCAACCGAAACACAACGCTCACCAGCCACATCTGCTGGTCACAACATTAACTTATTAAGACACTGGCCCTCATTTATCAATCTTGCGTAAAACTGAGCACAGAACTGAGCGCAGGATTTATAGTACATTAGGACACACGTGAGATTTATGAAAGGGTTTGTATCTGACCAATCCCAGCGTACGTATGATCGGTCTTGATAAATGCGGCGGCTGAAATTGATCGTCATTAACATGTCACGCCCTTAATTATTCGTGGTTCAGAAGCCTCGCCCACTGAGGTCAAACATGAAAGAGGAGAAATATTAGAAAGATTCAAAACTTTTTCCAGCTGAAAGTGGATATCCTCACATCTGTGGTGGAAACTAACAAGGATTTTCTCTTTGGAAGCATCAAAACTGGTATAAAAGCAGTCCAGAAAACTCCTGTCTGGAGCAGGATTAGGGTGGCGGTGAACAGCGCTGCCGCGGAATAGCAGACAGACCAAAAATTATTTTATTTTATTTACGTCCTACTCTTTAATGAAATCTGGGTGATTGTGCTTAATGACAGGTTTGAGGTTTGTTTATCAATTATTTTGAGACAGACATTTGCTGCACTGCAAATCTGCACTAACTCAAACTTGCGTACAAAATGTAAGACCTGTCGTGAGATTTGATCGTAGTGTACGCTCACGTTCAAATTGATAAATGCCGATCCTTGTGTGGAGATGGTCATACGGACAGTGTTCTGCCTTACGTTCGTTTGATTAATGAGGGCCACTGTGACCAAAAGGAAAGAGAGGGTGGGAGGGACTCTGTGGCTGACCCTCTGCTTCACGTGAATTAATTGTGGATTATGTGGATTGGGTTATTTCTACTGCTCCTTTAATGTCTTGTTTTGTCTGTTTTTCTTGTTTGTGAGTCTGGTCACTTTGTGCTTTTACTGCAAAGACAAAAGACAATTTTCCACATTGTGGACAAATAACAGTTGTCCATTCATCCATCCATTTATTTATTTATTCCTTCTTTTAAATCTGCAGATCTGATATTGCCCTATTGATCCCTGACATGCTTGGAGTATCATGTAACACTTAAGGTTTCCAACTATTTGTGTGCTGAGCCCAGCAGTTTAAGTGCCCCACCTGTTGAGGCGGCAGTCCACATGGCAGCAGTCACTGGTTCAACTCTCAGCCTCAACACTTGGCTGTATTTCTTGCCCCGGTCTGCATCCCAAGTTTCCTGTCTCTCTTCAGCTATCTAGATAAGTTAAAAATGCCCAAAAACATAGCTTAAAAAGAAAGATTCCAACCATCACCAGCTCACATTTTCCAGCAGCCCCAGTTAGACACACTTAGACACAGAAAGTGTTTAGGCAAAAAAAGAAGACATTTTTTTTAGCTCCTTTCACTCATTTGGTCCTAAGATTTCCAGGACTTATCAGGACCCCCTTTTAAACACGTGATCCTGATATTTCCCTGGAATTTCAAGATCTCAGCTCTGTTCAAGCTAGAAAAGCAAGAATCATTTCTGAAACTCCTCTAACATGTGGGCCCAGAATTTTCCAAACTGTATTGTTCACAAATGACTCTCACAGCAGGACGTCTCTGGTGTCAAGAGGTCAGAGGTGTGAGTCTCTGGAAGCAAGACATGGCAATAAAATCAGCCAGTGAAAGTCACAATATGATGTTCATATCATGATAGAGGGTGAACTTTCGCAAATATTTCCTGATATGTTCCTACAGCAGCTTAACATTGGCCTTGTATCATGGAACCAGGCGAGGAAAGTTGGTAAGGTTGGAGTTGAAGTATTATTCAAACATGCTGCCTACCCCCAAAGATTTTGTTTAGCTTTAGGGGTTGGGTGCATGTATAAATCAGACAAAAAAATCATGGATGTATTCTTAGTGACATCTCAGTGAGTGGTCGCCATTGTGGAAATTCTGATCCAACCAAAGATTTGGTCGACCCAGCAAGAGGCAAGAAGGTTAAGTTAAGACCGGCTTTTACCCTTCTTGCTAACAGCTTCAGTGTGTCTACCTGTCAGCCACACCCCTAATGTTACAGAAGTCAGAACTCTGATATCCTCTAAGCTAATTAGAAGAAAATTCCACCACCATCAGTGTTTGGGATCTTCAGACCGAGATCATTTTGAAGTCAGGCTGTAAACTTGTTCAAAGACAGGCTTCTTAGAATGGGTGTGAATGTGGCTCCCTGCCTTTAGTGGACATGTGAAGTACTGCAATTTTAAGCACTCACACATCGGCTTCATTTTCAAAGCAAAGGTTTCTGCTTGGTGTGAATACAGCTTCACTGAATGTGATGGCGAAAAGGATGACACTACTAACATTTGCTGTTCAGGTCTAACAACAACAACAACATCTACATCTTTTTATCTATTTTGATGGTCAACAGTCAGCCATAACTTTGAGCTGTGACTTGGCTAACAGTCATAACAGTCTACATTGTGGTTAACCTCAAATAATCAGTTCTCGTACACAACTCCACTTCAGAACAGCACTGGAACAGAGTTCCATTTTCATTCATACTCCTGCTCAATCTCAACCTGTATTCTGTACCGCTGTGCCAGAGGAACATTCAGAGTAAGGGATGTTTTCTTGCCAGTGATGCAAAATGTTTTCAGAACAATGTCGGTCTTTTAAGACAATAGCTTAAAAAGTGAAGTTTTGGTATCAGTAGATTTGAAAATTTCGGCAAATTAGTGCACGCAATGACAGTTTAGGCACACAGAAAAAAACTTCAGCTAGTCGGCTGTATGGAAGGATTTTGAAGAGTGAGAAAAGACGATAGACACATAAGTTCTCATCTAAGTTTATAAAAGGAAAAATAAATCATTTTGTGGTGGAATAGAAGTCTGTTGGTCGTGTTAGTGTCTTTTTCTGAAGAAGACTGTCTCGGTAGGAGTAACTGGTGAACTCTAACATGAATAAGTTTGTTTCAATAACGCCAAAAATGAGTTTGAAAATGCTGTCATATTTCAAAGAGTATGCATCCTAGGTTCTCATTACACCACATGCTTGAGTTAAAATTGTATTTTAATGTTAAATATTTTTAATTTTACAAATAAAGCATGACACAGCTGAGCAACACTTAATAAAATCACTTCTCTTAAGTGACTGAAGTTGGATTTGGATCAAGAATGATCCAGAATTGTAAATACAGAATAGGAATCATGGAAATCAGCCATTTTGTTGCTTTGTACTGTAGGCAAAGCCACCAACACAGATTTTGAACTAAGGCAAATTTGCACCTGTCCCTGGTTAGGCTTCCATATATGAAAATAGAAATTACAAATTGTAAAGTTTAAAATACCAGGACACTTCAACAAAGATGCATGACAAGAGACAAAAAAACAGTTCAAACATGACAATATTTTTAAATGTTCTCAAGATGTGCATGTGTATTTAATATATATTTTCCTTCTTTCAAATATATTTGTTATGCTCACAGATTTTTAGGTAGTTTGCAGGATGTGACATTAATGTAGAGGTAAATCTCTGTTCAGCCCTGTGTGTCAAAATGCATCCTTAATGATATGAGGACTCATTGTCTGTTGTAGTGCTGGACGATAATTCGATAACAATATATATCGATCGATAGACGTGTGCTGCGATAGAAAAAAAACGGGTCGATAAAAAGTTCGATAGAAAAACACAGTTTCCCTTTCTTTTTCATCATAGCCTATCATGTAGCTTTTACTACAGTCATTACGTCCTCCCAACCAATCACAAACGCAGACCCAGGTACGCTACGGCACCAAGCCCAGCCCCTATCAAACCACAACAGACAGCACGTGTATTAGAAAAAATGATACAGCAAGGAGAAGCGGAGGACATTGTCCCGAAAAAAGGTTTCAGTAGTTCACCAGCATGGCAATGTTTTGGTTTTTAGAAGTCTGACAAAAAGCGAACAGCGGTCGTTTGCAAAATTTGCAGAGAATTAGTAAAAACCAAGTCTGGTAACACAACCAACTTGTTCTACCATCTAAACCGATCGCACCCGCAGGAGTACGAGCTGTGTCGGCCGCGCCGCGGCTCCACGTCATCGTCGGAGGAATCCTCTGGAACCGCTGCCAGCACCAGCACAAAGCATGTGAAGCAGACCAAACTGGACTTCGTTTCTCTCCAAAAATACGACAAAGCGTCCAAGCGGCATAAGGACATCACCCATGCAGTAACATGCTCCATAGCGAGGGACATACTGCCAATAACTACCGTTGAAAAGCCTGGCTTCGACCAGCTTCTAGCCACTCTCGACCCGCGATATGAAGTGCCCGTCCGCAAGTATTTCTCAAACACAGCGCTTCAGGCATGAAAATGGGTCAGGGTGTTGTGCCGTAGAATGCACCCCTGCATCCCGTCCACTCATTAGCTTCTTAAAGTGGAAGAAAATGAGCTCATGTTTTACAAAGACGCGAGTATTTGGATCATGGCTACTAGCAGGGGGTGCATTCGGCAGGGGTGCATTCTACGACACAACACCGGCGTGGATAAGTCCTGCTTCTCGTGCTTAGTTTGTGTATTAAGTCAATCACATGATAATTAAAAAAAATAAATCTCCCGACCCCGGGAGAAATATTTCAGTGTTCAGACACCAGGCTGTGGGCAGTTTCCCACACAGTTAAAACTGGTAGTATGCTATTCCCACCTAAAGCTATTCTGTTTATTTATATATTTGTTTGTTTTGTTTATTTTCATCAAAAGACTATTTAAATATTTATTTATCAGATTTTCTGGTCACTTTAGTCTTTATGTTTGTCAGTATTTACTGATGTCACTCAGGCCACTTAAGTTGATTTCTTTTTTTTTTTAGTTCTTTTTTAAAAAACTTTCAGTTGTGGTAAAATAAAAAAGGTGGTTGAATAAAGGTTTGAATTTGAATTCAGGGCTTGTGTGTTCTTTATTAAAAGTAGGTCATTAAGCAATAGCATAAAACATCCAGGGCTGCAATTAAAATATATGTTAAATAATTATAATAATTATATCGATAATTATCGATATCGATCAATATGATTTATTTTTTATCGATATGCTTTTTTTCTATATCGTCCAGGCCTAGTCTGTTGGTAAACTAAAGGATGACATTACAATGTGTTGCTGTTCAGGTTTCTCTGGAGGACAACAGGCACAACACACCTGCAACAACACTATACTCGCAATGTCTATTTTAGATGGAGAAAGAAGTAATCATAAATTTGAAGTTACTGTCATCACTATTCAAAATTTGAAAATGTGTGTGTGCGTGTACGCCCACCTGCACATGTGAGTGTGCGGGCACAGAAGTTTGTGCGCAGGCTTAAAACCACAGGATGTGCCTGCGCTGTGTTCCATCAGTGCCGCGTTCAGCGCTGTGCACTACGCAGCAAATACGTTGCCGCTCTAGTCTAGTCAATGCTCCATTTTACACAGGAAGCGTCGCAGTGTGCCTCAGCTCCGTCTCGTAGCCTTGCTGTACTTTGTTTCGCAAAAGAGACACGCATAATCTAATTTTGAAAGGGCGCGCGCCTCGCACACATCAAGATGAACAAAGAGATTGACCTATGTCAAGCACAGGGCATCATCAAGTATATTCATAAATAAAACGCCATATGTAGGGATGCACGATATTCATCGGACCGATAAAATATCGGCCGATTTGGGGGGAAATTACGTCATTTACGCTACACTGCTGCTATGCTCCAAAGGCTTCAAGTGGACTAGGGCACAGGCCAAAAATTCTGTGGGTTTTCTGTTTGATGGTCATTGTCATTTTTAAACTTAGACCCAGCAAAACTTTGCTTTTTCTCTATATTCTAGTTCTCCTTCTCACTGTTGGTTACCCGTAGGGCTACTTACCTGTCCTTTGTGAGTGCAGGTCAGCAGCACATTACAAACCACCTGTATGACACACACATGATGTTACAGAGTTATTGACATCCCCAGAGGCCCTAATCCACACAGTGATGGGATTTGCAGCCCTGTAGGAGGCAGAACTAGGCTATATAATAAGTTTATCTGTATAAAGCTTGACTGGAAACACTTAAAAGTCAAAAGACAGCCAAAATAGAGCTATGGACTCCAGCTCCAGGTGTGAATGCAAACAGACAATTTTTTGGCAAACTTTATCTGCACTTTTCTTCCAGCCTCTTTGTAAAATCTCAGACAAATTCGGGGTTAGCTGACACAACACAGCAGGTAGTGGTGGTGATGGTGGGGGTATGCATGGCTGTTTGATCCTCTTTACTGCTCCAAGCATGTCTTATTCCACTCATCCATTGATACTGTGATTACATCCAATTAGACAAAGCATTGATTAGAGCTGCTTGGTTATGGTAGCTCATCATCGTGATTGTTTTGCTCCTCTCCCTGCTCTCCTTTCTCCTCCTTCCGCCTCCTGCTCCTTTCTCAGTTCTTCTCTCTCCTCCTGTGGCTGGCTGATGGTTTGTACCTCTTTTGTAGATCATGTTGAAGATACATCAGTCCTCTATTAATTGTAATGGAACCGCTACCTGGTCGCTCACCAAAGGTTGTCTCCATGATCTGAGCTGCTCATAATGAGAGCTATTTACGTATAGATTGTAACAGGGGCAACACGGCAGGTGGCACAATAATTGTTCAGTCTTGACTATCATATTTTAATGATTGTGGGGTCATCATAATCGTTATTGAGATTGGATTCATCACCTGGCTCCGACATTGATAGAAAGACCAGCATCATCAGCATAATGTGGCACTGAGGTCCATCTGCCAACTTGAATATTGTGGAAATATTACATGATGTCTACTGCCATGTACTTTTTATGTCATGCACTGCCTCCTGAGACCCCCCACCTCAACCATCTAATCTAATCTGAAAATCCTGTAAAGGATGTGTTCAGATAATTTCAGCAGCGGGCTGTCCTAAAACTTTCAGGAAATTCAATGAGTGCTTGTGTAAAAAAGGGGCTTTTTTTTTTTTTTTTTTTACAGGAGGCTACATTTACAGTAAGCCATGTTTACAGTGGGTTATGTTTACAATCAGCCATGTTTACTGTAGGCTGCGTTAACTGTGGTCCATGTTTACTGTCTGTCATGTTTACTGTAGGCCATGTTATAGTCAGCCATGTTTTCTTTGGGCTAGGTTAGTTACATCAGGAATCTAACATTATGCATTGGTTAAGTGTGACAAGAGTCTTCAACATATAAGAGCTTGGAAGTTTTTCTGCACCAGAATTTGTCAACTGTCTACTATGTTTTTTATATCATACAGTTTAAGCTCTGTACACTGTAAGTGAGCGGTGCCATGCAGTAAAGTCACAGTAGAAGGTAATTCATGCAAACTTTATTTAGGACTGGGCTTAACTTTGAATGTTTTTTGTTTTGTTTTTAATAAAGATCAGTTTTCTGCCTTTTCATTCGCCAATAGAACGGTAGCCAGAGTTGGACATTTAGGGAAAAGAGGTTGGGGATGTTAAGCAGCTGAGGGCCAGGAGTCAACTTTAGCCATGAGGACTCAACCTCCATTCGTCGACCATGAGCTCCATCCACTGAGCTTAATCGCCTTTCTGTGCAGAAAGAATTAACTCTGAGTTTGCCAGGTGATTGGTGCTACTTTTGTGACATTTAAGGAGAAGTCTGTGTCTCCCACATTAACCATAGATGCACACTAAATCTCCAGGTTATCCAACAGTGACCTCAGCATTCCCTGTAAGTTCAGACACTATGTATGTTTGACAGAGGAATTTTTAGTCTTTTTGCATTTTGCTCCTAGGATAAGATCAAGAAGAAGAAAAACTTCATTGATCCCCAAAGGGAAATTTAAATGTTCATCAGTCAAAAATTTCTCGTGTTAATTTTTCCAGGTATTAATATGCCGGCTTTTATGGTAACCTGTGCTATGTTTACACTATATCATCAATGTGTTAAAGTGGGATTCTATTATAAAGTCATATTTAAACCTGTTACATGAATATAATCAGATTTGTTTTTCTTGAAAAGAAGTTTGTAATGTAATGATTTCCCAAGATGTCTGACAGTTGATGCAAATTGCTACTCATCTGTCCTGTACTCAGGTCACTTTGGTGGAGAGTTACCTGTCAATCCCATGTATCCCCTGTCTAGAGCCTTCCCTGCTTTCTGGTCTGTGTGACTCTAAATGGAGCATCATTTCCTAAACAAACATCATGTTGTTTTGAAGAATACTGTAAACTAGAGACAGAGTCCATAAACTCAGGGAAATGTTTACTCAGGGAGTAAATCAGCTGAGGAGGAGGTCTGTTTTCACATAGACTGCTATACAATCAGACTGATTTTTACAAACAATGGAGTCACTCCCTGCTGGATGTTGGGGAGATTGCAGGTTTGAAACTTCTGCATTGGCCTCTGTCTCTTATCATACTGCCTCTTCTTGTTGACTGTTGAAGTCATAAAATAAAACTCTTTTCCTAACAGCCTCATCCTACACATGAGGCATAAGGGTGTATTTTTTACCATTGTGGTGGCATTGCAATTGTGATGGAAAACAATTACCACCACTTATCATAAAACTCCTTAAATTTCTGGCCACTTATAAGCTTTTGGAGACCAAGATTGAAAACTAAAACTTAATTGTATATCCTCTCACCTGGTGTTGACCACAGAAAAGGATCACTGGAGAAAAGCTGAAAGGCAGTCAATCAGTTTGATTTGTATAGCACTGATGTATTTTTAAGGACAATTTAGTCCATCCCAGATGCTTAGGACTAAACAGGTGTCAAAGAAAAAGGGTTTCCTTTCAAAAGTCAGCATGGACCTTCTACATGTGTGACATAGTGTTGCTTTAAACTTTGTCATGATAATTCCCTGAACCCAAACCCTAACTATGATAGGTTTTTTGAACTATAAGCAGAATTGAATTGGAAACTGTGCATGTGGGTTGTAATAGAGAAGAAAAGTGAACTCTGCTATTTTGCAACTGTGCAAAAGTAGCAAAATTGGATGAAATTTCTCAGTTGTTCAAAGAAAAATTTGCACTGGATGTAGGGGATTTTTTGTGCCGTAGGAGTTCAGCTGACCCAAATTTAATTTGTACAGTTGCTTGAAAAATGTGTCTGTGAGTCTTACTGACAAAATGAAAATCAACCAAACAAACAAACAAACTAGAAAAGTGGTCTCCCACTGTGTTGCTTTATTATGGTAAGGTGATACAGAGCCAAACGGGACAAATGGCAACAACATGTAGGGGCCATCATAAAAGATGACACATTACAAGTGATGGAAGTCGGTAAGTGAAAAAAAAAATGGTGGATGGGTTGTGTGTTGTACTTTTTCTTAATGTACATTTTCAACAGGCTCACATTAAGCCTGCAGGATCAAGCCTATGTTCTGCATACTAAAGGCCTCATCTACCCTGGTCTTTTGTTTTGCAAAAATAATACATTATAAAAACAAAAAATATTACTCCACTAAAATTAATGTCACATTTCTCTTTTACAGTGTTCCCAAACACCCCCCATTTTCATCTCTCGTAGTTCCTCCAGTGTTGGTGAAGTAGATTTGGTGTTACTGGGACGTCTGGCCTTGAACTGACAATGTTATAGGAACTTCAATCAGAATGTGTACATGATGTCAAAAAAAACGAACAAAAAAAACAGACTTTGACCAAGAAGTAAGTCGCTTTAATGCATTGAAGGAGACCAGGTAGTTTTGATGAAGACAGAGAGAAGTTTAAAAAAGACAAAGTTGATGTATCTTCGGTAAAAAAAAAAAGTTTTTAAGCTGTAAAATTGGGCACATTTTTATTGTTAGGCTTACAACCTATTTGCCCCTGGCTCAGTTTGATTGTTTTTGATTGTTCTGTAATGTTGGGATAGGTCAACTGGAAGATGGCCAAATAGTAACTTGCTGGAAGAGGGCATGCCTCTATTGAGGCAGACATTCATCAATAAATAGGTTCTTGTCTGGTATAGACCAGGACAAGGACAGTAGTCCAGTTAAATGACTAATCAAGCTATAACTGGAACTCTACCTAACTGTGCATGTCAGGGTGTCAACCAGCATGATTTTTTGAACTGGCAGCACCTGTTTTTATCCAAACTAATGTGGTCCAGTGTTTTCAGTACTCCGTGTCCTGAGCACAAACACAAAAACGCCCTCAGAGTCAACTTTTGGTATATCATTAGCTCATCAATATCACTCCTTGATCAATAAACCAATCAGAATCAAGAAAGGGTGGACTTCTGAAAGGCCTTTGTCAACAACAATGGTGGGGGTCTGTACAGGAGAGAAAGCACTACACACATTTTATTGAGGTTTAGTTTCCAGGTCAGCAGCTGCTGCTAATGCTACGAATCAATTTCCATCAGTTATTTTTTGTTTATTGTTTCTGTTTTGTTCTTGTTTTTTTAGTTTTTGCAAAATGTAATTGAATGATAGTAAATGTAAATACAAGCCCGAGGGGCAGCTGTGGCTCGGTGGTAGAGTCAGTCATCTCCCAGTTGAAAGGTTGGGGATTTGGTCCCAGGTCCTGCTGTCCACATGTCTAAGAGTCTTTGAGCAAGACACTTGACCCCATCTGCCCACACTGGCTCCACTTCGAGGTGTGTGAATGGAATTAGTCTAAAACTGATGTACTCTATACATAGCAGCCTCTGCCATCAGTGTGTCACTGTGATGTGAATGGGTGGATGTGAGCTTTGAGTGGTCAGACTAAAGAAAGAGAAATGGAAACACAGTCAGTTTACCAAAGGTCACTACTATGGGAAGCTAAAATGCTGCATAACAGCTTTCATAACCTAGCAACAATCGATGTCAGTGAGACTTGCTCAGAGACTGCTGGCACTGTGAACACAAAAAAGTCTGGTGGACAAACATCCTTAACGTTTCCATCAAGTAAAGACACTCAGAGATGGCAATCACAACTTTGGAAATTCTGTCTCCAACTAACTTCTGGCTAACCCCAAAAACAGTTGTCATCCTAACCTGAACGTATTCCAGTTAAGATCAACACAAATTCATGTTTCTCATGGTTGAGAAATCAGGGGTTTCGTTTTTGGAAAAATAGACAAAATGTCTCCAGTCAACAAGTGTGAGATCTTTAATAAGTCCAAACGTGTGACTAAGGACACAACCTCACACACTCACTGATAACACTAATAATTCATGCTCTAACACACTTCATTGTCATGCGTGTCTATCTGTTCTCATGAACATGTTTAAGTTTAAACACTCAAAACCTAAAATAAGTCAAACTGCACAAACAGTCAGCCCTGTTGGTCATTTGACACAGACCCCTGTGTGTGTTTGTGTGTGTGTGTGAGAATGTAAATGAGTGTGAGTGTAACTTCAGGTCAGTGTGTGTGTAATGTGGAGGAAGAGGCCCCTCCACCTGTCCTTACTGGGACTCTATTTCTGGGTGTCACACTGAACTTGACTATGTCTCGCCTGGCAACAGGCAACAGAGCCTGTGTATGTGTATATATTTATAGATATAGATATATAGATAAATAGATATGCTCTCTCTCTCTTTCTCTCTCCCTCTGTGTGTGTGTGTGTGTGTGTGTGTGTGTGTGTGTGTGTGTGTGTGTGTGTGTGTGTGTGTGTGTGTGTGTGTGTGTGTGTGTGTTATTCTGGTCCTGACTACGGCAGGACCAAAGCTGTATAGGCTCATATGGAGTGGCTGTGACAGCAGGAGACTGACCTGAACCATCACTTTAGCTAAAAGAGGGAAGAAGCTAATGTTAGCATCAGGTTACAGCAGGTGTCAGGAATGTGTTGCTGCTGTGAGATAAACTGTCCTCTTATTGTTCATGTTTAAAGTCTATTTGATTTTTAAGCTAAAACTGTTTGACCAACTGAGTCAAACACTCTTCATTTCACCAGTTTGTGTCAATGCACAGAGTAAACTAGAGATGGACGATATGGGCAAAGAAAATTATCATGATAAGTTTTGCCATTCTAGCGATAACGATAAAGTCCCTATAAAAAATATATAAAATTCTAATCCATGTGTGTTTGATTCATTCTGTCTTGAGAACACCAGTTGGCGTAGTCAAATAAGATACTAACCACAAGCTTAATTGGTAGGTTATGGAGAAAACTAGTGATATGTGAAAACACTTTCAGCATTTATTGAAAACTCTTATATCACAGTGAACAGCAGCAGATCCACTGGCCGATGTCAGGCATACCTTATTGCACTTGTCTAAGCTTCAATCTTGAAGGAAATCTCTCATGTGGAGCCTTGTTTAGTAATGTGCTGTTCAGAGGTGTCTTCTTCACCACCTTCAGCCATATTTATTTGTGATTCTGCTCTGTGTGGGCTACGTTTGCAAGTCTGTCACTCGTGCTTACATCTTCAACTTGCATTTATCGCATTTATAGAAGAAGGATGTAGGATTTTCGAATGATAATTTCGCCCATACCTAAACATATATATGGTTCTTTAACCCTCACAGTTTAGTCTGATTCTGACCTCAAAATGAAAGAAGTAGAACATTTAATTTTCCAAAGATTAAAAATATTTAAAATAGTGATCCTAAGGAAATTTCTGAGTATCTAAATATCCGCTGATCAAGGTGTATAAGCACACTTCCTGATGACATATTTTAGATTAATTTTGAGTGTGTATGTGTGTGTGTATGACAGGCGATTAAGGCAACATCCCCCCCCAAAAAAAACAAAAAAACATAGAATTTCAAAGATAGTCTTGATGAAAAAAGATTCAAGTCATGTTTCAAGTCATTTTATTACTACAAGAAAGTCATGATATAGCAAAAATAAAGTCTAGATGTTATGAGAATGGAGTTTCCCAATTATGTTTGTCACTATTCTGTGAGAAAAAGTAATGTTTTGAGAATAAAGTGGTTGTGTTGCAGGAATAAAGTGTTACAGAAATGTAACCCTTGTGTTATGAATTAAAAGTCATTGTATGAACAAAATAAAGTTGTTATGGATTGAGAATATAGTCATTATGTCAGGATGTTAACAGATTGAAGTCTTTATGCTGTGACACTGTAGTCGTGTAACAGAAAGACTTAAAGTTTCATGACTTTACTACTACTTTGTTCCTGTAATTTTTTGACTTTTCAACAATTTTATTCTTGTTTGGGTATAACTTTATTCTCTTAACATCATAATTTTATTTTGATATGATTTGATTCTTTTAATGACTTTGCCCTTGAAAATTTATTTGACGCTAAGATGAATTCACATTTTTTTGGTTCGCCTGGAAATAACTCAAAAAAAAAAAAAAAAAAGTAAAGCTTTTCAAACTCCAGTGGAAAATAGTACTACATATTTCTTTGTTGACCTCGTCCTGTGTGTGTAAATAGTGTCTTTGAATGAAAAATCTTATTCTACTTTCTTTTGGTCAATCATATCAATTATAGTTGAATAATTTGCCATGAACACTAAATAAGTTTTTTTTGAGCATCCTCCGTGTACCCTTGATGACCTTCATATCTTTCACTGTCCTCAAAGAATGAGACCACCTTTCTTTCATTTTGTTTAGTCACAAAAAAAGTAATAATGAATAAGTGGATTAAATCAAATTCACCAATTTGCATAGAATAGATAAGTGAAGCAATAGAAATCATCAATTTGGAAAACATAGCTTCCCAGCTACAAAATAATGAGGGAGAATACAAAATAGCGTAAGCATGAGTTTCACAAAAGTAGCATAAGCATCACTGGAAACTCACCTGAAATCACTAAAACGGCAAGAAAGACAACACAAAGATCACTATGTGGGTGCTTTTCTATTATTTCTCCTGTACCAGCATGTGATTTAGATTTTTGTTCTTGTCATGCAGCTGTTCTGTGGTCTTTTTCTTAAGGTCTAATGTCTAGTGATTGATTGGGCGATGAATGTTATTTGTTTTTGGGAGCACACTGGGGGGGTGTCAACATGGATTTGGGGGTATTATAGGAGGGGAGTTTGTTGGAACAGGATTGGGATGTTGGTTTGAAGACAGATATGCTTTGTCCTTAGTTTGTATTGTACTTGTTTATAAATGAATTAACATTAATAATCATAAAAAAAATGTTGAGTTGTGCTAAATGTGAGGAAAGCAGAGTTCAAAAGTCGGAATTGTCCTCTTGAAATACAGTGATGTTTTAGGTTGCAGGTGGGTGGTTGAGATAAAGTGTCTGATACTGAAATCCTGGACTTTGGTACATCCTGGTTGCACTGTCCAGTCTGCTTCCACAGACGGTCTCAGGTCCGCTCTGATCAATCTGAAGACAGCAGCTTGTCATTGATCAGTGAGAGTGTTCAGCAGGAGTGTTATATGTGTGTGTCATTTCACATGACAGGGAAGGACTTACATGACTGTACAGCATATATTCAGTGTGTCAGTGTTTTACAGTAAGTCAGTGAATACACTAAAAGCAACAATAGAGGCTTGTGTTAACATGTGTTTTTGTGTGAAATAAGCAATTGGAGCCACGGAAAAGTTCAACTACCTCTCTCTCTCTCACTCTCTCGATGTTCCTAAATTTTTTCTTCTGAACATGACAACCTGATAATTCATCACAGGGGTCATGGGAATGTAGGATCATGAAATGAGGTCAGAGGCAGTTCAGGCATAGAAACTTTGACTTACAAAAATGATTTTTGATTTAAAATTGTTTGTTACTTTATTAGAATTTTTTTTAAGGCTTAAATAAAAGAAAATGTATAATTATTGTAATCACTGTAACAATCTCATTGTGTGTGAGGGCTAACTGCTTGTAATGAAACTTTTTTGCTCCATTTTTATTTATTTACATTAAAAGTTTTATTTTTTTCTTGTTCTAAGTGTTTGGGGGGTTGCAGCACACTTGTAATTATTAACGTTTTAATTGACTGGGTGAGTAAATCGTGAAATAATTTTTTGACATAATTTTATTCTCAAGTTGCATTCTGTATTCAGGGAGCCAAATGTGCATTAGAGGCGTAACTGCTGTGTATAACATGAGCAGCAGCGTTTCTACTGGCTGTAACCCGGTCTTTTCCGTGCTGTTCCTCTTCTCCTGTGTCATTCCTGCTTCGTTTCGCTTTTGTCTCTCTGGCACCGCCAAGTGAGAGGGGTATCTCCGAGTGTGAAGAGCTCCTCCACTCCTCTCTGAAAGCGCCCTGCAGTAGCAGCATGGTAATTCTGCTCCTCTATCTTTCCTCTGCATCATGTTTACCTAGCAACAAGCATCACCCGCGGCTGGCCATCCCATTGGTCATTTGAAAACGCACCGGGGACCAATGGCAGGGCTGTTGCCATGGTACAGTGTATAGTTGCCGGGTGGAATTTTGCTGCAAGGCACGTGAGTCTCAGAGTCTGCTTGCCTCCTCGCACTGCTGTTGTAATCTCCGCTGTCTGGTCGTTAGTACAGCTGAACGTGATTTGGAGTGAGCCAGTCCGTAACTGTGGAGGGAATTATTAACGTTTATGCACATATTCAGTAAAAAAAAAAAAAAATCAAGAGAAATGTGTTTCCAACCATTAACAACACAAAGAGAGAAAGAGCAGTGGCTAAGCAGACAACAGGAAGCGGCTGCGTCTGATTCCTGAAGCTGCTTTTCTCCCAGTGCAATATGCTGTATCACTGTCTAACAAAGGAATAATGAGGCTTTGACGCTATCAGAGCCGTCTTTAGCATTTTCATCACACGTTAGTAAATTTACTTAAATAAAATTACACTAAATGCATTGTTAAAAAGATATTGCTAAATAAGTTTGAAACTGCTTTATAAAAAAACATTAAGCAAAAAATATAAAGGAAAACGCAGAACAGGCAATTTAATTTATATTTGTATCTGTATAGCTTGCTCAAAGTATTCCATATGTATGTAAAATATTCCATATGCATAAAGGGAATAAAAATAACATTTAAATTGAGATTTTAGTTTTGAAAATAGTCTCAAAAATGCCCATTTTTATTAGAGCTGCCAGTTACTTTTTTGTGAGAGTTAAAGCCAGTCTTTGCAGGACATTAAGTCAACATAAATAATAGCACATCACTAGTTTTCCAGTTTACTAGTATTGTTGCACAGCATTAAAACCACCATGTAGTCCTATTAGTGTTTTTGTTCATTTTTTTTGTCTCAGAAACTTGAGAAACAGTGTATTGTGGGGTTATAATTACAGCATATAGCATTATTCTCTAGATAGAACCCTATCACAACTTTATTTAAAAAAAAAAAAAAAAACAAGGCTGTGTGTGTTTGTATCATGTGAATGCCCTGTCATTCTTAGTATTGACACACTTTCTTACCTGTTGTTTGTAATTGTGGAGCTGAGATAATTGTTGGTTTTGCATAGCATGATGAGAGCAAAATACAGCATACTCCGTGTTTCTCATCAGTGGAGACACACACTTGCACACAGCAGGGAAAAGCAAGTGGAGTTGGACTTTCTCTTGTGCCCCTGCTCACCTGACCTCTTTCTAGCATCTAATTTGTGGTTTGTGAATCTGATTGAATGCTTGCACATGCTGAAATATATGGCATAAAATCAAAAGTGGCACCGGTCAAATGCTCAAAGAAGTCTGTGCAAACTCAGTTTGCACACATGCTTTTGTGTTGTAACTGAGCATACTTTTATCTGCAACTTGTTCAAAGTTCAGCTGTATACGTTTTTCTCATGTCACGAATACCATATATTTTCCTTTGTTTACATTTAACACCCTGTCACCTGTTGAACCAAATACTGTTGCAAAGTTGCTGTTAATATTTCTTAAACAACTGTTTATTTTGGGGCACTAAATGAAACTAAAGTCTATGAAAATACTTCCTTTAAAGTTGATTCTTAGAGCTTTAGTAAAAGTTCCTCTTCTTCAGAACATGTTTCGTTATCTTCTCTGTACTTGCTGACCCACTTCATTAAATAGGAAGTTTGGTATACTAGACAGTGAGAGGCACAGATCATGATATTTAACCTATATACAAACTGCATAATCACCGAGTCATCCAAAAGGATTGTATTTGTAAAATGTCTAAACAGGAGTCTGACATAAAGAAATAAATGATGAAAAATGAGTTATTATGTGTCACCTCCTCATGTTACCTTACCTTTCTCTGTCTTGTTTCTATGTGCAGTCCTTGGTACAAGCCACTGTTTTTTGCCTGATAAAATCTACCTCTGGATCCCCCTATGCTCAGACAGACCCAGTCACCCTGAGTGGGGCATTAGGCCACCTTTGAAGCAGATCACCTGGAGTGATACATCTGCATCTAATTACGATGTTAGCACACAGTGCTCATGTGCTTGATGACTCTGTAATACCACTTTCTGCCCATTAATCTCAAAAAAGGTAATTTTAATACATGCACTATAACTATAGTGTGTTATTAGGCCATGATATCTCATTTTAGCTGTGACCGATCAGATGTTTTTTTCTGTGTGGGAGTGTGCAGAGATTTGGAGCAGAGGTTCAAGCGCCCAGAAAGGAAATAGATTACTGAGGAAAACTGGTCTAGCCAACAGGCATGCTCCCAAACATGTTTTTACCTTTACCCACATTAGGTGATCATAACTTACCCAGAGATTCAAGCACAAAACAAACATATACATAAGCCAGTCTATACATATTAATGTGGGTGAGCAGCATGGTCTGATACAGTGACCAAACAAATGTATTTTCTTAGTCACCAAAAATTATCCTGTTATCACTAAAAAGTAAGACAAAAACAATGAGATAAAGCAGTTTTATAGTAACAGCAAAAGCAGCTATGTTAACCCTAAAAAATAAGAAAGTCAAGATCTGAAGACAACCAGCAGTTCCTCTTTCACAAAAAAGGCTGCACCCTTACCTAGAGGCAACAACATATAAAATAGCCAAGATCCCTTTAAAGAGCCAAATATTATTTTTTAATGTGGAAAAACCATTGTTGTCATAAGAAGTGGGTTACTTTAAAGCTCCTGTGAGTACAATTTTGGCACCTCCTATCAACCAGTTTTGCTTATTCTGTACCTCACATGCTTAAGCAGTGTCTTCTTAAATAAAGACTCATTCTGCTGACTTGACAGGGAAATTCTTCATTTCATGTTTTATGAAAAAAAAGTTGTTTTAATATAAGTTTGTCAGTCTTTTTCCTATCTGTTTTTGGATATCATAAAAAGGCATCAGCATAAATTTCTGTCTATTTCATACACATCACAAAACTCCTCACAGGAGCTTTAACAATCAGAAATTACAAGCCAAAATTCCAGTGAAGTTGGGATGTTGTGTATATTTGCAAAAAGAAAGAAAGAAGTTTATCAGTTTGGAAATTAAATATCTTTTCTCTGTATTGAATATAGGTGGGAAAGGATTTGCAAATCATTGTATTTTGTTTTTATTCATGTTTAACACAACATCACAACTTCACTGGAATTGGGATAATACTTTACAGTGGGAAAATGAAGCACAAATGACTTCTCCTGAGGAATCAAGACACACACTGGTCAGGATCTCAAAAAAATATGGCAAATCAATTAGCTATTACAGGAAAATTGAGTAAATGTAATGTTAAATTCTGTTAAATGTTAAGTTCTGCTTTAGGCTTCAAAAGGATGCCCAGATGGTAACCCTAAAATGTGCTCTCCCTCTCTCTCTCTGTTTTTATTTTTTTGTAAATAATTGTTATTTCAAGTTTACTGGCTGCTCTTAACATGTCAGGCTCGTTTTTCACATCTGTAGTATTAAACCCGTTCCTGTCGGGTAAATAAGTCCAGGTTACAGTCTTTAAATGACATGAGACACGGACTTTGGTGGCCCAGATGAGTTCGTGCAGAGTGTATTTGAGGGTGAATTTTCCTTTAAGAGTCCGTCAGCTGCTTTATGACACTGTTTGTGTGCTGAGCTGTTCCCAGGCAGCATTGTGCCTGATTTAGCCGGAATGCTCGGATAGCAACAAGAACAACTTTTAGCTCAGGCTGAGAAGTCACACATCTCGGCTGTAGGGAGTCACTCAATGACCATGTGCTCATAGAAGCCTTTTGCCCTGCTCACTCCCCCGCTGGATCTCCTCCCCCACCCCACACCACACCCCCCCCTTTCCATTTCTACCTGACATCTTCAAACTATTTCCGCGTCATTCCTGCCTCGCGCCTTTTGAAGAGACACTGGGAAACTAAGCCGAAGACCCCGCCCATATGCCCGTCCGCTGTCCAATGAGAGCCAAAGGTGGGACTTGAAGCAGCCAATGAAATTGCAGCTGCCATAGCGTCGGGTAGCAACAGAGCCCGTAGAGGGTGCCTGCTGAGCGAGGGCAGAGGCAGCATTTACAAGAATACAGACAAGTTGAATCATTTTTAAAGACTGAATGGACAAAAACAGCTTTTATATGTCACAACGAAGAAATATTGACACGCTTTACCTCTCTTGTTGTTAGTTAGGGTCTGTTTTATCAAACTGAGTCTCTTTACATGTTTCATGGTAAATATCTCCCCCACTCTATGTCCTGAACTGCTGTTTTCCACTGTTTTACCCTGAAAAAAATACTACTTTTCTGCAATGACTGTTCAGGTGTAATGTATAATGTGCCAAGACAGTGATGTCGTGTTATTGGGGACCTTGCTCATTTAATTTACATGTAGGCCCCTTTGTTTTGTTTACTTCTCTGGTCTCCTCCCACCAGTCTGCTTTTATTAAACAAATTAAAGTCATATTTCTTCATATGCAATCAAATCTCACTTTCTAAACCTGCACAACAAGTTTTTTTGCGTATGGAAGAAGGCTTTTCAGTCAAGTTTCAGGCCTAGTTTGTGGTATTGTGGTACTGTATTGTGGTAACCTGTAAAAGACAGTTTATAAGTTTTTGTAAGTTTGTAACAAACTGGACTTTGTCTCTTAACTTGTATCGAGAGTTTAAGCAAAGGTTGTATGTGCATGCGTGTATATAAAGTTCCAGTATATATATCCTGCTGTTACTATAAATGGACAGGCAGGAGAGGTCTGCTCGGACCGGACTACTGCGGTCAGATGGAAGGTTACTGTCTCGCTAACTTGTTGAAGCCACTGAAAACTTTTCAGAAAACCACTCGGCATCGAAATGGCCTCCAATGAGAGTTTTCTCTGTTGTCATGATTTGGTTCTGTATGTGTATCTGTCCTGGTTTCAGTAGTTCTGTGTGAGTCTGCGCCAGACAGAATCGCTCTGACCCCCTCCCCCCCGCACTCAGATGGTACAGTCCGTGTGTCAGGGTGGGGGAGCCGTGTGGGAGCGCGGCACAGATTCCGTCTGACGGAGAAGCACGGAGAGGGAAACGGGCGACAAACATGAGCTGAAATCGCCCTTGTGAAGGTTTCCATCTTGAAGGTCTTTGTATAAATTTACCGAGTTTAAAGAAGGCCGAGAAAAAAGGGAAAAAAAAGTGAATTTAAGAGGGAAAAAGAGTGGAGGAAGACGGAAGAAGAGGCGCGTCAGGGAGCGATCAAAGGCGTCTGACAGCAACCTCAGGAACTTAAGTGGATCTGGTTTCTTTACTCCAACACGACTCAAGTTTGGGTTCATTACAGCTCAGACGCTGTTTGTGATCTAACTTTGGTGAGATTACCTCTCTGGATCGGGCTGTGGTAAACAAAGGAGCGGAGTTTGGAGTACAATGCAGGCCAGTAGTGACCCCAGATACTGGATCTAAACTTTACCTGACAAAGACAGCGGCTGTGCAGGGTACCTGTTTGTTCGGTCACTTTGTGTTCCTGTTGCTTACCTGTGTGGCGTGGTTCTGTCCTGCTGTAAAGGAACTTCTCTCTGGAACTGCCCTAACACTCTGGACCTGTGTGTGTACAGGTGTCTGCGCACCTGTATAGTGTATGGGGGATTACTGTGCGGTCGGCCTCTTTAAAGGAGCTCCTTTTCACCCTGGCAGAGGCCAGCCACCTCCTGCTCTGGGTGGGTGAAGGGGAGCTGAGTCTGTGTGGATCTCTGTCTGTTTAGGCTCTGTGACACTGCCAGTGGAGGGCTGTGTGTGTTTGTGTGGATTAATCTGAGTGATAACATCACTCCACACTGCCCTGCTCTGCCCACTGAAGAGTGCCCCCCAGAAAGCACCAGTAATTGGAGCTATTTTTAGTATAAGGGATGGGGTAAAAGCAGGCAGCTGGAAACCCAACTCCCCTCCACCTCCTTGTCTTCCTCCCCCCCTCTGTCACTTTACCTCGCTCAGCCCACCTGGCAGACAGCATGCTAGGCGAGCCTGGTTAGCGCAGGCTGGACTTACACCTGTTTAAAGAGTGAGGTAACAAACATTGGATGAACTTAAGTAAACTGGGAGTCCTGACTGTGCTTAGAGTTTCTGCTTCAAACCCTGTCCTGGATTACGATGTCTGCAGAGCTACTAGCTGTGATCAACACTCCCTGGACTAAGTGAAACTATAATAAAGCAAGTAGAGTGCCACTAGTTATTAACATTGTTTTAGTGAAGTTTTAATTTTTACAAGTTCAATATCAGCCACCAGCTAACTGGAGTGTCTCCAGCACAGAAAGAATGCACGAAACTGCCAACGTAAGAAAAAGCTAAATCGTAAGTAACCAAATATACTCTAAGACCCCGTTTCCCAGACCCCAAGAGAAACAGAATATATATGTAGAGCTCTATATCTGTAGTGGAACTCCACAGAAAGCATACTTTATATTTTTACAACAGAGAGACGAGCTGCCTGTACACCGCTCGGTTGCCTTAGAAACCACAGTCACAAAAAAAAGAAAAAGAAAAAACAAGCCAGAGAAGTCGGTGCCTTTTGATTGGTCGGTTTGGTTTCCCACCATTTCAAGATTTGTTGATTGAGTTGGATGTAAAAAGTGTTGACTCTGGGAATCCAACGTCTGATGACAGTTACCTGAACACACACCCATCTCAGCAGCTTTGACTGACAGTGTTTCCCTGCTGGATTGAACTGTCACCAAGCGTTTCCATGGTGATCACGTCATCTTCATCCGTGGAGGACAAGCCTGTGCCCTCATGCAGAATGGTCCAATCCGAAGCCTGGATCAGCACGGGCCTGCTGCGGAAGAACAAGAGTCAGTACACTCACTCACTCACTCACAAACACACACACACACACACACACACACTCTTTCTCACAAACACACACACACTCTTTCTCTCTCTCTTTCTCTCTCATTCTCTCTATCTCACACACACACACATGTGTGTGAGTGAGGCTGCGGTTGTGCTGTGTTTCAGAACAGTGTGTGTTTTTGTCACTTTTTTTGGAAGAAGTTTAGTTTGATTAAATTTAGGTGATACTCTGAGGTCATTGGTGTGTTTTTGTGGATATTTCTTGGCGGGAAACTGTTGCAACAGGTGAAGGTGATGAATAACAACTAAGCCAAAGTTCCGATTTTGGAGGGATTTTTAATCTGGTGAAGATAGTTGGTCATGATGTCTGTCATTGTTTGGTGATATGGTATGGTTTAGGATGTACGATTTGGCATCACTGACAGTTTGTGGAGTTGGTTGATAATGACAGACTATGGATTGTTTATTTGTTCAACATCCTTCAATTATTTACGTTTTTTTTTAAACAAATGACTGATTTCTGTTGTAATTTCCATGTGAATATCATTGAAGTGGTCAAAAACAGTTGCAATGTTTATAATGGTGTAAATAGAATCTTAAGCTGCAGTCGTTAAAGTTAGCTTAGTTTTAGTTTAGTTTTTTAGGGATGGGATTCCTTTACTAGGTTTTTACTTGTAGCTGAAGTATAAACAGAGGTCTCACACTCTCAAAAACAACCACATCTGTTGATTACAGGAAAAAATAACTCTGAAAACAGCAGTTTGATTTAAAATAGCTGTATTCTCAATGCTGTTCTGTTGATGTAGTGGTGGCATTGGCTGAGTGCTACCTCTGACATCAGCCAAGTTTAAGCGGTTTAGCAAACTTTGATCCCTTATCACTTAGCAGATACCTGTAACAAACTTAGGAAAACACTGAAAAACGATCACATTTCAAAAACAGTGATTTTCAGATGGTCTTTGGTGGAAAAAGTAAGTCAGAAGTGGCTACAAGACAGAGGCTGCTCCTGACTCACCTAGTTTTTGAAGTTTCTATTCCTATCTGTTCATCGTTCACTGGATTTCTACCAGTAGCTCAATCATTGGCCAAGATCTCCTCCTTGTTATATCAACACACCTGGTGGTGAATATCAGGATAAATCTATAAAAAACATTAATCTTCAAATCAGTGTTTCTAGATTGCTCTTTGGTGAAAATAGAAAGCAAGACTTGGCTGCAAGCTGGGTGCTGCGAGCAATGTTAGCTTAGTTTTTGGGTTAAGATTCACACATTGATCAGCATTCATGATGTTTAAACCTCTTTAGATAAATTAAAGCAGTGTAAAAAATAATTTTACTAGAAGAAAAGTATGAATAAATTATTTAGTTGCTTCTGAAGACAGGTCAGTTTTTTAAGTCAAGATTTCTTTAGCGAGATACATTTGCGAGGTTTCTTCCTGTTGAAGAATTTTCAGCAGAGGTCCCTTCCTCTCAAAAACAATCATACCCATATATAAAGAAGGAGAAATTACTCTGTAATTATTAATGTTATTGAAATAAATAATGTTTAAGGTGCTCTACGGTGGACCCATTAGGTCACATGTATCTGCAAACTTAATGCTGCTTCTGACATTCGCTCAGTTTTTATGATTAGGAGTCCCTTACTTTTTGCCATTTATCAGGTTCCTGATGTTTTGGCATTAAGCCAAGGGTTGATTTGGTCGTCAAAGTCAGAGGTGGCTTCATGCTGAAAACTGTTGATATTATTTTACAAGCGATTTTACGAAGACAGCCTGTTATTAACACCAGTTAAAAGCGGAGTTACAGTTCATTGTTAAACCCCGGGTTTCTTTACTCCCATCTAGGCAACAAAGAAAGTAAGGGAGGTGTTCACAAGATTTCTACCTGTTGCTAAACTATCATAAGAGCTTCTCTTTGAAATGAATAATCCTGGTAATAAAAATGGGTAAAAACACTTTTAAGTTGTTGGAAAAGAAATTCAGAAGAGGGGAGCTTAGCTGCTGCTAACAACATTCGCTCTGTTATAAAGATGAGAATTTTCCAATATCCCTCTTCCTTTGAGTCATATTACCTTCACCACACCCCTCCTTTTTATGCTCTATCTGATTTTACTTGGGTCTTAAATGTTGCCACTGATGCCCACCCTGCTCTGTCTTTCTGATTGATGCTCTCCCTCCCTTGGATTTTCACATGTGTGCATATGAAACAGATGAGAGATGTACTCTTCCTGCCTCAGGCTTCGGCACATACAAATGTGGAAGGGTAGGGAGCTCTCACAACAGAGCCATACCACCAAGTATAACTGATAGCATGCACATTTTTAATAGTCTTTGAAGGAAGCAGTCCTGACTGAATTTGGACCAAACTAAGTTAAAAATGAGTGTTTCTAAGATGCTTTTCAGCAAGGCTTCAGGGGCAGTTAGTCTACCTGCAGATGGCTAAAGCCCTTTTTTTTCTCCTTTAACCTCCAGAAATATAATAACTAAGGATATTGATCTGGTTTGAAAAAAGAGAGGGAGAGCTACAAGGTAAAGGTGTAGCTGAAGTCCACAATAAGGCAGTAGTGATGGGAAAGTTGAAGTGTTTATTTTGAAAGTTGAAAAGAACTGCAGACTTACTGGATGTTTTTTATGCATACTGTTGGCCAGACTGGTCAGAGCTTTATTTGTGTTTGATAACGCTCAGGTTGGGTTCTTGTTTTGACATCACTTTGCTACAACAGTTTGGCAGTCAAAGTTTGTCTTTTTCAGGGACAGCAAATATGTGAGGATGCTGAAAGGGCTGGTTTTACTTTGTTTTGCACATTTATTCATTGATGATCACCTGTGCAGGAGTTTTCCATCGGTGATGATCTATGAGTCTTTGTTTTTGGTGGCATTTTACTTGGCTTGATTCACATGTTTCGATCCTCCTTATGCCACTGGTGACTGCTGGTTAACTCCTTCATGAGCAGAAGGAGTGAGCTGTTCTGTGTGGTTTATCTCATCTGACAAAATACACAGTGTCTTTAATACCATGATGACAGATGGTCATGTGACCTGGTGTTGCTGTTGTCACTGGTTTCTTGTGTGTCAGTGGGACAAAGCATGAAGATGAGGCAGGCTGCTGGATTGGAGTTTATTGTAAGGACCTGGGGGTGTGCAAATGCAAACAATGTGAACTTTTTTTTAGGGTTCATTTGAAAATGCTTAGCCTTGTTTAAACGGTTTAACTGTTGCTGGTGCAAACATGAAATTCTTGTTTGATTGATCTTCCTGATTATTGGCTCAGTGGCAGAATTGGTTGTCTCTGAGTTGGAAGGTCAGGGGTTCAATTCCAGATCCTGCCATCCATATACCAAAGTGTCCTTGGTTAAGACACTTGACCCCACCCACCCCTGCTGGCTGCACCCAGTGGTGAGTGAGTGGGATTAGTCAAGAACTGATGCTCTCTTTTCATAGCAGCCTCTGCTATCAGTGAATGTGAATGAATGTGGTGTTTATGGATGGATGTGAAGTGTGATGTAAAAGAGCTTTGAGTGGTCAGAGGACTGGAGACAGAAACACAGTTCATTTACCTTTTACCATTACATCTGTACATGCACACTGTCTTACAGTACTCACTTCATCTGTGTGATGTTAAGACATCAGCCATCATCCATAATGACTCAAGTTTAGACTCATACTGGTCTCTGTCTAAGTCTCCATCTTTTTTCTCTCATTTGGGATAGAAAGCCATTACATTTTACACCAATAGCCTAAGATACCTCAGCATCTTACTATAAACTCAGCAGATCTACTGTGCTCTGGGCAGCAGTAACTTGGGATCTAACAACTGGAAGGTTGGTGATTCGATTCCCCCCTATCCCTTGTCTGTCCATTGTGTCCTTGAGCAAGACACTTAACTTCCCTTGCTCCCAGTGTGTCCTCCACTAGTGTATGATACGTATAAATGTCGCTTTGGTGTGCGCTATATGACATTGTAATCTAGTTAGCTGCTTTGGCCTGTTTTGATGTGTAGCATTTTCCTGATCTTGATGTTCATTTCTGCACAGATAAGAGTTACTCTGGGCTTTGGCTGCAAACTTAGGTTACACTGGTTGGCAAAATCTGGACCGACATTCGTTCATATGTTAAAAAGATTACTTTGTTGATACTTGATCATGAATGCAATGTTATCTTTTCATTTATTTGGTATTAACCATAGACTCTATATAGAATTGACCCCGTCTGCCTCCTTGCTGGGTGAAGCCACTGCAAGAACAGCACCCTCTGGTGACGGGCTGCAGTATAGGTCATAAATCCTGCTTCCTCCAGCAATCCCTATGGAGCTAATGTTAAAATTTAGAAATTATTTACACGGAATATACATTTTTCTCCCCCCTGCTTGCGATGTTGACATGTAGTTACTGTAAGACTGGTTTGTGCTCAAGTCCTCTTTTTTCTGTACAGTTCCGTTTTTAAAAGTTATTAGGGGGTTCATGTTTTCTATGATTAACAATTGATACAGTCTGTGGGCGTACGAAGATTGCATAGCTCACCAGTGGGATATGTTGTTTATGCTGAGCATCATCACAGAGACTCTCCCGCAAGTCGTGGTTCCAGGAAATGGAGAAAATCCTGGTAATACCAAGAGCAACTCAGCTTCAAATTCGTATAATGACTTATAATGGTGAGACTTCTTGGTAAAAGCAGTTTTTTAGAACATTAAATATTATGTGTAAATTGCCAGGAGCAGGTCCAGATCTGGTTTACGCTAAAATAAGACCTGTCACAGCTCTGGTTGTATTTATATAACTGATGTGTGCAAAAAAAAGTCCCAGTGTCCCTCCTGAACCCTTTCAGACTGTAATACACACCCTCTGGTATCACTGTAAGAGTGAGAGCATTAGCACACTGTCTGATAAACACTCAGAGAAACTGACTCATGTTACTGCACAGCTCACACACACACACGCATATACACGCACAAATGTAGCTGTTATCTTTGGGGTTTTTTGTTTTGTAAGGAAATAAATCAGACATTAGTGTCATTACAGAGCCTTAATGTGGCCCTGGTGGGAAAAACTTTGTTTTGTGTTTGGTGCAGTTTGCAGGGACTAAGATAGGTGATGGTGGATCACAGCGGTGCAGCCTTGTGAGTGTGTGTGAAGGTAAACTAGGTGAGAGTTAACTGTTGATTCAGACCTATAGCTTCATGCAGGCTCTTGTTGTGAAGGCAGAGTTAGTCCTCATGCTGTGAAACCACAGGAAGTGTCAGTGATACCAAAATACTTGTAAAGGTTAACATATAAATAGAGTCATATTAGATTTCATTAGAGGTAAAAAAAAAAATCCTGCAGAGCATGGTGTGTACCCAGACAGTTGGAGAGCAGTCTGAACTGCTCACTGCTCATACAGTTTACATACATGATCAGCTGTGTCTGGGCCAGGTGTCACGCTGAGGTCACGGTGGTAACATACATGTAGGTGAAGTAAAGATTTACCGCGGTGTCTGTCAAGTACCATCATAGGGTCCCATACAAAAAACTGGGGTTTCTAGCTTGAATATGATCATCCTCCAGCTGATTAACCCTGAAAATTAGACATGGAAGTAAAAATGTCTCTGCACTGTTTCTGTAGCCGGTAAATAACTGTTTATCTATAGAACCTTTATTACAACCATCATCCATAACTCCCCCCACATATTCTAACTGAAGACATCATCCTCTCATCTGGCATGTACCTCTGCACAACGTTATTTAATATTTAACGTCAACACTGTGTTTAAAACAAGTGTGTCGACCTCATGTACATAGCCCACCTGTTATGTAATGACATATGTAAATATTTAGTTCTATCACTCAGCATTCCTCTGCACTCCTCAGCATTACACTACTGCCAAAACAGTCTCGTACATAGAAGTTAAAAGTCTAAGCTTGTACATTTTATTGTAATATTTCATATTAAATATTTGTACATGGAGCGAAGCCCACCGGTGTCACTTTCCTTGAATGTGCACACATACTTGGCCAATAAAGCTGATTCTGGTTCTGATTCTGATTTTAAAAGTTAAAGCCAGGCACAGTAATTGCTACGATGTTGATTGTAGGAGACAGCGTTTTTTCTTTTTGTCCTGAAATCAGAGATACGTTCATTTTTTGCTCCAAGCTCCTATGAGGTAAATAAAAAAGCAATCAAAAATGATTGATTGATTGATGGTGACTCTGTTGTGAGCGTTTTAGCATGGAGCTTCTTTAGGTTTGCCCAGTGTAATTAAATGGCCAGCCACAGCTGTGACAAATACAGGTGGACACATGACCAATTATGAAAAAATTAACAGTTAAATGTCACAAAACAATATTTACGGCATGTGTCAAGCTGATAATTTGTGTTTAAGCAGTTTTTTCAGACTTTTACATGGTTTTTACTTCCTTTATCTGCAGCTGACTGCTCAAGATGTTAGTGCATGGAGGGTCTTGCTTACCTTCTTTAAGTTTGTGTTGTTTTGTATCACAGATTGTTTATGTAATGATATAATCGTGAAAGTTCAAATGGGCACATTTTACTCCTCAGATCCCAACATCATCCTCATCTCTCAACATGAGCATTGGCCATAAACATAGAAACATGTTTGTGTGTATGCCTGTTACCTGTTGGGTGGAGGTCAGGATATGATGTTCATGCTTTCACACTATTTTGATGGTGTCAGATAAAGCTGAGCTAAATATCAGGGGCCGTCATATTAACTGGTGCTCATGGAGAAAAAAAAACCTGTAGGGGTTTATTTTGGACTCCGGTTGGACATTTTACAAACACAGACATAGAAACTGTGAGTCAGAGCAGCTGATGTGCAGGGATTTTTTTCCTTTCTTACCATTGTTCCAAATATCAGTGAAGTTAAGCAGGGTTTTCTTTTACATACATCATGCAAGCCTGATATGTAATAACCAACAGTTATTTCACTTTTGTCTCCATGTATTTCTTAGTCTTTTGTACATGGTAATTCACATTATGTTTATGCTGAATTTTTTAACTTTTTCCTCGACTTCTGACTCTACAGATCTCCTTCACGATCTCAGTTCTTGGGGGCTACTGAACACCACAGCTACTCAAGTCTTTTACCTTTATACAGGTTGAGGGTAACTTTTGCTTTAGAACAAAGCAGCCAGAGACAATGGGGAATAAACTTCTGCTTCTCTGATTTTCATCTTTGTCTTTGTTGATATTGACTGCTCTGCTAGTTGAGTGGACACCTTGCATTTATTTTTAAATTCCTTGAACTAATTTTATTTAGTTCATCAGCAGCTTCTACATGCAACCTTGAAACTTTCACACAAGCAGCAGTAGCTGAAGAGGTAGAGTGCTTGTCCAACAACTGGAAGGTTGGCGGTTTGATTCCCCCCCTGTCCCTAGTCAGTCCGTTGTGTCCTTGGGTGAGACACTTAACCCACCTTGCTCCCAGTGTGTTCTCCACTGGTGTATGAATGTGAGTGATGTTTTATGGTGGTCGGAGAGGCCGTATGCGCTCATCGGCACCCACGTTTTTGTCTCTCTGCCCCAGGGCAGCTGTGAGGACAAGGGTAGTTTAACACCACCAGGGTGTGACTGTGTGAGCAAATGAATGATGCATCCAATGTAAAGCACTTGGTCACGAAAAAAAGGCACTATGAAATCTGATGCATAATTATTATTTATTATTACAAGCACTTTTTAAGCTTTTTAGAGTTTTTCAGGAGCTCCTTCCCCAGAATTTCCTGAAGTTTCTAGTTCATGTTTACAGAACAATAGAGACGAAGCAAGAGAGACTTGCACCCTAATGACTCTTCTTACATTCATATCAATGCTACGTGTATACAGTTGGTATTCATTCTTCTACATGTTACTCTCCTGGTTCACACAGGTTACATAAAATAAAGAAGTCATCAACTACTCACATGCAGCAGATTTTCCCAAATATTTCTTGCTGTTTTCCCACATGGCCTGATTTCTTGTGGAAATTTAACTAGGGGATGGCCGGATAAAATCTGAGTAAAGTCAAGTAGAAAGTTGAAGCTGTGCATGTACACACATGCATCTCACTCTGTAAATTTCAGACTATTATTTGTGTGAAACCTGTGTTTAGAAACAGTTTTAGATTCAGATTGAAATATTGTTTCTTTTACATATTTGTCCCTTCCTCTGTTAGTGTTTTCAGTGTGGTGTACCTCAGGGGTCACTGTTGAGGCCACTTTTATTCCCTAAAAAGGCTCAACTCTGTCAGTATAGGTCTGTTAATAATTTAATGCTCAGTGAAGCTATTTTTCCCATGATGATATGATTAATAGATAAAAAAAACTGGTTATTGACTATTTATCTAGAGGCTTTGATTTGTGTCAGTGTTTTACAACACAAATGCTGCCATCTGCTGGCGACCTGTGTGAACACAACCAAAAATGTGATCTGGTGTGATTGTTGTTTGTATTTTGAGCATGCAAATTTTTCACTGATTTCAAACAGTAGATCAAATGTCATGGTCTGTCTTGAACCCCTGAGTTATTTTTTATCATGCTTCCTGTATGTCATCGCGCTCTTAACAATGTTGTTTGACTGGCTATTGCAGTTTGTTCGTGGTTGTAAGTTATTATTTTATGTGTCTATGCTCAGTTTGATCTTTATGCGTTTAAACATAGCTGAGTTGACAGTTCCCCTCATATTAAGCTGCATCTCAATGAAAAATTACTCCTGTTGTAATTGTACAGGAGAAAAAACTAAAATTATGATGAAGTAATTCAGGTTCCATGACTGGTTTTGTGTGTTACCTCATTAGCTGCCCTCCTTGTGATGGAGTTTAGCCCAGATATTATATTACCATAGGGGATAAATTATTATTGCTATTTGCTATTTTTTTTTTTTTTATACTTACAGTAAAACTCAGGTGTCCTATGCTTAGTACTGTACCTAAACACATCCTTGCTGGTCCACTCCAGTAGATGTAAAGTTATCCTCTAGCTGTTATTTTTTTTTCAACCTTGATCAATTATTATGAGCACTTTGAATTTATGTATTTGTTACAGTTAGACACCAAAAGTATCTGCTCTGGTGTGAGGACAGATGTGGTGATGATAGTGTGCTGAGCAGTTGAGAAAACAGGACAAGGTTTCCCAAACACTGAGGATACTTTAGTTAATGAGTAAAGTATAAAAGTATATGTCTGCCTGCTCAAGTAAACTTGCTAACTATTGACAAGATGACTTTGGGCAATAATCATCATCATGTCTTGTTTTGTTTTCATCTAGTTTTTTTGTTTTTGTTTGTTTTTTAAAATGCAAACTTTGTTTCAACTCAAAAGAGAGAAAAATTCTATTACAATCTATTTTAACCCACGATCAATCAGCATCCATGATGGATAAACTGTGCTCACTCTGTACCCCTCCCACATGTCCAAGAGTAGCCTGTTGTTCAAACACCTTAACAAACACACTTTGGCTTAAATCAAAGAACTATTTTAGGTTACAGCTAATTGTTTTAGTGATATGTTAGGTAATATTTGGTGTATTCATATGTTTCTGTAATACCCCCTTCCGCTCCTAGCACCCTCCCTCAACTACTACACTGTCACCTTGCAGGGACTTTAACTCTGAAAAGCTGTGATGGCAAAGCACTCCAGACAATCAGAAATTAGTGATCATTACAAACACAAAGTCAGTATAATAACACAGCACACTAAACTGGAAACACCAAGGTATGAAAATGTCAAATTTAATGTGGATATGAATGAATGAAGCCCTTGTATGAAATCGTACCTTATAACAAACATATAAAGAAAATGTAAGTCATCCTCCTCAAGTGTGGATGTGTCGCAGCTCTTCAATCAGCACATGTAGGTCACTATCAATAATTGTTGTCAGTTTCATGAGTTTGTTCTGAAACTGTCCAGTCTGGACGTGGTCCTCAAGTTGATGGAGGAAGATGTCTGATAATTGATCCTATTTAAGAGGAAGTCATTACTATCAGCAGGGCGCTTTGGTGTCCACACTAAGCTGTTGCTGTTTTCCAGCTTCATAGGGATGTGTGTTCTGTCAAAACTGGCCAAAAATGGCGTTGGAATAGTCCTTCTAAAAAACAATATTTCAACAATTCAACCTTATTTTTTTAACTTGAATTAAGTAATAAGCTGATCAGTGCCAGAGAGGGAAAGGGGGGAGAGACATTTCATAATTTACCAGTTTTCCAGACAATACAGTGATCACCTTTTCACTGTATTGATTCTGCTCACGCATATTTTGGAGACTACCGTAAAGCCTTGTAATCCTTTGAGTGATGGAAGAAAAAAATAAAAATACACTTTTCAACATTTAACAGTATTCAATCCTTATAAGAAACACCCTTGATGGCTGCAAAGAAAACAAGAAATAAACAAGAAGCTGATTTTTAAAAAGGGAACACCTATCAAATTGACTGTGGTTAATATTATTGTGCTGTTAAGTATCCTTGATGGATGCATATATTTCCTCTTGCTGGAAAGCGACAGAGTTATGAATTGATACCAAGACCCCTTGGGTTTGGAAAGTGATAAAAGCTGAAGGCACTTTCCCGCGCCCCCACTTTTCCAACTTTTTGACATGTTTCAGCTTTACCACTTTCTTCAGTCCTCTTGTATTCCAGCTCGAGATTCACTTTGCATGAAGTCATATGACTTTTATATGATTTGTGAGGTATATTTCACTCAGCCATTGTTTTCTGTATGTATTATAAATAAATAAATAAAATGAAATAATAATAATAATAATTATTATTATTATCATTACTATTATTATTATTATTATTATTATTATTAAGAGTAAAACACCTCAAGCTTAACCTACCCCAAGGACCCCACATGTGCTTACCTAAATGAAGTGCAAGTAAAAGAGTAAAAGAAAAACTGACTAATGAACTCTGGTCATATGCACCATTAGATCTATACCGTGAATTATCCCTCAGAGTTTACACCCAACTACTTAAATGAAGTCTCCATAAAGTAGCATGATGTTCCATGAAGAAAATGATTAGGAAAACAGAAAATATGGGCCAGTCTTTTAACTTTCTGGTTTTGATACATACCTTGATTATTTCTTAGTTAAGGAGACAACAGAAAGAAAAAATCATTAGTACTTTTAGTCCTCTTGCCTTAAGGGTTCCTGTATTTCCCCGGAGGTACTCCTTGGCGTCCTCAATGAACTTAAAGGTCCTGCATTGGCGGTCATGGCGGGTATAACAGTCTGTATTGGATATTCATGGGCTGAAACGGGGCTTTGACACCCCCCAATTGTCTCTGACATTGGTGAGTTTTAGCTGATACAGCTGGGAAAAGCTAAGTCAGTGATTTTCATACCGCACCTTCTCCTGTCTCCCGACTGCTTTCACAATCTTCTCTTGGTCCCTTAAGTTCAAAAGTTTCACAACAGCTGGACTGGGTGGGGTGGACCAGCTCTGGCTGACATGACCCATCTAATGAGCCCGCTTGACAACTGGAGCAGCGACCTAAACATCCCCCATTTATGGAACCGGTTTTCCAGAAAGGACTACATGTCTAGAGTCTAGACCTTCTGCTTTTCCACAGAGGCAGACTAGTTTCAAATTAGAATAACGTCCTTGTTCCTCCTGGTCTTGGATTTTGTTGTTCATCGCTGCAATCGTTCCTTCTAGTTGTTGAATTTTTCGCCATATAGTAGTTATATGATCCTCTGCCTGGGAGACTCTCCTCTTCCTCGCCTATTCTCTTCAAATGAGACAGTAAATCCCCTTTAATACTGTTTACTGTTTCCAACATGTCGGCTGATTGTTGAGCTAAATCCTCTGTCAGTGAGCGGATTGCCCCAAGAATCTCATTGTTGAAATCTCCGCTGACAGTAGCTCTGCCCGAGTCTTAGGTGGCGCTTGTGCTAGCAGATGCCGTGGCGACGTTCGCTCCATTATTTTACACAACCATCTTATGTAATTGTTGCATCCCTTTTAGTAGTTTTCAGAGATTCATGAAATTTTTACTCTGAAATTATGATTCTTTGGAGCCGTAGTTTCTTTCAGAAAAAGTTTCAGAAAAATTCGCTACCAGCCAAATACCTGCGACTTGTTAGCAGGATGTCATAACTAGAAGTCTAAAAGATAGTTTTTTCCTGCCTTTCAGCCAGTCAGAGTAACTTGTATACCCTCTTTGTTCAGAAGTTTAGGTTCCCTCCCATCTTTAGAAAGTAGACAAAGATGTGTAGTGTTTTGTTGAGTAAACTTTACAGCCTGACAGCAAACAGGTCCAGCTGTGACAAAGGAGTGTTTAAGGTGAAAGTAGAAAGTCAGGCAGCCTCTCTGCAGCCCAGTGAAGTCTCCATCATCATCATTGGTGAAGGTTACAATGCTAAGACCAAGCCCTCAATATGACCTACAGCTGCATGGAAGTGTATTTTTTTTCTTTTTCTTCTTCTTTTTTGAACATGCAAATATGAATTTTCACATTTGAATGTATGACATATGTTTGAACATGAAATACTCGTTGGCAGCCCAAGTGCTGTGTAAACTCGTCTTAAACAGAGGCTCTCTGCTGCAAAATGAGCTTTTATGAACATGAAAAAGAGCGTATATAATCAAAGACTGATATGGTGTCACAAAAAAACGAATAGTAAATCTTTGCATTAAATGGCAAAGGTGTGTGTGTGTGTGTGTTGTATGTTAGCTGTAGCTGGTAGCATACTGTGTGAATCTGACAGGTTCACTTTAACTTCTAATAAACTATATTTTCTTTTTGTGTTTCCATGCACCATGGGATGTTAATATGTTGCGCAATAAAAAAAAATTTAATAAACTGATTTGTGACATAATACAATCACATCCAGGTCATCCAGCAACACCCCCTCCAGCCTTCTTGAGATCTTTGCACCTGTACAGGTGTGCATTGAAAGCAGGGCAGCTTCAGCTAAATACTTGTAGCTGGGCAGCACCTGTCTGCAGTTGATAGTTGAAGCATGCCGATAAACCCATTCTATTATACTGGATGAACAGACACTAAATATTTTATTCCTTTTTTTTCTCTAAAGGGTGTCTGATCATGAGGTGCATTACTTCAGCTTCAACAATTCAATCAAAAAAATATACTTAATTCAATGTATGTTGATCAATTATGGCAATCTGTGAATGAAAATAAAAAGACATTGTGGGTTATTCTTGACTCACTCACTCATGATGATGGTCAGGGTGTAGCAGCAGTTTCTGGTGTCCATTGTTTTGTAGGAAGTATCGGACATGTCACCCAGTGTACATAATTTTAGGTTGCATCATTTATCCTCTGCTGGTACGAGGATGATTTTTTTTTCTTGTGTTAGGATGTGATGTAGCGGGAAAACGATTCCTCCAGTGTTAGCTGCTTTTTAGTAGGTGTTTGTGTCATGGTCTTGTGCATCTGTCATTTTGACACATTTCTTCTTCTCTACTGCCTGCCTCTGTTTAACTTTTTTAAATAAGTTGTTCATTTTGCTGCCTTTAGTAACAGTCTATCAACAGACTTTGCAGCAGACTGTGGTTTCTTTCTTTAAGGTTTGTTGCTTTGGAACTGAACAAATTGAGCAAACTTATATCTGTTGATAGTGGTATCCAGCTGATACATCAGTGTGGTCTTACCAATTACAAACTGACTACTTTGGATGCACAGTTTATTACACCCTTTGCTTAACACCCTGACTTAAGATACAATTTATGTAGAGCTGCTGCAGCAGGACACTGAATCAGATGTCTATACAGACACATAGGGAAGAAAGGGCATCACACATGAACGGGACAACAATGAAAACATGATGACAAGTCTTTTTCTGACGGCAGACTTATAAAATAACCACTTGAAGCAGCAATAAAAACTCTTTAAATCACTCATGAGATCTTGTGGATTAAAAACCTACTTTTTTACCAAATGTGTGACATTTTGTTGTGTTGCTCACATGCTTGTTGTGTTGAGCTCAGTCGCTTTTAGGTTGTTTGTATGTGCCAGGATTTAGGGGTGAACAATATGGATTTTTGCCGATATTGGATGAACCAGTAGTCTCAAACTTATTTAGACCTGTACTGATATCAGTACCAATATAAACACACTTTTTTATTGTAAAGAACAGCAAGTTTGTCCCAAAACAGAATTTCCCTGTTACGCTTATTGTGGCAGTCTATATGTTTTAGACACCACCTATCAAAGTATCCTTTTAACTATAGACATTAAAAATTGTCTTGCTCTGTTTACCACACTTGAAAATGCTTCCATACAGTCATGTACTGTATGTGCATGCTTAAATACACGATGGCACATGCAAGCTTTCGCTGCATCACTTTTAACACATCACTTTTTTCTGCCAACAGTTATGTCCTCACCTGCTGATAGTAATAATAAACCCTTTAAGCTATTACCTGCCAAAACTGTGCATCCCCACCGGTTGTAGTTGACCTTTGGCTTTGCAATCACATTTAGGAACTTGTGGGAGCATAATTCCAAATATGAGGTGAATTTCAGGATTGATCAGTCACAGCTTAGACTGTATTTGTCCACAGCAAACTTCAACATAATTCAATCTTTCTCAGTCTCAATCTCAAAGTGGACTTCGACTGTGGTTTAGGTTAAACACAGCTGTGCACACTCAAGGAGTCTGTTGGAGAAACGCATGATTTATTGTTTAACCCCATTAATCAGCTGGCTGTGTGCAGGAAGCAGAGTGTGTGAGGGTACAGTGTGTCAGTGTTACAGTAAATATGCTCTGATTATTGTGCAGAAACTACAGTGATGGAGAGATGAGACAGTTGGCAGGAGGAGAGGAAACATCAGAAACATACTGAACAGAGAGGAGGGAGTGAGGGATGGTGGGATGAGAGAGTGACTTTCTGACAGCGTACACACTGAACTGTTCATCAATTAATGTTAGAAAATAACCTGCAGAGCTATCAACATGATCCTCTTTTGACCTGAATGTAAGATGAACCCCTTTTTTAAAACAGATTAAGAAAAAATTTTTTTTTTCTTTTTACAGAGCAACTTTATTTGAAGGTGATATTGAAACCGATTAAGTTTGAAGGGAGATAAGGTGTTAATGATGCCTTTGAAATAAAATAATGTTTTAATAACTTAGAAAAATGGTTACATGCGTAAACGCAGTACCCATGTGTTGGCTGAAAACTGACCAGCCACTAATTCATTTAACTGGCCACATAATTTTAACCAATAACACTGAGTTATCTTATTATATAGCCTAATGTGATAACCAAGACTTGCAGCAATTCAGCTAAAGGCTGTACCATGAAGGTAAATAAGGACAAAAAAAGAACAGATATGCTCTATGACCGGACTTTATTGCCTTTATCTCAGCCACGCTCTCCAAGACTGTTTCAAAATAAAGGCACTCCAACAACATAATACAAAGGGACTTTTATTGTGAAGTATTGGAATGTGTTCATTCTCACATTATCTGAGTCTTCACCAAAGTAAGCTCAGAGTTGTTTTCAAAAACAGCGTTAAGTTATGGTTTATATTTACAGACGGTCCTATGACCATGAGTCACTGCCTGCTTCTTTTAATAATCCTGGGCTTTAAATAAGGAGGTGATCATTTGAAACACCTGAAAGGAGGTAGAACTGTTTTAATAGATTTATATCGTCCTGCTCTACTCAGCTTAAATCCACTAAATTGTGTCCAGCACATCGCCAGTTACAGAGACGCATCTGACTTCAAACTTAAAGAGAAGAGACCAGAAGTTTACCTGTCGACCAAGGCACCATGCTCTGTTACTGTAAACATAACACCAGGTTTGACTCCAGGAGATGGTGGAGTTTTCCGATCAAAGCATTTGAGTCTGTGTATGTTGATGTCAGTCACAAATCTCGCTCTCGGTCCTACTTCCATTAATATGCCACAAATAAAGCTGAATAGGATGAATCCATTCAGAACAGTTCTACCCGTTGTATTTCTACACTTAAAGCAGACTGTAACATCTTTCTCAAGCTGTCCCTACTTCTAACTGGACTTTTATAGGTCAGCTGATCATGGAAACAGCGTCTGATTGGTCAACGGACCAAAACAAAGATGGCAGCTTTTGTCTGCATCAAATATGACACTATTTCCCTTAACTACTCCATAAATCCTCTCAGATTTTCTTTGTTTCTGAGGGTCTGGATCTGGACAGTCTGATCGTCTCTGTGGGAAAAGTTCTCAGACGTCACAGGAACACTCAGGGTTTATCACAGAAAGCTGCCGGTCTCACAAAGTGAGTGGATTTTAAAGCATGATAATGGGTTGTACCAAACAAAGGTTTCATGAGCAAACCCTTAATATGGACAATCCTACCTTTTTAGACAGTTTCATGCACAAATGATTAACAGGGATGGAGCAATACATTTTTTTTTTGTTACAATATACAGATATTGATATCTGGGCTCTACTATTTGTTGATAATGATATCTGGACTTTAGGACCTACAAAAAAATCACTGAAGTTTTTTTCAGCACAGCTAAAAGTGATATGAGCCAGGGTCTGAAATTAACTTTCTGACTCACCTGCCAAGGTGGCAAGCTGATGAAGAAAACACCCTCTGATCATACTTTTATGAACCTAAATATTTAACTCCATCTTAGTCGTGTTTATTTCATTGAAATAATGCAATGCTGAAGAGAAATTAAAAGCAAAGGCCAACAGAAATAAATAGTTTTTGCCCTGACCAAGGCCTGCCTGGCCGAGACACGTTGGTATGTTTTTAATAGATTAGCCATGTCATAATAAAGGCTTCCTAACATTTCCCTCATGAGTGCCTCAGCTCTCTTTTTGTTTGCCAACAGAAATAAATTTGATGCAAAATTTCCTTAATTGATCAGTTTTGAATGACTGGTTCCTGTTTATGCATTTGTGTGCATTAGTGTACGCATGTATTTTTTAGCCCATCCCCTCAAAGCCCAGACATGCAGACAGCAGAGGAGCAAGACAAACAGCAGCTAGACCATGATGATGGTCAAAACTCATAACTAGTTTTAAGAGGGATGCACAATAGGATCAACACACTATCAGTGTCACTAAACAGAGGAATGAATAAGACAGTGTGAGATCAGTAGAAATGATGATCCAGTTGTTGTTTGAGCCTCATCAAGGTGCTAAAGCTAATGCTTCGGGCTGGCTTTTTTTGCCCTACTTCTTTATAACTTTGTTAGATAACAATCAATGCTTTTATTCTGAAAGGACTGAGAGGCACTTCCTTTAGAGGGTAGGGTTAGAATTAAAAACGGCTTCACAAGGACCAACATGAAAAACATGGAAACATGCTCTACTCATACTCTAGGCATAGAGAAAGAGGTCATCCACTAGTTTGTGATGTCAAGCTATTTATACAAAAACAATAACAAGACTCAAATGCTGGTTGATCTTCAGTGTCAGGTCGTCTGGTGTCATCTATGTGTGGAAAACTCCGGCAGTGCAACCTGCAAAATTTTCACCTTCTCCCACCATATCTATTCATATATACCATATATCATATTCCATTCAGCTACAGACAGAAGAGATGTAATGATGTCTAACAACACGGAGAGCACCCCCTGTTGTTTAAGGAAGGGACAGCACATTTCTTTTTTCTCTCACTGATTTGAACTAAAGTTTACTATCAAATACCTCATGTCAGGATACGCGTTTGTTTGAAGGGTGATAAATGGAGGAGAGCTGCTGAGGTGCAGGATTCGTGTTGAAAAGAGGAAGGAGGGATGTTTAGGTTTCATATATGAAGAGGTTATGTTTAAAAAGGATGGAGGGATGGGTAGATACATGTTTTAAAGATGTATAAATGAAGTAGAGTTCAGGGATGATGGAGCGATGTTAAGATGAATAAAGGATGTATAAATGGAGGAGAGTTTGGGTCTGGAAGGCATGATGGAGGAGTGTTTTGATCACGTATGGATGAACAGATGTAGGATGTATTTATGTTTGCTGTGGACAGAGGGATGTATGTATGAAAGATGTATAAATGGAGGAGGAGGGCTGAGGTCTGAGGAGCAGGAAGCATGATGAAGGCGGGTGGAGGGGTAGGGGGAGCAGGGAGAGGGGGGGGCGGGTTGCTAGGGAAGAGTGTGTCAGGCTGCTGCTGCTGGAGGCCGGCCTGCGATTGGAGCGACTTGCTGAGCGGCGGAGAGGCGGAAGAGGAGAGAGAGGAGCAGCTAATGAGTATTGTAGGCTGGTTGCTGAGACAGCACCGGGTTTATTTATAGAGTGCTGGCCAGCCAGCCCTTAGATACCAGCAGCGAATCAGCTGACAGAGGAAGAGAGGGCCCGACCAATAGCAGCGTAAGAAGGGGGATGCCAGACTGAGGAAGTGCTGTGAGTGCCTCTCGCTCTCTTAAAGAGACGGTGCAGATTTTTCAGTACTAGGCAGATATTCTCTCTCTCCAGCAGTGTCATATCTGTAAGCAGGCCAGGACCCAGAGCACTGGGCCCTCTGACGCTGATTGGATTACTTCCTGCACCTCATCATGCCGCACACAAACACCAGACACACACACACTTACACTTTTTTATCAACACACGCAGCATTTTAACAAATATTCAAACTCTTCGCATGCAGTCTTTATGAGAGATAACAGTGAAGAGGAACCTTTAATACCAACAGTTACTCTTGTGTGTTTGCTCCGAGTTCCTGTCCTGATTTATGATATAGTTATGTAAAAGAAGACCTCATTCTGCAGACCTGAATTAAACTCTGTTACTTTGCCTTTCTGGAGCACTAGATCTCTGCTATCAGAAAATACAGATACACTTAAGGACAGGGAGAATCTGAGTTATGATACAGTGTCAATCCTGGCAGGAAAATTCCTCAGTTTGACCTGCACTTCATGTAAAGATTATATCTTATTAGAAAAAAATTTAATAAGTGTTACTACTTTGCACAAAACCTGCTATGGAAATCTGCTTTGTGATCCTGCATCAGTATTTAAGGGAACATTTTTTTTGTTCAAAGATGTCAGATGTAGTCTTTCCTTTAGTTAAACAGCACAAGCTATGACGTTGAATGTTTCAAGGTCTGTGAGATGTGCAGCAAAGAAGAAAACTTTGCAGCCTGAAACATGGCACAAGATAATATGAGACACTCGGGATGGCTCACACAGCAAATATCCAAGTTAAGAATTTAAAGTCTGACTTGTATAAAGTTAAGAAAACACCCAGAAAACAGTCAAAACCGACCATAATTTATTTAACACAGAATCACAGAGTGCAGGTAAACATGCACAGTGCTGGAACAGTGCTGTTTCACCCTCACTATGCCTTTGAACTTTTAGTGATTACTCTACTGTAGTGAAAGTGTGAGAGAAACAGCTTGCAAACACTCAGCTGGACACACACACAGACAGATAGATACAGGGCTGTTCTGCCCTTCCAGCTCCAACACCACACATCATTCCTTCCCTCTTTCCTCCTCTGTCACCACATTAAAGGGAGGATCAAAAGACGAGGTCTTAAACCCACCAGTTTGCCTCTGTGCAGCACACATGGCAGATGAGGTCTAACAGGATGGAAATATCCCACCTTGAAACAGCAGTAAGCACCTGATTTCACCAGGGTTTGCAGAGAGTGGCTAACATTATCAGAGCTAGAACCACCAGCCTTCAGTCTTCCTTGCAGGTCAGAGTCCATATCTGTGCTGGCTACACATTGCTCAAGTCTTGCACAATTTGTCAATACTAGTTGACAGGTATTGTTCTCAAATTACAGGTAGTCAACCACAAATTGGAAACCAAGGGAAATGTTGAGGAAATCACCCCGCATGTTTTCATGCTGTGCGCGAGCATAAGATCAGTTACAGGACTTGAACTGCCGAGAAGTGCATCCTGCATCCTTAGTGTCTGTGATGAGTGTAGCTGAACAGCTACTGGGAAAAATACCTCAAATGGGCAGCCCAGGTACAAAGCCTGCCTTTGACTCTTTTAACCCATATCACCTCCTGCTAGATCTCCCTTTTTCCTCTTCTGTCCACTTTCCCGTGCTCTAAATCTGCATACTGTGTTTGTTTACATCCAGGTAGGCGAGCATTAGAGCATTATGGTCAACCCATGCCACAGCCATAACTAATGGAGGGTGGCTGCGCTGTAACTCTGACAATAAGACCTTGGGCCTACAAGTGTCAAGATATTAGTAATCACTCCTTATAGTGACAACTAGCTAAGATTTAACCACAAACATGCTCATCTCTAGATACTATACAATTCATAACTTCATTGTCCAAGCTAGAAAATTTGTCCTGGTCTCACTTGCTGCACACACTGACTCCTTAGAAGCAAAAACAATCAAACGATTGTTATTGTGAGATTTGTAGTCATATCTTACCGTATCAGATTCTGTGGCATCCCATTGATGACCTCAGATTTGATGCTTTAATAACACTCCTGGCATCAGTCTGATGGTGATGGTGGTGTGTAGTCTGAGTCCTGGTCTGATCAGGTGAGGTCAGACTGGTATACAAACCTTTATTCAACCAATCACAGCTGATCAAGCGGGCTGAACCAGCATCGGAGAAGGCGCTCTGGTTGGCTCCTGTGAATCTTTCTTTGCATGCAAACGTGACACCTTGCACACAGCTTTTGCAGCGACATTTGCAAATTCATTATTAAATGGTCAGTTTGTTATTCCCATGCATTTGACCGGACATTGTTCTGCCTCCTGCAGACTGTAGGATGAATCTGATTTCGTCTCTGGGTTTCTTAATGGTTCTGCGCGTAGAGAGGGAGTTTATGACGTGTCCCCGAGCTGCATTAACACAGGACAGGCATGTGTCCTTCTGGTGACAGGCCGTGGAAAAAGAGGAAGGAGCAGTATGCATAGAAAAAAGTGTAAACTTCATCCACACACATTAAGATATTTTTTCTGCTTTTTTAAGTGTTGGTTTATGTTTCAATCTCTTCTTAAGTAAAGTGTGACTCTGAGCTGCTGTCAGGTCATACTGTATTTATCAGTTCATTTTCTATTTAGCTCTGTTTCAGACATGTGAAAGTTTTCCAATCATACAAACATCTGTAGACGGTTCTGTAGATGGGTAACACAGTCATGTAACTCTATGATAGTATAGCACAGACTATAATAATAGTCTGTGCTGGTTTTTGATCACCTGACATGGCTAAAAGTATGTCCTCTACTAAGCAAAGTTGTTCCTCCTTCAAGGACCAAGGAGAATATTCTAACCCCAGTCCCATTGAAGTTTGGATCCTGTGTGAAGTGTTAAATTGTAAAAACAAACTTTATTGGAAACATGCTTGAATTATCTTTGTAAATTTGTCCCTCGCTGGGTAACCTGTAGCTGTATTGTGTTGTTCATTACCAGTTAATGAATGAAATTTCATATTCAATGTTACTGGTCAACAAAGGCTGTAGTAAACAATGTTTGTTTTCGACTGTTCATGCTGCTGGTAACATCTGAAAGCTCTGTCAGATAACCAAATACATGTGTTTGTTTGAGTTTGGGAATGTAAAGGGGGTGGGGCTTACGGGAGATAAACAGTGGCGAACAAAGGCTGTCAGGGTTTCCCTCTCTGATCCTCTCACTCTCTCTCTTTCCTCAGGTGTTAGCAGCTCAGGATGTCCGACCACCTCCTCCTCCTCCTCCTCCTCCTCCTCCTCCTCCTCCACTGCCCAGGGCTTCTCCCTCGCTGAGCCAGCCATGACCAGCCAGCACACACATACACACCCCTCCTTCAGCTCCATCCACTCCATGGCCGAGCAGCAGCAGGTAACACACACACACACACACACACACACACACACACACACACAGTCATGAGAAAAGTTTCATAGTTCAACTGTCACCTGTTGGTTGTCATTACACTGTTTCACCACTAGAGGGAGCTGCTAACATATATTTTATGAATAAGGCGCTCAGTGATGAAGTATTATAAATTTAAACGACTGTATCCTCTGTGATAAACAGTGATGATTGAAGTTGTCTAAAATCAACTTAAGTGTAAGAGATACATGGTACTATCAGTGTCAGCAGATAGGAATTCTTCGGCCAATAACATTTTTCAGCCAAACAGGTGATGCATACATCATGAGCATGCAATGTGGGCTGTATATTGAAGTGTCAGGAACAAACAGCAGACACATTACAGGAAGTTTGCATTTTTAAAAAGGACAGATTTTTCATTTATTTTTGAACCAAATGTTAGTTTAGGAAAAAGATTTATTTTCAATGTTGATATCAGAATCATCCAATCAACGAGTGTGAAAATTGGTGTAATATCATGAATCTGTTTTTAACATAGTTTAGAAACAAGAAAAGACAAGGCCTCTCCACGTCCTCGATGCTTCACTGATATGTTTCATGCACATGTACATTTATATTTTCACACTGAAAAAATCTCAGAAACTAAAAAAGGACAGAGACCCCCTCTGTGGAAATGAGGGTTGATACCAGTTATGATGTTTTAAATAAAAACTTAGCTGATGCTTGATTCAGACAGGATTATGTTTGCCTTAAATCTGGTTTATACGTCTTCACTGAATCTACGCTGTTGGTTCTCTTTGACCTCGACATTCACAGGAGCCCTTCGAATGTAGTCTGATGTGCAAATCCACAAAAATGTAACTATGTAAGGCAGTCTAAGCATGTCCAGGGATGATGGCCCAAGTTCAGTTTCACCCTGCAGCTGCTTTACCGCATATCATTCCCTGCCTGCTCCCTGTTTTGTGCCCTTATTGTAATGTCCTCTGTAAACTATGCCCCAAAACAAATCCTAAAAAAAGGGTAACTATGCATCAAAGCAACCCAGACTACAGGCCTTGTAATTGGACCACTAGATTAACATTATATTTTCAGTTCACATTCAGTCGACATGGTTTCAGTGGTGGGGTATTGCACAGAGATGCAGACACTAGTGCATTGATCACAACCGTGTGGCTATGAGCCAAGTTGAACCTCTCTGTAATGTTCGGTGTGTGTTTCATGAATGAGCCCTAAGGTTTGTAGATTTAAATCCGTGCCTGTGATCCCTCCTTCCGGAAAAGTCTTACAAGCCACACCTTTTCAGAGACGTATTCTCAATCAGCAGTGAGTCATATGAGCTATTTAGCATTAAACTGATACAACACAACAGACAAACACTGGCTACTGGCAGTTCTGTATGACTCATTTTTTGTGAACGGGACAATGCCAGCTGCTGTGTTTGACCTACTCATTCATGCATAATCCCCCCAAAAAACTAGTCAAACTGGTGTGAAAACTGAAGTCCACTTCCACATGCAGAGGATCCACAGGTGGCCTACATGCCAGTCAGATCACTCAGCTGACTCTGAGGAGGGGTTCGGTGCACCATCAGTCTATCCATTCTCTGCAGTTGAAGTTATTACCCACACATCACTTCAAGTTTTTGTCAGGATAACAGGAAACCTGAGTTTCAGCTAAAACTCCTTAGCAGTCTATTTTCTTCCAGTCGTGTCCTTCGAGTCAGAGCGCTCAGCAGCGTTCACTGACGCTGGCTCGCCAAAGTTATCCTGCAGCACTTCTGTTCCCCTCCAGTCGTGACTGTGAAGCCTGTTATGAAATGGTCTATGCTTCATATTGGCTTCCATTATTTATTAGTAATACAAAAAACAACTGATAGAAATTGTGTCATTGCATTAGCAGCAGCTCTAAAATGTGTGATTAGCTTCTCCACTGTACAGACCTCAACAAATAATGCTGACAAAGTTGATATCAGAAATCCCGCCCACTTTTGAATTGGATTGGACAGTAAAAAAAAGAAGTGGCACTGATGAGCACAAAAGACTGAATTTTAACTGAGAGCACAGAAAAAAATGTTGAGAGTGAAGGTAAACATTTTATTAACTAACTAACTTATACACATATTCATCCCTAAATCAGGGTACAGCTCCTCTGGTCCGGGAACACCATGTGAGTTTCTGTCTAAATGCAGAAAAGTAAAAAAACTCCACAGTCAGTCAAAAACATCCACATGACACCACTCAAAGAGACGTTATGAAGGCTGGTGCACTGGAAATACTGACTCAATCCAACTTTTATTTGACTTACCCGACATCCCGAAGCCGTTAACCACATTCTCCTCTGTCTTCTAATCTTGGCCGAATGGATCAGTAATAAAGATGCTTTTACCAGTACAATGATTCTTATGGATCTCAGCAGGACGTCTTGTAACACACCGGGACAAAAAACTGTTACTTTAATTATTGTGGAGCTCATATGTGCAGATACAAACAGCTGTTCCAGCTGACGGACAGCTGATCCTGTGGTGATCAGCTGATGCTGTCATCACAAACAGGTGTCACTTCATGTGACGCTCTGGGGAAAAGGATGTCTCATATCTCTTAGAAACGTTTCCTCTTTCACTCTTTCCTCTCTTCCTTTCTTTGCATCAGCTACGACACAACCCCGTTCATTTAGAGGTGTTTCTGAGTATTTCTCTTTCAACATCATCATGCAGAAATGGTTGCAATTGGCATTTGTAAGCAGCATAAATTTTCAAGTTTTTTTTTTAAATTTTTTTATGCTAACATGCAATTGAACTCAACAGTACGGAGCAAACGTAAATTAGTAGCCCACCATCTTGGTGCACGCCCAATACATAGAACCTTTTTCCGTGTGCAAGTACGTCAGTGTTTCTCAAGCCCTTTGTTTTTTCAGTACACTGGATACTGAAAAAATAGTTTTGTCTGTGCTGTTCACACAGACACAAAGACCTACAAATCTCAACCTTCGAAAAAATTTTTTCCAAAACTTCTATTTCCAGGGACTTGAAACTGTTCTAGTGAAGCCTCTAGTGGACACTCAGAGAGCTGCAGGTTTTCACTCTTCTGCTTCACTCTCATTTCCATGAAGCTGTGGGTTGCTGCTTTTTGTTCCCTCTACATCAGAGCTACGAAACTTGATGAACAGGACCTGTTGTTTTATAATTTTGTTGGAAGACAAATGTGCTCTCACCAAACATCTCTGTCAAGAATAAATCAAGATTACGGTCAAATGTTTCCCAGAATACCTCAGCTGGTGATCTGAATAAAAATAACACATCATCACACTTTTATTAGATGTTGTCCAATTTTGAATCGGTCACCTTTGGAGTTCAAAATCAGGTGTAAACATGCAGTAGAACAGTCAGGATGAGCTGAAGTTTCTTTACAGGTATGGATTCAAACTCTTGAGATGTATAAAACAAAGCAGAGAAACCATCAGGAAAGTTTCATTAGGTTTACACCTGTGTACCTGTAGGCAGTCATGTTTACAAAGCCTGCTGTGTTGAGTTTTGTCTAAAGGTGTGCTTCTGCTTGCAGGTGCTATCTGATATGACCATACTCCAGCGGAGGATCCCCCCTAGTTTCAGAGACCCTGCCAGCGCCCCCCTGAGGAAACTCTCTGTAGACCTCATCAAAACTTACAAGCACATCAATGAGGTCTCTATCTCGCTCTCTCTCTCTCTATCTCTCTCTCTCGTTCTCTCTCTCTCTCTCTCTCCCTCCCTCTCTCTCCCTCTATCTCTCTCTCCCTCTCTCTCGTTCTCAGTCTCTCTCTCTCACACACACACAAACACACAGTCTGTTGTCATGGATATCTACACTGTATTATTGAGCTACAGGGTTTTAGGTTTGCACACTGACCTGTCCTCTTACCTGTGCAGGTGTACTATACTAAGAAGAAGCGGCGTGCCCAGCAGGTCCCTCCTGAGGACAGCAGCACCAAGAAAGAGAGGAAGGTCTACAACGATGGATACGACGACGACAACTACGACTACATTGTCAAAAACGGAGAAAAGTGGCTGGACCGCTATGAGATCGACTCTCTGATCGGGAAGGGCTCCTTCGGACAGGTCTGGATCTCTAAACACCCTATCGAACCTCCGTTTTACTTCATAATGCCTTTATTATTTGTACTTTATGACGGTTCAGTGTCTTTATTTAGTTTCTGTGAGTGAGATGAGAAGCTAAAACTATCTCTTAATATCTCACCTTTTTATCTTGCAGATGAACATGAATGCAACAGCTGTAAGCATGTTGATATGGGGTCATATAATGTTTAATTGTGTGTCTTCTGTGTGCATTTTTTTGTGTGCGTGTGCAGGTGGTGAAGGCCTACGACCACCATGAGCAGGAGTGGGTTGCCATTAAGATCATAAAGAACAAAAAGGCTTTTCTAAACCAGGCTCAGATTGAACTTCGCCTGCTGGAGCTCATGAACAAGCATGACACTGAGATGAAATATTACATTGGTAAGACACGGACATGTACTCGCACACACATACACACACACACAAATATACCACAGGGTAATGGTAAATAAGGTCATTGTTCCTCACGTCCCCCTTTCATTCAGTGATTTATTCCAGTTTCGATCTTGCTTTATCACTATATTCAGTAAAACTAAACTAAGTACAAAGTGAAATTGTTGACTGAGTCTGGCCGAAACTGGACCTTTATATCACTAGACTGTGAAATCATATAAAATCACACTTAATCAAACCTTTCACAGTCAGACTCACATACCTGGATAACAATATCTGCATGAAGATCAGCTAATCATTTGATCTAAGATCAACCAGAGAAACTCTTATCTGAGTGATGCCGAGTCACTAAAACGTACAAATTCCTATTTGTTTTCTTTATAGACATGAAGAACAATTACAAACAAACTCAATAACCCTAAAAAGCCTTTTAAAAGTTTGACATTTAATTTCTAATTTGGGGAGTATGAGTATGAAAAACTTATATTCCCATTAATTCATTCTCAAAAGTTAAGTTTCTAGTTTAGTACCATCTTTTTCAGCAGTTTGAATTTGCTCAGGAGTCATGAAGCAAATAAATGTGTTGACCTGTTGTTAATCTGTTTGGACAAATCAGGGAAAGCAAAAGACATGAGATGTCTTACTTGTCCTGATCGCTGCTTTTATACAAACTTTAACACTTTCTACTTGTCTCCCACCTTTGTCTGTGTGTTTGTGTGTGTGTGTGTGTGTGTGTAGTCCACCTGAAGCGTCACTTTATGTTTAGGAACCATCTTTGTTTGGTGTTTGAGTTGTTGAGCTACAACTTGTATGATCTGCTGAGGAACACCAACTTCAGAGGAGTCTCCCTCAACCTCACCAGGAAGTTTGCACAGCAGCTCTGCACAGGTATGTACAGAGACGCACACAGGCTACACAAACACACTCAGTACAGGTTTTAGATGGTGGTTGCCTGCCCTCTAGTGGACAAAAGAGGACTCACAGAGACCATCATTTTAAAATCATAGCAATGTGTTTTCCCCCTTTAATCCACTGAGTTCACTGCATTAATCATAATAAGGACGTCACCTCATTCATCCGCAGCGTTATTATTCCTGGCCACACCTGAGCTGTCAATCATCCACTGCGACCTGAAACCAGAGAACATCCTGCTGTGTAACCCCAAAAGATCCGCCATCAAGATCGTTGACTTCGGATCCTCCTGTCAGCTTGGACAAAGAGTGAGCAACACACACACACACACACACACACACACACACACACACACACACACACACACACACACACACACATTAATTGATAAATCAGAGGGTTGTACTGTGTTGCTGTTCATACACTTACTCAATCCATTTGTTAGTGTTGCATTTGTCTTCGTAAATTGAAAGTATAATTCAAACCTGTTCATAAGACACAGTATGTTTTTGGAGTCTCTAACCCTGACACCATAAATAAGCTGAACCACTGCTAGGTGCGATAGTTGCAAGGTGAAGAATTCACCTGGAGCAGCTCCAACTCCCTCTGCTGGTCACATGTCCTAAATTTCAAACTATTTTTAAAAACCTGCATGTCCACAAACCTGAGTTTAATACTTCACCGAAGTGCTTTCCTACAATAAACTGTAGAAATGGGATAAATATTTTTATCATTTTACATTTAAAAACTGTTTTGACTCTATATCAACTTTAGAAAGAGCTTCTTACTACTGTAGAAGATTATGATCACTCAGTATGTTTGTGTAGAAAAATCCTTTTATTGTGATAGTCTGACTGAAACTAAACTTTTAAAATACATTTAAAAATGATTAAAGGAAAAGAAGAAAAACACAGAATAAAGTGCCTCTTATAAACTTAATCCTGCAGTGAATAGTACCTCAGTGATACATGTGCAACATGCAATACCACAAACTATCAAACTGATTGAGTATACCAACACCTCCTGCATCCTATGAGTTAAAACTCTTGTTTCTATCAGTGTAGTCTGGTGTGATTTTTTTGGAGTGAAGTAAATAGCATGGTGCCTCACTGTGGACAGTGACAGAAACTGCTGAACCTAAATAAAGTATTAAACGGGGAAGATCTAGAGTAAAACCTTATATTGACTCCTTCCTCTCCTCCTCCTCTCAGATCTATCAGTACATCCAGAGCAGGTTTTACCGCTCCCCGGAGGTGCTGCTGGGGATGCCGTATGACCTGGCCATCGACATGTGGTCTCTGGGCTGCATCCTGGTGGAGATGCACACAGGAGAGCCTCTGTTCAGCGGCTCCAATGAGGTGAAAACAAAATTATCTGCAGATTCTACAGAGCTGAGCTGGAATTCAGTTCTTGCGGCGTGAAGTGTGTGTCTGCAGCGTTTTAAAGAATGATTTTTGTGTTTTTCAGGTCGACCAGATGAATAAAATAGTGGAGGTGTTGGGGATCCCTCCAAGCCACATGCTGGATGCTGCTCCTAAAGCCAGGAAGTATTTTGACAAACTGTCAGACGGTCTGTGGACGGTCAAGAAGAACAAAGACATCAAGAAGGTAACGCCTGTCGCTCATTTGACCAGGGGACAGTGTGTGAAAGAGCTGGTGAAGAGTGTGTTTATGTTTTATGTGTGTGTTTGTTTCAGGAGTATAAGCCCCCAGCCACGCGGCGTCTCCATGAGATTTTGGGGGTGGAGACTGGGGGTCCAGGGGGGCGGAGAGCAGGAGAGCCAGGACATGCACCCTGTGACTACCTGAAGTTCAAAGGTAAACCAACGGAGTATTCTGGTCATCGTTTAATAACTTAATGTTTTTTCATTTTCTAAAACACGCACAAATAAATCTGGTTGGACTGGCAAGATCCTGTTCCTGGTTTTGGACTTCAACCAACTTCCTGTTTATTTAACCAACAACAGTATTTCAGACGTATTGGCTTTAGATGAAAACAGAAGTGGTCTGTCTGTCAGATCTCGGCTCAGCATTTAACACTGTTTTGACCATGACATTTTTAATCAACAGATTTCAGATCTGGGCATGTCTCTGGCTGGGCGTGTCTTTAACCTGGATTGGTTTTACCTTTTCAGTAGTTTTTTCAAATTTGCCTTGGTGTTCCTCAGGGAAGCTTTCACAGATCTTTTATTCTCACTGTACATGCTTCCACTATGGAAATATCACACATTACTACATCATTTATTAGTGATGCACGATATGAAAAATTTCAACCGATACCGATAACCGATAATTTTCTTCTTCTCATGGCCGATACCGATACCGATAACCGATAAATTCATATTTTTACATTTATTATTATCTTCATATAATCTGCAGTTTGTGCAGGATGCAGCGATTGAAAACTGATATTTTTGTTGCTCTGGCCTATCTAGAACAACAAACAAAAGTTTTTGGCTCTTCAAATGTGGTCATTTGCTATAAATAACAATAACAGAGCAAAAAGCAGAACTTCATTTGATCCCCTGAACTGTTCAACAGAACTGTAAACTGTAAAGGAGCCATTATGAGCCGTTAGGCTTAGCATGCTGACCGGACTAACATCTGACGTCCATATGTCTGTGGTAAAACTCACGTGTAGTCCGTTCTTGTCGATCAGGTTGTGAATGTATGTGGCGACAATATCATAGAGTGCAGGAAGAGACACATCCGAGAAGAAGCGGCGACTTGGGAGAGTGTAACGTGGCTCCAAGTGTGCTATGAACTTACGAAAACCCGGGTTCTCAACGACGGAAAAAGGCTGTTCGTCGACCGCTATGAATTCCATCACTTTGTCGTTAATGGCTTTAGCCTTTTCGCTGTCTCTTGAGAAGCTTTTGCAGTTTTTAAACGCCTGCTGAATGGGGACATCGATCCTCCGTAGTGTTGTTGTCTTAGCTTTAGTACCGCTAGCGGCTTCGGCGGCCGTCTCATAGTCCTTTAATACTGCTCCGCCGCGATGGCGACTTTTCAGATGAGCTATCAGATTCGTTGTGTTAAAACTTGACGTCTTCTTTCCTCCTCTTGGAATCCTCGCTGAACAGGTTTTGCATATAGCAGCTGTTGTCATCTTCTGCCACTGAGAGAAACGACCATGCTGGTGAAGACATTTTATTATCTGTCAGGCAGTGACGGGGTCAGGCTTGGGACCTGCGAGTAAGGCTTGATAGACGACGTGACCAGCGCGTCTCGGACGGGCGGCTACTCCGCCTGCAAACGTTACGCGTAATTTCATTAATATATCGGATCTTTCTATCGGAAAAATGCACCTATCGGACCGATAAAAAATGACGTAATTTCCCCCCAAATCGGCCGATATTTTATCGGTCCGATAAATATCGTGCATCCCTATCATTTATCATTGTCATGCCGATGGCACTCAACTGTCTAGTGTGTTTAAATCTCCTCTATCCTACCTCACAATGTTTGGATGAGCAAGAACTTTTGAAAGACTGAAATTCCTGGGAACCTGGGCAGCAGCAGGAGGAAAAAAAACTGAACTTAATGCTCTTAAGTTTAAATGAAAAAAAAAACAAATGTTAACAAACTTGGCGTCAAGGTCATGAGTTCTTCATTTAGATATCTAAGAAACATTGCCAAATCTAGACCTTTTTGTTCCCAGAAGATGTCAAATTTATGCTTTTTTTTTCACAAGCTGTATTGATCACTGTAACTTCCCTATTATTGGTTTGCCCAAAAAGTCTCTCACTCTCGCCAAAAGAAAAACTGATAATATCACCCCTCTTCTTGAAACTCTTGCACTTGCTTTTGGTTTACAGTTGATTTTAAAGCTCTTGCTTCTCCAGTCATCACAGATTTAGTCTCTTTGTACTTTCTGGTCAGCTCTCTGAGGTGCTTTTGTAATCCTTCATTATTAAAATGAATTGGATTAAGATGGTCCTTGTCCTGTCTCTTCCCCTGTCAGATCTGATCCTGCGCATGCTGGACTACGACCCCAAAAGCCGCATCACCCCGTTTTACGCCCTGCAGCACAACTTCTTCAAGAAGACAACAGATGAAGGAACCAACACCAGTTCATCCACATCCACCTCTCCTGCCATGGACCACTCCCACTCCACCTCTACCACCAGCTCTGTCTCTAGCTCTGGTCCGTGCAAACACACACACACACACACACACACACACACACACACACACACACACACACACACATACACACTGTAATACATGCTCTGATGGTTAATGGACTGTGTTTCTATCTCTCTGACCACTCAAGCTCTTTTACATTCAGACCACATTCACTCACTGAAGGCAGAGCCCATCAGTTTCTGACTAATCCCGCTCACTCACCACTAGGAGGGGGAGATGGGGTGAAGTGTCTTGGACTGGGGCTCAAACCCCCAACCCTCTGATTGAGAGACAGTTGACTGTACCACAGAGCCACAGCCGTCCCTGACTAAATTTGAAACACAGACTTAAAACTTCAAATTCGTTAGTGATTCCCAGACCAGCTGGAGTTCAGACCTCCTTGTGTGTTTGTTTTGTATTTGAACTACATGAAACAAAGAGATAAGAGGTAGAAGGTACCAGGTGTAGTTCAGGCTGTGTCGGTAGAGTGGAGGTGTGCATTGTTAGTTTGTTATTGTGTTAGTTAATTGTGTATTGGTCTGTGATGGCAATAAAGGAAGATGAAAGAAAAAAGACACAAAAAACAGAAGAATCAGTCATAAAAATAATGTATAAAAGAAAATGCAGGACCAGAGCAGTAACAACAGTGGTTATTTTTCAGCCTAATTGATAAAAAAAGACCAAATCTAAATTTTTATTAAACTTAATCATAAACACTACATTATCACCTCCCATATAAAAATCACAGAATTACCTGATTGGTCTTAAATCTGTCTAAACACCTTCATAAAGAGCAGAATACTAACATACAGCTGAGGTGGTACGGAATTCTCCACAGAAATCATCTCTGCCATGATAACATGCAGAAAATAGACATGTGTACATCCTGCACGCTCAGTACTCTAGATCCTTATCATCATGCCCCTGTCTCTCTGGGTACCATTGATAAAAAAAAATTTAAAAAAATGCTGTGGAGCAACATACATCACTGATCGCCGTAGCACTAAGTAACACAAGACCTCTACTCAGTGCCTTTGCCACTGCCAAGCTGAAGACAACAGAGTGGTTAAAACTTACTGACATAGAGATCCACAAACAACCCTGAGACCAAACTTAACCCTCTGAAGCAGCCCAGACCCTCCTCTTCTTAGAGGATTACACTTCAGCCTGTGAACCCAAACAGTTCACCCACTTCTCACCCTGTGTTATCAGTCTTATAGTGCTTTACGGTGGAAAAGTAATACTCAGAGGATACTGATAAAAAGAAGGACAATAATATTGGTGCTTATGTAAACGCTGAAGATGATCAGACATCATTAAAGGTGACAAAGACAGTGATAGAGATGATACTTTAAGAGTGACTCACTGTCTTGCTGCTATATTTGCTGTATATATATATTTTTGTCCTTATTTTACTCTGTATTCATGGATATTTGTCTTCAATAATAATAACATTAATCACATCTGTTCCTCTGTCTCAGGTGGCTCCAGTGGTTCTTCCAATGACAACCGTAACTACCGCTACAGTAACCGCTACTACAACTCTGCTGTTACACATTCAGACTATGAGATGACCAGCCCTCAGGTAACCACACTCACACTTTACACAAACATTCAAACCTTCATGCTTAAAAAAGTCTGTGCAGTGTTTTTAATGATATCACTTCAAATCTGACATTCAAAGGTCGTAGATCGCATACACAGGTAGCGCCTCCATGGACTGTGTTGTTATCCATCAGTGACTATGGTCGTATATGAAGTCAAGCTTCTCCAGTAGCATTACCACCATAGACAGAAGTCATGGCCATAGATTTTAACCTTCAGCGTGATCAGGTCACTGTCCTAAACCGACCATCATGATCAAAGAAACAATGATGAGGGCGGAGTTAACAGAAGTGAATATGACAGCTGCTGAATTAAGTGTGGTTGAAAGGAAAACTTCCAGCCTCCTTTTCCCTGATTTTTGTAAACCTCACTGTCGCTCACAAAGCAGATTAAATGAGCGAGCTGTGAAATGGACTAAACAGGCACAGGAAAGTTTGAAAGAGCTTCAACGTCGTCGCATCCTTCAACACTGTCCTGATAGCATAGAGGAACCTGACAAGTCTGAGAACAAGTCTTGCAAAGTAATCCTGTAAACAGGTCGTCTGACTCCATCAGCGTGTGGTATCTTAGTGTACAGAAATGATCAAAAGAGGACTGATAGACAGAAACTATGAGGCACCTTTATGGAGAAGAATAGAGTCTGGAGGTACAGACAGAGTGCCAGGTAGGTTGTGTTTTTCCTGGTTTTTCTGTCTCTCATCTCTGCGTCCCCCTTTCTCTCACCTCCCCTCCTCCCCCAGGCTCCCGCCCAGCAGCAGATGAGGATGTGGCCGGGCAATGAAGGTGGAGGTGGGGGTCAGGACCCAGCATACACCCAGTTGCTGCTCCACAAACCGGCCGCCTCCCAACAACACCAGCGCCACTTCCTGGACCAGGCCCATCACCCCCACCCCACCTATTCCCATCACGGGAATGGCGGGCGTGGCCTGCGGCAGGGCGGGCAGACGGGCATTGGTGGTGGGGGGGGCCAGCAGGGATCCTCGCCCCAGATGAGTGACAGCATGGATGTGGGCGTGTCCCTCGGGTTGCACCACCTCGGGGCAGTGTCTTCCATGGAGGCGTCTCAGTTTGGCTCTGCCTCGCTGCCCCTCGCTCTGCCCATCGGACTGTCAGCCTTCCGGACTCGGACGGCCACCACCGCCCCGGGGCCACAAGCCCCGCCCCCCGAGGACTACTACCCCGCCTCCAACAACAATAATCCTGCCGCGGGGGGCCGAGGGAGGCCGGACTCAGACGAGGGGCCGGCCAACTCTTGATAAAACCTGAACCATGCCCTAAAGCCATACGATTTTAACTACAACTACTACAAGTCCACACACACGCCGAGTCAGAGACTCGAGGAGAACTGATGCTGCAGGAGACAGTTTGTACTGCATGAGAGGAGGAGGAGGAGGAGGAAGAGGAGGAGCAGAGGAGCACGCTTTTAGTTAGTTGTCTTCTGTTGCGTGAGGCTGGAGAGGAATGATTGTGAGGCGTTTGTTTTTATTAATCTTCTTCTTCTTGTTGTTTCATATTCTGATTTCTCGCTCTGAGGAGCTGTGTGTTCTTTGGTTGTTTTTTGATGCCTGGAGAGGAGGGGGAGGAAGAGGAGGGAGAGGGAGGGAGGAGCCTACTTCACCTTCACACCGGTTCATATTTACAGCAGTCTTAACACACACACAGACACACACACACTCACACGCTCACACACATACACGTTCGGAGGAGACAGCCCCGTGTGGTCCAGGACTTCTTCTTCTTCTTCTTCTTGGTGTCCTCCCTCTGTGGAGCGGGGCAGGGAAGGGGGAGGCGATCGGGGGAGGAGGTGACAGGACACTGAAGCCCCGCCGTGCGCTCACACAGATCTCCTCCTCTTCCTCCTCTTTGTCCTCCCCGCTCCTCCTCCTCCTCTCCTCCTCCTCCTCCTCCTCCTCCTCCTGCTGCGCTCCTCCTCCAGACAGCTCCTCCTCTCTGTGCTGCTAATCACCATGACAACTGGTCCGGATTGCTGCTAAAGATCCAACACAGATCAATAAAGAAATAAAAAGAAATAGAAACAGAATAAAAACTTTTTAACCTTCTGCTTAAGAGAAAAGGATAAAGTAAGAACCACTGCATCTCAATGTATTTATTACTATTTAACATGAAAAAACAAACTGAAAGTAACCCTTTTTTCTGCTCTTCTTTGTTTGGTTGCCTTCTTTCTGCAGGTGAGCTCTGATTGGCTATTGTAACAGTGACAGTAACTGGTGACATGGGAATGACACCAGTTGTGGGGGCTGGGTGGAGGGGAGGGGTCGGGGCAAAATAAAGTTGGATATATAATAAGAATAAAGAGTATACTTTTGCACACCAAAGTCAAACAAACATCAGATCTCCGCTTTTCTTCCTGCTACTCGCATCCAACACCTCATGACATCACTTCCTGTCAGGACCATGATCAGGTCGCACAGTGGGCCGATACACCTGCAACAACCTCACACAGCCTTTGTCATGAAACAATAAAATATCACTGAATACATCAAAACAAATTAACTGACACAGATAAAAACGAATTGTGCACCAAGCGTTAACGATCAAATTGAGCTTTTTAAAACAGTTGGTGCAATTCGCTAAATCTGGCATTTTTGCGGCTACAGACCATAGACTGTATAAACTATGGACAACTTGGTTCCACCTACCGCCTGTATACAGATTTGAAGCCAAATAGCTCTCGGTATTTCCGGGATTTTTCTTCATTTCCTGAAACCAGCGCTGTGCAGTAGCGATGCGCGCAGTCGCCGAGAGTCACTGTGATGACGCTCGGCATAAACAGCGTATCCCCCGGGAGAGCTACGCAATCCCTGAATGCCCATAGGCTGTATCAGGTGTCCATCATAGCAAACATGAACCCCCTAATAACTTTTAAAAATGGAGCTTCACAGAAAAAAGAGGACTTGAGCACAAACCAGTCTTACAGTAACTACATGTAAACATCACAAGCAGGGGGTAGAAACATTTATGTTCTATGTAATAAATTTCTAAAGTTTGTCCACAGCTCCATAAGCATTGCTGGCGGAGGCGGGATTTATGACCTATACTGCAGCCCATCAACAGAGGGCGCTGTTCTCGGAGTGGCTTCACCCAACAAGGAGGCAGACTCTGTCCATTCTATATACAGTCTCTGTTACAGATGCATAAGCTAGTGTTGAGACAGCCACTGAAGTCCTGCACACAGAAAAAGCTCTGTGCAACTGTTAAATATCCAATGAGAACAAGTCAGTATTTTACGCGCACAAGAAAATAAACCACACTAGATTGTGAGTTTTGTAGATTACCACCAGTTTCCATATGTCCTGCACATATAATGATTATCATGTGGGCAGAAATGATCTTGTGCACAAAGGGGTCTGCTTGCACAATAATTCTCTAGTGTCAACAAGTTATCTAAGTGCACAAGTAAATAAACTGCACAAGACAACAAGTTGTGCAGGACATTTTCTCTCCAAGATTTTAACTTATCTTGTGTGCACAAGATACGCTCTGCCTGTACTGTACTTATCTTGTGTGTTTTGAGCCAAGAACAAAATCCGTGGCACAAGATTGTAAATTGTGCAACAACTTGTCCACACAGAATTATAACCTATCCCCATAAACCATTGACATGCACAAAACATTTCTTGTGGGCACAAAATCAGTTTGGCTTGCACAACAATAAGAATGAGTTATAGTCCTTTGTGCACAAGATATTAACAGTGTAAAATAGTGGCATTACTTTTTTTTTCTCTGCATAAGATTGCAACTTAATCCCTGAATTAACCAACAGCACAATAATCATCTGTTATGAATTAGTTATGATCGTGTGCAGAACAAAACAAACTGCAAGAGATAGAGTCACGCAGTTAATCATATGTGTGTGCTAGATTATAACCTTTCTCATATAATTATTATATGTGCAGAACTGTTAGCTCAATAATCCACACATAAACTGCATAATTAAATTCTCTGTTCATTCACAATAACTTTTACTGCAGAACGCGTGCTTCGAACACAGGATAAGGTCAGCCGTGCACACCGAACTTTGTGCATTTTTTTGTGTACGCGAGAGAATCATTTGTGTGCACAAGATAAAGAGCTGTCTTGTGCACTTTAACCCTCATAAACTTGTTAAAACATTCACTTTTTTAATTCTAACATGTTATTTATTATGAAAACAAAATCATATGAGGTCAATCACAGACACAAAAAAAGACGATATTTGAATGATTTTAGGATTGTGTGGCAACATCTCAGAAATAGATGCTGCAGTGAAATAATCGTGATGTTATCTTCCAGAAACTCTCATCATCACTAACCTGTTGAATAGTACAGAACAAACACTCACAGGAGTAATGCTCCTGACCCTTTTCAAAGTACTTTAGCGGAGCTTAGTATGTACCAATGTACCATGTGGCCCACCCCTTAATTCATCTCCACAGAGGACGCTTATGTTGCAGGATAATTGTCATTAAAATGTGTTATAAACAGTATTCATGGAGACTAAGGACAATTACTGTAAAATTATGACCTTAAATAACAAATTCTATCATGCAGAATCACAAACGCTGCTGCTTTTGCAAGATGTTCTGACTTGTCTGTATCAGATCAATGCAGTGACCTCACAGGACTTTGTGGTTTCAGTTGATTTTAGTGAGGAAACGTTTGTTTCATCCAGGTACCTGGCTGCTTTCATAAGCTGCAACAAAAATTAACCTGTTACTGGCATTTTGCAAAATTTAAATACAACAAAGGTCGCTCAAAATGCTCGGTGAAAAGTAAGAAATTATTTTGTTCGAAACTGTGATTTATGTGATTTTCAACATGACCAAGATAACAGCAGCAATCCTGATGGTGAACTTGAACATCTGATTCAAAGAGGAGAGTTCAAGTTGCGCCTCAACACAAACAACTACAAACACAGAGAAACTACTGTGACACTGTAGTTTCTGAGTTTATGAAGTGAGTTTGTCAATGTAGGAAATGCACTTTTATTCATGTTTAGTAGAAGGTGCCAATGTAAATTTGTGCAAATGAAGTCGAAACCGGTGTGGAAAAGACCTGTCCTCGGTTCATACAGGACTGGATAGAACATCAAAAATCAACAATCAACTTGATCTTGATCTCAACAACCCCTGCTGGACCATGGTCTGCTCACCTCTGGTTCTTTACTGGTTTCTGGTTTGGGATTGTAAACTTTGGTGGCGCCCTCTGCTGGAAAAACTACACGATGACGCCGCCACCTCACCACTGGCTTTGCTTCTTGCTTCTGTGTGCTGACAGGTAAACAAAGGTGTCATATCAACATTTAACATAAATGCCTGACACCAGAACAGTTATTTATTTCAGAAACCAGGTCTGAAGTACATCTGAAAAGAGAAAATGTGGTTCTGAGCAAAATTAAAAAAATATATATATATAAAGATAATCAGCCCTAGATATGGTTGATATTCATGCAGAAGCACTCTGATTCCACATTCTAGGACTGCGGAAGAATGGACACTGGATAGTCATTGGAGTTGCAGCTATGAGGGCTGGGGACTTTTTTGGGAGTTTTTGACTCCTCTTATTGTAGGAGAATTAAAGGGATGTCTTCAACAGGGCTGTGTTCCTAGTTTCACCGAAAGGAGGTGACACCAGTTAAAGTTGACCCTGGGCTGTGGAAAGTCACTTGGGGCTGTAGTTGAAGAGTCATTGGACTCAACTCAACTCATCTTTGTTTATCGAGCACCTTTTATACATTAAAACCTGCAGCTCAAAGCGTTTTACACCAAACTGGACAATGTCTCCCACCCTCTCCACAGTGAACTGGTCCTGCAAAGGAGTAGCTTCAGCAGAAGGCTCCTCTTAATCTGCTGATTTAATTTTTTTTTTTTAATGAAGTTATAAAATACATATATACTGTAGATATCTACAGTATACTATAGTGAAACCAAGTCCTCTGCATTTTATTTCTGAAAATATCGGCCAAAATCTGCGAGTTTTGGCCGATTACAGATGAGTCTCAAACGGGCTAAAATTGGCCGATTTAATCAGCTCGCTGATAAATCGGACGGGCCCTAGAATATAGTGTTCATACTTATACATTGTAAAACTGTATACATATTGCATATTTTGATTATCTCTTTATTGTTACTTATTTTAATATATTAGTTATCTCCTCTTTCTTCTTTATTTGCTCTGGAGTTACTGTGACATAAACCAATTTCTCCCTGGGAATATTAAAGTAGTTCTGATTCTGATAATAGGACACTACCTTTACACTCCAGACCAGCAGAGGGGGGTCACGCACACCATGCTTGTTTGTGTCAGGTCGTGAAAATATCACAGAAGAATCGTGGACATTTATTTGGAAGGTATTAGAGCGGAAGTGTTTTTGATGCCAGAGTTGGAAATACCTCAGGTGGGAAACTCGCGGATTCTCAGGTGTCCCATCAAACATTCAGGTAAATGAATAATAAACTCACAGCGACAGTTTGTTGTCTGTCATGGATTAATTCTAGCGTAGTTAGTGTCATTTCGTGTGAGGTGGTGTTTGTTTCCAGCGGACACTATATGCTGTAACACCGCAGTGACATATGTTGCATATGTGCTCTCTGCTCAGTCTCGGGTTGGCTTCAGGTTATATAGAGGAGCTGTCAGAGGTGATGAAGGTGTGTTAGCAGGTGTTTATAGGCTGCTAATGCTGATGGCCTGTCAAACCAAATTCCATTCAGAAAAACCCGTAAATAAAGACAGGTAAACACACCTGTGAGTTTGTTTATTGGCTGACTCACTCAGGTCACTTTAGGCAGTTTCAGGAAAAGCTTCAGTTACTGTGATGTCTTCATGTATTTATTGTTTTACATTATATCTAAAGTAATGTATAAAAATGTTGTACATGATATCATGAACTAATTAAAAGCAGTGATTAAATGAAGGGGGTTTGGTATGGGATGTGGTCTGGCTCAGGTTTTAGAGGCTTATTGTTTTTATTTTGAAATAGGGTAATCATCAGTGTGCGTTATCTGACATTAAAGCCATTTAAAGCATCTTTGTTCACAAAGATAAAAACCTTTAGTCCCAGTTGAATGATGAGATGAATGCTCAAAAGTTAAACAAGGACACTCATAGATCCAGTCAGTGAGTTTGGGTCCTCTCCTGATCCGTCTGCAGGGCCTAAAGCCTTTATAAAACCACAAAAACCACACTGAACTTCATATTGATCAAAATAATCAAAGCAAAGAGTTGTTAGTGTAAACTGTGCCAGAGGAGCTCTGAGTCTGGAGCTGATCTCTGAGGCCCAGGACAGAGACGGTTGGACAGAGAGAAGGAGAAACAGTATCATCATCTGCAGGCCTCATGTAGCAGCACACACCCTGTAACAGACTCTGCTCTTATCTGTCCCCAGCACCAGCCAGACAGCCTCATAACAGACAGGTCACAGGAAAACAGGAAAGACAGGACTACAGCTTGACTGAGCAGAGCTGTGGGACAAATCATTGATTACCTTTATGACAGATTGATTATCAGTGACTATCACAGCGATGTAGATTAAACAGACACTTTTAACAAGACAGAAAATATGGATTACATTCAAGTGGTTGGTTATTAGTCAAGTTAAGAAAAGGATTTTAGAAGCAGAACATGGACCCAAAGATCCAAATTTTCGATATTTTAACTTTGATATTTCAAATGTTAATTATCCTTGAGGACCTATAATACTCTGTGCTTATCTGTGTTCATTCCTGTGTTTTCATCCCAATATATACATTACATAAAGGGGAAACACATTTCTAATTTCAAATATAGAAGTTCTGACTATAATAGTTGAATAGAATACGAAGTTGACGGATAATCTCTTCTTTTAAGCTCCTGAACAGACCTGCTTTTTGGTGAATTAATGAATTGATTAGTTCTACCTGTGATGAGGTCTCTGCCTGAAATCAGAGACTTAAACCATCAAAACATTTAACAGTTTGAAATGAAGCTGCTTGTCCGTTTTTATTCAGAAACTACTTTATGGTTTTTATTTATCACTGTGTTATTTTTCTGCATCATTGTGTCTTTACATACCTCTGTTGTACCTCTGAATGTTGTTCAGTGGAGAGCTGCAGACTCAATTTTGTGTACCTGGTGGTATGACAAAAACAGATTATTTTCAGATATTTTCAAAATGGAGCTTTCTAAAGGAACCGTATCAAATTAAATCATGTACACAGTATATTTTAGTATATTTTATAAACAGGAAGAGACAGACAGGGTAATCTCAGGCAAGGTGAGGTGTTTTATACCAGTGAGCATGTAGCCTGGGTATAGAAGAGGAAAAGTAAGACACAGTAAAGATGAGCTAGATTACTGGGCAGAATAATGTCTGAAATTATTCAGGTTTAAAGTTTTTTAGATGATCAGAATGACTTTGTTAGTCAGACATTGTCACTGGGGGAGATAATTAAACATGCATCAGTGCAGATCCAAACAGGTTTTCCAATGCTGCTCCTCATTTTCAGGCTGCAGGAAAAAAAAAGGCCATGCGTTGACTAGTTTTACTAGTTTTTCCCAAAATATTTTGTTTTCACATGTTTTTAGATCAGTTTGATGAAAACACAAAAAAATCTGAAAAATGTTTGTTTTTCAGATTGTAAATGTTTTCTGAGATTTTTTTCTGTTGATTGTTTTTGGTTTTCATAGAAAATTTCATCATTTGTTCAATATGATCTAATGTGATTATCAAACATTTTAACATTTTTGCTAACTTCTGTTTGTGTTTCATTAAATATCTTTATGTCAATAAATTAGAGCTTCTTGTTTCAGTACATGACAGATTGTTTTGTCATGTGGTTTGTGTTTCTATAATCAGCCCATGAGCACGGTTGCGGTCCTCGGAGGAGGGATTGGGGGTCTGGGAGCAGCATACTACCTGAGCAAATGTCCTCAGGTTACCAAGGTAACACACACACACAGACACACACACACACACACATAATCTTTTCCACAATGAACACATCAGTTGTTTGCAAATGTATCACTATGTTATTCACCTTTTAATACTTAAAATACTTGAAAACAACAGTTTAATTGAATTTATGTAGGATGAAAATATTATATATCTTTAACACCATAAAAACAAAAGTCTGGGGATTTTTGGTCAGTTTCTTATCTAGAAGAGTTTATTAAAGTTGAGGGAAGATTGAAGAAAGCCCTGCAGTCCAAATCAGGAGACAGCTTTGCTCTTAAAGCAGCTAAAACATATTCTGATGTGTCTAAAAGATTAAGAAGACAAAAACACATTAAACAGACACAAAAAAGGTCAAATCTGCATTTTGATTTCTTCCCCCAGTCCATGTTTTCAGAAATAATCTCAACTGTGCTCTGTCTCCCTCTGCAGGTCATAGTTTTGGAGTCCAGTGGGCGGTTTGGGGGCTGGCTGTGGTCCACCAGGAGGCCTGATGGGGCCGTGTTTGAACATGGACCCAGAGGAATCAGACCTGCAGGGGCGGTGGGACGAAACACTCTCAACATGGTGAGTGATATCTGAGTTTAAACAGCACGGGCAGAGCTCTTCCAACCAAATATGTTTATATTTAGAGTAAAATCACTGCTAATGGGACGACTGTCCTCTGTGCGTTTGAACTCTGATGGTTTCAAAGGTATTCATAACTTACTCAGAGGATATAGTCCAGTGGATGGGGTCATGTTGTGCTCCTGTTGAGCCTGAGGGATTCTGATTTGCAGAATCACCTGTCAACTGTTGATTTTCAGATGATTTATTAATGCACTTCATAAACTGCCCCTCGGATTTGACCGTCGGTAGCACTTTGATAAAGAGTTGCGGGATACTGAAAGAAAACTCATTTTGCCTTTTTTTCCCTTTACAAAACACAAATTTACACCAGAGAAATGTTAAGTGCTTAAAAAATTTATAGAGATATCCAGTCATGTAATTCTACTGTTTACAAATGTGGACAGGAAGAAGTGATCACTGTTCTGGGCCGAATGTAAAAAAGTGTGAAGTAATCTGGGCCTCCTCAAGAATAACAGACTAAAGGTTTGACTGAGAGAAAAAAAGAGACTCTTCAGTTTAAAATCAAGCTAATTTATGTCTTAAAGGAAAAGAATATCAGGGCCGATATGAATAAAAATCCTTTAATAAACCGGGACATTTTCATTCTGTATCAGAGTGCTTTATATTTTCACTCCCTGCTTGAAAAAAACAGAGCCGTCACATTTTTGTCTTTAAATTTGTACATTTATAATTTGTACCTTTCAGTCTACTCTCTGCCTTCAAAACAAAACCCTCCTACTTCTACCCAGCTGCCAAAAGACGTCTCACATCGTAGATTTGAAAAGTTTCCTCCAGTGTTGTAGCATTTTAACTGACTTGAATCAAATGATATATGTCTTACTGCTCTCAGCGTACCAAAAGGTCAGTTTAGCATGAAACTGAACATTTATATTCACAGTTCATGCTACTATTTGGTTATGAAACAACTGGAACTGATAAGTCTTTGTCTTTATGGAGACAGATATGAAGAAGAACATTAGGAAGGGGAGTGAATGTTTCTGTTTGGTTCTTTTTACTGTCAAAGACCTCAAGAGGGTCTTTGACAATAAAAAGTCATATACTTCACAGCAATAAAGACAAGGAAAGTCCAGATTCTCAGTGAGAGACACATTGGACCATTGACAGAGAGCAGGATGAAACTTTTACTCCAGAGACATCATCATACTTGTTCATGTTGAAAGCAGCAGAGGGTCTGAAGCTAAGAAAAACACAAACATTCATACTAATCCTTTTTCTCATGTCTCATGTCTCTGTGTGTGTGCAGGTGGAGGATCTGGGTCTGGCTGATGAGATCCTCCCTGTCACCTACAGTCATGTTGCCTCTAAGAATAGATATCTGTACGTCAACAAACAGCTGCACAGGATGCCTTCAGGGCTCGGGTAAGAGTGGGAAAAAGGAAATCTGTTTGAGAGTTTACATAGTGACATCAAGCGATGTGGTCTTTAAGAGCATCCTCCTCTGTTCTGTTGGCTTCTCAGTGGAGTGGTTCGGACCGTCCCTCCCTTCACCCGCCCTCTGCTGTTGAACATTGCCATGGAGATCCTGAAGAAGAGAGGAAAGGAGGAAGATGAGTCCATCCATTCGTTTGTTTCCAGGAGGCTGGGACAGGAAGTGAGGAGATTTTGAAAAACACTGTTTATGAAAATCAATGAAACCCGGACCGAGAATTTTCCTCTTAAAACAATCAAAAACATGAATGACTCATTTATTGATGGTATTAAGAAGGAACGTTTCCACTGACTTTTCTCCTGCATGTGTGTGTGTGTGTGTGTGTGTGTGTGTGTGTGCGTGTGTGTGTGTGTGTGTGTTTAGCTGGCAGATATAGCCATAGATAGCCTGTGTCGAGGCGTATTTGCAGGAGACTGCAGGATGTTGAGTGTTCGCTCCTGTTTCCCAATCCTCTTCAACTCAGAGCAGAGCAAAGGTTCCATTGTGCTGGGGATGCTGCTGGGATCAGGTACAGGTCTAAGATTTAAGGCCAGAACTGGCACTTTGAAAGCTTAAACATGCTCAAAACGTGTGAAAGGGTCTCAGACACTGGCTAACCAGCCGCCTGTTTTGCACAAAAATCTGTCAGATTTAAAGAAAGTCTTCAGACAAACAGGACTCAAGGAGAGTTTAACAAAAAAAAAAAATCTTTCATCTGCTTTAAATTCAGAGTTTGCTGCACATGCTGCAATCCAAACCCTAGACATGAACACATGTAGCACTTTGAAAGCTTTGGAGTTTGGCTGTACATGAAAAATCTCAGCCTGAACACACCTGCACTCCAGATAGCCACTTAAACTCTGACCAGATAGTCCCTAAAGCCATAACCCAAACCTGCCATGAAGAGCAGAGGTCCAAGCCCAACAACCACTGATGGGATTATGTTGGAATAATGTACCATGTGGGATTATTAGCCATGTTGAGACCTTCAAAGAAGTCTTCTGAACCCATATTGTAAAACTTGCATAAAGTCCATAATTTTTAATCTACTGGGAAACTGTCTCATTTTTAGCCATATCTGTGCCTGTCCTGTCTGGCTAATCGAACTTACCTTTGAAAACATCCATACGGTACATCAGTGACAGTGACAGCCACCATGATAGTTCTCTGAACTGTCTGATATTAATCTACACCAAATCTGAAACGGCCTTCCTTTTTTTCCCCATGAGATGTACTTCTGGATTCAGTTTGATTTTTTTCTCATGATTAGATAGATTCATGTCTGTTTTGTGTAATCTGTTCCCTGTTGGTCTGCAACTGTCTGTGGTAACCCTACAGGTGGTGGTCCGGTGGTCCCTCCTGGTCGTCTGGCTCAGAGGTCAGCCAAAGAGTCGTGGGCTCAGTGGTCTCTGATCAGAGGTGTGCAGTCCCTCCCCGAGGCACTCACAGAGTTCCTGCAGCAAAGCGGGAGGGTTCAGCTGCACCGAGACGAGGCGGTGACGAAGATCAGACCGTCAGGGAGCGGCTGGACGGTCAGTGAGGACTCCAGGAAGTATTTAAGAACATAAACCTGACTGCATGTAGCTGCTTTTTCAACCTGTCTGCGCAGACTTTGACTTAAACGAGCCCTCGAATTACTCAGCTGTTTGTTTTCTTTATTCTAACTGCATGAAAATGTGGAGCCTAAACTGGAGGCAGACTGTTGCTTTCTTATGATACCTTTCTGATGTGTGTGTGTACGTGCGTATATAGATTCATTTGGAGGATGGTGTCTTGACTGCTGACCACATCATCTCTGCACTTCCAGCTAAAGGTGAGTGATGGCCTTTCATGGTGAAGTTTTATCTTTGTCAAAGTTTGACTTTATCAGTGTGAAAAGTTCTTTTTTAAATCTGAGTGGAACACCTGTATGGTTTCTCTTTTTCCCAATGCCATCACAGCCTCCTGAGCTGATGATAGGCTGAGTTTTCTTCTTTATTCTTTTTTATTTATTTATTTTTGTTATAAATTTATAGTTTTATTTATTATTATTATTATTATTATATATCTATTTTTTTATTTTATATTTTATTTATTTTCTTTTTTTCTGAATTCTTATTTGTGATGTAATGAAGACTATCTTAGGCAGTCCCAAAAAAAGAGAAGATACAGATCATAGCGTTTCAGGACAGTAAAGCAAACACACAGAAAAAGAGCAAACTAAAAGGTCGTGTCCTCTATGAAGTGGTGTGTGTGAAATGAGTTGTAGTTTTTGTACCAAAGATCTTTAAGTGTGAACATTTGAAGACCTCACTGTGACACTGACGTTGTCTAAAGTGTCTCCTCACTCTCGTCTCTTTTTGACAGCTCTGTCCTTAGCCCTCCCCTCCTCCTGTCAGCCAATCATCGAGCAGCTGCAGGACATCTCCACGGTAACTGTTGCCGTGGTGAACCTGGAGTACCAGGGCTCCATCCTGCCTGTGACGGTGAGAATTTTACAGAGGGGGTAAAGTGGACCCACATCAGGGGGGTCCTCAGTGTGGAGCAGACAGAACGTACTGACCACAGCAGACCATGTCGGCTAGAGCGAGCTGTGACTGTGTGTGTGTGTGTGTGTGTGTGTGTGTGTGTGTGTGTGTGTGTGTGTGTGTGTGTGTGTGTGTGTGTGTGTTTGTGTGTGTTTTGGTCACCTGGTTCCCTCATCAGAGGATCGGGGTCTGCTTGGTGTCGTCTATGACTCTGTTCCCTTTCCTGAACACAACAGACCTGAAGGACACACAACAAGGCTGACGGTACACGTAGCACGCATGCAAGCACACACTTCATCTCTCTCTGTCTGACTCTATTTTGATCATCAGATTGGTGATTTGGCAGTCTCAGTCTCGGTCTGGTCTTGCACAGATGCACAGAGAGAGTTGAATTAGTGTCCATCAGCAGATTTCCTTCGAGAGGAGCAGCTGGTTCAAAAACAACTTCAACAAGTTTAAGCACCTGTAGATATGTCTGATATGTCTGCAGGGTGTCACTCCTCTGACCTGAACTCCTGTCTCTGTCCTCCAGGTGATGATGGGCGGGGCTTGGTTCCAGGAGGCATTTGGTGACGCAGAGTCAGTTTCAGAGGAGACCCTTCTAGCAAGAGCGACCGAGGCTGTGCAGACACACCTGGGAGTGACCTCAGCGCCGAGCTGGAGCCGAGTGATCGTGCAGAGGGTAAACACACAGCGTCTGTTTAAACACATGTTGATTCAAACCAGGACATAGAGGAAAACTCTGACTGTGTTGGTATGTTAGTGTTGGACCCAAATCATCTCTTCAAGGACCAGTGCTGATACGGTTAATGATAATATGCTTTGGCTGACTGCTGTTGTACAACAGTTTTTTATAACACCCATCAGTCCACACACATTAGTATCATCTGTCCAGTAAGGAGGTCCAATGGTTGGACACACTCTGGATAGCCATGGTGTTTGCCTGATACCTTCACACTTATGTTGATTTTTCAGTTATTTAATTTAAATATTAATAAATCGGATCATGATTGTCAGAAAGTCACTCATTTTTATTCTGTCCATCTATTGAGTCAGTGTGAGCAACAAACTCCTCGCCGTTACTTCAGTAGATTTATCCAAGCTTTATCCTGACCAACTATCTATTGGCTATTGCAGTTGACCTTTAACCCTCCTGTTACCAGCTGTGACAACAGTCAGATCCACTATGGATCACTAAATATGTCATGTTGCATTTGAGTCAAAGCAGAAAAATCAGAAAGCCAATAAACCTGAATGTTTACTATTTACTCTGCATTTTCCTCTTTCCTTTTTTGGCTGATAATATATTTTCCTGCCAGACAACTGAATGTGAGACCAGCTAAAAGAAAAGCTGACCTTTTACGTGTTTTAAGAAGGATTTTTACTGACTTCATAAAACAGTATAATACTCTGGGTATTTAGTTGTTTCTTCGGTCATATATCATTTCTGTTTTTTCTTCACCTTGCTGAAAAGCTTCTCTAATATGCAGACTGTAGTGCTGCTGTGTGAGTAATAAAGTCTGTGGTGTGTTTCCCTCATCAGGACTGTATACCTCAGTACTACCTGGGACACCATCGGAAAGTAGGTGAGTGTCAACTCCACCACATCTGAACAGGAGCTGTTTATAGAGTTAACTTTAACACACAGTGTCATTTAGCTGATGTGGAGCTGACAGTTTTTCCTACTTGAGGAATTAATTTTATAACTTTGCTGTATCTATAGCTGTGGATTTATGAGCTGCTATATTTAAGAAGTAGCTGACAAAAAAATGATTTATCATGCCCTGTTATTTAATCAAGTTTCAGACAGTATTGATATATTTCTGTCAGCTGATGCCTGTTTATGGTTGAATAATTTATTGTCAGCTAAGCTCTGTTTTCAGTTTGATTTGAATCTTATTTGGTTGACAAAAATAACAAAGCAAAGATTTTACTTATTTTTACTATATTTTTATATTTTTCTATTGTGTTATTTTGTGCCATATTATTATTTTTTTACTGATACCTTCTCTTTGCACTGTCTCAGGAGCTGTTTTTTTTTTAATTTTTTTGCGCCTTTTGGCACAATGACAATAAAGAATTCTGATCTGTTAATGTCTGTGTGTCTTTCCAGAGTCCATGCGCAGCTTCATCAAGAAGAACAACCTGTCGCTGTCTCTGATTGGCTCCTCCTATGATGGCGTGTCAGTGAATGATGTCATCTTTAGTGGACGGACAGCTGTAGAGGAGCTGCTCGGAACCAAATTTTGATAAGGCCGTGAACTCAGTAGAACAAAGGGACCTTTCTGTTTACAAAGAGTTTCAGTAAAGCATTTAAAGCCACTAAACACTGATCTCTTCACTCCCATCAGATCCGCTGTTTTTTAGAGAAGCAAACGTTTATTTAAAGAATTATTGAAAAGCCCAAACTGTTTGATTCATGAACTCCAGTCCCATCTTTCTGCTTCAGGTCAGAACTGAACAGCTATGAATGTAAAGATCATGCCCATGCAATGTAAAGCCTTCTCTCTTCTGTGCCCAGTGTAAACATTCAGTTTTATTAAGATTAGTAATTTCATAAAAAAAGAATCTAGAAACATGTTTGTCAGAATTTGTTTAAGTATGTACAGAACGGGGTACTGTCAGGGATGTAAAAACAAAGCCCTGGTTAAAGAACCAGATTAAAGGTGTCCAGTTGGATCACATCTTTGTAAAATAATCTGGGTATAAGATTATAATAATATCTGGGTTGTGTGTGTCTGATCAATCCTCCAGTCGGTATTATTAAAACTTAGACTTATCTGATACCAGCACAGAGCCAGATTCAGACTGGATTACAAGACTGATGATACAGTTAATATTTTTGATGTGGAGAGATTATTTGTTTACTTGAAACTAAACAAAGAAATTAAAGAAATGTTACTGTTTTTTTTCTCTAAGGAGCTGCTCAGTCTTTCTTAAAGGCTAAAACAGTGGGATTGTAGTTTTTGATGCTGAAGCAACATAAATAATGTAAATTAGAAACAGTAATAGATGCTTGAGGTACACCATGTTAGATTGCATTTCTTTGACCATTCATAAGTATATAGCTTGTAGAAGTTATATCCTATAACTTAACCCTTGGGTCTTGTTAATGTTAAGCTCCATTCAGTCACTTTGTCCCCAAAACAGACGTGTTCATAAAATAATTGTTTTTAACATTTTTTTAAAAACTTTTTTGGACTCATATCTCTCAAACAACTTCAGCCATTTAAAAAACTAATAACTACAAAATTCATAAACTAGGTGTGCCATCTCATGCAGAAAATTGGGAGCTGAACATAAAAATGATGAAAACGACAAATGTCCGCAAAACGGACATAGTAGTCATCCACTTACAAGGGACCATAATTGTGCATTTTTTTGCTACCAATTTCTATGAAATGCTTTAAAATGCTGAGTCATGTTGTTTTAGTGTCCCGAAGAACAGTAAATAAGTTCCCATTTTACATTTTACCAAAAGGCCCCATTTTCAAATATGACATATTTATTACAGATCAGCTGCAAGAATCTTTCAGTTTAGTTAATTCTGGCGCCCCCCTGTGGAGGAAGTTTGTAGTTTGAATTCCCATTTCAAACTCTGGTAATCCGGATTTTGTTGATTTAGGCCAGGAGCCTTTTGCTGCCTTTTTTTCCACTATTATTATTTCTTGTTATCCTATACCTTGGGCCATAACAAGTTCATACTGACCCCCCCCCCCCCCCCCCCCATCTCGGCACCAACTTATTTTTGGGGAAAGCTTCTGGTGAAATGATGTAATTGCAAATATTAGGGTGCTGCAACTGCATAAATGGTCAAATAAGTCTGAATTTTGCATGGTGTATCCTAACACATAGGGAAAACTACCAGAATAATAATCTGGGGTTTACTACCATTCTATTGCCAAATATCACCCTCTGAATACCCCAAAAGACCAAAAAATGTCTGTCCGCCTAACAAATTGTCATCAAAAGTGATCATTTTAAAGTGTTTTCTTATGCATTTCACTGCCTACCATGGATATGGAAAACTTCCCACATTTATAAGCTTCAATTTAAATCCAAGCTGACCTTTATATCTGGAAAGTTACAGCTGCTATGACCAAAGTACTTCACTGTACCCCAAATCTGAGAAACCTGACAATTCCAGAATCATCATTCCAAATGGGATGAAGCACATTTTCTAAATCTAAATCAAATCTTAAACAATATTTGAAACATGAGTTATGTAGTACTACACTATCTGAAGTGAATTACATAAAATGAATAATGGTATGCCCCCAGGTGGACCAGGGTATCAAGGTCCAACATTAAACATGATCACACCAAATCCGGGAACCAAATAGGAGATTTATTAAAGAACAAGATCCGGACAAGGTATAAAAATGACTTGTGAACATTTCTTAACAATAGATTAACATTCTGTGCAACCTAATGGAGAAATATGGAAAAAAAAAAGCTCAACCATAAAACATATTGCTATGGTCCTTTTAGTGCAATCTCTCAAGCATCCAGCAGAGGGCCAATCCATGGTTGTAAAAATCTGTTGAATGGTTTAGAGACCTGAGAAAAAGGTCCTCTCAGCTTATTTAATTCTCCTGTCAATATTATTTCAGATGATACCATTTGCTCATTCCTTTCCTTTATTTGAATATGAGCTGCTGAAATTGAGTTTACCTCCACAATGAGGGGACACATAAGCCAAGTATGCTGATCATACATGCTGATAAACTGCTCAAATACTATACTGTTGATGCTCTCCTTAGAGAAACATGTCTTCAGCTGCAGCAGTCACTGAGCTCCAATATGAAGAGACAAAAAAAAATCACTGGCATCATGTAGTGAGTCAATTCAAATGAGAAATGACCACACCAAAGAGGTAGAAATGACGGTTTTATTTAAAAAAGAAAAAATAGTATATCTTTGTACAACCTCATTACCTCAGCTTAACACAAGTCCTACTCTCCTGCAGTTCTGCTGTCTGTCTGCTGAGTGTGCAGGACACACATTAACACACAGACCCACAATCTATCTGAGGCCAAGCTTCTTCTTCTCTTTGATTTTCTTGCGAACCACTTCCATGTTTCGATCCTTCCATGTACTCTTCCTCAGTTTGATAGGTCGACTGCCAACATATTTCCCTGCAAACACAAACAAACACAATGAGTTATTTAACAGTGAAGGACTCAAAATAGATGGATGTTAAATCTGAGGCTGTTTGTGTGCCATAAGTGAACAGGAAGGGGCTGACCGTTCATCTCTCTCATGGCGCGGACATAGTCGTTTGGATCCTTGAAGCTGACAAAACCGTAACCTTTTGTCTTTCCTGTGCGTTTGTCTCTCACCACCTGATCACAAACACCACAACATCAACAGAAACATCCCCAAAAACATCAACAACTCCTGTCATTTTCAGCAATCTCAGTCTTTTGAGTATAATAGACTTAGCAGCTGTCACAAATCAAACAATACATCACATACATTTAACCATGGTTTGTGTAACTGCTGTGTAAACTCATCGTAAGGAGTCCCACTAGAAATAGAAATAAAAGAGCCAAAAATATAAACTAAAAAGACAAAGAGCCCTACCTTAGCTTTAAGGAAAGAAGGGTATCTGCTGAAGGCTCGGGCCAAGATGTCGTCGTTCACTTCATTACCAAGATCACCGCAGAAAATACGGAAATCATCTGAGACACAGAGAGGAAAACCAAACCTTTATTGTAACGTCACATTACCTGTTTTTCAGCAGATTATCACAACAAAACAGAAAAAAAAAAAACATTCCTCCCCAAGTCACATCCAAAGGTGCTTTTCTACCAAATGTATGATGAACTTTTAGTTCCAGGAATTTCTCTTGAAGCCCCTGTGAGGAGTTTTTGATGATGCACACTGAGATGAAAAGTGATTTTTTGATAGTGTACAAGAGTAAATGAGACTTTCAACAACAAGACTGACTCTTTCTATACAGCCATTTTTAAAGCCTGTATTATGAGGGGGTAGGTCCACCATGAAACAGATTAGTTACCTTGGGACTAAATTTAAACTCTGGTTCCTACGATCTAAGTTGCACAGAGTTCCTCTGAAGGACTCTAGTTCCTTTGGAAAGTTACTACAGTCTAAATGCACCATAAATACATAAAACCAGATCATGTGTTTATTAACTGATCAGACCAACTGTGTGTTTTTGTTTCCTCTTCTACAAAACAACAGTTTAATTTGATCATTATGAGTGTTTCTACAAATCCTCTGTCAGGGTCCCTGTTGTGTCTTTCAGTACCTGATTCCCACTCCAGCAGACTGGGGTCCTCCCAGCTTGACCCTGCTGCCGTTCGGATACACTTTTTCACCTTCTCCACCTTTCCTTTCTTCTTGTCCTCGGTGGTGCTCTCTGCAGGCTGAAACACAAAACATCATGTCTTTAATGTTTGGTTGATTTCTTTGAGTGAAATTATTCAAAATTTATTTTAAACAGAGATGGATGAGTTAAGATGAACTTTTTTGACCCTGAGGGAAAATTCAATCAAGTTGTTAAGTCAGCATGGCAAAAGTTGGCAGTTGTTAAAAGAATAACCAAACAGGTAAAAAGTTGTGTAATGCTGAAGAAAAAGAAAAAAACAGGAGGAGGAACATCTCCAACTAATGAGGTGAATTTCCAACTGGTTAGTAACATGACTGGGTATAAAAAGGACATTCAGAGAGGCTGACTGACTCAGAAGGAAAGACGGGAAGAGGTTCACCACTCTGTGAGAGACTGCGTGAGCTAATAGATCAACAGTTTCAGAAAAATGTTCCTGAGTGTCAAATGAGAAAAAATGAGTGGATTTCATCATCTACAGAAACTGAAGATAATGTCATTAAAAGACTCAGAGAATCTGGAGAAATCGCTGTACTAAAGGAACAAGGACCAAAATCAAGACTGGATGGTCCTGATCTTCAGGACAGAACCTCCTAATGGAAATTACTGCAGGGACTGAAAATCACTTTGTCTGTGAACACAGTTCACCACTGCATCCACAAATGAGGTTAAAACTGAACCAAGCAAAGAGGAAACCAGTAAGAAATACCAGAGACTTCTCTGGACCTGATCCCATTTAAGATGGACAGAGAGGAAGAGGAAATCTGTCCTGTAACGAACAGATTCCTCCGATGAATCAAAATGTGACATTTTTTTTTGAAATTATGGACATTGAATCCTCTTCTTGCAAGAGTAGAGGGACTGAATAACTTAAAACTAATTTGCCAAAATTTGTTGACTCCTGTTATAATGTGCTACACAGTGTATGGAAAAACAGTTCTGTGTTGATGAATACAAATAACATCCTCAGCTTTCACATCTGACAGTCAGGTTCAGCGTTCACTTTCTTTCTAACAAAATTTGTTGATTTGCATTCCAGCCTCAATTTTTCCTTAACCTGAATGTATTTAGACCAAAACTAGGAGCTCCAGGGTAAACAGTGGCGGGCAGTATAGTGGCTTTACATACCTCAGGGTGGGGGGGCTCCGGCTCAGGCATGCTGGGCCCAATGATGGCACTGCTGTCCTCACTCTCCTTCTTATCAAGCAGACCTGCAGCCTTCACTGCTGCCTGCTGCTCTGCAACCCGTGCCGCCAGCTCTTCCTGAAACAGACACACCAGAGACAGTCAGATCATCATTTACTGACAGTACAGCAGCATACTTTTATACAACCACATCAACAAAATCACAACAAACGACAGCGAGCACACGCCCAGCTCTCGGTTCATCAGTCATGTGGAGACACATTTCAAAGTTTAGGTACCATTCTGGCCTGTCTCTGAGCTCTGACGTCGATTTTTCTGTGTACTACAGGAGCAGGAGGAGCAGAGTACACAGTTGGAGCGGCCTGGATGATTGATGGCGTGGGTTTGATGGGGGCCGAGGCTTCCTGTCTGGTGGGAGGGGCCGACACCATGGGGACCATGTCATTGACCTAAGACAAACAACAAACACCAGGGGGGGTCAGGAGATGACTAGTTCTAGAAAAAAAAAACTCCATATTAATAATGTTGAAAGAACTCTATATTCAACATGATGACGTGCATATATGCTGTCATGGCAACACAGACCGGAGGGGCAGATGTAGGACCAGCCATGTGCTGCATGGGCTGAGGAGCACCTGGAGGACCCTGACCCTGTAGAGAAGGAGGGATCATCATGGGAGGAGGGGGAGGAGGCCGGGGGAGGGGAGGTGCTATATGAGGCCCACGCATCATGGGCAGCCTCTGACCACCTGATGATACAGAAAAGAACAAGTGTAGAAAGATGATGTTATAATCAAAGAGAGAAGAACATCTGAATGAACACTTTGCTCTGATTGATGCAGGAGACTCAGGCAAAGATTGTTAAAAGCTCCTCTGAGGAGGAATTGTTGGAGATGAAACAGACTGATCAACATTTATGCCTCTAAAAAAGCAACCAAAAGAGAAGATTTATTTATTTCAAAAAGTGGAAAAAAAAAAACAGCTAAAAAGGCGGTACCTTTGTTTTTGTTTCACACCAGCACTTCTGTCCATATTCACATTCACTCTGTCTGTCTCACTCTTTGACACAGTTGTGACTTCAAACATGTATAGCACCAATGTCTCAAAAAGTTGATACTGTAAAAAATATTCACTAAAGGAGAGTAACTGGTAAGAGCTCATAATGGGCAATATTAAGATTCATTTAACAACTTGACACATCAATAACTGTAGCTGAACCCACAAAAAACACCCAGGTGCCAGTTGTGAAATCCAGCTTTTATCATATTAGGCAGCTGGCGAAGGCAAAGCCATTCCTTGCACGTTAGCACTTTGAAACAGTAATTTATGCCTTCGTTACATCTCGGCTGGATTACTGTAATGCACTTTACTTTGGAGTCAGCCAGTCCTCCCTCTCACGTCTCCAGTTAGTACAAAACACAGCCGTCCGGCTCTTAACTGGATATGTAAGAGGGTCAAATTACTCCCATCCTGGCCTCCCTCCACTGGTTACCTGTGCACTTTAGAGTTCATTTTAAGATTCTTTTATTTGTTTTTAAATCTTTAAATGGTCTGTCTCCATCTTACCTCTCTGAGCTTCTCCACCCCTACACCCCTGCTCGGTGCCTCAGGTCAGCTGATCAGCTGCTCCTGGAGGTACTGAGGTCCAAACTGAAGCTCAGAGGGGTTAGATCTTTTTCTATTGTGGCCCCAAAATTATGGAACAATCTACCCCTCCAAATCAGACAAGCCCTCACACTGTCCATTTTTAAAACTCGTCTTAAAACCCTTTTTTATTCTTTGGCTTTAAACCCTGCATGAGACTCCTGTTTTAGTGTTTTATGGTTTGCTTTTAGTTATTTGTTTTTATGTTTTTAAATTAGTTTTTAAAAACATTGAAACTATATTTTACTTTTTAATATCTGCTTTTATTTTATCCATTGTCTTAATTGTGTTTTGATTGTTTTTTATGTCGTTGTTTTGTCTAGTTATGTACAGCACTTTGTTCAGCTGTGGTTGTTTTAAAGTGCTTCACAAATAAAGCTGAGTTGAGTTATGCTCTCCATTGAAACCCAAATAATAGAGAAGTCCAAATATCACAATTTTAAAAATGATAGGGAAAAAGCTTTTGCTAAACCAAGATTCTGCTCAACAAACTTTGAGCATTCTTCTCAAAAACAGTTTACTTTAACTCTTCAATTTACAGTTTGCCTTCCAAAAATCTTGGGTTGAGCTGCTTAAATTTGGGCTACAAAATGGGGTCTGACTATAAACTTTAGCCAGTACAGTATAAACATGTGTAAAAACATAACCAACATCTATCCAGATGCACTAAAAAGTCTGTGTCTCCCAGAACAGATTAAGATAAGATACTCCTTTATTAATCCCACAAGGGGAAATTCCCAATAAATTTGAGTGGTTACATCAAAACGGTAGGTAAATTAAAAGTAACGTACAATCTACATCAACGTATCAAAGTAAAAAGCTGCTGTTATCCGACGGTTAACCTACCAGGTCTCTGCAGGATGTGAGGGACAAAAGCTGGTCTCATCATGGGAGGACGAACTGGGGGGACTGGGACAGACACAGACAGAGAGAAGCATAAAAGTCATGTCAGAGCTAACTTTGAGTAACACATTTTTTACCACTGCCAAAACTTTATTGACTCTTACCTGGTCCCACAAATGTCGGCGGTGGAGGACCGACAAAGCTAGCAGCTCGGGCTTCTAACGTCTGCTGGACCTGAGGGAGTAAGAGAGAGGAGAGCCAGAGTAAGACACTGACAGAGGACCACGAGTTAGAAAGACACCAAACACTTGACTCTAAAATGAGAGGATGGTGTGTAGAAGCACAGACCTGTCTGTACGTGTTAGTGCCGATAATCGGTCGCACCAGAGGAACAGTAGGAACAGACAGAGCTACAGGTAAAGCCTCCATGACAGGTGGGCTTCCTGTAACAGGTACTGGACCACCAAGAACCTCCTGCTCAAATCTACAGAGAAGGAGGCAGAGTGAAAGAGCAGGTTAACGAAAGCTGTTTCAATGCAGGAGGAGTCAAAGAAGATACATCCTCTCTAAAAATATACACTTGTCAGGTATTGTATTTATATACAGGGCCTGGTGTGTTAGATTCACAAGGAGCCCCAAACCCTGCACAGGTGGTCCCCCATAGAGTCAATAACCCTCAAATACTCACAGAGCCATCTCAGCCTCCATCTCCTTCAGACGGTCCTCTCCTGACTTCAGAGCCATGCTGAGACAAAATAAACACAGATTCAAGCTTTTATTTCATCTAGAAAACGGACTGAAAGTCAAATCAGTGCCTTTTTATGTTCTGTGGTGACACGACTGACCATTTTAGGTCATACTTTCAAATGCGTTAAACCGTGCATTACACAACTAACCTTAGTCTGTGATTTAAAGTGTGTGGATTCAGGCAGTTACTGTTCAAATGAATGGATGATCCTCACGGTGTCAGTTCACGTCGGCTAACTCCGCTAGCTTCACGGTAAACACCAGCTACCCGCGAACGTTGACCGCCTGTAAAACTGCTTCACTAATTTCTACGCGGCTGCTCGTTATCCAGATCATCGAAGATAAACATAATGAACTAAAACACGGAAAAACAAACAAAGCTAAACGAGTTATGAGTGTGCTTCTTCGAAGAACCGTGTTCTTGATTTTCTTCTTCCCCTCTTACCAGATTGTAGTTTCCTTCTCGTCTTTGCTAGCCGCTAAGTACTAGCGCCCTCTGCTGGAACCTCCGCCTTTCTTTCTTTCTTTCTTTCTTTCTTTCTTTCTTTCTTTCTTTCTTTCTTTCTTTCTTTTCTGTTTTGTTTTTTGGCAGACTCGACGCATCCGAGGAATATTGCTGTCCTCGGCTGTTTCCATGTGATATCTGTTACATCTCAATCATGTATATCCCAGTGGACTGCTACGGTGACCGGCAATTGTCACTGCTGCAAATAAGAAATAAAGAAGAATCCAAAAAAGAAAAAAATCCAATATCATTTTGATTTTTTCCTGCTTTACTGCATTTTTGGCCACAATGTCTGCTTTCTCATTCCCCTGTAAACCCACATGTGCTAGTAGTAGCAGCACATCCTACCTCACATCCCATTTTGTTACAGAGTTAGGCACATTTCCATGATTAAATCAGGTCTGGATTTGGACCATGCATCTAATATTTTCTGTACAGTAGCAGCCGAATCACTGCATATGACTGCTTAACTTGGTTTGTTGTTCTCCACCCACTGAAGAGCCTTAAAATTGCCATCATCCCTGCTGTGTATACTGACATGTGATCTGATATCCTTTAGCGTAAATGAATCTGATAGGTCTGTATCTGGAGGTGAGGGCTGGGTCTTTGTCTGGATTCAGCTAAACTGTTATGAGTGTGTTGTTCATCTGTGTAGGTATGGCTCCTGAGGATGATGTGGTTGACTGTCCTGATAAAGAAAGGCCTATGAGTGTCTGTCAGAACTATGTGATCTGTAGTTGGGCATGGAGAAGATGGCTTTCCTGATTTCATCCTTGGTTGTGGGTTGGTCCAGAAGGGTGGCTTGGTTTAATCAAGAAATGAGTGACTATTGGATATATTTGTGTTTTTGTCAAAATGGTAAAGCTGTTGGTAATAATTGTGAAAAAAAACAACAACAATGTTTATTTCTTGTGGGTTATGAACCATATTCCCTGGGCATCTTGAACTGCAGTTTTTCAGTTCATGGACAATAAAATAACTGGATTTTTCACTGTGTTCGGAAAAGTTAAGTTTGGTTCTTTGAATGGGAAACTGAGTTTTTTTGGTTTATGAGATTTTAAAGTTGTGATTTAGTTTTCTAGATTTCATTTTGAATGTTTTTAATTGGAAATTGTGAGTATTAAAGTTCGAGATGTTTCAGTTTTTGTTCCAAATCTAGTTGATTTTCATTTTTTTTTTTTTTTTAAATGTGGAGTATGCAATGATATGACCTCGGATTACTGCTCAGGCTGTTTCACGTGGTGTGGGTTCACAGTCTATGAGAGTGCTCTATAAAGGATGTCCACTATCTGGTCTGGTGAGGAGGTTGTCAAACAACTTCAAATCCCATGCGAAGCTGTAACTCACGTGACGTGGGAGCGGTGACGTTCATATGGTTCATATGGGTGGGCTGGGCTTACTGTAGAGATTGGAGCTCCATACTCCTCTCACTGGCGGCTGCTTCAGTCTTGGCCTGAGTTGCACGTATCCGTCTTGTTTGACGTTTGGTGCACGAGAAGACTCACAATGCTCCGCACCGTGATTTCCAGGACTCTACCCGGATTGAGCAGCCACCTGTCGGCTTGTCACTTCTCTGCAGCAGCCATCCCAGCCCCCAGCACCCAGCCCGAGGTCCACTTCAACAAGGTACGGTTCACGCGTTAGCCTCGCGATCACAAGAGTTCAAGTTCGGGGCATTTGCCAACTGCGCACTTTGAAGTGTTCACAGTTTTTCTCAGACGAAAATTTCACCCGTTCAGAAACAGAAAATCCATCTCAGAGGACTCAGACCGAGGCGCGTGTAGCTGTGATCCAGTCTATTGTCTGCTCGGGCGTCAAACGTGCAGAGTTTCTGCAGCCACGGAGCAAACTTAGAAAACCATTATTTCTCAAGAGAAATCATCAACACTGACGAGGTTATAAAGGGTCAATCATTAACAGAATCCTCCAATAAATCCATATTATATTGTTTTGTCATGTACCCTACTTAGACAGGAGCAATAAATACCTGCGCCCCACCTATTGGGTAAAAGAGGAGCCATTGTGTCTAATAATTTAGCTGTAAGAACATGTTGGACTTCTTGTTCTGCCTTTCCTCAGCAGTTACTCTTTGTAATCTGTATTTAATGGAGTCCTCCTCATTAAATAAACACATTTTATTTAGGATTCTTGCCAGTATTATTTTGGGGCAGTCTTTAATATTTACAGAGTATTAAAGAAAATGTGGAAAAAAGATGACCAATCAGTTTAGTTTTGGACTTTTAACACCAATTACAAATACCCTCAAAAATCCTGACTGACACTGACAAATGATTTGACTTTTTCATCGCCGCTAATTGAAGAATAATGATAGGTAACTGCATCTTTCATTGCATGCATTCAAAAGCACAGTGGTGTCATTTTTTTTATTATGGTGGCAGCATGAAGACATACCTACTATGGTATGCCAAAAGGGACAAAAGTAAGCAATTTCAAAACTGTATGAGATGAAAATAGTTAAACATATATATCAACCTTTTAAAGAAGAACAAGTAAATGAGAAGTACAATTGAAATGACAAGAAAGGACCTGTCCTCTTTTCTTTGTATTTGATCGAATCATGAAGCATGTTCTTACAATTTAAAAACATGAATCATAAAACTGCTTTAAAGCTTCTGTCGGTAAGTGCAACTTCAAAAAAGTGTTTCTGCAAACAAGCAACTCCTTTTAATTTGCCTTTGTGGGACTAACAAAGAAGCACCTTATCTCTAATGTCTTTTTAAGAAAATAATCTGCACAAGGCCTCATGGCTTTTTCCATTAATATATCACATTTAAAGTGTTTAAACAGGTTGTGTGACCTCATGATATAGCACATACATTTCAGGTGTTGTTGTGACAATTTCCTGTCTGGCTTCATTCCTTGTGAGAGTTTGTTGCCTGTTTAAACAGGACCAGAATACTCTTGGAGAAGTCCTTTGAGGATAAAAATCCTGGTACAGTGAACAACAGCCGTTTTTAAGACTAAATGTCAACATTATCAGTGAAATATTTCTCTTCCTCTTTCCTGTTCACTCACCCTCTGGCCTGGTTATGATATAACAGTCAAGTCTCTAAGAGGTCACCTGTGGGAGCAGAGGCAGTGTGTTAGAGATTTAACTGGAACACTCCTGTCTTTGTGTGCTCTGAGTATATGTCATTAGACATGGAGTGTTGGTTTAAGGCAGAGGCTGTGCCGCTGTTTAAAGATTATCTTATATTGCGCTCACTTATAATAGAAATAGAGGAGTGTCCAGAAGATCACTGTAGCATGACTCAGCTGTTTCTGAGTCTGAAAATCTGATTATCTGTTTGTCATTGACATAACTAGAGTAGGGACTAAGAATATGAGCATTTAGCAAATAATTTGATGATCATCTGTTGACCCCCAATTTACCAGTTGGTTAAATGAATTATTAAATTTCTGTAGTGTCAGCTGCACCCTGCAGTTTGACATGGTTAACCTGCAGGCTCTGTGATCCTGTGTTTAGCTGCTTTAAATGAATCTGGACTGTTTCTGAAGTGTTTTAAGACCATCAGACCAGTTTGTCAGAATTAAAGTTTCAGTTTGAATGACTGTGAAACTAAACGTTTCAGGACATCAGATCATTAGCTGCGCTTACATGGACAGTATTTCTTTATTCTGATTCAAGATGTTGGGTTAGGTGCTTCGCTGCATGTGATTTAGTCAGATCTGGTGTTTACATGCATCTTAAAATTGAAGCTGAAAAGCTGTATGTCCCGCTCAGAATCTACATTTGTTGTCCAATTTCCAGTCCGAGTGCAAATAGCATTTTTTGTTTGACCGCTCCTTTCCTGATAGATGATATCTACCCTGTATCCAACATAGAAGTTGTTGTTATTTCCTCCTCTCATTTCAACAACAGCTGATTAACCAAGCCTTTACTGCTTCTTAATGCAAGAGAGACAAGGTACCACAAAGCTTTAGTGGTTCTGCTGCCATATGTGTATGTATGTAGCCATGTGTATGTGAAGGCATTGGGTATAAGCAGAAAGAACACAGAAACACTGTTTACATGGCACTTTTTTCACTGCCACTTTTCACTTTTTATTTTTCCATTTATCTAAGATTGATTATTGTCTGTACATATAGTACAAACATGAACAAACTGGTTCATACACCAGTGGTAAGAAACGTCTCCACACCTGCTCTGCAGGTAACAAAAAGAGAGCGGCGTTCTCTGACACATCTGTTCTGTCAGTGATTGATGACGGTGAAATCCCACATGTCAAGCATAGACCTGCGTCTATCTCTGTAGTTGGTTGATCCTTCGGTTACTCTGAGCTTGAACATTTGGATCATCATGAGAGTATGTGTTTTTGAACTGCTGAGCCTCCATCAGCTGGAAAGTGGAGGTTTACCTGCTGTGAGAACAGAAACGTTTTTGTTAATATTCTGCTGAATAACCAGCAAGATTTTCCTTTTTCGATTCTCCAAATTAGTTTTCTTATTTTAAGATTATTTTTACATCCTTTAAATTAAAACTAGATAAAATGTAAAAGAGGTTTTTGAGAAAATATTTGTAGTTTCTCTGATCAAAAGAAAAAATATATTGGTGTCTTTCAGCAAGCACAGGATCTCAAATTTCAAAAGGATGACTCAATACTCAAAACAAAAGTGGAAATATGTTTGTGTGATTTGAACGTTTTGAAAATTTTGAATATTTGAGTCACATTTGTTTATAAAATTCAGTATTGGTGGTCAGGAGTTAAAATGTAAGTGGAAAAAAATTGAAGTAAAAAAGAAACAAACATTTAACAGTTAGTCACAGTCAGGTCACTCACTAGTACAAACACACTGACATGTACTTCTATCAGCTGCTGAAGCATTTCCTGGATAGCAATCTGACTGGAGTCACTGTGTGTAGCTCTGCACAGTGGTGTATAAATGATTTCTACTTTAGTGAAGACTCAGCGTGACAAACATCAGAGCTCCAGATATCTGAGGTGAAACTCATCACGGTGAAACCTCCTTTCACTGTGTAGATAATCGTCTCAGAGTTTAATCAGTGCCAAGTCTAATAAATAGTTCCACTTAACCTAGATTCCAGACGTTTATTATCTGAGGAAACATGAGCTTGGCACATACAACAAGTTTTTGTTGTTGGCATAGTGAGTGTTAAATATCTCCAAACTGTTGACCCTCTGTCGTATCTCTCTCCATGCTACACTGACTCACAGCTTTAAATTTTGGTATCTCATAAGATTAACTGTCAGAACTTTTTCCATTGATTAATTTTCGCACAAAGTAAAATGAAACAGTTCAATGTTATCTCAAGAAATGACGCGTTTTGACGAGAAATTTGAATGTTTCAGCTCTTCATCAACAACGAGTGGCAGAATGCTGTGAGTGGGAAAACTTTCCACACCATCAACCCGGCAACCGGGGAGGTCATCTGTGAAGTGGCAGAGGCTGATGCGGTAAGAATACACTCTGACACACAGATTTATTCACCTGTACATAGGGCTGGGATGATATGCTTACTCCTATGATTTTTTGGATGCTGATTCGATTTAAATTTCGATTCTACGATATTGTCGATTTCCTTGATCTTGATCCACATTTTTAACATCCAGTGAAAAAGTTGAATGATTATGATTGTCTACTGACTATTCCAGGAATCATTTTTCCCGAAAAAATACACATCGTATGTAAGTTGGTTTGTAAGAGTTATTCTTAAATTTAAAAAAAAATATATTTTTGAACATAAAAATCAATTTTAAAAATTGTAAAACAAAAAATCGCGATACTTATGTGAATCGATTTTTTCTCGCACTCCTATCTGTACACCTGTGAGAGCAGGTTAAAATGACTTCAAGTAAAGCTAACATGAAATTCACATAGATGCGTGTTTTCCATGAATACGACTCGAATCCGGATATGCCGGACTTGTAACTCAGGAGAAGAGGACTCGGTCCAGACTTGACTCTGATTTTTTTTTTCTTTGATGACTTGGACTCAACTGACCACTGAGGACATGAGACTCGACTCGGACTCAAACTTTGGTGACTCGACTACAACACTGCTCTATGTACAGAATCCATATGGAGAATCTTTTGTTTCTTTTAAACTTGTCTGGGTTCCTCCACAGCCACATTTCTAAAAGTCCTCAGTGACTCACAGTGGTTAATGTTTTGGTGTTTTACCTCCAGGCTGATGTTAACAAGGCAGTGAAAGCAGCAAGTGATGCCTTCAGGTTAGGGTCACCATGGCGACGGATGGATGCCTCACATCGTGGTCTGCTCCTGTTCCGGCTTGCCGATGCCATCGAGAGGGACTCTGCGTACCTTGCTGTGGGTCACTTATAAAATCAGATCACAAACAGAGCTTCTGGTGTTTTCATCTGACTGAGCACTTCATGTTGCTCTCATGTTGTTTCCGCAGGAGCTAGAGACTCTTGACAATGGGAAGCCATATGCAGTCGCCTACAGCGTGGATCTGCCTAATGTGGTTAAATGTCTCAGGTAACAGACTTATATTACAACAGGCTGTAACTCTGCTGCTTTCTTACATACTACTGCACATGTTGGCTGATTCAGTCTGGCAGGATTATAAATTTAAAGGAAGTCCACATAATTAAACCATGTGACCCCACTAAAAAACATTAAAAAAAAACATTTCTAGGAAGAATGAATTAAACTGTTATCTACCATTGTTACACTGTGAAGTTGGATGGTCGCTGCACTCTGGCTGCTGGATTCGTTTTCTCTAAACTTTTCCTGCATGAGTGAGGTCTGTTGACAAAAATGAAAATGGGACTGTATGTGGATTAAGATGAACAGCATGAACAGCATGATCTGATGTATCTAATGTAAATCTATGCCTCCACATTTATAAACAACAGCAGGTTTCAGGAGATATTTCATCCTGAGCAATCTTCCTCTCCCTTTTTGGCAACTCTGTGCACCTCTCCCTGCTCTCTTCTCTCCAACTGCACTTGATTTACCTTACAGGACAAAACAAGCCCAACACAGCAGGCAGCATAATAATTATTCAGTCCCAGTGATCATACTCTAGGGATCTTGCGGGCCCATAATTGTTACTGAAGTTGAAATCTGATCAAGTATATACAAGATTTAGTATATAATCCAGTACTATGTCTCCTTCACCCTCCTCCTCCTTAGTCAGAGTTTAGGGTTGGATTAGTACACTTGATACCACGGTAGACGTTACAGAAAAGAGCTACATGCTTTACTTAAATGCTTCTGTCTTTCTGATTCGATCACATGAACAAATTACAGAGCAGCTGGTATCTGTTGCACCACTTATCCAAACATGGTTTCTGTGTTGAGTTCAGGTACTACGCAGGCTGGGCTGACAAATGGGAGGGAAAGACCATCCCCATCGATGGAGACTTTTTCTGCTACACCCGACATGAACCCATTGGAGTCTGTGGACAGATCATACCGGTGAGAAGGAGGGATAGAATGTTAACCTGCTGTGGTTTTCTTTTGATAAATGTGAATAAATGCACTAAATGCCAAAGAGAGAAAGAAACTGTCTCCAAATTCAAAACATCATCACTTCTCTGTCCCTCACAGAGACGCAGCACAGCTCTTAAAAAAAACAGGTTATGAGATTAAAATCTGCAGAAATCTGGCCCCGTTTCACCTCTGCCAACATATTTTGTCCCTCATCAGTCAGCCAGTCTCTGCTCAGATAAAATCAACACAAACTGCCACGCCTTCAGTCATGCTGAACATGTCTATGATTTATTTTGAGTTCATGTCAGGTCACAGAGGGAGGGCAGGAGGAGAGAGTCCTCATACAACTCCCTCCAAGGACATGTCATTCTAAACCAGTGGCTGCAGGAAATCATCTAGGTCACTGGCACAAACAGAGGGGTGTGTGCCGATAGCAGGGAGATAAAGACGATCATTTACATGTTTAACACTCAATGACTGCTCTGTATGCATTGTGCATTTAATAATGCATAAAAAAAACTGATACCTGCAGATAAACCTGAATATCTTAGAAAACCTCAAAATGTTTAAGTTGATCTTAATTTTAATGTAAATCTTTGAGGCTTTTCATCTCCTAATTGAGAAGATTGTAAAGGAAAGAGTCACAAAACACAGCAGAAATCTCACATCTTAACAAGTGTATTTCTCTCATTTTTGGTATATCTCTTAACACCTGATATATACTGTATATATATATGTATAAATGGATATATATGTATGTTTAGCTGTCCGCATTGACTGATCTTTGATGCTGTTTTTCTAGCAACAATGAGAAGCAGGTGATTGTAATCTTTACTATTAAGTTTAATGTTGAGAGAGAACAGTGCTATGGAGCAATATAGTGCCAACGGTCACAAAGTCCTCTGTGAGTTCAATTTAAACTTCAGTTTTTAAAAAAGGCATGCGTGTTATACACAGTGCAGCGATTAAAAAGTGAAGGTCACAACAATTTGGTTTGATACCGTGACTCTTTTTGTCATTATTATATTTGGTCTGGGGGAGGCAGAAAGTTTGGGTGACAACTGCTCTGATGAAACTCGAACTTGTTTACTTTCTCACGACTTCTTCTCTGCTGAGTAAAACAAAAACAGCTGCGCGCTGCGTGCCTTAAACTTTTGAGGCATGTTGGAGTTTGATAAGCTTCAGTCTTAAAGGATATAGAAGTGAAGTAACACAGCATGTAGAGCAGGACTGACTCTTTCTCTCTCTACAGTGGAACTTCCCTCTGCTGATGCAGGCGTGGAAGCTTGGTCCTGCCCTCGCCACGGGAAACACTGTGGTGATGAAGGTAGCTGAGCAGACGCCACTCACAGCGCTCTACGTGGCCAACCTCATCAAAGAGGTACTTTTTATTCACACTCACTCTCAATTTTTATCCATAAACAAACCAAAAATGTACATTTGGTCAGTTTGGTTCATCACTGTCATCCTCAGTGACACTTGGTTTAAATAATGATTAGTGTCTGCCTGTCAAATACACCTAATAACACCTGCTAACGAGGCTCCTGCCTGACAGCGCTGCAGCTAAGTTTGAGGAAGCAATTCTAGCTGCTCTAAATCTGTATTTTTTTAGGACACGAAGAGCTCCTTTGTGAACACTTTCACTGAAGCCAGGAGAAACCAATGGTTGAATTTTATTTGAACCAGGTCTTACATACACAAAGGCCTGGATGACCCCAAACACCTCAGAGGGACACTTTCTAATGACATAACTGTTGTAGATGGCATCAGTCTGGCATCCAGCGCCACTGTTAAGAATCAGGGAGTTCTCTTTGACCGGGATGGATCCTTCAAGTCCCAAATCCAACAAATCTCCAGAACTGCCTCTTTTCAGCTGAGTAATAAATCAAGCATCATATCTTAAAGCGCTCCAAGTTCCCTATTACCCCTCTAGAACAGTAAGGTCCCAATGTGCAGGTCCGCTCATTGTACCTAAAGTCTCTCAAAGTGGTCTGGGTGGTAGAGCTTTCAGTGATCAGGCCCCTTTCCTATGGAATCATCTACCAGTCCAGGTCCAGGGGTCAGACTCCCTCTCTACCTTTTAAGAGTAGACTTGAAATGTTTCTCCTTGATAAAGATGGTTCTCTATAAAAATGTAATGATTGTGATTGAAATGTCTGGTTGTCTTTGCAGGTGGGTTTTCCTGAAGGTGTTGTGAATATCCTGCCTGGCATGGGGCCATCAGCTGGAGCTGCTATCGCTGGACACATGGACGTTGACAAGGTGGCGTTCACTGGCTCCACAGAGGTAGGAAAATCCTGTGATTCTGTTGTTAGTTTGCTAGTTTGTTAGTTAGTTTGTAACATGGTGTATGGGGCTGAAATGCAAACATGACACACATTATCAGAGTAAGCTTGATCAGATGGTGGTCATTCTTAACTGTGTGACAGCTATCTAGCAAAAACAGAAAGAAAACAGTAGGCAGAGTGCGCTTGGAAACAGGAGTTCTTATTTAGAGCAGGACACAGAAAAGAGACACCATTACCTCTCTCACGGTCTCTGTTTTTCGTCTGTCAGGTGGGTCACCTGATCCAGCAAGCATCAGGCAGCAGCAACCTGAAGAAAGTCACTCTGGAGCTTGGAGGAAAGAGTCCAAACATCATCCTGTCTGATGCCGACTGTACGTGTCTTTGCCTTTTATATCTCCATGATAATATTCAGTGCTGTGTTTGTATCCAGCAGAGATGAAATAAAGAATTTGTACTTGAATCTAGAAAGAATTGGACCAGTCAGCAGAAACAAGATTTTCAGACAGGAGTTCAGAGTGTTTGAGGATGTGACAGTAATTGTCTTCTCTTTGTTTCCTCCCTCAGTGGCTGATGCCGTGGAGCAGTCCCACTTTGCTCTGTTCTTTAACCAGGGTCAGTGCTGCTGTGCCGGCTCACGGACGTACGTCCAGGCTGACATCTACGACGAGTTTGTGGAGCGGAGCGTGGAGAGGGCAAAGAGACGAGTGGTGGGAAACCCGTTTGACTTAAAGACCGAGCAGGGACCTCAGGTAACACTCTCAGTCAAGCAGACTGTAAGTCACATTATTTGACAGGAGAACTCTCACCTTGCCCGTTTGTTTACCTGTGCAGGTGGACCAGGAGCAGTTCAACAAGATCCTGGGTTACATCAGCAGCGGGAAGAGAGAGGGCGCCAAGCTGATGTGTGGAGGAGGAGTGGCTGCAGACAGAGGGTACTTCATCCAGCCCACCGTCTTTGGAGACGTCCAGGACAACATGACCATCGCCAGAGAGGAGGTAGGACGGCTAGGAGAGGGTCATACTGAGTCAGTCTGTGTAGTTCAGGTCATTTATACTCTAGAGCCAAAGATGAACTTTGACTGCTGCATACATCAGTCTAGAGAAGAGGAGGAGGGTAGACTTTATTAAAGCCAAAGGGGAAGTTTAGTTTTTTCTCTCTTGGTCTATTTTATTTAGCTTTGTGTCTAATGTCAGGGTAAGACGGCTGAAAATAAACAGCGCCCAGAGCAGCTAGGAGTCGGTATGTGTAAATATGCTGTGCAAGAAATCGTAACCAGTTAGAGAGCATTTTTAACACATCTTCTACATTTGGGTCTGCCTGTGAATTATCCTGTGTGGACCAGAGCTGTGGTAATTTAACATTTTTGATTATAACTGACTGTCTTTTTTGAGAACATTCAAATGGATTGAAAATTAAAATTAGATCGAAATTAAATAAAAAGTGTAAAGTGATACTGTGAGTTCATGGCTGAGCTGCTTTATGTAACCCATAAAAGAGACACAGCTGCTTGCAGTACTTTTAAAACCTTACATTCAGAGTCTCTTCAGGTTACTGATAAACTAAACATGTATACTTTGTAACTGCTCTTTAATTGTTTTCATTCAGTTTAGTAACTCATGAGCTATATGAAGTAGCTTATACTGCAAAATAAAAGCAGAGTTTCACAGTGCAGGGAACAGAGCAACCTAAAAGTAAGAAATAAAAATATGTCAGAAAGTTTTGTCTCAAACTGTTTCCGTAACATCTCGTTTCCTGCTGCAGATCTTCGGGCCAGTGATGCAGATCTTAAAGTTTAAAGATCTGGAGGAAGTGGTGACCAGAGCCAATGATAGTAAATACGGTCTGGCAGCCGCCGTCTTCACCAAAGACATCGATAAGGCCAACTACGTGTCCAACGGGCTGAGAGCAGGAACAGTCTGGTAGGAGACCACAACAAATGAAAACACACAGATGTTAAAGTTCTGATCATTTCTGATTTCATTTAATACTGTTGTAATCTCGATGGCATTGGAGATGAGGGAAACCTCAATGCCCCTTCGAGGATAAATACAGGTTTGAAATTGAAATTTACAGGAATAGTGAACTATCTTGAAGTGTGGTGTTTTTTTTAAAAAGATTTAACCCTTTCCCCATCAGCTGTAATATTGCATTTCTAATTTTTAACATAAAATGTAAAATCTCTCCTCAGATTCTTCTGGCATGAAAAATTACAGACTAAGTTGTAATCTGCTCTTTTCGCTTAAGTTTTAGAAAACATCGTTTTAAATTAACTTTTTGTTCATTTAGCCAACAACAGTATTTCAAACAGACTATAGAGCAAACCACAGCATGGATACTGCCCTGCTTAAAGCTGTAACTGACATCAGAGTTATTGTAGACCAGAATAATGTGGCAGTGCTCCATATTTTGAGAACTTGAGAAAGATACAGAATTTAAATTCATGCTTTTTTTCACCAGCTGCACTGAAGACTGTAACTCCCTTTTTAGTAGTTTGCCAAAAAAGCAAACTTGTTCAGAAGGTCTGAATGGAGAGAGTCTGAACCTGTAAAAAGAAACCATTAACACGACCCTCTGGTTTTCTTTTTGAGCTCTTCACAGCCTTGCTCCTCCAGACATCACAGATTTACTCTCTTTGTATTCCCTGGTCAGGTCTCTGAGGTCATCATAGGTCATTTATTTCAATGTCCTATTTATGTCTACCTGCAGGATCAATTGCTATGATGTGTTCGGAGTCCAGGCTCCTTTTGGAGGGTACAAGGCTTCAGGAAATGGCAGAGAGCTCGGAGAATACGGCCTGGAAAACTACACAGAAGTCAAAACGGTAACACACTAAAATACACCTCATCTGATAAAATGTTCAGATATTCTGCACACCTGATTATAAGGCGCACTGAGGATTTTTGAGAAAATTAAAGGATTTTAAGTGCGCCTTATAGTGCAAAAAATACGGTAATATCTAATTCAGTGTTTGGAGTTTATCATGTGAATTGCTTTAAATCAGGACCTTCAGGACATGAGGTGGGCTGCTCTTATCATTACAGAATTTATAAGTTGAGATTCATATTTTAAATTATATTTAATTTACTTCAACAGTCTTCAGTTTTGCATTTGAGAGTCGCAATTTCAGTCTGATTTCAGGTCAGCATTTGTTTCGGCTTTAGTGATAAACATACAACAAGGAGGCAAACACACTAAACAGTTTTTATCTCCCAAACAGAAATAACAAAGGGCCTGTGTCCAGTAACAGCATTTTCATATTTGATTGGTAGTGTCTGTTCTCAGCACAAAACCAGTGAAGTCAAGCATCCAAAGTGCAGAAAGTCACTCAGTGTCAGCTGCTTTTTGTGGCTGCACTCTCAGAAAATTGTTCATTTTCTGGAGCAGCACCATGTCTGTCAGTATCGCTTGCCTCCACCAGCCAATCAGAATCAATAAAGGGTAGGATTTGTGATATTGACTCTGTCAACAACATTGATAAGGGACTGTGAAGAGGAGAACCTAAACACTTGTTTTCTTGAGGGTAAAATGCCCATGTGTGTAGCAGCTGCTAACGCTAAGCCATATTTTTGTGAATTGTCTGTGTTTCCTTCGCTCTTTTTCCCCAGAATAAAACCAGAAATACAACACAGGGGTCATTTAAAGCAGGATCTACAGAGGAACAACTTTCGTGACCCAAAATCAATATGTACTCTGAAATTTGCTCAGACACAGGCCCACAAGGATAAAATGAAAAATAGTGGCATTGCCCTGAAATTTAGAGGGATAACCACCCACAGTTAATTTGTTCTTTTGTAAAATTTTGAGTCCAAAGAACTACTAATTTTTTTTCCTCTTATCTCTAGGTGACCATGAAGGTGCCACAAAAGAACTCATAAGCATGTGCAATAATCGCCGCCAAGCAGGAAGCAGCTAAGAGGCCACATCACCGTGACAAATTCCTACCTGATAAGAAAGTTCAATCATTAATTTGACACAATCAAACTTTATACTGTGAAAAGTCGAAGAAGTTTTACTCTCCACATTACATTAGTTTCAGAAATATAAGGTCTGCTCATGATCAGCCAAGCAACTTTCATTTCTGCTGAGTCAGTGTAATTAACAGAGTCTATATCTTTTCTTAATAAATATATTTGGTGCTCTCAGTTTTTCTCTGTCTGCATCTTTTTCAGTAATTTACATATAATGTTTGAAGTATCTTGCCTGTGTCGTTTTAGTGACACAGAGGGAGCGCAGTGTGTGGTAAACAGAGCTGTGCAGTGCAGAGAAGGACCAAAGTTTAAAACATACTTTTAGATAACAGGAGCATATTTTCTTTTCTATTCTGGTCAGATTGATGGAGGCATGAACCTCACAGCAAGACAGATTATAGTTTTGTCATTAAAACGATTTGAATGATATAACACTTTAGCACTTTCTTACTAACACATATTCACAAATCTGTAAGTACACTCAAAAGCTTCAATCAGCATTGAGAGGAAACAGTCTGAGCACCAAACAGTATGAAAGGCCCTGTTGAAATTCTAAGTATAATTATTATTAAGGCTCCAGCACAGATTCATGTGAAAAGGTCCCATTGGAATCTGCAGCATTTTTATTTTTCTACCTTTTTAGATTGATTGCTGTTTTGGTACCATTATCATACTAGCAAAAATCATACATTTTTGTAAATACATTGGGGAAAAAAATTATAAATTATGGGTTGTCATTATGCACGTTGATAGATTGGCTTTATTGCGCTCCCAGGAAAATTTCAAAATAAGATAAGATACAATTAGATACTCCTTTATTAATCCCACAAGGGAAAATTCCCAAAAGTACCTTCCTTAATTAGGGTTTTTTAAAATAAATTTTATACATACATCCATCTTCCAAAGACTTAAACACTCTTTTAATGTTGTGGTATAACTTTGGCAGGAAGTAGGTATTTTGAAACAAAAAAAAGCAGACCTTAGCCATTGTCTTTCGTAACACTTGTTCCTTTCACATAAATGCACTTCACACTATTATTTCACTAGCCTTTGTGTGTTTTTAGTCTGATTCAAGTCACTTCCTACTTTCGTTTTTCAAGGTTGGCTTTTCTCTTTTATTTAACCCTTGTACTCTTAAGTTTCAATTTAGTTTGAATCCCTGCAGCATCCAACCAGTGGGTGATATTTAGTCTTGGGGCTGTTTTTTCAGTCATGACCTCAGTAAGGGTTGGTAGCATGCGTCCTCACATGTTGCTCCTCTGGTTTTCTTCCTCTCTTTTCTGAGCTGAATGAGGAGCTTTGCACATGGCAGACATTAAAAGGTTTCAGGTTTGATCATGGCTAAAAAAACTTGTTCTGGAACTCTAGGGTGCAGGGCAGCTGAGCTCACACAGTCCTGCATCAACATGCCTGATCAAAACCACCCCATCTCTGGTTTACCAGTAGGAGAGACTATTACAAATATGCACTGATTAAAAACTACAGGATGGGGCCGAAGCAGTTTTTCATAGTTTGTCACTGGAAGTTTGTCTTAAGTCACACTTGTGCAGTTTCTTCGACGTTTAACTGAGTGTCAAATGTCTAAGAATGAGTGGATTTCTTCATCTACAGAACGTAATATGTAAATATTTAGAGAATCCAGAGAAATTAAGACCGGATGGTCCTGATCTTCAGGACCTCAGGCAGCACTGCATTAAAAACAAACAGGACTCTGTGGTGGAAATCACCACATGAACTCAAATCATTTAAAAAAACATTGTGAACACAGTTCATCTCTGCATCTACAAATGAGGTTAAAACTGAACCATGCAAAGAGGAAACCTGATCAAAACAGGATCCAGAATCACTAGAGACTTCTCTGCACTTAATAAATCTAAATTTGACTTTTTTTTTTTTATTGTAAATTATGGACACAGGGTCTTCTGCTCTAATCAGCACACGTTTTAAAAGGTGGTGTGGATAGTTAAGCTTTTTCATCTTTGATATTTGAATCCATATTTTAAATGGCAGGACTTTTTTTCAATCACCATACTTTTTCTAGACCCCAGTATTGTAAATTATAAATATCAAAAAAGAAAAACAAAACAAAAACTAATAAAACCCAAGCAGTTTTTGAAATATAAACCTAAAATCCCCATCAAAAACTACCGCGAGCACTGAGAGATCCTATAGATACAATTTTTTTTCTTTTTTAATTTATAGATCTGTAATTTTGGCTGTAATGTATTTGTATGTGGAGCAAAGGTTTGTCTGAAGTCAATGATCCAGATCTTTTACATTTCACTGAGGTTAGAAAACACTGCAGTTTTATGATGTGAAAACAGTAGTTGTTGTTCTACCCCTGAATCTGCCAGTGAGTTCACGTTAACATTTGACTGATGTGGTTGATATGTTAACATGGATCAAAATATATAATTCAATTTTTAAAAAGTTTTACATTTTAGGTTAAATTTGTTTTATATTGATTATTTTTTTTAAAGATTTTTCTTGCAGTAAATATGTACTTGGGAGATTAAAAACTGCAGTTTTATGTTGTAAAAACAGGAGTTACTGGACTACCCCTGAAACAGTGAGTGAGAAATCTGAGTTCATGTCATACTGTGATTATTGTGAATGAAATGGTTCACAGAAATCTAACATATTCGAGGTTAGATTCCTGTTTTTCTCTCTCTGTAGGGATCCCTTGTTCAACGTTTAAAATCCAAACTTTTAGTTGACACACTTTGACTCATCAAGATAATGTTGCAGATGTTACAGCCCGATTATCTGCTGGAAATGAGGAAATATGTTGGAGCATTTACATAGCTTTTATTCCTGTTTGTAACCCAGACCCTAAAGTATTACAAAACAGTCAAAGTTGGACTAATAGAAGTCATCCAGGTCTGTCTGGTGGTTCCTCATGAACCATAACCTCTTCATATTCCATCCCTCTGCCCAAGCCCTGTTGAACCAGTCGCTGCGCTCAGCGTCATGCAGAGAGTCAGTCACTGTTACCACGGAGGAGTAACCTGGGCTGTTCTGATGCATGAACTTTGATCCGGCAGAATCAGAACTGGCACTGCGTGGTCCTGCAGATTTCTCTACTGCGACAAACTGACCCAGATGAAGAGTTCCACCTTCTGCACGTCCAGAATCAAAACCAGAATCACCAAATACCCCTCTAATTGGATCCCTAATTTGATCTGGTTCTAACCCTCTGATTTGTAGACTATGAAGCATTTCATCATCCACACCTGATCTATGAACAGCAGCAGAACCACTAGCTGGCTCTAGTACCTGCTCTGATTTGGTGTCTGCTGATCTATTAACTGACTCGACCTGCTCTGATCTGACTAAGGTATGAAATTCACTGCCAAATGGACTCTGTTGAACACTTGAATCCCAACCAGAACCAGATCTGGTAATATTAGCTGTATCTCTCTCTTTTGATGGGGTAACAGCGCTAACAGCAGAACCATCACTGCAGTTGGTGTTATTACCACCAGAACAAAAAGTGACTGCTGTGGAAACATTTCCAACTGAACCGCGGTGACTTGGGTCAGAATAATCAGAAGTGGAGTTTCTTGCTTTAACAGTTTTGTTTCCAGAAGCTTCTTCAGAGGCATTAACACTACTGCTTTGGACTCTTTCTGTACCAAGAATCGTCTCATTTCCTTCTTTTGCGGATTCTGTCATCAGTCTGTCTTCCTCTTCAACCTCCTGCTGGTCAGCCACAGAACTGCTCCTCCACTTTTTCCTCTCAGCAGGAGCTGACCCATCTTTCTCTTTGTCACCTATAATTTCCATCTCTGAGGGAGGGAAACTACGGACTTTAATCATCTCCTCCATCCTTTTATCTGTCGTCTCCTCCTCTATCGGATCCTCCCATTCTCTCCCCTCCTCTGCTTGGAAAGAGATCGCCCTCATTCTTGGTTTTCCTTGGCTTTTTTGTCCTATGAACCAGCCCTGGCTGCTGACTGTCCTCGGGACAGCTAAGGAGACAGGAAAAGAAGACATTTGAAGACAAGATACAACGTTAAGTCTTTTTCTCTACATTTCGATCAACACATGGACTAGAGGTTGCTGTTCATGATGATTAACTGCCTTCACTGCAACAGCATGATCCTGTTATTTCATTAAATGCATGCACTATAGAAGAAAACAAAAGCAGCCCAAATGGTCCTAAAAAGTAAAAATAAATAAGACGTGCCCTGATCCTGTAACCATGGCTACCTGGTATAATGTGTTTAAACCTATTTTTCCAAATGGTCTCCCCTGGCAGAAAATAACAGTGCACATGTATAAACCATCTAGTTCTATGAATAAAGTCAAGAACCAACTCTTAAACTAGTCATTAGTGTGATTCTTTAGTGAACCTCCTGCTTGTATGATTTGTAGAAACATGTTCTGAGCCTACCATCCTGACCATCAGTACACAAGGAGTCGCAGCAGGTGCAGACTGAGGGCGTGGTTTCCAGCTCCTCCCACCTGCATTGCACAAAGCAGTGATGTCTGACAGCGTGCATCTTTTCAATTCATCATTAGACTTCATTTAGAAAGGATAAGGCATTGTCTCAGTCTATACAAGTCAAACACATACACATACATTTAAGAAAGTAACTTAAAAAATTGATAATTCTGACTTTTTGGGAAACAGGAATAGTTGTGCCATAAAAACATTTTATAGTGACTGGTAGAAACAAAAATATTTACTCAAAGGAAGAGTACCAGGATCATCAGCTGCATAAGACAGTCCAGTGTTTGTGTTTGTGACCTTATGATCTTATCTCTTCCCAGGGAAAGAGGGATTTTCTCCTCTGTGATCATAACGCTTCAAGTTTGAGGAAACCAACTCAGTAGCTGTGTGTGAGCTCCTTTGATTTTGACAATAGGAGAGTTACTGAAAGAGACACCATACCTGAGCAGCTGAGTAAAAACATCAGGGTGTTGGCTTTTTAGAAAGTTAGCAGTGTCAGGTAAGTTTGAATTAGCTCACTAATGTCAGCTGGGGAGAAGTGTTTTAAACTCACCTCTGTGCTTGACTGGTAGCCAATGAAGACTTTTTCAGTACAGGTCTATATTTGTTCTACTCTTTTGTTCCCTGTTAACACTGGCTGCAGCATTTTTGATTGGCTTAAGATAATTTTTAGGAAAAACAGCAAAGAGGGCGTTACGGCGCTGTTGCTACACTCTAAACATGCCTCCAGTGGGTGAGGGAGCGTACATTCAGACAGAGCTTGAACACGACACTGATGGAATATAACAAATACGCAATTGTTGGCCAAGGCCCTGTTGTGGGCCACAAGGATACTGCATGTCAGCCATAAAGTGTTGACCAAAACAGCTGTAGGTTCATAAATTTTTGACTTTTTTTTTCCATTTCCAAAACCTTTCAAGTCTACTGGGATCAGATATTCAGAGACTGGAGACCAGATTTTAAAGTAAAAAATATGAAATTATAACATCACCCAAGCTGTTGTTTCCATATCAAAATTATTGGTGGCATGACATATCATGGTGATGTGTCTTTGTGCCACATGGTTTTAAGACATCCACGTCTCCAAAGGTTCCTCTAAATGGGACTTCAAGCTCACCTGCCAGCTGCCCTGTTGAAGTTGCAGGACTTGGCAGAAGCAGATGTAATAAGACTGATTGACATTGAACAGTGGAGATACAGCTCCTGGAAATAAACAATGTGAAATAAAAGTACATAAAACAAGAAAGATCTCAGTTTGAGAAATTGTGGACAGTGGGTTATAAAAACAGGAAGGGCATCAGGATTACTTTTTTGTCTTACATGTGAGACTGCTTTGAAGAGGAAGGCGTCCACAGCGAACTTGACCACTGCACCCCCTGCAGACATGAAGTGGGAACTGCTGCCCTCCCTCCTGCTGTCTGTCATACAGCTGCAGAAAACACAGTCAGACTTTGAAACAGACAGAGCAGAGACTAAAAACACCGGTGCGACTACATTTCTGTTGAGTACAGACCCATAGTTGGCGATGATGTCCATTCTGGGCTGGCTGTTTGGGTCTTTGGAGCTGGTGGCATAGCAGAAGTCCACGTTGAGTCTCTCTGAGGCTAGCAGAGCTCCAGTTTGGGCCATGAAATACACTGGTTCCCCCAGTATGAACCAGTGACCTGAAGGAAGGGGCTCCCACTGTGCTTTGAACGACCAAACAAACGTATGATAAAGCATGGAATAAACGGATTTAACACATGAATAAAAAATACTATCACTGCTAACTTTGGTGTCCGTTTCAGTGAAACTTGAAAATATCTTTGAAACGACTTTTTTTTTATCCTGCTTGTGGCATCTTGCTGTAGTTTGTTGGGATACAGTATAAAGATGAAAAAGTTCACTCCTGCAAGGTTGTTTAGAGTTTTGCGGCAAGGGTGAACAGAGCAGATGAATCAGCTGCCATCTCTGTTGGGGAAATGTCATTCCACTTTTCTATGAGTTTTATTTCATCACCCGGTGAACACAGGGGAGTTAATGATTTCATTTAACCTCTGTCAAATAATACCAGGTTAGCTGGATTCCTTCTTGTACATCCTAAGACTCATGAGTTGATGTTGAACTGTGCTGCCATGGTTGTTTGGATGGTGAAAAAGCATTTCAGCATTTGAGTCATTCATTCTGTCCCACCAGCAGGGTCTGTTAGGGCAGGACGAATGCTGGAGGAAATGTGGTAACTCAATGGCAGATCACTATCATAAATTTTGGGACTGTCCTTTAATCCGTCCATATTGGTAAGAGATTGGAATTTCTTTTTTTAGTTATGTACACCCAAGTAATTTACAGGGTTATTTTAAATTGGATTATCTGCCAAGTATGGCACATTTTTAAACTAGAATTAAGGAGTTTTTGAGTACTGAATGCACATGTCCTCTTACTGAACGCTGATTTATTGTTGTGTTTTGCATCCTGTAACTGTTTTGTGTTTCTGCGTGTGTTTTTTTTATGTGGAACTTCTTGTGCTGCTATCCTGTTACTAACCAAGTGTTAATAATACCTAGATGTCCCTTTAAAAACACAGTAAATAACTCTACAGGTGTGTTACCATTGCAGATGGTGAGGCTGAAGCTGAGTTTACTTCTGATGCTCTTCAGAAACGTTTTGTGCTGAACCTGAGGCCTGAAGCCAACTTTATACGAGTGATGAAACCTGAGAGAGAAAAAGATCAGAAATTAAGACATTTCAGTGTAATACCACTCCTTAAGAGTTTTTTTTAGGGTTTTTCTTGCTGCAGATAGACAAGCTTTTTAAATGCAATAATCCAATCCAAAGTGTCACTATACATCTTCAGCATGCAAAGGAAACTTAAAATTTACACTCAAAAATCATTTGCTTCAAACTTCATCATGTGCTCATCTCTTCACATGCACTAGGTCTCAGTGGTGACATATTTCTAGGATTCTGGGTTACAGAAAAGAAGCTTCAGAAGAGACACCAAACTGATCTGAATGTTGCTGACAGACCTAATACACTGTAAAGTTAGGTTTACTCGTTGCGTTGGTTTCTGTTGTAATAGTTACCTGTTGTAATGGCAGCTTATGGGAAGTGTCAGAGGCACAAATCTGATGACCAAGCCTTGAGAAGGAGGGGTATAACACAAAGTGAAAGTGTACACGAGCTGACCACCAACAACCTGGGTGAAAGAGAACAGATCCATCACTGACATTTAAAGGCCAACATCCTTAAAATAACATCCCTAATAAGTCTAAATGCTTCTACTGGAAGTCCTGCTCTCACCCTGATTTACGCATATTTTGGGGCCTCATACTGATGCATCTTAATGACTTATATCATTCATCTTTTTTTCTGTACTTCATTTGAAAAAGTAAACTTCCATTTCTTGACAAACTCTAAAGATGTAAAATGAAAAAACTTAATTTATTTGATGTTTGAATGATGATGATTTTGGCTTTTAGCTCCTGAAAATAGCTCATAAATCCAGTATCTTAAATTATTTGAATATTTCCTAAGATCAATCAGAGAGTATTTCAAATACAGAAATGTCTAGCCTCTCTGTTCATTTCTCCCCTCAGTTTTTGGTATGGGCTCCTTTCCTCTGAATCCTTGTATCAATGTGATGTGGCATGGACGTACCCAGCCTGCAGCTACTGTATGTTGAGCGGTTATTGAAGCCCAGGTTGCTTTATTAGCTCCATTAGCTGTTCTGTAGTTTTGGGGTCATCTTTATACCACAGATTGTCTATGCTCAGGAGAGCTAACCAAGCTGAAATTACTGTTAATATCATAGTCAGTAGACCATCTGGTAGGAGCTTTGGCGCTGTGTGCAGGTGCAAAGTCCTGCTGGAAAAGGAAATCTATATCTCCATGAAGCTTCTAAACAGATGGAGGCATGACTTTGGATTCTGGCAAGTTGACTCTGGACTTGATAAAACACAGCAGACCAACAGCAGCAGATGACATGGCACCTCAGGCCTCTTGTAAGGAAAAAAGTTTTCACAAATAGTGTTTTACTGATACAGGTTTTTCATCAGCCCATACTGATGCTGATATAGACAGAACTGCTCAGCTGATGGCTGTTGTGTAATGTCAACAGGCCTTTGAAGTTGTTGATTTTTTTTTTAATGAGTTCATGAAGTGATAGAAAGTTTCATAGGACCTTAAAATCTAAAACCTTAAAGTTATACAGAACAGGAAATTTCCCATACACTTGTCAGTAACTGTCAGATTTGATCTGCTGTCATTTAACTTGTTCAATCAACACAAAACCACTCGATCACGCGTAGTAGGTTTTACGAGAAGAGCACACCTATTATCTGTTAAGAATTATGTGTGTTCATGTTCAAACAACAGTTAAATTAGTCTTTACCTGCGCCTCTCCTCCACAGTCCGTCAGTCTGGAGTGGAAATACAGGTACCGTGGGCTGACTTTGCTGACTCCGCACGAACCCAGACTGAACAAGGACGGAACTGGCCACGCGCTCAACTGGAGACGGTCAACGCGCACAGCTACCTGATCGCCACCGCACCACACCTCCACGGCGCGTGTCCCGGTGCCCTGCACGCTCCGCTGCGGTGGTGTTTGTGGTAAAAGCAGCGCGGTGATTTCGGCTGGGAGAGGTCTTTTATAAGGAACAGGCAGAAACAGGTTGCGATCTACCAGTGGTCCTCTCGATTGCAGGAACACGGGTAGGCGGTAGTATGGAGGGTGCGCGTCCCCGTCATGCACAGCCTGGACCTGTTTCAGACCCTCAGTCCGCACCGCGAGCTGAGCCGGACCTCCCAGAGACCCGATGAGCAGAGTCCAGAGGAGGTACACGACCAACGACATGATGAGAGGAAGAGGAGCAACCAAGACCGAGCGGAGGAGGTCTCATCTGAGCTCTAACCACGACTTACCTTCATCAGCACACCTGCTCACCTGCTGATTGGAGCGCAGACGGAAACACCTGGGTTGGGGCCCAGTGCCCATTGTGTGTTGTACAAGGGGTCAGTTTTGGAGACTGTCAAAAGTCTTTATTTCCTCACCACGGAGCAAAGAATAAAGTGTACACTTTATTCTTTAAATATAGATATTTGATATAGAATATATATATATATATATACTATAGAACTGACATAAACTTTTTTTTTTCAAATCTATAGTTTATATTAAGCAACTGAAACTTCAACTTTATCCTTAAACTTAAACAGCCTTCAGTCAATATCAGTAATCACATATAACAGACTGACATCCTTCAGATGTCAAGAGTGAACATGACAAGACTAACATAGGCACAATTATAACTCATAAAAACGATGATCTGATAAATCGCAGCTTTGAAACAGGAAGTCTTACAGGGGAAGCAGATTGAAACTTGTATTTATGCCGCAACTGTGGACATTGTAGTATGCAAATTAAGACAACATTCAGACCGCAACAAAGTGTAGACATGCAGATATGTACATACAATCTGCACAATCAAGCTGTTATCTAAATCACCTTTCTTGTTTTTGACTTTAAGATTCTTCAGTGTGGATATTTAGATAGTATAAGTTTACGGAGGTTTCTTAGTTAAATTGAGGAAAAGGTCAAAAGCTTTCTGTTGTCATGGATACTTTATTTTAACCAGCACTGCTGATGGAGCTATTTTGAAATGTCACTAAACCTGAAACTTAAGACACAGACAGAAACTTTCCTGAAAAGTAATCAGGTTACCTTTTTATTCAGCACCAATGAGAATATTGAATTTGCCAAGTCAACCTAGCGAGTACATTCAGAAGCTTCATTTCATTTCCTTTCTTTTTATATACTTTAATTGTCCCCATGGGGAAATTTATCGCAGACTCTTTGATGGTCCACAGTTCACAAATAAAAGAACAGGAACATTGAGTGATCGCACCAGGCGATACACATGACACATGCAAGACAAGTATACAGCAGCAACAAGTATCACTCGCCCATATCACAAGTTCACGTGTGGGGCACTTCCTCAAACCTGAGTATTGGGTCACACTGTTGATTGAAAACTGAAAACTTCATCTGCCAGCAGAGCTGAAACTGCCCCTGACTAACAGTACGGTAGCAGAAAACTGTCGCAGGTTTTCTGTTCCCCTCAGAGACCGGTGAAGGAAGGGTGTGGTCTTGGTTTGATGGCAAGAGGAAGGGTGATGCTCCAGTGATAAGCAGAGTTAATGCTCTTTTTTTCTTCCACTCATTTTCTGTTTCAGATCATCAAACAATTTTCAGTATAAGTCAAAGTAAACACAAGTGAACACAAAATGCAGTTTTTAAATGAAAGTTTTATTATTAAGGAAGGGAAAAAATCTGAATTAAATGGACTGCCTCCCCCTGTTCAAACATAACTGGTTTATCACACTTGAGTTCAATTTAGCCACACCCAGGCCTGATTAACGTCACACCTGTTCTCAGTCAAGAAATCCATTAAATAGGACCTGCTTGACAACGTGAAGTAGACCAAAAGACCCTCAAAAGCTGGACATTATGCTGAGATCTAAAGAAATTCAGGAACAAATGAGAACAAAAGTCATTGAGATCTATCAGTCTGGAAAAGGTTGTAAAGCCATTTCTAAAGAGGCTTACAAAAGACCCACAACAACTTCCAAAGAACCTCACTTGGCATCACTTGCCAGATGGTAGTAGGAAGTGTCAAGTTAACATTTTGAGAATAAAATCCCAAAGGATTGTGTTAAATCCCAAGTTCTCACCTAACCATCTCAATACCTGACTCCCCTGTCACTCAAGGCCAAACCACACCCCCAACACCATAAAATCCAGCCCTCAGGCCTGCTCTCCCTTTTGCATCCTGAACAAGAGCAGCACAGAACAAAGGGAGTCTGAATGTGAGTGTGAAACGGACAAAGCCTTACCAAATGTTGTTGGATTCTCCTTATTTGTATTATTTCTAATATGGTTTATTCTCAAATATTATTTCTTTAGATTCCTGTCACCCTAAAACGCATATGTATTGATTTAAAGCCCTGAAGTGGATGCATCTATGATGTAAGATTAGTTAACCAATTTACAATTCATTTGACTTTATCAGTCCCCCTTTTTTGTAATATTTTATGTTGATACATCTTGTTTCTATTCCTTTTGATTGTACAGAAAAAATCATCCACTGAAGACGAGCAAAATAAACCGTCAAACTGAATCCTGGATCCTGTGTTTTAATGTGCACTCAATATAGGATGTTCGATGAGCAAGCATCAGCAACATCATAATCTTTTACAGATTGTAAAATTCAGATGAAATTCAGGGTTTTCACATGCCACTTGGCGATTAAAAAAACTCTAGCATTTACACGAGCACACAATCTGCCTTCAGCTACCCAAATCTCTATTTTTCTCTGTTTACATCCAAACGTGCTAACAGAGTATCTTTTTCAGGGGCGAATCCTCTGTTTGCATCCAAACGAAGGGTGCAAATGATGGTTAATGTCTTTGTTTTTAAAAATAACCGGGTATGTACAAACAGGACCCAAGTTTGAATAAATCTCTAAAGTTAAAAATATGCAGAAAGAAAACCAGAGTGCTTCTCATTAAGTTAGCGTGACTTAATATATATAACTATTCAGTGGTATGAAAAAGTGTTTGTCCCCTTCCTGATTTCTTTTCTTTTTTTTCCTACGTTTGTCACACCTAAATGTTTCAGATCTTCAAACAGATCTAAGTGAACACAAAATCCAGTTTTTAAAAAAGGTTTTTACCATTAAAGGAGAAAAAAAATCTGAACTAATAGGGATTTCCTTCCCTGTTAAAATATAACTGGTTTATCACACCTGAGTTCAATGTAGCCACACCCAGGCCTGATTACTGCCACACCTGTTCTCAGTCAAGAAATCCATTAAATAGGACCTGCCCGACAACAAAGTGAAGTAGACCAAAAGATCCTCAAAAGCTAGACATCATGCTGAGATCTAAAGAAATTCAGGAACAAATGAGGGAAAGAAATTAAAATCTATCAGTCTGGAAAAGGTTATAAAGCCATTTCTAAAGCACAACAACTACTCATCCAAGAGGTCACAAAACAACAACAAAAACATCCAAAGACCTGCAGACCTCACTTTCCTCAGTTAAAGTCAGTGTTCATGACTCCACCATAAGAGACTCTGGGCAAAAGCAGCCTGCATGACAGAGTCACAAGACGGAAACCACTGCTGAACAAAAGAACATTAAGGCTCGTCTCAATTTTGCCAGAGAACTGATTTTAAAAGTGTTCACGTCTGATTTTAAAACTTTCCAACCTACTGTGCATGTTATCAAAATAAAAAACTGACCTCCAGAGAAAAGTTTTTGATTCCATTTAAACAAAACTTTATTTAAAAACAGTCAAGTTGACAAGTTTTACCAAACACAATCACAGTATTTCACTGTCAGAGAGTTATTGACTCAGACAAAATTTGTGAAAAGTTAGTTATATATGTAATACAAATGCAAAAAAAACATGGAGCAGAGAGAGGAATAAAGCATGACAGAAAAATGAACAAAATAAAGACAAAGCAATATGAGCAAAATAGAATATGTGCATCCAAAAAGATGACATTTAAGACAAGCTTTGTGTACAGAGTGAGTTTGGTGGAGGTAGAGATGAAAAACCAGCTGGGGAAAAATATTGAAGGAAAAAAAACCCCCAGTGGACAAAAAGCTCTCTACATGCTGTCACAGTTTCAGCCTCCATTTAACAAAGTTTAAGCCATAAATGAAGCTCAGAGTAAACATTTAGTTTTACAAATATAATGAGAAATCAAATTCAGTACAACACAAAAACCACCTGGTTACAATTGTAAGAAGACTCTACTAGCTGTAGATCTTACAGGTTTGCACCAAAGAAACTCAAATGTTAGCAAGTTTAACAACACATCATCTGGTCAAACAGATGAATAATTTATAATAGATTCATCAGACAGAACTATCCTCTATGACCCTTGTGTCACAGACAGGTCATCCATCTTCATCACTGGATCCTCAGTCGAGACTCGAGTATCCTCCTGTAAATGAAGAAAACTGTCATGAGTGAATATTCTGCCTTGTTTTCATTTAGTTTTCTATCAGTCAGAAAAGGTCTCAGTGATAATCCTATAATGTCAATAATACTGATAATGTCAGCGTTATAAAGGTGGAGGAGATCTATAAAGTGACAGTGACATAGCAAAGCTTGCACTCTTCATGGGTTGTGGAGGTTTATCTGTGCCCATCGAGTAAAAACATCCAACTATCATCATCTTTACGGACTCATCTGTTACAAGGATTTAAGAAAGCTGCTCATGTGTGCTCCTCAAAGTAGAGCCTGAAAGAGAAAGGCGCACTCACCATGTCCTGAGTAAGGGTTTTCTGGACGAGGTTGAAGGTCTACGGGCTCACAGTGAGACAGGAAGTCCACCTGCAGGGTGGTGACTACAGAAGGCAGACAGGGATCAGATCCAGTTAGTGGACTGTTAACATCAATTTATCACCATAAAACTTTGACTGAAACAAGCAAGACCACTCGCAAAGATTGACTTACCTCTAATCAGGGGACCAAGTCTTTGTCTTCCTTTCTTCAGCCGGGTCCTGGAGCAAGAGGGGGTCATCGACGTCTCGGTGTAGTCCTAAAACAAAAGGACAAATTTATTCTTTAGACCAGCAGTTTTTAACCTATAAGTGAATCATTATCTCTGTTTTATGTACCGGTTTCTCGGGGATGGTGCCCACGGCATCTGGTAGAGTCTGATGGTGTCCAGGGGCAGGTTTCTGTGCTGGTGCAGACTTCAGTTAAAGGGGTCCAGAATGAAGAAGATCCGTCCCTCAAAGTGGGCAAAGCACTGGTGTTTGGGAGAGATTAAAATTGGCAGGGGTTAGGAAATCTGGATGCATCAGATAAAACTGCTGTACCAGGTTTTTTTTGTAGGTGGGGGAATCTGTACTCCATGCTCACCAGTAACCCAGTATGCAGGAGCTCAGAGTCCAGCAGGTGATGGGGTCTGCCAGGGTCTTCTTGGATGTAGACTGTAACAACACAAGATAGATTTTGGAGAAGCAGAAAGATGGGTCACTAAATTGGAAACAGACTTAAAAGATTCAACAGACAGATTTAAAATCAATTTTCTCTTGGGCGTTTACAAACCCCCAGAAAAGCTGGAGTGTTTGGACCTCGGTGAAAACATCTACAACAGCTTGAGCTTTTGAAAAGTTTCTCAAAATCATTAAAAGAGAACTTCAGAAACCTTCAGCTTGACGGTGACTCTTAAAAACTTCCCAGTCTGGATGGAGGAGCAGCTCATCGAAGTGGGGCAGCATCAGATCCTCCCAGGACCTGGTGGTGGTCAGCACATCCAACGCCACGGCTCGACACCTCCGTCATGTTTAGGGGAAAAGCAGAGACATACATGTGCAGCCAAAGGGAGGCATAAAAACCTCGTACAGAATAACAGGACACAAAAAAACATGACAAGTACAGATCTCAGATTTTCACAGAGACTGGAGGGTCAAAAAGAAACAAAAACAAAAAGAAGAAAAAAAAGACACAAAGAAAACAAAAATCTCAGATTTTTACAGAGACTGGAGGGTCAAAAAAGAAACAAAAACATTTTATGGTTACAGTTCATTGTCCCCCTCATTTTAGTTGAAGCTGTAGAGGAGACGTTGGTGAGGCCTGAAGTTGTAGTTGATATTGAGGTTGTCCTTGTTGAGTTGGTTTCCTTTTGGAGAACTGAGTGAAATTTGCGGATTTGTTGTTTCCTTAAGAGTTGTTGTTGTTTTGCTTTTTGTTCTTTTAGTGGTGGGCTCAGCAAGTATTTGGTAAAACTTGCAACTGACATTTTTTGACATTTTCATGCCAACCAAGTTTCATGAAAACAGAAATAAGCTTTTTAAAGTCATAAAACCCTTTTAACCTTGAGTGATGCTGAACCATTCTCCGGTTGGTTGTGAATTTTCTTTTTTGGTTTGGTTTTTATTTAGTGTTTTTAGCACTTCTTGATTTATTGACTGTTGTCGTTAAACTTTTGAGTTAAAACCACCTTTTGTACCTTGTTGGTGGTTTTCCCTTTTGTCATTGAAAGCACCATTTAAACCTTGTATTACCATTGTGTCCCTGTGAGCACCATTTAAACCTTGTTGATTTGTCCTTTTGTCATTGAAAGCACCATTTAAACCTTTTTGTTGTGTCATTGAAAGCACCATTTAAACCTTGTTTGTGTTACCATCATGTCCCTGAAAGCACCTCATGAACCTTGTTGTCTGTTTCCATAATGTCTTTGAACGCATCGTTGTGAACCTTGTTGGTTTGTGGTTGTGTGGCTGAAAACACTTTTTAATTAAACCTTGTTTTTGGTTTGATTGTTGTGTTTTTGATCGTTGAACCTTGTGGTGTTGCATCTGTGCATCAGAGTATTATGACTGTTTCTGCTGTTGTGTTTCAATAGAGACATTCACCTACCTTTTTGATAAAATAAACCACCTTATGGCTGAAATGTTTTTATCGACTGGGACGTCGGACACACTTCTCCAGCTGGGCTCTATTCTAGAGGACATCAGGACTTGTTTCTGAAAAATAACATATAAATCTATGTCTTTACAGGCACAGAAAATGAGTATGATTGTTACAGACAGAAACACACAAATCTGTACAGTTAAACATCAGAAAAGGCTGCAGCATCACTTAAGAGCTAATATTCTCCTGCATCCACATCCTTGAGTCACCTGCAAACAACAAAGTACTCACAAAATACACAGCTGTTGCATCACCTACTGGTTTTCGAAGAGAGGTTATAGTCACGACATTGGAAACACTGACCCAGCCTTACATGTTATCAACATAAAAACAGGCAGAGATCGAGCTTAGGTGGGCCTTAACTTTGGTAGAACAGCTGAGGCACACCCACGTCGCATTGCGCCTTTGTGAAAACGATTTAATAACCAGAGAAAAGTTGTTTCTGGAGTTGAAGCATTCAGACATTTGGGTGACAATAGGACAGTGTGTTAAGTGTTGTTCCCCGCCACATCTTACCTGCAGCACAAGGATGCCTGACTTCGTCTCTTAGAGGTGATCTAGATCCTTCCTGAAGACATTGGTGGTTGCCATGTTCATCACTGAAGATGCTCACTTCTGTGATGGTTGGGGAAAAGGAGAGAGACACACATACAAATGCAGAAAATACTTGAATTAAAAACAGTGAAGGTGAGGTGCAGCATTAGAAAATCTGTTTGAAACTGAATATGGATGAAGTTATCAGAATGCAGGACCTGATTTCTTACATGCTTTCTTGTGGTTACTTTGGTGAAAACATAACGTCAAAAAGTTCATCTTACCTTCAACAAGATGACCACCCTTGGATTTCCCAGACGGAACAGGAAGGCGGCACTGTGAGTTTCTGCAGCAACAGTTCCTCCAGGAAAAGAGTGGTCACCTCGTCAGACCTGCTTATGTTCGGAGGAAAGCAGACATACATATGCACCAAAAGAAACATGGCCAAACATACAGCAAATAAGTTGAAAAAATAAAATAAAAAAAATAAAAAATTGTACAACACATGCAGATCATGACAAGCACAGTTCAAGGATTCCATTTCAGAGATTCAAAAGGTTCACAAAAATACAAAGAATAAATAAAAATAAGAAAAACTACAGTTTTAACAAAAACAGTTAGAGGATCTACACAGTTTGTTTATTGTCCTCGTTCTGTTTAGTGTTGACAGTTACATCTGATAGAAACAATGTGCAAACGTTGCTGTCTTGTTGTTTCTGTTGGATCCTTTGGAAGCACTTTGACGGTTGTTGCGATTGTTGGTGGTTTTGAAACTTAGTTTTGGTTAATAGTGATTTTGCTGAAGTTGCTTTGACAGACCTTTTGAGAGCAGACTTTTAACATACTGTCTTTGCTTGTTTAAGAACCAGTTTTTTTAAGCACCTTTTAAACCTTATATTTTAGGTTTAAAATCAAGGCCTTGGAAGCACCTTTTAAAACTTTTTGGGGGTTTGAGGTAAAGTATTTGAAAGCACCTTTTGAAGCTTTTTTGGTTCGAGACTAAGGCTTTGAAAACACCTTAAAAATTTTTTTGATTAAAATTAAATCTTTGAAAGCACCTTTCATACCTTTTTGTTTGTTTGCCATCAATACTTGAAAAGCAACTTTTGAGCCCTTTTTTGTTTGAGTACAAGTCTTTGAAAGCACCTTTTTTTGAAGCCTTTTTTTGAGAACAAGTCTTTGAAAGCACCTTTAGAACCTTGTTTCTGGGTTTGAGATCAAGTCTTATAAAGCACCTTTTTAAGAACCTTGAATTTGGTTTGAGATCAAGTTTTTGAAAGCACCTTAAGAACCTATTTTGGTTTTTGGTTTGAGATCAAGATTTTTTAAAGCACCTTTCAAACCTTTTTTTGGTTTGAGATCAAGTTTTTGAAAAGCACCTTTTTTAAGAACCTTTTTTTGTTTGAAATCATACCTTGAAAAGCACCTTCTGAACCATGCTTTTGGGTTTGAGAACAAGTCTTTGAAAGCACCTTTTAAACCCTTTTGTTTGAGAACAAGTCTTTGAAAGCACCTTTTGAACCTTTTTTGTTTGAGAACAAGTCTTTGAAAGCACCTTTGGAACCATGTTTCTGGGTTTGAGAACAAGTCTTTTAAAGCACCTTTTTAGAATGTTGTTTTTGGTTTGAGATCAAGTTTTTTAAAGCACCTTTTGGACCTTGCATTTGGTTTGAGATAAAGATTTTGAAAGCACCTTTTGGACCCTGCATTTGTTTGAGATCAAGATTTTGAAAGCACCTTTCAAGCCTTTTTTGGTTAGAGATCAAGATTTTGAAAGCACCTTTTCAAGCCTTTTTTGGTTTGAGATCAAGATTTTGAAAGCACCTTTGGAACCATGTTTCTGGGTTTGAGATCACATCTTTTAAAGCACCTTATTAGAACCTTGTTTTTGGTTTGAGATAAAGATTTTGAAAGCACCTTTTGGACCTTGCATTTGTTTGAGATCAAGATTTTGAAAGCACCTTTCAAGCCTTTTTTGGTTTGAGATCAAGATTTTGAAAGCACTTTTCAAGCCTTTTTTGGTTTGAGATAAAGATTTCGAAAGCACCTTTTGGACCTTGCATTTGTTTGAGAACAAGTCTTTGAAAGCACCTTTTAAACCCTTTTGTTTGAGAACAAGTCTTTGAAAGCACCTTTTGAACCTTTTTTGGTTTGAGATCAAGATTTTGAAAGCACCTTTTCAAGCCTTTTTTGGTTTGAGATCAAGATATTGAAAGCACCTTATTAGAACCTTGTTTTTGGTTTGAGATAAAGATTTTGAAAGCACCTTTTGGACCTTGCATTTGTTTGAGATAAAGATTTTGAAAGCACCTTTTGGACCTTGCTTTTTTTTTTAGAAAGATTTTGAAAGCACCTTTCAAGCCTTTTTTGGTTTGAGATAAAGATTTTGAAAGCACCTTTCAAGCCTTTTTTGGTTTGAGATCAAATTTTTGAAAAGCACCTTTTTAGAACATTTTTTTTTGTCTTGAAATCATACCTTGGAAGCACCTTCTGAACCATGTTTTTGAGTTTAAGAACAAGTCTTTTGAAAGCACCTTTTCTAAACCCTTTAATCTAAGAACAAGTCTTTGAAAGCACCTTTGGAACCTTGTTTTTTAGTTTGAAATCAAGTCTTTTAAAAGCACCTTAAGAACCTATCTCTGGGTTTGGATCAAGTCATGAAAGCACCTTTTGAACCATGTTTCTGGATTTGAGATCAAGTTTTGGAAAACACCCCTCAAACCTCTGAGTTTGAAATCAAGATGATCACATCTAAAAATAAGGTGTTCACCTACCCTCAGAGAGATGACCAACCTTACAGCAGAAGCCATGTCAATGTTGTCACGGTGTTCTTGAAGTTCTCGTTGTCCTTCTTGTAGTTCCTCTGGATCTGTTGGTCTTAATTCTTGAGGTTTTTGCAATTTTAACATTAGCATGATCCTGATACTATGAAAGAATAGGAGTTTAACTGGACATATCAATAAAGCACAGTCGAATACTGTGCACTTGACAAGTTTAGCTGGGTTCATTTTCAGCATAGTTATCCTTACAGTTTTGACAGCTGTTACTGCCTCTGCATCAAAGTTAACATTACTGGTTTTTCGTTTTCATGTCACTCCAGAGTAAAACAAACATTTTATCATTAGGGTTTTTTTGGAGTGTGATCATCATACTGAAGTCAAATGTAAAAGGGAATAAAAACAGACCCAGTCCTGTTCAGAGGTTTGGGCGTTGATCCACAAGGTCCACATCAGGTCTTCTTCTGCTCCTTTAGTTCTTCTGAATGGTCTTCTTGTTCTCCGTGATAGTGCTGCTGAGAAAAAGCTTTGATTGTTTGGTTTATGCCTTTTTTGATTGAGTAGAGGCAATTTATTTTTAGGCTTGAAGGTGCTCTTGTTAGATTAGGTGCTTTTGTCAAATTAGAAAGGTGCTTTTGACATACCTTTTTGAGACCGGACCTTTTAACATACCGTCTTTGCTTGTTCAAGAACCAGTTTTTGAAAAGCACCTTTTTAAACCTTGTTTTTTGGTTTTAAGATCATGTCTTTGGAAGCAACTTTTAGAAATATTTGTAGAGCTTGAAATCAAGTCTTTGAAAGCACGTTGAGAACCTATTTCTGGGTTTGGATCATGTCATGAAAAGCAACCTTTGAACCTTGTTTCTGGATTTGAGATCAAGTTTTGGAAAACACCCCTCAAACCTTTTTTTTTTTGAGTTTTAAATCAAGATGATCACATCCACAAACAAGGAGATGTTCACCTACCCTCAAAAAGATGACCAACCTTACAGCAGAAGCCATGTCAACGTTGTCATGCTGTTCTTGAAGTTCTTGAAGTTCTCGTTGTCCTTCTTGTAGTTCCTCTGGATCTTCTTCTTGTCTTAACTTTTGAGGTTTTTGCATTTTAACATTAGCATGATCCTAATACTATTCAAGAATTTAAGTTTAGCTGGACATATCAATAAAGCACAGTCGAATACTGTGCACTTGACAAGTTTAGCTGGGTTCATTTTCAGCATAGTTATCCTTACAGTTTTGACAGCTGTTACTGCCTCTGCATCAAAGTTAACATTACTGGTTTTTCGTTTTCATGTCACTCCAGAGTAAAACAAACATTTTATCATTAGGGTTTTTTTGGAGTGTGATCATATTTAAGTCAAATGTAAAAAGAAGAAAAAAAACAGACCCTGTTCAGAGTTTTTTTTTCTACCTGGGTACTGGTCCAGGTGTAGCGCAGACATCTTCACCCTGCTTCTTCCAAGTCTTTCTGGTGTCACCACGCTGATCCCGATGGCGACATCATTCTTCTTATATCTTCAGGTTGTCCTTGCTGACTTAGCTCACAGCACTTTGCACAACTTACACTTAATAGAAATGCTAAACTGGTCTACAAGGTCAAAATAAAGCACAGCAAAATACTGTGCACTAGAGTTTAGCAGGGTTTGTTTTCAGTCTAATTATCCTTACAACAGCCTTGAATCCCTATCTTTGTAACAGCCACTGCGGCTCCTGTTTCCATTATTAACATTACTAGGTTTTCATTTTTGTTGTCATTCATTCAAGAGTGTCAAAATAAAGCACAGCAAAATACTGTGCACTTGAGTTTAGCAGGGTTTTTTTCAGTCTAATTATCCTTACAACAGCCTTGAATCCTTATCTTTGTAACAGCCACTGTAATTAACATTACTGGGTTTTCATTTTCATAATCACTCATTTTAAGAGTGAAAACAACAGTTTCAAGACAAATTGGGAAAAAAAAAAACAAGCAGTATGAAAAAATCAACCTGGTCAGTGCATCGTGCATCCATCCTTGTTGAAGATCTTCACACCTTTTGAGATCTTCTTACATCATCAAGTTGTACTTGCTGCGTTAGCTCACAGCACTATGCACCACTTACAATCAATAGAAATGCTAAACTGGTCTACAAGGTCAAAATAAAGCACAGCAAAATACTGTGCACTAGAGTTTAGCAGGGTTTGTTTTCAGTCTAATTATCCTTACAACAGCCTTGAATCCCTATCTTTGTAACAGCCACTGCGGCTCCTGTTTCCATCATTAACATTACTGGGTTTTCATTTTTGTTGTCATTCATTCAAGAGTGTCAAAATAAAGCACAGCAAAATACTGTGCACTTGAGTTTAGCAGGGTTTGTTTCCAGTCTAATTATCCTTACAACAGCCTTGAATCCTTATCTTTGTAACAGCCACTGTAATTAACATTACTGGGTTTTCATTTTCATAATCACTCATTTTAAGAGTGAAAACAACAGTTTTAAGACAAATTAGGGAAAAAAACTAGCAGTTTGAAAAAATCAACCTGGTTGATGTCCTTCAAATGGGTCTGTGCACTGGGCAGCCATCCCTGGTTGAAGATCTTCACACCTTTCGGAGGTCTTCTTACATCTTCATTTTCTTCTTAGACCAAAAGCATGTCGGGGAAATCTGCGGTAGTTTGGGGCGATGAGGAGGAGTACCCACTTGGGCAGAGAAACGCTGCTTTCCAAAAACGCATTGCCGAAATCAGACCTAATCCTTGTGACGCATCTTGACTATTTTAAAGTTTCCCTCAGGAAGTTAAATTTTAATTTGAGTGAACTCTCATTTTTGTTTTGGTAAATTTGTTGATTTACACGTTTTTGAGGACCGAGTTGCTATTTTGTTTAATTAAATCTGATAGTAGACTTGTTTTGAGGGTCTATATTGCTGCACTGGTTGATCGTTAATGGTGGGGATTCTTGTTTTTGTGGTTTTGGAAGAGAACATTTTCTCTCCACAATTGCATCACCAAAACAGAGCAAAACGAGACAAAAATCTGCTTCTCTGGAAGAGAACAGCTTCTCTCCACAATTGCATCACCAAAGCAGACCAAAACTAGACCAAAACCTGCAACTCCAGAAGAGAACACTTTCTCTCCACAATTGCATCACCAAAACTAGACCAAAACCTGCTACTCGGGCAGAGAACAACTGCACTGCTTGATTGTTGATGGTGGGGTTCTTGTTTTTGTTGGTGCGGTTGTTGTCAAACCAAAAGCAAACTGACCTCCAGTGTCCCTCGTTGATGGTCTGTCCGTGGAGTGAAGTAGTCAATGTCTTACCTTACAGGGTCCAGGCGTTGGACGGTCATGAGTTCTGCCTCAGTTTGACTTGATCCGGTGTAATTTCAGCTCCTGGTTAACACAGAGAAATACACAACCATCAAACCTTAAGTCCTGAATATAAGACTCAGAATTAAAAACCTTGACCTCTTTGACCTCCTTCAATAATCAGCTTTCACACAAGTTTATGAGTTCAGCCCTATTTTAAATACTTTACAATAACTACAATTTATAAATGGTAAATAGATAATTAAAGTTTAATCATCATTTAAAAACAGCCTATAGACCAATTATAAATGCCAAATAGATAGTTTATTAATGTAAGTTAATTGTTACTTTAATGATTGATAATTTTCATTAATTATTAATGGACTATTTATTAAAAGGTTTATATAGGGTTTAAATATTGGTTTTAAAACATCTAGATTAAAATGTGTGTCAGTAAATGGTTAATATTTGGTTCTTAAACCATCTATAAACATTACTTGATGGTTTATTGTAAAGTTGTAACTGATGTTTGAAATACTTTGTAAATTGGTTTATAATTATTAATAATTATAAACCATAATAACTGATTAATAATTGGTTTATAAACCACCTATAAACATTACTTAAATGGTTATACTAACGTTAGGGTTAGGGGTAAGGTTTTTATAAAATTGTAAAATTGACTATTTATGGCCTATATGCTATTTATAAATTATTTAAATATTAATAAACTATCTTCTTACCATTCATAAATGGTCAATTTACCATTTATAAGTTATGGGTATTGTTAAGTGTTACCAGTCATTTTAAACAGCTCATGTTTGCATGATGGTTGGCAGCCATGCTCCAAATCAGACCATTTAAAGACCATTTTCAAGCCTCATCTTTATTTTCTTTCTGGGCTTAC